ACAATATCCTTTAGGTTTTTTCTAATATCATTAATATCTAAACTTAAAAATGCAGTTACTAAATCCGATAAGATAACAGATTGATTATTATTAAAATTTATAGGATCAAGGTATACCAATAATTTAAAAATATTATCATATAGCCTTTTGCAAATAATATCCTTATTCCTTACAGGTCTTTGAGTTCCAATAATATCACCAGATTCAGTGTTTTGATGTACATTTACAATATGTAAAAACGAAGAGCAATTTTTAGCAATAGCTTGACAAATACTTGTTTTTCCAGTACCAGTTTCTCCAACAAGAAGTACAGGCTCATCATTTTCTAACGCCAAAGAAATTAATCGAAATAATCTTTTCATAGCTTTAGTCCAAACAATTCCATCTAAGTTAGGAAAATTATAGCTAGATATGCATTCCTCCATATCATTAAAATTATATAATTCATTTTCAGATATTTTAACTTTCATAACAGTTTCAATAATTTCTTTAACAATAATTTTCTCATCATTTTTTCGTACACGTTCTCCTAATAACATATACCCATTATTTACAAATTCCTGATAATTAGCATAATCCCTACTAGCCCAACGAAATAAGTCACGTAAAGTCATGAAACTAGTTTTTTGTTCAAATATCCGGGATGATTCACGTTGCAAAGACAATTTCTTAAAAATAATCAATATAAAGATATTAATTTTTTTTAAAAAAAAACCTATTACCTTATATACTTCAACCATTTTCGTACTATACGAAGGAGGTATATGACATCGATTACATATAATGGTCTTTAGTTCATCTTCGGGTATATTGTCATAATGTAGTTCTAAAAATCTATTACGAAATGCAGAAGATAAACGTTTTCGTCCACCATAAATACCAGGAGGATTTTGAGTAGCAAATAACATAAAATGAGGGTGAGGCTTAACAGTTTCTTGAGTTTCAAGTATGAATAATTCTCTATTATCATCTAATAATCTATTAAGCGCCTCTAGAATTTCTGAAGGTGCTAAATTTAACTCATCCAATACAATCCAATATCCGTTACGTAGTGCTTCTACCATGATTCCCTCTTTAAATTTTAAATTCCCAAAATCATCAGAAACATAAGCACCAAAATACTCTTGAAGCTCAATGTGTTCATGATTATTAATTCTTACAAATTTATGACCTGTCAATTTAGAAACATATTGAATCATACTTGTTTTTCCACTTGAAGTTGGTCCCTGAATCAAAACAGAAAATTTCCTTGTAGTTATAGCCCTTATAAGATTTAACATATTCTTCTCAATAGTTTGTGTTATAATATAATCATCATCTTTTTGTATTTCGTAATTTCCTCTGGGCACCCAATAGTGCTTAAATTGTATATAATCACCGTCAGAAGGCTTTTTAGGGATCTGTGAAATTGAAGATTTTAAATTCTTTAGATGATTAAATGTATGCTGTTTAATAATAGGATGAAGAATTTCCTCACTTTTTCTATCCAATAAAGTTAAATATAGCATACAAAATCCTTCATAAAGAGATCTGTGTAATCCATATAAATGACAAATCTCATTTACATACATCAATGTCCGAGTTAATGTTCTAATATTATAATAAGGTTTCTGACCAGCAGAATCAATCAAACGATTTTCCTTTTCCAACTGTTTCGCTTTCAAATGAAGCTGAGCAACATCGTATAAAACCTTTTGATCAGAAAAGCTAAGATGTCCAATATATTTATGAATTATAGCTAGCAAATCATTGAAATTTTCATCAGGAGAATAAACATAAAATTCCGTAAATCTTGATCTTAAAGATAACGATAAATCATGCCTTCCAATATCCGTAACAGGATTCATACATGCAAACAAACGAAAATTAGGATGAAGATAGATAGGTTGAATGTCGCCCTTTTCTGATAAAAGAACAGAGCCATTTTCCTGCAAAATAGAAGCAATGTTCTCAAGGACACCAAATTCTGCTAAATTAATTTCATCTAATAAAATCCAAGTACCATTTTTAACAGCCCTAGTTAAAGGACCTTCTACAAAATCAAAAAAAAAGCAATTAGGATTATTTAAAACATATTTTTCAAAATTGGCCAAATTACAAGAAAAAGACTCCAATTTCTGTTTCAATTCTGGACCAAGACATCGTTTTTTTTTACGAGAAATACAAGTCATTTTATCATTTTTTTCATCATCATGAAATAACCCTAGCTGTTTCTGAGCCATATCAATTGCTGCCCTAAATAAACGAAGCATGTATTTCCATTTTTTGTTAGAATATGCCTTTTGAGTTGCCTCAAGAAATTTAAAATTTTTTTGTATTGAAAACATAGTACTAAAAAGATCATCAAATTGATTCTTCAAGGAAGTGGAAACAGTTTTTAGATCAACTGGCTTAAATCCACCAAGAAGATCAGTATTTTCTGTTTGCTGAGACATATTAACAATTATTAACTCACGACCAAGAATATTAGCAAAATACTGAATGGTTGTAGTTTTTCCTGTTCCTGTTTCCCCAACTAATAACACATGTTCTCCACACTCTGCCGAAGCTCCTAACTGTTCAAGCAATCTTAATACGGGCGATGTAAAAGTAAAATAACGATCAAAACGAGAAATTGTAAACTCAGGAGATTTTTGAATATTGACTCTTCCAACTTTAATATAATCATCAAAATCTTCATGCCTTGGAATATACGATTTAATATAAAATTCGGCCCAATCAGATGAATAACCAAGAACTTCTGCAATTTTTTGAATAATCAAAGATTTTCCAGAACCCGTTTGTATCATGCCAGAAAAACAATCTACTGCATTATAAAACATACTATCAACAACATCTTTGGAAATATAATCATCTTCTAAAGTAATCCTAGAATTATTTAAAAAATAAAGAATGCGTTTAGACCATTTCATTAAATCTCTCATTGAAACAACTCTTCTAAAAGCTATTTTACTTAAAGAATGAAACACAGGATCATTATATGTAGCAACAATAACACCATAAACTTCAATAATCTTTTGAGATAATTTTTTCAAAATCGGAAATTTCGAACAAACTAACTCAGACAATTCTGTCATTGGAATCTCATTAATATTAACAATTTCCCATAACCTATTTCCTAAAAGCTTTATATCAGATTTTTGATAAATATTTATTGACATAGTCGCTATTATCTGAAAACCAAAATCAGCATTTATTTTTTCACCTCTACTAGGAATTTCAAGCTCATTTTTTTCTAATAATGGTAAAAGAACACTTATAATATCATTGGATGCCTTATCGATATCTTCAATCAATACATATTTTCCTTCTTGAACAGCCCTAGTAAGAACTCCAGGTTTCCATTCAAAAACGCCAGGAGTTGAACTTGTATAAGTCCCAATCAAACTTCTTATATCTATTTGATCTCCCAAATATATACGTACTAAATCGTCATATTTTCCAAGTATTTTTGCAACACTTTCAACCATAAATGTCTTACCAACTCCACATAAACCTAAAAGAAGAACAGGCTTCTGAGTCAACAGAGCTCTTGCAAAATTTTCCATATTTTTTCGAGATACAGGTGTCATAAAAAAGTCGGAATCTCCATAAATTGTAAACTTTGTTCTTGGAAAATAAATACCACATATAGAAACCAATAAATGAGATTGATCAGAGTCATGAATAACACGAGTTCCATTCGTTGAAAAATAATTACGATTACGAATTCTATCCAAAAACATCCTTTTTGATTCATTTTCAAATAAACTATAAGAATTTAAAAAAGCTCTAACAAATAAAAAATATCATACCAAAAAAAAGAATAATCTATAACCTTGCCAGAATATAAATAATCAACACATCCTTGACCAACATACAAAGATACCAATTCTTCCCTTTTAGTGCTTGATAAACAAAGTAATATACATAGAATTTCCACCGCAAGAAATCGTATAATACGAGTCTTATAAAACAAAAAAGGCCAAACATGAAAAATAGATACAAAACATGAAAAAACATGAGGATCAAAAATAATCAATCGATATATTGTAACCAAATGCCTTACTATAAACGAAACAGATTCCTAAATAGATCCTTCAATACCAATTCTTATAAAACATAGACATACACTCTCTTTTTCCTCATTTTCCATACCATAAACAATATCCAAACGATTAATAAATATTGACGATCCATTCAGAATTCTTATTGCATATCTTCTACTATGAAAATATCCTTTTTCTACAAAAAAACTTACGGTTTTAAAGACGGCTTAAGAGGAAGTAATTTAGCATATGCATTCATAATTTCCCCAATTTTTTCCTCTTTAAAAGACTCCCAACGAGCAACCAACATAGCTAATACAGGATAATATAATTCTGCTACTATTAATGTGGATTTTTCCTCCAATAATAAGACTGAAATCGTATCAAGATAAATTTTGTTAGATGAGGCCTCAGATGTCAGATTTTTTTCGAATTTTTTCGATATTTCACATCTCCTAACAAGTTCTAAGGATATTTCCTCGTAATTTAACATGTTTTCGGCCTCTAACACCATCTTTATCAACTTAAATGTTGATACCTATATTTGCTCGGTTGACATCCAGATAACCTGACGTTGAGATTACCATGACAACCTAACCAGGCCGTACTATTATCACTAACCCTTCAGTATGTAGCTTAAGAAAAAAATACAGTAAGACATATATTAAAGCGGGTTTTCATTATATGGAAAAGCTTCAGAGGCATTTAATTGAATTATAAAGAATTATTTGTTTAAAAGAAGAACACCTGATGTATGAATGAGTTTTTAGGTAAGCAAACGGTCAAGAGAAAAAGCAGACATTATAAGTTTATTATTAAATTTACGGGAAAATTAAGGAGAATTAATAGAAGAAAATTTAAGAAAACATAGATTTTAGAGGAGATTTATTGATCTGTAAAAGATATTAGAAAGTTAGAGGAAAAAAAAACGAGAAAAAGAGTAAATTTAGAGGGAAATTGATTGATTTTAAAATGGTAAAAAATTATACACGTTTATGACGTGGAAAGAAGTCATAAAGAACTATTTTTAATAAAAACCATTCAGGTTTTGCAGAAACGTAAAATAATTAAATATGCGTCTATTCCTGAAAACATTCAAGAAGACCAGCAGGTAAATTGATAAAGGTATGTGATTATTTAGTTTTGATAGAAGAAAGGTATGGTATATTCCTATTACGCAGGAGGTTTTTACAGAATATGATGATTATCTTACAAGGTAATTTTAAAATTATGATTTTTTTTAATAACTTGAAATATAGAATGGATTTTTATAATGAAGTAAGAAAAGATTTTAATAAAATGAAAAATTATATATGATATAGAAAATATTCATGTGCGAAATAACAGGCCATACGAATATGACATATTTTCAGGCATATCAATCAGAAGTTTTTTAAGACTTTTCTAATATTTTTTTGTATTAATACTTATTTATAGCTTATGCATGCACGTGATATTGAAGAAACATTTCCAGAATCACTTAAAGAGCCTGTTTTAAGGAAAATACAGCTCTCGTTAACAACAAGGATAGATTATTTGGGTAGAATTAGTTATTCAAATATATTATTATTAATTTTTATAGTGGATGAAATATACGATGTTTGTAATTGTTAAATACTTTAATAGTATCTAATGTGAAAAGCAATTTAAAAAGGATTATTATCCAGGAGAGTCACTTATATGTACTCTTGCAGGTGAAAAGTAGGATAATGAAACATATCAAAAATCTGTTCTAATATTTAAGATGGGAAGTACAAGTTAGAGAAAAAACAAAATTTAATGAAATTATTTCACCCAATGGGATATTTCGTAAAAATAATGGTAATTTTATTATTAAAATTAATTATAATTTTCAGGTCCAGCACATACCAAATACCTTGTAGAAATGCCGGAAAAATATAAAAAAGAAGACACAAGAGAAGAAATGGTTGATGAAAAAGTATTAAGTCGAGAACGTGGATCCTTTACGAAGGCAATTCTACGTGCTTTTATAAAGAATGTTGTGAAAAAAGAATCATGGACAGGAGCACCTTGGATTATTAAGGCAATTAAAATGTTTTATATCATTATTATATAAATTGATAATATTAGGAAAAATATGCAAAAAGGTTCAAAATAGATATTATATCTCCAAAACTTAGAAAAGAAGAAATCGAAAGACAGTTACATAAAAAAAAAATGGAGATAGAGGGAGTAGTAGGAAAAAATGCGAGAGGTTACCCGCTAAAATATCCAATTGAAGACTTAGATCTTGTACCAGCATCGAATGTTTCTCATAGGCCAGAATTTATATTTGAAACATTAATTAATAAAAATTCAATATCTGTATTATTAGAAACATGGACATTCTTAAATGTTTTTTGGTAACACTAAATTTACTTTTTCTTTAAATATATCTAATAGTAATTAGCGAACCTTTAATTTTAGATTCTTTTACATTAGATGATTATATTGATTCACTTCATTATACTTCACTTAACCCTCCCTGTGAACTGATAAATGAAACGCATTGCTCTTTATTGAAATCTCTGGTAGGCGAGCGTTCACCTCTATGCCTTTCATCTTGTATGTCTCCTTCGAAAAAAGAAGTGTTTAATAAAATAAATGTTATAAACAATAACTATATAGGTAATTTTGGAGAAAACTGGAGAGAATTACTCCAAAGAAGAATACTTGAAAATGGAAAATGGATAATAATAGTAATTGGAATCATAAATGAGGTTTTTTTTTTGTAAAATATAAATCAAAAATCTAATAAAACAAAAAGCTGTTAAAAAATAGTTTATATCCGGAAAAATACGATCTAATTCTTAAAAAATTCAATGTTCCTCATATAAAGGAATCTTATTGTGAAGTGTATTATAATCTTAACAGCGATGATAAGCTTCGGGTTTTAGAAATTTTAATTGAATTATGTTATAATACCCCATTAACACGAAATTATATTGAAGAATGTTCTGAATCCATAATTCAAGCAAAAAAGGACAAACAAGAATTAATAAAAACAAAAAAACAACAGTAAAATTATCAAGTTTACATTTGTTTAATAAAACTTATTTTTACTAGTTTAGAAAAAATACGAGAAATAAGAGATGAAATACGAAAACTTTTCCCAGGGGGAATCCCACGTTTAGAACAGTTATCGCCATTAGAAGAACAGATGGATGAAGAGACTGAAGATGAAGATGAAGAAATGCATGAAAATTTCGAACCAGACGACCAATCTATTACAAATACAGAAGATAATGTACTCACAATTAAAACAAGATCAAGATCAGGAGTAAAACGTAAGAGGACTTTTGAAGAACCTAAAATAAAGTCACAGCTACCAGATGCTAAAACTCTAAAACAACATGAAAAATTAACACAAGAAATAAAAAAAATTAAGCGACAAATCCAAAAAATAGAGGAAGATATGGTTATTAATGATGTAAATATTCGTGAAGCAGATGCTCAACGTGTTAGAGTACTTGGGTATGATAGATTTTGGAATAGATACTGGTGGTTAGAAAACAATGGAATGCCATATTACGGTATGCCAGATTCAAGTACAAGTTATGCTGGATATGCTACCGGGAGGATTTGGATCCAAGGACCTAGTCCAGACATAATTGAGAAGTTTAGACAAGACAAAATTTTAGAACGGAAACAAATAGAGGAAGGAAAAACGCCTTTAGCATCATTTAATGATTGGGCTTATATAGATACACCGGAAAAAGTATATTTTTTTATAATTTATTTTCTCATCTTAATATATTTTATAGATAGAAGAATTACTGAACTGGCTTAATCCAAAAGGAATTAGAGAACTTAAACTTAAAAATGTTATTCAAGCACGAATTAATTTTATATACCAAGCAATGGATGCACGCAAGAAAGTATAAATAAAATATTTTATATATTTAATTATTAATTGTATAAGTATCTTTCAGGGGAGCTTATTGAAGCAAAACGATCAACTAGAGCTACATTGGGTATAGATTATGAACGCGAAAGATTTTTAAATTGGGTTAATTCAAAAGCAATTGAATACTTTGGTTGTGGTCATTCACACTTACAAGCAAAGAAAGAACGTTCTTCCAATAAGAAAAAATAAGAAATTTGACACTTAATATATGGAAACCATCATCCTTAACCTTTATTACCATCAATATCTTCATTAGCATCAGCATATAATTAAAACATTGGAAAACAATCTCAGCATAAAGCTAAACATGGCTTTATGATTTTGTTTTAAAAATACTTGTAAAACATCAATTCATCATAATTAAAAATTCCTTAAATTTTCAAAAAAAACATTTAAATCAAATAAAATTAAAAACTTTATTAATAATAAATAAAACATATAAAAACTATACGTCCAGAACCATATGATAATTATAAAAAAAGAAATATAAAAATCTAATTCTCATGAAAATCATCCGTATAGGGTGACTTTTCAAAACAAAACAACTTCCTAATACCTGTCCCCGGACCATCTGTATTATAAATAGATCCAGCTGGTTTCGTCGGATATCTTAATCCTTTTATTTGAGAATAACGATCTTTATTCACTATATCTTGATTTTTTACACTCAGCACAACAGGTGTAACCAACTCAATAGATCGTACAGATAAAGATGAAAAAGAATTCATACGATAAATAGGAGACTTAGGTTTATGAGAATTAGATTTATAATTTATTAATGAAGCTGGCACTGTTGACGGAACATATTTAACTGGTGACCCATATTCATTAATTTCTTCTGAATCAGAGAGAGAACAAAGACGACTCATAGAAGCATAACGAGGCCGATAAACACACTCAAAGATCATATTCGTACAGGATAAATGTGGCATAGTTGTAAAAGATGATGAAGGTGAAACTGTTGTAGATCCAGAAAATGAATTTTTATAAGAAAACGATAAAGCTTCACGACAATCATCTTCAGAATCCTTCTTCTTACATTCATCTGAGCAGTAAAGCAATAAACTATAGGGATTTTCGATCTGTTGATCACAGACAGTACTATATACATTTCCCATCAGAAATATTCAAAAATAATGCGTTTTTTTCCAGAAAAAAAGGGTATTTACCAATATTGAGGAAAAACATAACCTATTTCCATAACAAGAAAGCGTTTTTAAGGCGATTTCCCGCCTTTTTCTCCAACTTTTTTCCAAATTTATTTTCTTCCTTATTTTTAATCAAAAAAAAACCGTTCAAAAAATATCCTTAGAACTTTATCAATATTTCCAAGCTTTCTCATGCTTAAAAAGAGAAAATATGTGCTTTTTCCTTACAAAAATAACTCCATTTTTCCTTCCTAATTTTTCACTTAATATTCGTCGAGACTCGGATAAGGGCTTAGCTCTCTTATAGCCATATATAAATACTGATAAATATATAAATACTGATAAATATATAAATAACTAAGTAACAAAAATAAAACAAAATATTTGGTATTTATTTTTGAAAAATAAATGATATTTTGTTTTTCAAAAAATTCATTAAATATGATTTTTTTGATAAAAATATAGAAAAAAAATTAATTCAAGAAAAGTTTCTTATCATGTATAGATAGTATTGAAGATCATATCGGTTCCAATGTTATATTTTGTTTTTTTAAGAAGTAATTCTAGAAATAAAATTAAATATATAAATCAAAATATTTATCTAAAATGATTTAATAAAATAAAAATAAAAATAAAAATTACCAGAGAAAAACTACACAAACAACTGACTATGACCTTCAAAATTGATAAATATCCGTCTAATTTATAAATAAAAACAAAGAAATAAAAGATTAAATTAATTTGATTATATTATCACTAATATATAATTAATAAAAAAAAAAAGAAAAATAAATATACCTGATTTCTATGAGAATTAAAATTAAAAAGAGACAAAGGTAATGAACATGAATATCCATTCGGTATATATTGTTCATTATAAAATGAATTAATATAAGAAAAAGAATGATGAGGAATTTCGGATTGTTGAATATAAGACATATCATAATGTTGTAAATTCATTTTTTGTTGAGAAATAGTGTGATAATGTAATGGATATAGATTATTGTTAGCAGTGTTCAAACTTTTATAATAATCTAATTCTTAATGTTAAAAAGAAATTTTTTAATAGATAAAAAATAGAAACCTGAAAAAAAAGGTCGAGGAAATAATGAAGCAGATCCATGCAACTGAATATTTTTAAATTCAGAATATGGCATGGAAGAATCATATTTCTTATCTTTTTTTGAATGATAGATTTTTGAAAGATCAGGATTCTTTGATACTAAATTTAAAGAATTATGATTCAAACCAATTTCATCCATCAAAGTTTTGTATTGTTGTCCGGGAACAATCTTTAATTGAGAAAAAGCCTTTTTCAAAGCAATAGAAATATTTTCACGAAGATCATCTTCCAAATATGCTACAGTGAAAATTCTAAAAATAGTATCTACACCATAATGTTCTTCTGATAAAACTTCATCCAATATTTGTCCATTTTGAGAAAAAAAAAGAGTATTCAAAAGAATTTTGCGGGCATCAGAATCCATTTTCTGATTAATGATTCTCAAAATTATAGAAGACGCTAATTTATGTGTGCATAAGTAAACAATATGATGGACAAATTGCAATGCAAGCATTTTATATCTATTTGGAAAAGCAGAAGAATCCAATAACCATGTAAGTAAGATTAAACCATTAGGATTTGTCGCTAGGCGATGACTTTCTAATGTTATAATAACAGCAAGATAACGCTAACAATTAGACATTATATAATTTAATCTATTAAATCATACTTGTTGTTCCTTTGTAACATAGTTACTCTCTAAACATGCTCTCATTGCTCTTGCTCCAAAACGACCTTGAGAAATATCCCAGCATCGATCAGCCATTATTTCAATAATAAAATTATTCATAGGTGCTTCAAATTTCAAACAACATTGTACAACATAATTTCCAAATTGATCTAAAAATAATAATGGTATATACGGGGAAATATGCGTAATAATATCATTAATCTATGTATATTAATTGACAGTAAAAAATTAAAAAATTTATGCCTGTGTTTCTGTTTTTGCTAAATCAATTATTTTTTGCGCAGCCCATGTTCCATTTTTATCTTTTAAAAATGAATCAATAACAAAAAAATTAAGCAAAAACTCACGAATGCCTAATCCTGATAAATGCGGGGCAATTCTTTTTAACAATTTTTCCTTCATTTCTTCAGAACAATGCTCAAATAGTTTCTGAATTATTGTATTGCCGAGATAATCTATAAAGTAATTAAAATAAACAATAAAAATAATAAATCTCTTACCACTTGAAAGTTCAGAAACTTCATCAATCATATCGTTTGCCATATCTTCAATTTCTTTTTGTGTGTATCCTGAATTATCAAATTTCTTTCTAATTTCCTTTAGCCTTGAGCCATGAAATTGTCGATTAAGTGATGGCTCAGGAACAGGTGGAATCTCAAAAGCATAATCCCTAACCTTTCCTATGTCTAGTTCTATATTATCACTATACATACAAACCATGAAAAACATACTTTGAATGTCCCCCCATATTTTGTCAGCTTCTTCTTGTGTAGCAGCATAATTCATAGCTATTTCTGTCACCAAAGACTTTAAATCACCAGGTCTTGAAAAAACAGGAGAAAAAAAACATTCTGACTTATATTCAGAAATTTTAGGTCTATAGGGATAAGTATTGGAGATTTGCATATTCATCGGATTTTTCAAAGTCTGATATATATTTAAATATCTTATATATAAAAAAAAAAACAAACCTTTATATATTCCACTCTTATAAGATCATTTCCAGGAAACAATTCTTTTCCATCAAGAGAATTCTTTGCCTGTATAGCACTTTCCAACGTATTATAGTTTACAAAACCATATTTCTTGTCAGCTAATATCCAAATACTTTCTACCATTCCAAATTGAGAAAAGAGTGCAGTCAAAGAAGAATTAGAAGCCGTTAAAGGCAAATTAATTATCCAAAGTGAACGTGTCGGAAATGACATAATATAACCATATTCACTTTCATTTATATTATCATAAGAACTAGATGCAATATTATTCGGGATATTATTATCAGAAATAGGAGATTCATGAACATAAGGCTGAGAATTCAAACCCTGGTTATCCATATGATTCAAGGAAAAATTAATAACACCAGTTGTTCTCGCTCTTGGTCGTAAATACAAATCAGAATGATTTTGATATAATGTATCATATGAATCAGAATAATCAATACTTTTAGACGGTAAATTTTCTTGATTAACATCCAAAGAAGAATCATAGCCTTTTTCATATATCTTACTACCAGAAACTGAACATGATCGAATCCTATTCGAATCATTCTTTAATGAATTGATATTAGACATACATATTTTATTATTTTGTTTTTCAGAAACAGAATCACATGATTTAAACGATTCTGACATCACTATTGGAGTTGATGAATCAGCAAGCCCCAAATAATCAAGTGTCTTTATAGGACCTTGTCCTTCTTCATCTTTAGACGAAATAGAAGACGTATTTGATATTTTATTTTGACAGTCTAAAATTTGTTTCCAATCCAAAGAAAAAACAAAAGGATCAAAGCCAGATGTATACATATTTCTATCATAAAGCGTTAAAGATCCTGATCTAAACCGAGAATTCGCAATAGATGGTACAACTGATGATTCCATTGTCATTTTAAAATCTTTGGCCTTTAAAGAAACAGAATACGATGATTCATAGCCTCCCAATGTATCTACCGGCATAGTTTCTGCCCTTTCTCTCCTAAATCTTTGTGTTCCTTCCGATGAAGAGTATCCAACTTCTGATATACCTTTTTCTTCTGATGTTAATATTGGCGATGTCCTTGAAAGATGTAATTTATCCCCTCTTTGATCATCAAAACACGAATTCTTAAAAAATTTAACTGATTCATCCAAAAACGGTGATATCCATGAAATTTCCTTGTTTTGTTTCTGAACTTCAAGAGTTCTAATTAACCATCTCAGTAAATAATCCTTTTTTTCTCCTAGAAATTTACCTTTTCATCAAACAAGACCCATCTGAATCAATAGAATGAATATTCGTAACATTTTCCAATGTATTGTGCCTGCCAATATCAAGAGACGTTGGCTTAGAAGAAGATGATGTTGTCATTCAGCTTTAAATAACAAAAATAGCTAAAAATAAGTATTTTTTTCCCTGAAAAAAAAGACAAACCTTCTTAGGAATAGACAAAGGATTAATTTCTAATAAAATTTCTGCTTTTTAATCAGATTTTTAGCTTAAATTTAAGAATTTCATCAAGGTTAAAAAAATTCTTAGAAAAAAAGCGAGATACTGAGATTTTGAAGAAATAAGGTAAAAAATCAATAAAAATGAGCAGCTCGGAAGAAGAAACAGGAGAATCAATAGAATCAATAGAAGGGCTTGTGAAGGGTATTTTTTTTATTTTTTTTTCCTTTTAAAAATAGGCTTTGTAGGCAGAGAGAAAAGAATAACAGCAGGGAATCGACTCCAGGCATTATTGGATGAAGAATTTGTAGCAGAATCTATTTTTGATGTTACGGACGAACAGGACGAGGATTTTGAAAGTGATAAAAGTGATTTTTTTTTGATTTTTTTGTGTTATATTTTATTGATTAAATATAAAGATCAATTGCAAGACATTGAGATATCAGAATCGGATGAAGAAGAGTCTAGTAGTTGTTCGGAGGGGTCTGAAGAAAGGGCTATTGAAAGAAGAGAAAAAAAGGCATGTTTTAAAGTTATTTGGAGAAAAACAGGGATTAACTAATGGTTAAATTAAAGATTAAGAAAAGAAAGCCTCCAGAAGCATTTTTTAAAGCTAGAAAACAATTAAAGAAGGAAAGGGAAGAAAGTAGTGTAAGAAAATCATCATATAAAGAGATTAGTATTGTGCATCCTGAGTCTATTCGTCATAGTTCACGTCCTCATACAATTGAGAACAAAAACTTGATTGATCATAGGCTAAGAGAGTCTAATAAAAGGAGGGTATAATATTTTAAAAGATTTTATGGGGATCGTATTAAATATAAGTAGTCAAGACAGAATACATATGTTAAAATTAAAGAAAAACAAATGACACAAGAAGAACGTATTGCAGAAGCTAAAATTACAGAGGAAAAGAGCAAGGAATTGCTTCAGAGGTTGATTAAGATGGAAAAAGAAAAGAAAAAAAATGCAAGGAATTTATTAAAAACAAATAAAACATTAACAAGTCCATTTATTCGATTTTTATCAAAAAGTATTGATAAATGTTTGGATGAGAAAATATTTTCTAAAAAAAAGGAAATAAATCAAGATAAAGACGTTGATATAGTTAAAAAAAATATAGGGGAAACCATTGAACATGATCATAATGCAAATAATTGGTCATTAAATACATCAGAAGAACTTTCAAAAACTTTAGAGGAAAATATAGTTAAAAACAATAAAGAAACCCTTGAGGGTGATAAGGAATTTATCGATAATGATGATAAAACAATAAATACTACACTTTTTCAGGAAAATGATGATGAATCAATTTCTATTCATTTTGATGATAAACAATCAAAAAAAATATCTAATAAAAAGACAATAATTCCAACCGAAAACTTTTCTGAATATATATCACGTAATTACATCATATTGGAAGGCTTTTCAGAGCCTTTTGATCTAAACAAACAAAAAAATATTCTTTTTTCACATACAGATCCACCTATTCGTATGTATTTGCATTTTTTTATACTTCTAACATCACAAGAACCAAAAAAAAATCTTTGTCTAATTACAGGAAAAGTTGCAAAATACAAAGATCCAGTTTCAGGGCTATATTATAGTGATCTTTCAACATATCAAACAATTTATCGAATTATTCGCGGAGATATCCCATGGAGTCGCATTGCTTGCACTTTTGTAGCTGCATTAAAGCCTGCAAATGGCGTACCTTCTGATTTTCATGATTCTCAACCTTTTCAAGACAAATAAAACAAATTCAAAAATATTTATTTTTTCTTCAAAAATCACTAACAAATAAAAACAAACAAAAAAAATACCACGCAAAAACATTCTTCAAGTAATTACAATACTCTTAACTATCTTTTTATCTATTATTTCATCTTGTTCTCTCTTATATTAACCCTTTAATAAACTGCATATTTATACATAAAAAATCCAATAAACATACAAATTACAAAGTACTCTATATCATTTTATATCTTTTCCTCATCAATCATCATATTTATCCTTATTTTTTCACCAACCCTAACCCATACTTTTTTTCATAAACTCTTACCGCGGACGGTTTTAACCTGTATCGATCAAACAGCTAACAGCTAGGTTATGGCTATAGCTTTTTAAAGGTAAAATAGCACATTAAAGTGATATTTTTCTAAGATATTTTAGATAAAAATAACATCTAAGAGAAGATAATAGTTGTTGATGTTTTTTTTCCGAAAAAAACGGTGAAAAAACGACTATTTTTGTGCCAATTCAGTTTTTCAGATTGATTGGGCATTTACAGCCTTATCAGGGCATATGAATACGATTTTTAACGTTAATTGTATGAAGATACGCTACTTTATGTGTAATAGTTTTTGAAGTAATTTTTTTTCTCAAATGACGGTGAGTTTTTGAAGTAAAACAAGAAGATATTAATGAGAAACTAGACGATCAGTAAGCGTGGTTAAAGCTTTAAAATGATTATTAAATAGTGTAGACATACGTAGAGATGTTAACGATTCTTTTTACCGCTACAAAATGCCGCGTCTGCAGTCAAAAGTATGGAATATTTTTTGAGTGTATTTTATTGAGTTTAATATAAATATAATAGATTGAAGGCAGAGGAAATGGCATTAAAACGGTTATTCCTAATATGTCAGAGATTGCAAGAGCATTAAGTCGCTCACCTTTATGTATTTTTATTTTTTTTATCAGAAATAATTTTTATATATTATTGTAGATGTAACAAAGTTTTTTGGATTTGAACTGGGCGCACAAACTACTACGAATACAAATGCTGATAGGTATATTGTAAATGGAGCTCATGATGCAGACCGACTTCAGGATTTACTTGATGTTTTTATTCAAAGATATGTGCTATGTAAGTCATGCAAAAATCCGGAAACAGACATTGTATTTTATATTTTAAGATGCAAAATGTATGATCTAATTAGTGCTAGATCATTTTAAAAAACGACAAAATTGTTAGAGATTGTAAAGCATGTGGGCGACAGAGCGATGTACCACAGAATACGAAACTTGCAAGTGTTATTTTAAAAAATCCACCAAAAAACAGCAAAAATAAGAAAAACAAAATCAAAAATAATACATCATCAGAGCACGTAAATATTGAAAAAGAAGTGGAATTTAACGACGACTTTATACATGCGATGACAGCTTCAGAACAATCTCTTTCAGAAGAACATAAAATAGATGATTACTGGACGATGGATACGAGTGAAGCTGCGGTAAAGGCACGTATGCACGAGCTGGAGGAAAATGTTAAAGCAAATCTTATTCTTTATGATGAGGAGGAAGATGATGAACCAGATGGAAGTAATCCATATGATGAATTTGGAACATGGGTATCTGAGAATTTTTCAGCATCAAATATCGAAATATATAGAAAAGCTCAAGAATTAAAGATTGAAAGTAAGCATAAAACAGTTGCAGTGCTTGCTCAAACAGTATTTGATAAACATATTCTTTCTCAAATCAAAAATAGAGCATGTCTTTTCCGAAAAATCATTAAAGGACAAGAAAAACATGAAAAATCGCTTCTAGGAGGAACAGAACGATTTATTGCCATAAACCATACGGAACTTCTTCCTCTTATTCCTAAGATCCTTATGCAATATTATCAGAGCGATATTCTTTCTGAGGAAGCGATCAAAAAATGGGCAAGCAAAATTAGCAGACGTTATGTGGATAAAGATACAGACAAGAAAATCAAAAAAGTTGCTGAACCATTTCTTCGATGGCTAGAGGAAGCGGATGATAGTGGTTCAGAATCAGAAGAATCAAAATAATGTATTTATATTTTCTTATCATCTTTTAATGCTTCAGCCTCTTTTTGTTAAAAAATGATAATTATCTGATTTATTTCTTTAATTTGTTTGATGTTCACTTGGTTCCCATTTTTATGAAATGCCTGATAATTAGCTTTCGTTACATCTAATAACTCATAAAACAATATCAGGAAATAAAAAATTATCCTTTGATACAGGTATATTTGCTTTAAAATTAGTAAAAGGAAGCATTGATAACCAAAGCTTATCTGGATGCCTTTTTTCCAGTGTTTTTTTCAATGCTTCTATTTCCAATCCTTTACTTGGTTTTTTTAAAAAAGATATCACAGATTCAATTATTTTATCCACACATTTATCTGGTAATTTAACATTTTCAATAGCAGCATCAAATGCAGCAAAAATCCCATTCTGAATACTTACAGATCTTGAAAATTTATCAGCAATCCCAAGTATATCTTGCTGACAACTTGTATTTAAAAGATTACATAAAATCTTTATCCCATGTTTGGAAAGTCTTGAAGTCATGAAGTTTTTAGCATAAACACATAATAATGTAATAACATTCAAAGAAGATGTAATTATTGATGTCATTTCATTGAGATTCAACTGGCCGATAATAAGAGGCCAAATATCATTAACAAATGGTAAAAAACTTCTTTCATCAGATGCCAAAAAAGGTATTGAAACAGAAAGCATCTTTAATAATTCATTACGAATATTTGACGATTGATGATTGAGAAACATTTGAGATTTATTCGAAATTTTTTGGATAATTTTAAGTGTTACTTTATTCATATTATTTGATAGATTTTCTGAAGAGGTAGAATGATTTAATGAATCGAATGTCGTCCCCATTATTTCTGTTGCATCTGTATGATATAAAGAACGAATTTTAGTAACAATTTGCATAACTTCTAAACATGGTCCTGCACTATGAATGTCATCTTCGACTACTTGAGAAATCTTAGGCCTTTCAACAATACCATTAATTCGAACAACTTCATTCAAAAATGAAAAAAATACAGAAACAAGATTAGAATAACCATGATAATTGTCTAAAATAGCGAATACAGAGTCAACAACATCTTCCAAATAAGGCACCATAGTAGGACCAACCAAACGCAAAAGAATAATCAAAACAACAGGCCCAGTAGGGAAAACATCAAAGGTATTTAACTTTAAATTAATCGCATTAATTAAATAATCAACATTTCCTATTAGTAAATCTTGGATTGAATCATATTCACAATATACGGCTAAATTATTTAAACATATACGTGCATGTTGAATTATAGCTTCACAACGACTTCCTAATAAATAAACAATAGGATATAAACAATCAACAAATTCAATTCTAAACTGTTTTCCAAGTTTCTTTGCAATTAAAGATATAATTTCTAAATCCAAACATATATGAACAACTTTATCTTGAGGAACATTCCAATTCATGGCTTCATCGTACATATGAGACGAAAATTCCGATATATAATTTAATGAATCGGTATATACATTCATATATATACGTTCCATATTAACATCTATATTTTGATCATGTTGAAAAGAAGAATCATGTATCATACGACGTAAATTACACAAAAAAATCCATCTTAAAATATTCGTACGTGGCTCATACGTTGACGTCTTTATTTTATAAAGAAGAGAATTAAAAAATTTAATAGTAGAATATTTTCCAAAAATTGCAAACAGATTTTCTAATGCAAAAAATGTTAAATTATTTTCAATATTTTCAAACCTAAACACAGGAAATTTCAGACCAGAATATATATGACTATCTGATAGATCTTGTATATTAAAATAAAAAAGCGGTTGAATCAAATCTGTTTTTTTTAATATTTTGGTATCTGTTGCAAAATGAAGAGAATCAGAGATTCTATGGATAAGAAAATCAAAAACAAAACTAGACTCCAAATTTCTTTTAGACAGAAAAGAAACAATATGCATCATTGCAATTAAATGATGTCGCTTAGCATCCTCATCACTAAGTAAATTTAATCTAGGCCAGGCATCAAGATACTCCTTTAAAAGCATATTAATAACATCCTCAAACTCTTGTTCAGAATATTTTTGCTCTTCAAGCTGAAATAAAAATTTAACTGAAATATTTTGTATACTTTCTTCCAAATCGCCTGCCAAAAATAAAATTGTTGAAAGCAAAAGCTGAATACAATTACAAAGTGTTTTAAAACATGTATTAAAAACTCCAATTGAAAATTCCAATATCTCCTGTCGTACTTGCCTATTAGAATGAGCTTTTAAACTCAAAAGAATATTGCACACTGTATAAACCCGTTCACGTGTATTCATCAACCATTCTTCAGAACCAATAGGGGCCCTTCCTTCTAATGTATTATCCGAAACCTTAGAAACATCCTTATTTACTTCTAAAACATTTGAATCAACACTTAACATATTTCTAATGTGATCCAAACTCATTTTCTGATCCATCTTCTTCACTTCCACTCTATCCACTACTTCTTCTAGACTATCATCTGCAAAACATGTCTCCAAAAGTCTTCTAGATAACACTACTGATGCTATTATAGCTCTACTGTACTTTACTTTACCATTTACCACCAATTGACAAACACATGACATGATTCCTGGCAAAAAACGACGCAAAACACTTTTATCCTCCACAACTTCAAACAAAAATACTTGCAATACATCAACACATTTATTCTGTAATCTATTCCATAACGTTTTTTCATAAATTTCAAGCAATACCGATATTGTATACCCAATTATCGCTATCAATCCATCATCTAGCTCTTTCTCATCATTACCCAAGCATTTCCGACACTCTTTTTTACATTTAAATAGCATATAAAGCCCTTCTAACCCTTCTAAGCACAAATCTTCTGGAAGATTCCTTTCTAACCCAGACATTGGCTTAATAAACCCCGTCAAAAGCATACACAACTGTTTAAACAAAGCGTCTGACATTTCTACCCCCCATCCTATACGAATTAACTCATTTGTACATCTTAAAAGCCCTTCCTTAAGACGATCATCTAAATTTAAATATCCGCGCCATAAATGAGACAAAGGAAGAAAAACATAATCTGAAATAGTACATCCAAGTAATTCCTCTGATGAAAATGACGATAAAACCTTATATAAAGCTTCTAATGATACATAAACATCGGGCTGCAGATTCGAATCTGTCCAGACACAACTTAAGCGCATACAAATAGGTTTTAACTAAAGAAAAACATAAGAAAACAAACATCTAGGAAAATACACCGAAATACCTTAGAAAAGGCGGACAAATTCGACTTTATATTCATTTATATAAGGAATAAAATCCTAAAATAAAGCAATAACAAAAACATTCAAAAATAACCCCCAAAAGACTCTTATGGCTATCTTAACAAGATATATGCGTCGATAAATCGAATTATATGCGTTATATTTTCTTATATATGCGTACTTTTTATAACCCTCTTCATCCTCCCTTCGACAAGCGCTTGTAAAAATCTCAAATCATCTGATATTTTTTTTGCTTTTTTTTTTTTGCTTTTTTATGGTTTTTTTCATATAAATACCAGTCCTTCTTATATTGAAAGCTTGATATTTATTTTTCTTACATCATATCACACTAATTGACCATCATAAACATCAGGTTGAAATATGTTTAATATTTTGCTAATTTTCTAATATTTTTATAGTTTTTATGGATATTTTTTATTAATAGATTTTAATAATTTTATTATATTTTGATATATTTTTTTATATTTAAATCAATACTTGTGAAAATTGTTAAAATATTTATCAATATTTGTGCATACAACTTTTTTGAGATCAAAAATCCATCAAAAACTGGGTATTTTGAGTCTTGTAGTATTTCTTTAAAATATGTATGAATGGGATTGTATTATTGTTGGAGCAGGTTTATTTTTATCAATAAACGAGACAAGACATTGATAAAAAGAAAAAGGTATTTTAGGTGCTTCATTAGCTACAGTTTTTGGACGACAAAAACGAAAAACACTTTTACTTGGTAGAGAAAAGATATTTTTCTTTTGTCTAATCATAATATAGAACGAGACATTTCAGAACCGGATAGAATTGTTGGAGAACTTCTTCAGCCAGGTGGTATAAAAGCATTAGAGACATTAGGAATTGAAGGTATATTATAGACAGAGAGAAAGGGTTTATATGGAGGAAAAGTATTTTTTATTGAAGGAATTATAAAACAAAAGGACTATTTTGATGTGTATTTTTCTATTTGAACATCTTGTAGTCAAAAAGGTTAAAATTTATTTTATGCATAAGCTTTATTTTATACTATATTTATTTTATAGTTTTCAGTGTTTTAATCAAAAAGTAGATACAATAGAAGGAATCGATGCAGTTCAAGTCAAAGGATATCAACTTCTTTGGAATAATAAATCTATCAGTATTCCTTATACGAATAAAAAATTATCATATCATAAACATATATCTTATCAAGGACGTTCGTTCCATCATGGACGCTTTGTTATGAAATTGAGACAACATGCAGTTGCCAATGAAAGGTAAAAAAGATATATTTCATACTATGCTAAAAACGCAGTGTGACGATGATTGAATCAACAGTACTTAGCGTGATTGAGAATCCATTAACACAACAAGTTTTGGGTGTGAAAACTTTTGTCAAAGCTACACAACAGTACGAACATGTAAGTTAAAAAGATATATTGAGAAATAAACATTATGAAGAAGTTTTGCAATATTTTATAAAATCATAAATTAATGATTTACTTTAAAACAGAATACTTGTTTTTAAACACCTGTTCGAGTTTACATTTTCTAACTTTTTATTATTTATTTCAAGTTTATTCATTTTTTAAACATGATAAACTTATTAGCAGTTTTTTGAACTCTTAATTATTGGCTTATCTCCAATTATTATCTCTAACGCATTTCTTTCGTCTTTTTCTTACATATTCACTAGTATTTTGCACCTTTAGTTGTCATTGCAGACGGATGTTTCTCAAGATTTCGAAAACAATTTATATCTAAACCAGTCACTGTCAAATCGAACTTCGTTGGATTAATACTCGAAAATGTTACACTTCCTATGCCCTTGTATGGTCACGTTATCCTTAGTAATTATTCACCTATCCTAATGTATCAATTATCGACACATCACACACGAATTTTGATAGATATTCCAGGCAAACTTCCATCAAGTACTACAGGACAACTTAAAAAATACCTTAAAGAAGTTATTACACCAATTCTACCAGAAAATATTCAACCATCATTTACTAAGGCACTTAATAATCAAAAGATTCGATCTATGCCCAATTGTTTCCTTCCACCATCCTTAAATACAAAACCTGGATTAATTATACTGGGAGATGCTATGAATATGAGACATCCGTTAACAGGTGGTGGCATGACAGTTGCCTTAAATGATGTTCTTTTACTTTCAGATCTTTTATCACCATCTTCTGTTCCATCCTTTCGAGACACTGATCTTGTTTTACATCAAATGTTTCTCTTTCACTGGAAACGTAAAAAACTCAGTGCTGTCATTAATATTCTTGCACAATCACTTTACTTTCTTTTCTCTCCTACTGGTAATATTAATTTACTCTACAATTTATTATTAATTTTTTCAGATACATATTTAAATATTTTACAGAAAGGTTGTTTTCAGTATTTCCAACTAGGGGGTATTGCTATTAACGACCCAATTAGTCTATTATCTGGGTTTGTCCTAAATACCTTATTTTTTAATAATGATTTATATTTAACACAGAATTAATCATCAGCCACTACTTCTTTTTTTCCATTTTTTTGCGGTGGTATTTTACTCAATATATCTCACGATTTTATCTTCCTTCAATATATTTAACATCTTTTCTGGATTAATAGTATTTTTTCGAGCTTGTGAAGTTATTTTTCCATACATTTGGAGTGAATTAATTCATTAAGATAATCACCAGGGCAACATCTGCCTAAGGTAACTATAGCAATTATTGTTATGACAACCTCTACTATCCAACAACACATGGAACAAACATCAATAGCAAAGGTTGATAGGTTTAAATGCTTATGGACAGCTAATAAACATCAAATAAGAAAACGTAAGAATCTAAAGAATTTATCCAGTGTATTTACATTTGTATATAGGTTGGCATGGTAAAATATATTTTATTAAAATTATAATACTGATAATTTTCGAGATGGTATACTTCATTTTCATACTTTTAATTTTCGAGCAATGTTATATGATGAAGCCAATGTGCTGATAGATGATCTTTTTATTCCAAAACAACATATTGTATCTGGAAATGAAATAGAATTTGATAATTATTTAGTTATAATTGAAGATGCCTTAGATGCTATTTATTCTGATATATCATCTTTATATGTACGCCATCAAGAACGGAGAGCAAAAGAAACAGAAAAGCCATCAAAAACACGATACTTAAAAAAGCGTTCAAAAGAACAAACACAACCTGATTCACCCTCTATTAATACTTCTTTGTATACTCTTTCAAAAGAAACAAAAACAAAAACTCAAAAGGTAAGAGAAAAAAGGATGAACTGCTCATATAATACTTTGATATTAGCATCTTGTTAGCTCTACATGTACGACTTCAAAAAAAAAACAAAAAGAAACTAAATTATCAATGAAACAAAAAGATATGTTAGAGCATGAAGAAAAAGATAAAGAGCATATATATGAGACGTTCATATCAGATGATGAAGCATATGATTTATTTTCTCAATAATTATATTATTATTATAAATATTAACAATTTGTCTTTCCCAAATTTCCAATAGAAATAGAAATTTTTTTTAGACTAGATTGAGATGTAGAATTTATATCGGAAACAGAATTTCGCTTTACACGAGTTAATAGTCCCAAATCATCATCATCTCGATAACGTTTTTCAGTTATTTTATCAAAAGAAATCGAAGAATCAATATTTCTATCATAATAAATATCTATTTGATTTCTTAATATATCATTAAAGATTATAATATTAATACTTAGATCTGTTTTTTCATATACTTCAATATCATCATCAGGATAATTTACAAGTTTCCTTATAGAACCTTCTCCCTTTTCTAAATCAACATTATCTTCATCATCCGATGTATTAAAATAATTCTCCTCTTCAATATCAACTGTCTCTGTTCTTACCCATCGACCAGTAGGACCATGTTTAGTACTTAAAAATAATTAGTACAAATAAAATAGATACGTTCATTCATTGTTTCAACTTACTCTTCATTTTTGACACTTTCGAATTCATATGATTTATCATGATATTGTTCATATTTTTTAATAAGTTGATCAAAAACAGGGATATCATTTAAACTTTTAATTTTCTCATAACTACTTTCAATCAAATGATTAATAATACTTTTCATATTCTCCTAAATTATTATTTAGAATTTAAACTGAAAGATCATAACCATATACTTTTCTTATAACATCAAAAAACTCAAGACAAGCAGAACTTAAAAGATTGTCATAACGATTTGTCTCCATATAAACCGTAAGAACATGACTAAATAAATTATTTTTGATAAAATGACGACTATAAAATTCATCATTAAGACCAATACACGTTCTAAAATATCGTAATGAAGCTTAAAAAATTAATAAATACTAAATAAATTGAGTTTTAACAGTACCAAGACGTATATATTTTTGAGGAAACGTAAATAAAAAAGCTATCTTGCACGAAATATTAGACGACAAAATAAAAAACTTGCTACGAAACGAGTGCACTTTAACAAAAAAACATAAGAGTTCACATAAATGAACCAATAATGCAGATGATATTAAACTAAATTCTAAAAACAGATTTAAAACTATCGAGAATTTTTTATAAATACGTACCCTTTATTGATGAATTTATGTTCGAAATAGGTTCAAATAAGAATTTAGCAGATTTATCATAAAATAACTGCAAAAATTTATCGGTATCAGAGTCATTAGATTTTTGTGCAGACTCGTTCAGTTTCAAAAATGTATTAGAAGAAACAGAAGTAGGATCCATCAAAATTCTAATTGCTTCAGATATTTGAGCTTTAATGCCAAGATCAGTTTCATCATGAAGTAAGTTAATTAAAACATCTAAAAGTGACTTATCATCTTTATCAATCTGATTCAAAATAAAAGATCGTAAATATCCAGGATCATGCTCGATAATAGCCATTAATATTTCAGCGCCAGCTATACATATCAAAGGTTGGGAACGAAGTGCAAAAAGAACAACATCAAATAAGCCATTTTCTACAAACGTCATATACAAAGATATACGAGAAGGGTTTTGAAGTGTTTTTGCAACATTGCAAACCTGTTGAATAAAAACGACAGCATCCAACTTACGACTTAGCTCAATAGAATCATCTTTAAAAAGCCCAAAAAGTTCTTCAAGAAACTCATTATTATGTTGAATATGCTGTATAATATCTACTTGATTAAAAAATATAAGCGTATTAAGAATAGAAAATGTTAAATCATCAATAATCCTTGCAAGGACTACATCTTTTAAATATTGTAAACGAAATGTTTGATGAATTTTATTTCGTATTTCAGGATTTTTAATATCAACAACTTGTTTAAATTTTGACGTATCAGACAAGTATTCACGATAATTCGCTTTATGATTACTAAAATCGGGATCATCTATGAGTTAAAAATGAGAAAATTCGATTCATTTTATTTTAGAAAATGACTCACATTCAAGAATACCTACAACACCCAAAATAATATCATCTCTTAAAATGTATTCAATAACCGCAGCATCATCAATTAATACTAGTTTATCCTTAAACAAATAAACATTATAACTATATGGTATACAAACTTATATTTTTCATAATAGAGCATAATAGATGCAAGTCATTCAAAATCTCTAAATCTTCACAAACATCTAAAAGCAAAACGAGCTGCATTATATAGTTCTATAAATGTTAAAAAAAGCTCTATTACAAAATAACATATACTTCATTCAAAACAAATTTTGCTAAACTCTCTTTCCCCAAAACTGTTTGATTCGCTTTTAAAATTAACGCCTCAATTTCAGCAAGATTACGGAGTTCAGGAACAGGCAAATATATAGGACTCGATGTATTTTGTTCAACCACATCATCAGAAAAAAATTGATCTTACGAAATAAGGAAAAAAAAAAAAAATTAATATCCTTACCCACTTGATCATTTAACAATTCTGTACTCGATGGTTTTAAAACTTACAACGTACTTAGAAAAAGCTTAAAAAAATGAGAAAAATACCATATGCAAGGGAAAGTGCTCTCCTAACATCGCTTAAAAAATTCCTAATGTGTCAAAAGTCAAAATTTATTCAAAAAAGAAATAAAAAATATTTTTTTTTAAAAAAAAAAAAACATACCAAATTTCATCACATCCTTCTATTTCTTGAAAACTTAAAGCAATATCTGTCCCATCCAATTCTTTCCAAACGATCAATGTTTCTATTATCCTTTCAATATTTCAAAAATAACCCCTTTTAATCATTTTACTTTGTTGTATCTGATACAAGTCCTCCCGAACAATTTTACTTTTCAACAACACCTCTTCTTCATTTGTCTCCGATTTTACTACGAAATATCCATCTGTCTACATACAAAAATCAACCTTAACTCTTCTTAAGACCATTCCTTTATGACCTCATTATCAATCATTGCTGTACAATATCCAGTACCACAATCATGCCAGTTTTCATCCCGCATTTCATAGACCTTTACCCGATGAGGATTTTGGGGGACTTTAACGTCTTTTAATGCCTTTTCATCCCCTTTATTTGCCTCTAAGTCACTCATATTTAAAATCCTTAAAAACACTGTATTTTCAGTAAAAAAGACCGAAAAAAAACCCTGAAAAAAGCCAATATCTTTATACACTCCCACCCTTCATAAATATGCATAAAAAATCGTTATTTCTCCATGGATTATCCTCATTTTCGTATTATATGCACTTTTCACTGGCTCCCAAAAATTTTGGTTTTTTGGAGATCAGCGATACACCTAAAAGCAGAGAAATGTAATATAAAAAGGGTGAAAAAAAAAGTAAAGATAATACATGAAAAAAATAACAAAACATTAGAATAGAAATAGTTGGTTCCATTGGATTTTTTTTTTTTTAATTTATGCAAAATTAGAAAAAGATATCCAATCAAGATATATCAAAAATTAAAATATAAAAAGAAAGAGGTTAAAAGACTATGTATGAGAGGAGATATGTTTTTCATGTATGCGTTGTTTCTTCTCTAGTAATCTAGACTATATTTTATAAGAAAAAAATATAGTAAAAAATAAAATTACCTGAAGTTTTTTGGCAACATTAAAAATACCAGAGGTTCCAGCACCACAAATAATACAATTTGGATTTTTCCTATATCTTTGAATTGCACATGTTTCACAAAAATAATGACCACATTTTGTAACTATAGGTTGAACATATTCTTTTCTACATATAAAACATGCAAATGGAATGTCATCTTCTTCGGTCGAAGAATCATCGGTATGAGTATCATATTTGTTTCCATGAAGAATAGCGGCTCTTTTTTTATGTTGAAATTGTTCCCATTCATGGTCGAGTTGCCATCCGGCCTTATAATCTTCGCGATCATGAAGAAATTTACAAGTATCACCAAAACCACAAAATCCAGTTTGTTTGTAATCTTTACAAACATCTGGAGCATAATCAATAAATGTTGTCGGCAAGACATGTTTTGCTTGAACAGGTCCAGGACGACTAAGCGTTTGATTTGATTTTATTGTATGATCAGAAGCAGTAATAACAGAATCTGTTGTATTACTAGATCCACTTTCAAAAGATTCAATTAAAGGTGATTTTGTGGAAATATTATTATTTGTTGTTGTATGTTTTTGTCGAAAGTTCACTTTTTTAGACTTCACAACAGTTTCATCCTCAGATGAAGAATCTTCCTCACGTTTTCTTACAAACTTTGTACGACCCTTCCTAATAAATTTTACAGGCTCCATAGATGCTATTTAATTTGAAAAAATTCAGATTTAACCTTATTTTAAGAAATAAATTTTAACTTAATTCTTTTTTAAACATTTGAAAAAAAATGAAAAAAATTATTAATCCCTACAACCCACTAAAACAATCTAATACAAGAAATCAGTCTATTTAATCAGTGAAAGAATCCTTTCATTATATATAAAAACAAAATTAAAAATATCAAAGTAATCGTACGAAATCGTAATCTTAAATAACTTAATTCTTAAACAATAGCCTTTTGATAAATAAGAATATCCGACTTGCCATAAAAAGTCTTGTAGATCAGAAAAATGATGTCTTTTTTTTTAAAAAAAAATTTCTTTAAATAAATTATTCTATAATTTCATAATATATTTAAAGATAGCAATTTACCTACCTTTGAAACAAGAGTATTTAATTTTTCTATTCTAAGTAAAGATACTGCAGCATATTAATTTCTTTAAGCCATTCATCAGTAAAAAAAAATCAAACTGAAAAAAAAGTTGAAAATTATTTCAAATATTTTCTATAAATGTAAGAAAAAAAAATCAGTATTTCCATTTATACATATATATAATTATCCGGAACTTTTAATACTTGGAGTATCTAAAAGACTATCCTATAATAAAATTATTATCAATAGTATTAGTAAAAAAAAAACAAAATATACATAAAAATTCCACTCAAGACAATCCATACAGTCAGGATATGCATTACATTTTGGAACATCTTTATAGTCTTTAATAATATCAATTACTTGTTTAATTCGATGTGTACCAATTGCCATTTTCCAGCCTTTATCAGCAATGATATCATAAATACAAGAAAGACCACTATGACAATGAGTTTCCATCGCATATCCACCATACCAACATGTTGATTTAGGCCCCTATTAAATCAATGATCAAATATGTTTTATTTAAAAAACAGGTTTATTTACATTACATGTACCCATAAAGATAGGATCTGCTGTATGTCCAAAATGCCATACATAAGCTTCATTATCAGGAAGTCCTGGAGGAAAAGGCAAATGTAAACGTTTTGCAGCTAATTTTTCCCCTGGTGCTTCAAAAGTAACTGTTGGAAGACCAAAGGTTAAACCAACTAATGATGAAAGCGCACCACCCAAAGAATGTCCTACCATCCATACATTTGCTTTAGGATAGATTTTGGTAACATTGTAAAAGATATTCTTTTATATAAATAAATTTATTTTTTTTTTGCAAAAAAAAGACTTACCAAAGCAATCATATAATAATGAGACTCATCGAGAAGTTCTTTTTCAAGGCATCGTTCATCACATGAATAAAAACCATTAAAACAATCACAAACTGGAGTCCATATCCAAGATATTCGTCCACAACAACATGAAAAAAGTAAATTATCCTAAATTTTTTAGTCATTAAAAATTCTATTTTAGATTTACATTAATCTTGTCCTTCATTCCAGTGTTAGGATCATAAACACCAAAGACTTCAGGGCTCGTTCCCTTTAATGCAATAATTACTGTTTTATTTTGATCATCTATAAAAACATGTCCATGAAGTGCACTTTTGTTCCAAGAATCATCATCAATAACATCTAATCCGCCACCTACATCTATCCAATCCCCTGTATTTGGAATTTCAATATAGGCATTACTCGCAATTTCAGCCATATTAATTACTGTTTGTTTATCTTCAATATCAGGAATATCCACATTTACAAAATCCCAATCAAAAAAAACGGATGATTTATTATTATAATGTGATGAAATAAACCATTCCCTGATTAAATCCCTAGAATTATTTCTTAAACGTTTAATTTTCATAGATTTTTTTAAGATTTTAAAAGGACGTTTATATAAAAGTAAATCATATTCTGATCCTTCTTTAATATTGAAAAACCGATATTTATATGAATAAAGGCATGTACCAAATGTAAAAACATGCTTTAAAGTAAAATACGACGGTTTATTTAATAAATTAACTGATGATATATTTTTCAGAGTAGCAATAAAAACCATTTTCCAGTATATAAAAATCAAAAAAAAGAAAATAATAAAAAAAGAAAATATATAAATAAAGAATATGTATGATTTATTCCTCTTGTACATCCTTATTTGTATTTTTTCAACTTTTGGGTAATATTTTTTTGATAATAAAATTTGAACGTTAGATAAAGATTATCTCTACGTTATCAATTTTATCTATAATCAATTGAAAAAATGAATAATTTATATGTAGAATATTAAATTAAGTGATTATTCTTTATATCCTTTAGAAAAATATTATTAATATATTTTAGTCTTAAAATTAATATTCTTATAAAAATTTTTTTATATACTTGAGCAAGTAAGATTTAATAAAAAAATGTTTATAATGATCAAGATCTGATAATAAAATTATGAAAAATAACATGCAAGAATTGAAAAAAACAATATATTAATAAAAGAGTATAAAATTAATAAATTGAAAAATTTTTTTAAAATTAAAAAATATGTCTAGATATTGAAATATTTTAACAGATAAAAAAGAATTGTAATTAATATATGAATGAATAAACCTCTTATAAAAACAAATTTGAGGAAAATTTTAAATATTCGAGTTTAATAAAATCTATTGAATACTTTTTAGAGTTAAAATTTTAAAGTAATTAATTTTAAAAATACTAATTCCATATTTTTAATATAAATATTTAAAAACAAATAGAATAGATAAAATAAATACAAATTTATAAATGATTAAATCGCTTTTAGATTTCACGAAAAAAAAGTGTATAGTTATTCAAATAAATCAATGTTAACCTATACAATTTTTTTTCTTAGAGAAAATCAAACAAAATAGTAATTGTCTTAAATTATTTAAAAAATATTTAAGTACTCAAAAAAATAATATAAAAAAAGAATTTTATTAGAAAAATATTTATTGGCAAAACTAATAATAAGGAATATATTAAAAATCATTATTAATATTAAAAACTTAATAACAAGTTACAATTATTCTAATCAATTTTAAAAATAGATCTAATTTTATAATTAACAGTATATTTAAATATATTAAAATCCAGTAGAATAAAACAAAAAAGTAAAATAATGTAATTCAGAAAAATAATATATAACAATATATATAATATTGTAATACATAGATAATTGCATACTAAAATATTTATTTTAAAAGTAATTCAAAATAAAATTTCTTAAAAATTTATGATTATTCATATTAAAACCTAAAAAATATTAAATATCATTAAAAAGAATAAATCAAAAAAAATGTTATTATATTAAAACTTTAAACATTTATTTTAAAATTCAATAGGTATAATCTTTAAAAATAACATTTTTTTTATATTATTCCACAATAAAATAAAATTTACAAATCAAAATTAAATGCATCATATAAATAAAACTTATTAATATCTAAATCTTTAAAATAATTGAATTTTAAATAAAATATCATGTTTTATTAAAAACTAATCTAACTTGTTAAACAAATATTTTTTATATAATTTCTCATAATTTGCAAAAATTTAAACAAATAATAACATTCCTATTAATATTCTTAATATATTTGTTAATTTTTTATATTTTAAAGACTTATTTTCATAAGACGTAATATTTTTACAATTAAAATCCTTATAAATGACAAAGAAAACGTATATAAAAAGACTAATTCAAAACTTCAATGCAACCCAGAATATTAATATAAAAATGCAAAGATAAAAACATTTTTATTAAATTTTTCTTAAAAATAAAAAGATAGATAAACACTTTACATAAATATTAAAGTCAAGATAATAAATATTTCGAAAGTTATTATCAATAGTGAAATTATTATTATATTAATTTTTCACTATAAACCTAAGATTCTTAGATATTAGTAAAACAACAAATTTTTCGCTCTTTAAAGATAAAATAAGATAAATAAAATAAAATATAAAGATATTTAGCAAAGAAATAGTATATAACTTTCCTTATATATCCTTTTAATCTCGATATTTTTTCAAAAAAATTCATTCCTAAGTTTATCTATTATTTGTTTTAAAAAACGTAGATAATGAATATATATTTTTTTAAAAAGTCAATTGCTAAAACCATTTAAAGATCAATAAAACATTTTTCGAAATATCCGAAACAAACTTTTCAGAGTTATAATCAGAAAATCAATATCACAATTTTGTGTTCATTAAAAGCACTTCTATAATTTATTAAATTTCCTTAAACATTAATAATTTTATAATGCATATCTGCCATTAATATAGTATCCTCCTAATTTTTTTATGAACTCCCTAAAAAATTAATAAATAAGAAGTCAAAAAATGTTCTATATCGATTGTTGTAAAAGTAGATTTCATTTTTCTAATATAATAGAAAAGAAAAAAGCTATATAATATCTTGACCAAATAACCGAATTTAAAATCTTAGAGAGACCAATAATATTTTCATTTTTGAAACTGTTAAAATAATTCTATAGATTTGAAACAATTCTCAATGAAATTTATTATTTTTATCATTCCAAAAGTAGAATAAAAAAACTCAAAACATATATTCATGATATACTATGGAAAACTAAAAATTCAGGAGTTTTGTTAGTATAATTAAATAGTCCTATATAAAATACTTTTAAAAAACCAAACAATACTGTGTAAAATCTTATTCTGATATCTCAAAAATCTATAAGTCATTAACTTGATTATTCTTAATGACACAATAATCATTAGTAAGAAAGAATCGGGAGATCATAACCATTAAAACTATAGAGTACTTGTAGAACATTAAATATTGATCATCAGATTTATCCACAATTAACTTTTGTAAAAAACTCTAAAAAATATCAAAATTCACTTTTAGAAATTGATAATTCTTTCTTTTTAAAAAATTCCATTGAATATTAAATAAGAAAAATATTAAGAAAATGCATAAAGCATTATCCAGATAATTATAGAAAAACTCCAATTGCTTAAGAAATGTCTAAATATCCAAAAAAATTCTCGTAAATTTATTGAAAACTTTTTATCCGATATTTCGTTGACAAACTTGTACAACTTTTAAAGAAACTTGGATTTAAGAATTAAATTAACCAGTATATCATTTATAAAAAAATCTATAAAAAAAAAGATTAAATATTTAAAATAAAACAAAAAATTCATATATTTTTTTTTAAAAAGACTTTAACTTTAGAACCTATAAGTCTAACATTAAAACATTTATAAAAAAGATTTTTTTTAAAACAAAATACCCAGAAATACCTTTAACAAAATAACTCAAAATTTATATAAGCTCTTTAAGAAATCCAAACAAACAATAAAATGGCTAATCAGTACATTGGCTTAAAAGTAAAAATGCCGCGTTTATCGATTCATTTTGAAACTCTATTGATAAAAATTAAATGAAAAAACCATAATAAATAACATACCAGAATTTATGGAAAAAAGAAGAACTCGTAGATTATCACGCAAATCCTTTGTCCCAGTTTTTCCCAATTCTATAAGAGTATTCAATATCACTTCATCTTGTAAAAGATTAAACACAATTTTTTTAAATTCTGATCCATAAAACCGAGAAATCAACGCAAGAGCAAAAATAGCCTCTGTACGTATAACAGGATACTGAGTTTGAACAATCATATCTTTAAAAATATTTTCAAAATCAGGATATAGAAGCATTTTCTTTTCGATATCGAATAATTTAAACAAGTTAATAGTACGTATCATAGTTGAAACAATCCTAGATGATTCCATTATTATAAAATGATCATCTGTTCTTCTTCGAAGCTCCAATAATTGCATAAAAATACCAGAATCAACAAAAAAAGAAGCATTTTTTCCTAATAATATTAATAACATAAATAAAAACAATATTCATTACCATTATCAATAATTAACTGTCTAAGAATAGATACAGCTATATATAGTATTGGCTTAACAGAATCAAAAGTAAACAGTTTTGTACATAATTTTATTCCTCCTGCTTCTCCAATTATTGACTTGTTATTTTCTATTTTTATTAGAAATATATTCATATAAGTCACTTCATACTAGGTATAGATAGGTTTTTCAAAAATCCTGAACTCGAATAAATTACTTTTGGATCATCAGAGAAATTAATAATATTGATCAATTTTTCGTATAGCTTTAATTCATGAACAAAATAGATACAGGTTTTATCTAAATAAATATTAACATTCAAGTAATGAAAGAACAAATAAAATACCAGTTCGAGCCAAATTTCCAAGCATAACACAACTGCATAATATTAAAATATAAAAAGAATCTATTTCAAGATGTTTTAAAAGCATATCCATTATAAGTTCGTTATTTAATATATATTCAGAAAAATCACTGTTTGCAGCTATTTCTCCAAACAAATTAATTAACATAGAAATAAGACCCTTATTCTCAGAATTAAAATGTTCTTGACAAGGCACCATACGATAAAAATATTGAAGTAAATCATATAGTTTTTCTGATTGAACTAAGAGTAATTGTATATCATTTTGAGGAAGAAATGAAAGAATAATAGAGAATATATCAGCAACATTATTTGGACATAATTGAACAACTGACAAAAATCCTATAAAACAGTTTGGATCATAGTGCTTCTCTTCTTGAAAATATTAAGTAACAATTCTTGAAAATGCTTCTTAAAATATTACCTTTAGACATCAACCATCCTATAATTCTTGCCAATATATCAAAATTCGTATGGAAATTCGTAGTTTTAAGAATCCTTGAAACAGCATTTTTTCTATTAAGTATTTCAGTTGCTTCATCTTAAAAAATGTAAATAAAAAATCATTTTCATATTATCAATCTCAAACCAGAATCCATGCATAAATTTAACAAGGATGTAAGAGATACTGTGTATATACTAAGATCCTCGTGCTCCAGAAAATCCATAAGAATATCCTCGCCGCACAATTCCAAAACACGTTTTCGGTTCTTAACTATTATATTTATGTAAAAAATTAATCAATATCATTCGTCAACTTATTTACCATGATCAATACAACAGTTACCAATCACACGCAAAGATTGAAAGACACATCTTTTATCAATATTTAAAGCATCTTTCATTATCGAAAACATAAAATTGGTGTATGTTTTTCCAATATATTCTCTATTTTCCACTAACATCTAAATTTCACGTATAAAAATCCAACAAAAACATACGTTCTCTCGAAAAATCCCCAATAGAACAAATATTCTTTACAAGATCTTCAATAATATCGCATTTTTCTGTACTTTCAAGGCACTTTTTATACAGTTTTTCCAGTTCTTCAAGACTAATCAATTCATCTATAATACCTAATATTTATCAATTTTTTTCAGAAAAAAAAGGAATATTAGTAAAAAATACACGGAGAACTCATATCTACCAACTCATTTTTATATTTACAGCCTATTTTGTGTCTTTTTTCAACCTTTTTTTCTCATAAAAACTTTTTAGGTTCGCATCTTATATCAAGATTGCCATGGCAACCTCCAACGACCAAAAAAAATAACGAGGTTTTAAAGCCAAAAAAAGCTTAAAAAGCAGAAAGAATTTCCCTTTTTCTAGGAAAAAACACTCTGAAATGACCTCAAGACGTCAGGATTATATTTTTCGTGTAAGGTTGTGCTCTATTTCTTGTTTGAACGGAAAAAATTGACTTAGTAGATATCAAAATAAGCTTCCATTACCTCCGTTCTTTCCAAAAATGCTTAACATACCTATTCCCCTGAATAACTACACAAAAACATCATATCTATCAAGCCTTATCCAAGAACAACCTATTGATATAGAGTTGGATTCAGAATTAGGAATACCTTTGGATTTAAGTATGATTTCGAATGTTTTTGAAGGAATATATGATAGTACGAGTCATATATTTAGATATAATATGTTTATTATTATCAGATATGCATGGAAATCCAAAAAATGTGGAATTAGATCCCAAAGATCTTGTATTATTAAAAGAAATTTCTTCTATACCTCAACGAAATTCTACAGGTGTATCCTTTCTACGACGGACAGAATATATTTCATCAGAAAGTGTAAAAACAGCGATCAAGCCGAAGACTTTCGATTCACGGTTTATAAAATCAATAGATTCAACGAACGAAAAACTTGAAGATCCAAAAAAACAAGTTATAGCAATTGAAACAACGTTTAAAGAGGCATCTAAGGATTGGTTATCTTTTAAACACCCACATAAAAAGAATTTGACTGTAGTTGATTCATTTCCTATATTTCCTGATATAAATATTTCGGATCAACAATTTTTATTAATGAAATTCACAACAGATCCTGAACAAAATAATTTTTCATCAGAAGTAAATCATAAAATGAGATAAAAGAAGACTAAAAGAATTAGATGTCAAACGATTGCCGCTCAGATTTGGCATTATTCATGCCAGTCTCTGGAAGGGGAGAAGAATGGTTGGCATATTATTTGCCTGAACAGAAATCGTATAATGAATTAAAAAAAACGCTCAAAGATCAGAATTCTGAAAAGAACGAGGTATTTCTTTGTAGAAATATGTTTATTTTGCCTAAATTAATAGACGCCTTTTATATATAATCATGTTCATGATTATGATACAACCATGCATATTAATTCAACACCTCTAGATGAAATTGCACTTGTCTTTCGTAATGATCCAAAAACTAAACTGAAATCTGCATTCTATTCACCTATTTATGCGAAATCCACTTTAAAAAGGAGACGATTAAAAATTCCAAATGGAATGGTTAAAAACTTGAATGTTTCAAATATAGAATTAAAACTTCGACCTTTAAATGAAGAGGAAAGTAGAGAAAAGAAAAAGCACTGTTCTATGCTTGATATACACAATTGTTTTAATGCTAATGAATTAAAAGAAGAAAAAGATATAAACATAACATAATGTGCTGAATTAAAAACACAAACTAAACCATTTATCTCGATTATTATATACGTATATTAGATAAAAAACAAATATTTAATAAAATCCAGCAGGAAATTCTTTTCTTTTTGAAATAATAGCCATAAATTTGTATACTTTTCCCATCGCACCTCCGCCTCTTTCAATTAATCTTTTATATGACGACTCTATTCGTTTTTTACTAGAAATATTTTTAGAAGCATCTATTAATGCTTTTGCTCTAACTTCAATTCCCATGGTTTTCAGCCAAGTACCCTGTTCAATAGGCCCATAAACCTCAAGCTCATCATGTTTAAGTACAACCTCTTTAAGAGCTTGAAAATCTACATCAGAAGAAAGATCCACTTCTCCAGGTTTCTCAAAAGGAGATACAATACGATGTGAACGAATTCCTCGTAATGTATGAATTGGAATAGTGTCTGAAGGTCCATAATCAATAATCAAAGCAGATCCATATGCAGTATTTGAATTATTTAAAAGAATTTTTGAAATTTCTTCCACAAGAACAAGTGATTCCGGTGATATTTCAATACATGACCCTATAGGAAGTAAAGAATATCGCTGAGAAATATTTGGAAGTGTTAAACTATGATAAGTTGGACGTTTCGATAAAATTAAACGAAATTGCAAAGGCGCTGACGATTTTTCTATAGAATCTTTCATATAAAAAGCGTCTTGTGATACGAAATCAACCAAAAATTCCCTCCAACCATGCACCGTTTTCTTTTTAAAGTCAAAGTCAATATTCCATATATTTAAACAAATAACAATCACCTCAAATTTATGAATAGGCATTGAATCAAAAAACTCATGTACAGCAATAAACGGAGTTGAAAGCTCTTTAAGAAAAAAATCAAATTCATAAAAAAACTACCGAATTACTAACCTCTAGGAAGTTGATCAAACCGTTCATACCAATAAACAGGCATCCCATATTTGCTTAAACATTTCCATACATCTATATCAATATTTTCCATAGCATTAGAACCACAAAGTAGTTGACGCTGAAATTCACGCAAAACTGGACTTATTTCAATCAATCGTAAAGATTCAATCGTTCGAAAATAATCTTCAAACATCATCGCAGTCTTTATCCAACAATTAATAACATTTTAGAACAATATGAAGAACTACTCTCAAATAATCATCTGTTAATGTCCCTCGTCCTGGACCTAATTCCACCCATGTTATCTTGGACGGTTTCTTTTTAAGAATCCACTCATAAATCATCCAAATACCTATCAATTCACCGAAAATCTGAGAAATCTCTGGAGACGTAATAAAGTCACCATCTACTCCAAAAGGATACCGATTCCTATAGTATCCTTCTGTAGGATTTGTTAAACAATATTTCATAAAAGATGCAACACTTATAGGTCCAACTGTCTATTTAAAACATAATTAACACAATTATCACCACAGAAACTCCTACTCGGATCATTTTCTCCAAGATCTCTCCTGTTCGAAACCGAGACATTAAACAATCTTTTTCTGATGAAAAAAACTTCTTATTTTTTCGTTGAAAACCAAAAAAAAGCGAGGAAAAAAGGCCTCTACAATAAAAGGACCTCAGAAAACTCATTTTCTACTTCTTATAGTGCAATTGACTTTTTTTTCCTATCATTTTATCGATTTTGTTGATTTTGTAAGGTTGAAGGTTGAAAGCACTCCTCGATAAATGAACCATCTTTTATTTTTCAAAAAAGACCAGTTTTCTCCCTGAAAATAGATGCTTCCAGCAAAATCCAAGTGGGATAAAGAGGATGATGATCCTTTAGATACACAGTGGTATCTCTCAGAAAAAGAACGAAGAAAAAAGACCAAACAGGAGAGACACAGTGAAAAAACAAGTTATAAAGAAAATCTAGAAAAAAAAGAGGGTAGAAATGAGACAAAAAGAGTTAATATAGAAGAAGAAGAATCAGACGACCCGACAAAATATGAAAAAAATGAATATTTGAGCGATCCAAGAGTGATAAACCAAGTAGAAAAGTCAGAAAAAAGTTTTAAAAAAATGAAATATGAATCATCATTAAAAATGAGTCCAAATATAGAAAAAAATACTGGAATAGGTCATTGTAGAAGTGTAGAAAATTATACATGTTTAAACCATATTGAAGAAGGGTCCTATGGAATCGTATATAGAGCTAAAAATAATCAGACAGGAGAAATTGTAGCACTAAAAAAACTGAAACTTGATCAAGAAAAGAATGGATTTCCTATAACAAGTTTAAGGGAAATAAGAACATTATTTGCACTTGATCATCCTAATATTGTTAATATACGTGAGATTGTGGTTGGTGACTCATTGACTCAGTAAGAAATTTTTTGTGTAAAGAGAATTGTTTAAAATAATGAAGAATATATATTGTAATGGATTTTGTGGACCATGATTTAAAATCTTTAATGGAAGATATGACCCAAAATTTTTTGCAATCAGAAGTAAAAACATTAATGCAACAACTTTTATCGGCAACAGCACATATGCATAGCAAATGGATCTTGCATAGAGACCTTAAGACATCAAATCTTTTGATGACAAATCGAGGAATGATAAAAATTGCGGATTTTGGTCTTTCAAGATATCATGGTGATCCAGCACCACCTATGACACAATTGATTGTTACTTTATGGTACAGGTCTGCTTTTTCAAAACAATTATTGTCTTCTTTTTTAAAAGATAGCATTTAGATCTCCAGAAATTCTTTTAGGAACACATAAGTATGGAACAGCAGTTGATATGTGGTCAATAGGATGTATTTTTGCGGAATTATTGACAAGAGAGCCTTTAATACGTGGAAAAGGTGAAATCGATCAACTTTCAAAAGTAATTCCATCTTATTTTGACCCTTCTAATACATTAAGATATTCGATCTTATCGGAGTACCAACAGAAGAAACTTGGCCAGGCTTTATGAATCTTCCTAATTCAAAAAACATGCATTTTCCAAAGAAAAAATCCAGGTATGTTCAATATTATGTCTCAATTATTCAAATAATATAACTTTTTCAGTACTGGTTCTCGTTTACGAACAAAATTCCCATTTTTAACAAATGCCGGTGTTGATCTTCTTGCAAATCTACTTACTTTAGATCCAAATAAACGGATTTCTGCACATGATGCTTTACAACATCGTTATTTTACCGAAGACCCTAAACCTAAAGATCCTGCTCTTTTTCCAACTTTTCCAAGCAAAGCAAGTGAAGAACGATGTAGACGCTATCAAAGCCCCGATGCACCTCATGCACAACAATATGATTCTATTTCATCTTTCGATTCACCTAAACTTTTTGATACCCAGTCGACCACTCGTCCTAATTATTTTCAACTTCGTATCTACTAAGAAGAAAAAATAACATAAGATATAACTAAAATAAAATGTTTTTATACATAAATTACACACCAAAAAGCTATATATTCTTCATAAATAGCCCTAGCCCTTAGAATATGAAGGGTTAACCCTAAACAATTCAACTTAAATTTTTTTATCAAAGTTTAATAAAAAAAATTAAAATACTTAAAAAATTAAATTAGAAACCAAATAAAAACAGAACAAAAATGTCGATCAAGCACAATAACATGCTTCCGAACCAGCATTTCCGAAAACACTGGCAAAAGCGGGTTCGGACATGGTTCAATCAGCCAGGACGTAAACTTCGCCGAAGAAAAGCACGACAAGAAAAAGCAGCAAGATTAGCACCCAGGCCAGTTGGAATGCTACGACCAACAGTCTTTGCACCGACGGTTAAATATAATTATAAGTTGCGTCTAGGCCGAGGGTTTACATTTGAAGAATTAAAGGTAAACATAATTTTCTTTTTTTATTGATTTGAAAGATAACTTGTTTGAATTAGGCAGCAGGTATTTCAAAAAGATATGCAGCGACAATTGGTATTTCAGTGGACCATCGCCGTCGTAATCGGTGTCTTGAATCTCTTGAAAGAAATGTTAAACGACTAATGTTATATAAAACACATTTAATTGTTTTCCCACGTAAGACTAAAAAAACAAAGAAAAGCGATACGATGGTAATAGAAACCGCTATCTGTCTATTTTTAACAATTTAGGATGTTTGTAACAAAAAATATTCACAAGTACCAATAGATACAATTATTCCTTCATTTGATACTAAGACTCAAGTTGAATCACGTATTATTACTGAGGAAGAGAGGTCATTTGATGCCTTTGCTACTCTTCGAAAAGCACGTAAAGAAGCCAAGTTGGTGGGTAAACGTGATGAGTAAAAAGTTAAAAGAATTGAAAAATAAATATTTATACTCTTTTTAATGTAATAAAATAAATCCAAGGCATTATTCACCAGATTTATTATGTATTTAAAGACCAATGAATTTTTATAATGAAATCAATATTATCTTTATAATGTTATCCATATAAAAATAACCAATAAATAACAATATTATGAATCGACTTGAAATAGGGTTGATAATAGAAGAATACTTGCAATATAAGCTCCTTTGTATTTTATCATTTTTTGAAACATATCGTTTATTTTTTTCAACACTTTGCTTTCATCAAACAGTTCCCCTGATTTATTAGTTCAATAACGGTATAAAAGTGCAACATACATGTTTCTGGATATCTTGGATTAGCTGAAATATCGCTACTAGCATCAGCAGTAATATTATCCATCTTTATCTTCCAATGCAAAGTCAATTCAAAGCCATTTTCATGAACAAAATGCAAATATTGAACACCGAAAAATTCTTCTGGAAGCCTTTTATTCATTTTAAATGTATAATCATCGTATGATAAAAGTTGCGGGTATTTAGTAGACAAACGAGAAAATAAATCACAACGTATAGTTGATAATTTCGAATAAGACGAGATTCCATAAAAAACGTTATTGATATTTTTTTCTTCCATCATTCTATACACTGTTAACTAATGTTCATAAAATAATTAAAAAATTAAACAATAAAAGAAAATCATGTAATTCTGGATATGTCCAGGGTGATACTTTAACATCCAAAAATGTAACTGTTAAAGTACCCTCATCTACAAGCATCTTAATATCAAAAAATACGTGTCCATTGTAACAATCTCCTTTTAAACAATGTTCTCGAATCAAATGACCATGCTCTTCCGATGAAACAATTCTATTAGATGTATCATGAAAATTAAGCTGATTAAAAATTCGTAATTGAGGAATAGGATTTTCAACAGAAATAGGTAATACGGATATTATTGTATCATTAGCCATAATTTTAGGCTCAGGTTGATTCTCTAAAAAGTAATTATTCGAATTAAGAAGTGATTCTCTAAATCAAAAATTACTTCCATCTTCAAACAAAAAAATAATATACACAAGATCATTCATATTCTTATGAGACCGCCTTTTTTTCTCACTTTTATCCCTCTCAAGGGCATAAATCTCTTTTCTATATTTCTCAATTTCATCTTTTGTTTTTTGTAACTGCTTCATAAGAAATATCTTTTCTTTTTCAATATCATCTTCTTCATCCATATGTATCTGTTTATGAGAAGAAATCAAGTGAAGTATCTTTGAATCTGTATCTCTTGATTGTTCTTCATGTTCAACTTTATCAGAAATCTGTGAAAAACTTCTACGCAAGAAATGATGATTTTGACCAGATTTTTCATGAAATCGTGATAAATAACCCGGATTTTCTTTCGTTTGAAAATTAGAATACATAATTCTTTAAATATATTATAAAAATAACAGCTGAACGCTTATTAAATAAAAATTGTCTTATCGACAAATGGAATATATATAATTTAATCAAATTCGCCCAGTTTTTCGCCGTTTTTTCTCAAAAAAAAAGATATCCCTATAAAAAACACATATACTTTTTCATAAAAGGTGCTTAAATATATTTTTTCCCGGTAAAAAATCCATTTTCTGTCCTTTTAAACATATGTATTTTTTGATGACGTTGGAAATTCTATCGTCGAGCGCCTTCAGCGAGATATATTATAAATATTCAAGATAAATAATTAACTAAAAAACAGAATTCCCCTCTAAAAATAATAGAAAATTGTGCTTTAAAAATATCATATTTATACTGTTCCTTATTTATTTTAAAAAAAGCTTATTTAAAACTTTTACAAAAAATAGTCCTCAAGGATAAAGAACTTTTTTAAAAAATTCAGATAAATACAGAGATTATTTATTATCATAAAATAAAATCAGAGAGGAAACCTTCTAGTTATTTTAAAACGGACGTTTTTATTAAAAAAAAGAATTGTTGTAAAAAAATGGAAAAATTTACTAAATGGAGGGGTATATATGAGATTTATGACGAATTTATTACTTAGATCCTTTTTTATAGACGAAGGAACAGGATTGGCACCTTTTTTTCAGAATTCATTTGAAATAGAGTCTCCAAAATGTTTTTTTTTAATTTTTGGATCATTTCTATACATAATACGACATTTATTTATATTTTTTCTTTTTATTAATTATTTTATATTTGTTCATATGTTACTTTCGCCTATTTTTCAGCCAATATTTCCTAGGTTGGTTCATTTTGTTAAAAAAATATTTATAGGTAGTGTTTTTTTTTTATGTGGAATCTCTCTATCATCAGTTCAAATTAATTATACAAAGAAGTTTATTCCTAATTGAAGAATATACAGATTACTAACATTTCAATAGAAAAAAGATATTTCCATGTGCACAAAATATCATAATTTCATGTTATTGTTCTCCTTTAGATATTTTGTGCCTGTCTTTTAAGTAAAAATACATCATTTATATTAATTGTCTTATTTCTTTTAGCTACAATCCTATATTTACAATTTCTTTCTCTAATACATCATTTGTTCAGCATGTTTCTGGGATAAAAGCACTATTTTATACATTTTCAATGCCAGAAAGATCTCCATATAAAAATTATATGACACTGGACAGTTTATCAAAATTATATCCAAATAGAATTATTTGTGTTTTTCCAGAGGTGGAAATTCTTATCTTCTTTCATTTTTATTTTAATATTATAAAGGGAACTACTTCTAATGGTAGTGGATTGCTTTTATTTACGCAAAGCCTTGAATCAGTTGCACCTAAAACTAAGATTTTCCCTTTATCTATTAAGTAGGATTATAATATTACATTTTTATAGATAATAACTTGAAAAGATATGGAAATTATCTCACAACACCCCTTCCAAGGTCTTTTTTTAAATTTTTATTCCGATTTACATTTAAATTAAGACACAACTTTCAAATAAAAATCTCAGAAACACCTATTATTGTAGAACATCCTGAAAAACTTAGAGAAATAGCCTCTGCTGCTCTTTCAAGATTATCTAAGGTACCTAGACTTGGATTGGGTGTTAATGAAAAGATATCCTTTTTAAAAGCATGGAAAACCTTTTCAAAATGCTGATTTTTTCATAAATCTTATTTTAATTTAAAGAATTTATACAATTTATTATAAGATAAAATTTTTTACATCAGTCATATATATGATTTTATTGATATTTATACAGATTTTTAGATATCAAAGGTATGTTTTAATACTTTATTCAATTAAACACTATCAAAATACTCTTTATCAAGATAATATAATCTTTTTCGACAGATGAAGATCAATAAATAGATCAATAAACAATATTAATATTTACAAGCACTTTTAACAATTCCTAGATGAAGGAGAATAGCCTAGTTATTTTTATATAATTCAGATTTCGTTTATTTTATTTAACATATATATATATATATATCAATTTTATTATTCATATGGAAAAAATACAAAAACAGATTGAAAATTGCAAAATAAGGGATCAAAAAGTATTTTCAGATAAAAAATCATCTTTTCAATCAATAGATCTTAAAAAAGATTTACAAGAATCCTTTAAAACAGACATTTATTCCACCAAAAATGACCTTATTACTTCTCAACAGGATTTTTTAAATAACATAAAATGTACAAATTGTGAAAAAACAAATAACAGTTTTTCAGAAAAATCTATTGAACAGGATCCAGTTCTTTTTTCATTAAAAACTGATAATCCCGCACTTTTTTCTTTACAATTACCAGATGAAGCATTTCATATTCAAAATTTTTCAGGTATCCCAAAACTTAAGGAGCCATTTATTCTTTTTCATGAAACATGTTTACAGGAAAAACTGAGGGGAGATATTTATTTACATCCTCCTTCATATCTCATAAATCATCATAAATATTATGTTTTTCGATCTGAAATTTTAATTGCAAGGCTCTTGACATCTGAAGGAGCCTTGAAAAAGACACTTCACTTTGATTTAGATGTAAAAGACTATCTGTTAAATAAAGATGAGACCTGGAGCATTGGTGGTACTATTGGGATTTGTGTTCCTAACCTTAAAAATGTTGTGGATGAAATATTTGAACTTCTTAATATTTCCAAGGAAAAAGCAGATGAACAGATTATATTAGAAACGAAAGGTGGTAGATGGCCAACAATGTGGGGTAATGCCTGTCCTCGAAAAATTAAAACTACTCGAAGAGACTTGTTAACATGGACAGTGGATATTCAATCAATGCCACTCAAGAAAAATCTTCTAAGAGTGCTTATGGAGTATGCAAAAGATCCGTTGGATAAGCGGCTTCTCGCTTTTTTATGTTCAAAAGAAGGTAGGATTTATTTAATTGATAAAAATATTTTATAATTATTTTTTATAGGTCAAAAATCATTTTTAAATCTTTGTTCTCAGAAATGTATCACACTTTCACACCTATTATCTGCATTTCCTTCTTCCAAGCCTTCTTTTGAACATTTACTTTCAGTATTAACACCATTATCTCCTCGAAAGTATTCTCTTTCTAATGATCCATCGCTATCACCAGGAATTCTACAAATAGCTCTGACAATTTTACAAATACCTCATTGGAAAACTGGCACACGACCCGGTGTTGCTTCTGCATATTTGGAACAGATATTTCATGAATATATTAATAGAAAAAAAACAAATGTGAAAGAAACATTACATAAATTAACTATCTCTATATTTAGGGATCACTTAAATCCTTTTGTGCATAATGCATATGCAGACGGTTCTAGGATTTTTATAGGCGTAGGTGTAGGTATTGCCCCCTTTCGCGGATTTGTTCAAAATCGTCTTCAAAACTTATCTTGTCTTGAAAATCTTTGGATAATTCAAGGCTGCCGTGATTCAAAATTGGATGAAATATATTCTGGGGAATGGGGTTTATTTAATACATCTAAAAATAGAATTATTGTAGAAAGTCGTGCGGGGAAAAAAGAACATGTTCAAGATGAAATCAGACGAAAAGGAAAATTAATATGGGATGTTGTTAATAGAAAGGATGGTCGTATATATGTATGTGGTCCAGGCATTATATTTACTAAGTCAATTGATGAATGTCTTATCAAAATTGCCATGGAACAAGGAGGATATACCCGTGAAGACGCAATTAAAAAATGGAAAGAATTTGAAGATCCATCAGTCTTCAAATATATTAAAGAGACATGGTGATTCCCTTCAGCCTGAATATATGGGAATATCTTTTATATAAAAACTAGATAAACTATTTAACCTTTATCAATCATTATTAAAATATTCAATACAGATATATTTTTAAGTGTTATTTCATCTAACACTATTCGAAAATTCAGGATAATACAAATTTAAAATATGTACTATCAATATTAATAAAATATCGTATTTTTCATGAATTTTAATATCTAATAATTTTATAAAAATAACCAACATTAATTTTAATAATGAAATTTTATATAAGGTTAATGTTGACTATAATTATGTAGTTGTTCTCCTATAAGATACACTTCATCACGAATGCTTTGCTTACATTTAGCTAATAAAATATGAAATATTTTTAAAATTAATATAACTAAGATTCCAGCTAACGTTAGAGGATATGAATAGCGATATACACGAGAAATTGTGTCATAATCATTAGAACGATCTATAAAAATTAATACTCTTTATAAATTAGAATTAGTAAATTATTTTACATAATAACATCGATATAAAATAACCTAGACACAATGGAAGCAATAATGCCATTAACATTATTAATCCAATAGGAAAAACAAACAACTTAGTAGAAAGTACGATATCAGGGTCCAAATACCCATTATGAACAATCTAATTTAATAAACAAAACATACTTTCCTAATAATATTTTAATACCTGCATCATTGATCGTGCAAGAGAAGATTCTCTATTTAACATAATCAAATTAGCAATAATTAACGTATATAAAATTCCTAATGCCCAATCGTGAAAAATATATATTACGGGATCATTCTCTGATAAAAAATATGTATTAAATGGAATAATAATATAATAATCCATAACCAAGCCAAATAAAAATGGAAGAAATATTTCAAAGGCAAAAATCATGTATCCAATTTTCAGAAGCTAAGAAGAAATTAAAACGTATCCTCATATTAGTAGAAAAGCGTACCCTTAACAAAAACGTATTTAGGCATGATACCACTATTTTAGGCGACCTTAATTTCTCTATAAAGATTCTTAAAGTATTCTTAAGTAAATTTCCATGAGTATATAAAAATATTGATAATGCAATAAAAGCTCCAAGAAAATAACATCCAAAAATATATGTATAAAAATCATGAAATTCGTAAGTAGAAAATAAAAATGCAAAAATCCGCCGTCCAACAATCACTATTCATTTATTAGTATTATTTAAATATTAATAAAAAATATACATGGAGGAACAATCAACATAATACCCATAAAGAATGCAAAAATCCATACCAAGAATAAAAACACAATTATTCTCTTAATAAAAGACGGAGGAATATACACTACTGTAAAATTGGGACTGTTTTTCGACTCATTATCTTGTTTTTTATCCAATCTAACATTATCTTCTGTAACAGGTATAAACATTGATTCTCTATGAAGAGAGATATTGTCTTTAAAAGGCACTCGTAAAAACGACCCATTACGAACGAAAACAACATCCAAATCCTTTAACTGTTGTCCAGAATCATTATGAATATCAGTTTTTTTTATTAATAACTTTGCCATAAGAGTCTTCCGTACATATACTCCTTCTTCTTGAGGATGTCGACCATTAAACATAAAAGAAGTAAGACGAAGTTTGGCACTTATAGTTTTCAACCACCATAACCACAAACCCTTTGTTATAGCAGCAGGCTTTATTAATTTTAAAGTTAATGGAATTAATATATGCAAAGCCAATATATCAAAAGGAATATCAAAAAAGAATTTACTAAAATAATCAGAAAAAAAAATCAATAACAAAAAAAGCCTACTTGAGTGATAAACGAAGAGGAAAAAGATCTGGCAGAAAATATCTCACAGAATATATTACACTCGAAAAGCATGAACATATCAAACAAGAATAAATGATCCCACTTGTAAATATTTTTCGTAACAGAACCTTAATAGGGCGTTCAAGAATCTCTTTAATCGGATGAAATTGTGCATCATTAGGGTCATGAATAAAAACTTAACATTAGATAAAAAACAAAAACAATAGTATAAAACTTACATAAAACACCAGGACGAACAATATCACGGCACATTTTAACAAACAAGGCAAATTGAAACATATATGCAGTACCAATAAACCAATGTCTAAAGAAAGTAAATATATATATATAATAATAATCAAAAAATACAAAAAATAACTGGTAAAAGGATTTGAATTCGTAAATGCTAGTCGTGTATTGATATTAGCATTTTCAAATAAATCCAATAATAATATATCTATAAGGATTCCGCAGTAAATAGGAAATACAATGACTTCTATTCCTACAATTACAACGAACTAAATAATTAGATTAAACTTATATAAATTAATAATAATAAAAACCTTAATAATCAAGCTTGCTTGATGAAGTGTATCATTCATTACACGTTGAATCATTCTTTGCCGTGAATTTTTTTTAATATTAGAATATTTCTTCAAATATAATGCGCCAATAGATATTAAAATACAATATCCAATAATAATGGATATTGTTCTATCAAAAACAGTATTTCTTGTTCCAAGAGTAATAACTCTAGGAGGTATAGAAATTTTCATACCATAAATATGAAATATAACCTCCTTTTCCAAATTAGAAGATGAACCTGACAAATAAATAGATGAAACTCTTTCCATAATTCTAGTCAACGCATTATTAGCTATAGATTTTATAAAAGTATGAGATCTAAAAATTTTTATGTATGATTCTTTACTAAATATATCAAAAATTATTATATTAAATAATATCCTTCCAATAATGATAAAACCATTAATTACTTGAAAAATAAAAAAAACAATCGCATCAACAATGGTTAAAAAAACTTTTTGAATCGTACTTTCTGAAAACAATATCAAATAGTGCGGTATTCGAACCTATTTTACCGTTAACAAATATTATAATATTAGAAAAAAAAAAACGAACGGTAATAAGAACTAATGATTTTCCCAAAACATATGGTATAAGTATTAACAATCCAAGAAATATAGCAATCAAAATAGATGTTACGGTACAATTTTGAAAAAGACCACTTATAGGCCCTCGAATCCCAGATAATTCAATGATTCCATCAATTTCGCCCAACTCATCAGGCATATCATCATTTTCCTGATTCATATTAACACGTGCAGTTTCAAAATCTTCCCTATCAACATTCTCAAAATTTTCTTCTCTCGTTTCATCATTGGTAATATGTTCTCTATTCTCCGTATTCCCCTCAGTAGAACTCCAAAGACTCCTCACTCGTGTCGTCAAGGACTGAACAATCGTAGCTCTGATACCCTCATGAACATCGCTTTGAGAAGAAGAATGATCCATATGATTTTGTTCCATTGACCCATTCGTTTCATAGGGTTCTGATTCATGATTTACATCAATATCTTCTACTTCCGGAAACATCGCTTTCTTTTCAAAAGACGCCCCATTTCGTTCATTATCATCATATTGCAACTCATTAATAGAAGGACCCGCCTCCGCCAATGCTTCCTCATATTGATTCATATTATCTTTCTTCATTTCAAAATCTAAGAATCCTAACCTAGATTGCTGTATCATATCCCCATAACCCCTAGAGGAACTCCCAGCATTTTCATTAAAAGAAGGATTTTCATCAATTTCCCATCTTTCATTAGAATCGAGTAATGTGTTTATAGAAAGAGCTAATTCTGCAGGATCCCCCTCAGAATAATCCATATCCATATTATCTTCATCCTCCTGATTATTCTCTGAAAGATGATGATCTTCTTCTGCATGTCCATTAAACGACTCATGCGATGTTCTTCGATTTATTATTCTTTGAGTTCTTAATGGATCATTATGAGAATTAGAATCAAAATCTGATGACTCGAAAGAATGATCATCATTTAAACTAATAACTAAAACCCACTCCCTACAAAGCAAAATGATAATAAAAATAATCACAATAATACCAGTAATAAGTTGCCCTTCAAACACATCCATCATAATTTTACTAAAAAAAATTATCAGCATTCACTAATAAACATCATTTCACAAAAAATACTTGATAGTTTTATATTTAAATAGATTTTTAAGCGAAAAATCCTTCCTTTTAAAAGTATATTGTAACCATGTCGTTTGAGAGGGCTGAGATGCCTCATCTAATAATGATCTTCCTACCAAACTATCCCCTAACCTAAGAGAAAACGTCCAAACACATTGTGTCATCCATGGAAGCCAACCAAGCCATAGAAATAAAGCAAGTCCTGTTCGAAGCCATCTTAAAGTTAAACCCCTCAAACGCCTTAACAAACGCACTAAAAAAACTGCAACAGGAATAGACTTGGGCATATTCGGATCATACACTATATTTATAATCAATTAAATATCCTAAATCTCCTATTTAACTCAAACATTTCGTAAACCGAAAAGGTGTCCTGCAAAGCTCACAATCTCGCCGTCTGCTATGTTGTAACCATTTAATAAGACTTAGATCCATTAATGATCCTCATATTATAGGTTATATGTAAGATTACCAGTTATCATGAACATATTTAATTGTTCCTGAACATTTACTGTATTTCATTCATTAATCAGCCATTTTTCGTCCTTCAAAAAGGATTAAACTCACCATGGATAAAATAAAGGCTCTTCTTCAGAGCTTTCACCGCAACAGACTCTACAAACTCTATCATCCGCCATATCTTAGTTTTTTAATGGCTTCACTAAAAAAAAACAATGTCGATAAATTAAGCCTGAAAAATTTCGGAAAACCTTATGAAGGCATAACATATTTTTTTTAAAAAAAATATAGAAAAATACCAGGAAAATATTAAAAGAACCATATTTGTTATATCCGTTATTTATTTATTTATTTGTTGATTTTTTTTAAAAAATAAAAAGTATTTTTTTTTCAAATATTAAGGAGTTGAAGAAAAAAATATAGAAAAATGATATATCTTTGTATCAATAGATGCCTTGAGTTAATTGTTGGTACTGATCATAAAGTCTCTATAAAAAAGAAAAATATAAATAAAAATATAAATGAAACTTACAGTCCATAAAGAAGCATTTGCTTTTGTAATTAATGACTCCATAAATTCATCTGCTTCAGTTTCAGATAGATGAAGTTGAAAACGTTGTTGAAATTGTATGGAGGTTAATTCGCCAGAACTAAAACAAGGAAGTTTTGACTCTAATATAAATTAAAAATAATAAAATAAATGATAAAATACCATTTTGCATAATTTTAACTAGTAATATAAGATCTTCTGCCTTTTTCCTTAATGCTTTAAAAGCTTGTTTCATTAAATCTTTCCAATCATCAAATCTGTCATCCAAAATGTTTACATAATCAGTAGTAAGTTTGAAAGGGGCGTTTTCAAAACCAACATTTCCCGGTGTATTTGTTAACATGAAACCAAAATCAATGTGAATTAAGTGACCTTCAGTATCTAAAAGAATATTTCCATTGTGCCTATCTTTAAGTTGAAAAATATAACATATCAAACTATATGCTGCTAAGGAACGCATAAAACAATCTTGTGCAGCTTTGTATTGCACCGAATGAGTATCACCATACATCTTTAAATTACTGTAAGAATTAATAAATGATGTTTAAATACCTTTAAAAAATAATCTTTTAATGACAAGACTTTGCCTTTTGAGCTTTCAGAGAAAGATTGTATTATTTTTTTTTTTATAGAATGAATACTTGTAGAATTAATTATGGTTTCTATTAAGCCAGAGTCATTCCCAGTAATGAGTATTCTCATCCTAAAAGAAAATATAAACATAAAATATTATAACTCATTTATATACAACCGTTTGACCCAAACGGGAATATTGTATTCATCCCAAATTTTCTGACATGCATATATGAGTTGACATGCAAAAGCCTCTTGTCTCAAATCTGAACCAGTTTTTACAATTACACTAATTATATTCCAATTAGGTAAATGACTATATGGAGATGATTTCCGTATACGCTCTACTTTTACACTCCATTCTTCTTCAAATATTTTCACTTGAATAATATTAGCCGAAAGACCATTAAGTATTCATATTTACTTGTAGAATTCCTATTTTTTTCTTCAATTCTATTATATTTTATATTATTCATACGAGCATCAATAAAATTTTCACAATTATTCATATTTATACGTTTTTCCTCAAGATTTTGCATCTCCTTGATTATTTTACTCTTGATGGCAGATGTTTCTACTTTAGGGCGTTTATTGCCATCAGAATCCAACTGAGCTAACATTGTCGCAGCTGCTCTCATATATGTAGCTATAATAGAATTCTCATCAATAAAAGGAGACAAAGAATTGTTTTCTTTAGAAAGCATATTAGTTTCTGTTTGATATTGAGGAAATTTAAGACGAGGGTCAAAGCTATGGTTTATATGTTTCAACTTAGAGAATTCTGGTAACGAAGTATCCGAATGGCCATTAAGATCCGTTTTTTTATATAACATGTCATCAGCATAATCATAAATAGATAATACACTAATATCCCCAAGATCGGATTCTATATCTGTTTTTTGATTAACTTTATGCAATTCAGCATCAAAGTTATGTGACAAAATAGGATCATGAAGAAGATCAAAAAGCCGCTTACTTTTTCCTGTATTAGATAATATCTTAGCAATTTTTTCTTTATTTTCCATTTTTTCAGGATCAAAAGATAAGTCATTTTCCAAAATTTCTATTATAAGAAGATAAGGAACCTTTTAAAGAAATCAGAATGATAAAAAAAAAAAATATAAGCTACTCTTTTTGCACTATTTAAAACAATTGCTTCTGTTGAATTAATCCTAACGATTCGATGATGAATAGGATAACTCGCCGTTGCAGTACAGAGCGATGGTATACATATATCAGCAGGAAGATAACTATTTAATAGCGTTAATTCGGCCCGTAATGCACTCAAACGTGCAAGTTCAGGTACAATGATTAAACGAGAGGAAATATCTTGTAATGCTTGAAGAAATGCAGTTTCGTACCTAAAATACTGAGTTTGAAGTAATAGGCTTTGTTTTCTCGGTGAAACACTTGATAATATCTCATAATTTTGAGCATAAAAATCGGACAATAAGGACTTTTTAGAATATAAATCTTCAACAAGGTAAGAATCAAAGCGAGAAGAAAGTTGTTCAGAAGAACAATTAATTTCATCCAAAAGATGAAATTTTTCATTACATAATGACAATAATAATGTTTCTTGTGACGTTGCATTTGAAAATTGCGAATATTCATGCAAATTTTGCTTGTCTTGAGACAAATTTCGATCTAATTGAACCATTGATATACTATTTGATAAACTTTCTGAGACATTTTCCCTTGGAGTCTGAAAAAAATCAGAAAACATTGTATGCTGGAACATTCCTTTATCCGTCTCTCTTGATTGAGGACGATATTGTCTAGCTTGAGCAATAGCAATTGGACCAACTGTTTTTGATAAAAAAGGCACTGAAGCACTCCCAATAATAACACTAGACAATAAGATAGAAGGAAAAATATTCTCCCTAACTTTAAAATCATTTAAATCATAAATTTCTCTTTCACCAAAAATAATATGTTGGATTTTATTAAACATTCTTTTGCATGTTCTAAACGAAACATATTCAGGCGTCTTAAGAAGATCCGTAAAATGTGCCTGAAACAACCAAAAAACCTATCATTTATTTAACCCTTATAAAAAATGTAATCTCTTATTCAAAAAACACCATTAACGCAATGTGAGACGAACTTTTACATTGATCCAAAATAAATATCTCTAAAGCAACGGACTCCGTGTTTAAGTTTACTGCAAGATGGCTAACCATTCATTATTTTTCTTCCTTTTCTTTCTTATCAAAAACATACCATAATTGCGGCAAAAAAAACTCTATTTCCGTCGCAGAAAACCTATTTTTTTAATTATTATTATTATACTCATCAAAAACATTACATACTCTTTCAATTTAGAACATAAATAGTGATGAATACCTATATTATCTGGATATCTAGCAAGATATGCAACACAAAGCTTATTTATCGTTAAAAATATCCTTTTAACTCCGTTTTTTTAAACGTACATGTGAAGTAAAATGAGTAGATTCGAAAAATCTAAATAAAAGATCATTTCCGGATGCTTTTGGGCCATTCATGAGCCTTATTTTATTTTTGATGTCATCTCGATCTGCTTTTTTTTCAATATAACAACTCCTACCGACTGGGGGAGGGAGCAAACCACCGAAACCAAAAAAAAATAAATATTTTACAATTTTAAATAAATTTCCATAAATTTCTGCCACTTTTCCGTAAATTTAATCGCATATATTCGCAATATTTTGAAATCTCATCTTTTTTTTGTTTTACTAGTTTTTTTGTTTCCAATTTTTCTAATTATATATATACATATTATTTATGCTTCTCTTCATTTTTAACACATTCTGAACCCATTTCTTCCGAAATATGACGCATTTATGTCTATAAATCTCCCTATATCCCGTCAAAACCATATATCCAGATCGTCCGAACCTTGTATGCGTTTCGCGACATATAAAAACCGAGATTTTTATATTTGTTGAGTTAAATATCTTTATTCTGAGTATTTAAAGATTTTTTTCTAAAAAACAACCTTTATAGGTTCTTAAACAGCCTTTAAATTATATCTATTATTGTAATTGAATACGTTAGTTTAGAGAATTGAAAAAAAAGCGTATACAAATGGTAAATTACCAAGATTTAATGAATTATCCCTTAACTAATGAATTGTAGATGTATAAAAGACAGAATATATCTGGTCTTTTTTTTGGAATGACGCTAAAGTATATAAATAGTGAAGATATATGGATTTATTGAGATATTCTTAGACTTTTTATACTTTTTACAGTATATAAGCTTTTTTTTGTCTGTCCTTTGGAGAGTCCATCAAAAACAAAAATGTTGTTATGTAGGAATTATCATTATTTGAAATCATCAATGGATCCATATCTAAAATCTATATATTATAAATATGCATTAGAACAAGTAGAGATGGTTGAACCTTATTTAAAAAATGTACAAAAAAATGTAGGAAAATACAGTAAACCTGCCATAAAACATATTAAAGACCAATATGAGAATTATATTTACCCATATTTTGTATATGGAAAAGAGAGTATATATAAATTCGTTAAAAAACATATAGGACCGGTAAAAATAAAGTACATTAAGGAATACGATAGATTTTATAGAAATAGGTTTAAGGATTATCTGGTTTATTCTAAGAAGGTTTATTGGACACATATTTATCCAGGTATTTATTCAACTCGTCAAACGGTTATTTATATCTATCAATCAAAATTAATTCCGTTTTATCAGCAAACTAAGCCTCATGTGATACACTTTTTAAAAACAATGCTTCAATTTTTGATAAGAGAAGTTTATCCACGTATTGTAGAGGGATTGATTTGGCTAAAAGACTTTTTTTTCACGTACGCAGTTCCAAAATTTAATGATTTTTGGATTACACATGTAAATCCACAATTGGAGAGAATTTATGATCGTATTTTTCAATATAAAAATTCAGATTACAATATTGCTTCGGAAACTCAATCAAGCAGGTCATTGTTTTCTATATTATCAACATTTATATCAATTTAGTTTAGATATGAATCGCCAGAAGAAAATATTTTGGACCAGAAAAAGAATACACATATTTCATACGATCAGACAGAAAACCAGCTTTTTTCAGAAATATTATCTTTATGGACCGATCGTCTTAATAAAATTGGCAAAGAAATAGAAGAAGCATTAATCGAGGATTTAGTCGATGTGTTTTTACCAGTCATTTATAAAAAAGAGAAGGCAGTGATTCAAAATCTCCTTAATGAATTAAATTTATTAGTAAATTCGGAAATCTCTAAAATAAAAAACAAAATTATACCAAAAGATAATGTTCTTAAAGGTGCTAAAAAAGACATTTTTTATAACATCGATGACATTAAGGAAGCTGGAAAAACAATTCATGCTAAAGCTTTAGAAATAAGGTAATTCATATTCACAGGCTGGCATAATTTAACTAGGATACATTAGAAAATATCTTAAATCTATTGAAAATGATTGTAAAAAGAAAATAATTAAAAAATCTAAGCTATATTTTAACCAAGTTATAATATTTCAATCAGAAATAACTTCATTGTTTGAAGTATTTATTAAATTGAGTACTAAAGATGAGAATTATAAAAAAGTAATTTTTAATATTTCCTCACTATTTTTTTCTGATTTTTATTTATAGGTTTATAATAAATATTTTGATTTTAAAAATCTTATTGATACAATTGAAAAACAATTTTTTGATTCTATATTGAATTCTACTTTATCTAGTGTTAAACAAATACGTAATTTATCTATAAAAGCAGAACTTGCTGTAAATAATATCACAGGTCTAGCTGCAAAACAATTAAAAGATTTTAAATCAATTAATGCCTCGAATAACATCACTCAAAAACTTTATGATGATCCAACTGATGGTAAGATAAAAAATGATTAAACTTAATATTATATAACTAATAAAAAAGAAAACAATGCTTTATCGAAATTATCCGAAAAATCAAAAGATCAATCAATTGTTTTAGATAATTCCAAACAAGAAACCGAACAAGAAAATGAAAAAATGGAGTCAGAACATCCTGTTTTGAACCAGGATTCTGATTCTTATATGGAAAAACAAGTAAATTCCAATTCAAATCCTTCAGATAATAAAGATTCTATGGAAAATATTAATTATGATTCATCACAAACTGATCCGTTACATTTACAAAAAGAAACTATAAGGTATATCAATTTCTTATTTATATTTATAATTAAAAACAATAAAAATAGAGCTTAGCATTCAAATATACAATAATAATGTGATATTCTTTTTCTTTCATAAAAAATGCAATATTTAATGACGGATATTTTTGATAATAAAGATAATTTTTATCTCGGTCTAAGTTATCGTTTATATAAGAAAAAAAAATTTAAAAAAAATAAATCATGTTTGGAGTATTTAAGCCTAATCTTCCAGCATTTTCGGGTCTATTGTGGTATTATCTCGTATATTTTTAAATCATTATATATAATTTTTGGTAGGAAAATTCCATGGAGACTTTCAAAAACAAGAAAATTAAGACATAGAAGAAGATTACGTAAAGTAGACTTAGTTTTATCCACTCTTCATACATCTCTTAGTAAGGCAGGCTTATCATGTCATGCATTAGAGCGACAAATTCGTGAAATTACTCCAGAATCAAAAATGCTACCTAAAAATAAATATACGGTGTTTAATAAAAAATCGAAAAATTTTAGAAAAAGTATTCATTTTGTGCCAAAAGTAAGAAATCAAAAAACAGGGGCTTAATTGATACATATTTTTAGTTTACAAGAGTAACTGTTATGAATAGAATGTTCCCTCCAGGATATTAAAATACGAAAGTAATATATATAATATACATTTATATATGAAAATATTTTTTACAGAAAATGTATAGTTATATAATTTAAATACTAGCATTTTCTACGCAAGAAATCCAGAATTTAAGCATTTTCTCTATTATTATTAGTTAAAGCCATCGTTGAATAATATTTTTTCCGATTCTTCTGAGTCTTGAGAGTTGGAATTTATACTGTCATCTGGTGTTCTTATTGATAAATCAATATGTGTCATGGATAACGTATTTGGCATTGAAATATTATAAGGATCCAAAATAGATTTTTCATCTGACATACTTAAATCCGAAACTTTATTTAATGAAGATGTAACATTCATTTTATCATATGATTCAGTAGATATTTTAGATATATATTCTGTAATTTTTATCATGGTTGATTCCCCAAGTACTTTATCTGTTCTTCTACGATAAAATAATAGATATGCCGCGGGCGTAACAATTTGTGATTCATGAATTTGTACGACCAAAGAATCTAAATATATCAATTTTCGATTTCATTCAAAAAATAGTCATTTACCGTCAAAATGATAAAAATGGCCATTTTCCAAAGCAACATAAGCTGTATAATGGCCTCCACCTAATCCTCCGAAATGGTTGCTGACAGCGTAAAGATCATATATTTGAGAATCGTTAGTTAGATTAAATCCATTTTTATACTCTGCCACCCGCTCTGAAAGATCAAGCCCTTTTAGAGGAAAATCAACAAGAACATCTATTTTATCTCTTAAATTTCTAGAGTTTGAGAATCTTTTCAAATGGATAACAAGAATATCTGGCGATTTCCATATCTCCAGTTGTTTTGTTGCTCGTCGATGTTCTTTGCAATTCGGACAATACCAAAGATCGTCTTCTCCTAGTTGTTCTTTCTTTGCAAACAAATCGAGACAATCATCTAAATGGATTGTCGATGTTTCATAATTATTAAGCAGAGGATCTTCATATTTTTTTACGTCATCCCATACATTACTGTTTCTTAAGCCATTTTCTGTTTCATTTGAAAAAATAGATATATAATTATCAGCAGGCCATTCACAGACAATTGCTTCTCCTTGATGAATGAAAGCTTTATTTCTAAGCGATTTATTTTCATGAATATTCAAATCAGAAGATAAATGTGGCCCATTCCCTTGTTTTGGGGAAACTTGGCATGTTTTTTCTACATTCGAATTTACAGGCAAAAGTTCATCATCACTTGAGTCTTTAGTAATAGAAAAGTCACTATCTTCTACAATATCATCTAATGAAATCGGTGTTCCATGAGAAAAGGGTTCTTCTTCAGATTCTGCCGTCAATAGAGTGTCATCTTCATCAAAAAATCTATCACTGTTTGTGTCTTTTCCGAATCTTGTTTTTAATCTTGGCAAATGATCCATTGGTACTGACCAGCCCGTAGGAAGAACAGAATGACGGGATGAAAAATATTTTAAATCAAAAACATCTTCATGAAGATCCAGTTCTTTTTTCAAAACATTTTCTACAGGTTGAGAAAACTTAGTAGTTGCTACTTCATAATCTGTTTGAATCGTTTCTTGTGTCTGATTCAGTAATACTTTTTTTGAACCGACAAATTGTTTATATTTTTCAGCAATTTTTTTAACAATAACATCATAAGAACATGCTTCTTCATGTGTTAAAAGAATAAAAAAGGGTATACCGAATGCAACTGGATGATGATATAATTTTTCTATCCTTTGGTGGAAAATAGGTATAATAATTTTAGATCGATTTGTTACAAAGTCTGATATAGGACATGGCATTTCATAAAGATAAACTTGATCATGAGGTGATAACTGTGTACTAACAATGCTAGTGTCTGCATGATGCCTATAAAATTTATATGCATAAATTTCAGATGAAGTCAGCTAGATTATAAGCTTTTGATAAGATATTAAAGAGAATAGCTTACCGCATGTGGATCCATACCAAGTTTAGATGCAACATAGGCTTTCATCGAAGCAATTGTTGACGATGCATCTAATTCTACAGTTATCTTGCAAATATTAAATATATATCGAAGAATATATAAAGGAACGCTTACATGGATTTGTTTTTTATTAATATCTGAAGGTATAACTGTAACGGGATAAGTCCATCGATTTTTAAATGGTAAAGGTAAAGTGAGATCCATAAATGGGTCAAACGTGATTGATACCTAAATTATCATTAGTTATTAATTGATAATTTTTTTTTTCAAAACTTGATCGCAAACCGGACAAACCAAAACGCTTTTATATAATCCATGAAACAAATCTACAATAACCGAGTCATTTCGTTTTCGATGAAGTTGCCAACAAATATCAGCTGTTTTCGCAATTAACGCATCATTTATGTCGCCAAGTGTTGGTTTTTCAAAATACGGTTTCCTTTTAATACGATTAAGATCTTCATGCATTCCATCAAGCAAAAAAGCAAGTAATTCCTGACTATCTTGCTGTGCGTATCCTGCAAACGAAGGATTAAAACGTCCAATACAATTCTTAAAGGCCTTTGGTGAAAAAGATGTTGTAGCATGTACTAGGTTGTTTAGTAAAGTTGCATAAGATTTTGCTATTTGTCCGCCTGTTCCTAATGGATTAGTTGAATTTATTTCAGAATGATAAACACCGGAAAGAAAATATGTTGTTAATTCCGATGTATGCATAAGACATTGTAATGCAGCATTCATATAACAACTATTGCCAAGATTTTGTAAGCCAATCGCTTTTAATTTTGATGATTTATCAAATAAATTTGTTCGTTTGAAATCTTGTTTTTTATAATCGGTATCAAGAAAAGGTGCTAATGAAGAAGCGGATCCTTGAAAAGATGCAATATCCATTGTTTCAACAACAAGTTCTGAAAACAATGGCAATTCAAGAGTTTTAACTGTCATTTCTAATGGTAAGGCCATCCAAGGAGTTATAATTGGTTTTCTCTCATGCCATAATCGAATTGGTTGCGTAGACGCAAGTCCCAATACCTGTTTAATGACTTGTAACAAAGTTCTTACAGTTGAATTGCCATTTATTGAAATTTGCGTTGCTAAAACATCAATAGGTGATGTTACAGATGATTCAATAGGCATTATATCATCTATAGATACTTTTTCTGATATTGATATATGTTCCGATGAAGCAGGCGCTAAATCATCATCTAATGCATCTAGAGTTTCCGAATTTGTTATAACTGTAGAATATTCAGAAAGGTTTCCAGCTGTCGCACTAGTAGGAGACGGTACTTCTAACGCTGTAGTATTATCACTACCATCATTTGCTGTTTCTTCTGTATTTCTTCTCATTTGAACTAGTCGAAAAGTATATAAACACGTGTTAGTATCAACGGTTAGCCCTTTTTCTGATATTCCTGATGTTGCTATATCTGCTGTTGCTTTTACATCTTTATTTTCTTCTATATCTAAATATATTCCAGTTACAGTTTTCCTAATAGCATATCCTTTAACTCCAAACCTAGACTATTTAATTTTATACATTTCTCTTTCTTAATATTTACCAAATAGAAAGATACTTCCATACTTCACCCGACACCAATACATAATCTTTACCCTCAACAAGCCCATGCTTCAACTTATTTCCTTCTATTAAACTCGTCTGATCTATCGGCCCAATTATTTCTTGAAGCCCTTCAAGAAAATGACGATAATTCATCATCCACGAGGCTTCTATGCAAAAAGATACATCATAATCAATAAATCTTGAAAGTAAAGGCTCTATTATTGCCTTTTGTTCAGACCAACTTGGAGAAACTTTATCTAATTTATTTTTTGTTTCATGTTCAAATAAATCCTTTAAATTCGGAGAAAATGGTGTTTCAATAGCAACATTTTCAGAATACGAATTCTTCGTAATATCATAAAGATTTTCATGCATTTTTTCTTCATTTTCTTCTGCTTTTTTCTTAGAAAATAATTTATTAGATTTCCCAGATATAATATTAGAATTAATAATATCATCCAATTCTGTTGAAAGCGTATTCGGTATATTATATGGCATGCTAATACCAATTCCTGGATTCTGCATCTCTGTACTACCCATTTGTCGGGATATATGCGTTGTATATGCGCTTTTGCATTGACTAGTATACATCGAATTGTATGAATTCAATGTATCAAATGTATTATATGTACTTGTTGGATTCAATAAAGACGACCGTAAACTACGTGTTGCACGATCTCCTTGTATATTTCGTATATTATTTTCATATTGTGCATGCGTAATGTATCCACCTGCTACGTCTATTCTACCTGCAGAATCATGCGTACATAAAGATGCTATAAATATTAGAAACCTAGGAAAAATATTAAATAATACAATCTATTTTTTCCGATATATTTGCTGAATCTTCTGTAATATTAGGTATTTCTTTACGTTTGTTTGATTCAGAGAAACTAGAACACGGCCGTTTGGAGGGCGACAAAAGATCTTCCGGTGTATGGGCGCCCTCCATAGGCTCAAAGCTTGATGCGACAAGTTATATCTTGTCAATATTTCGAAAAAATCTGCAGAATATAACCTGAATTATTCTAAAAAATGCAAATAATGCATATATAGGTATATATAAAACACCGATACATAGAATTTAGAGGGGATGAAAAAATATACAAATATAAAAGCATATAGGAATAATATGAGTTATCATTAAAAATATATTCCAGCTTTAAATTTCTATTTAAAAATATATAATATTTTTTAGAAATATTATATACATATATATGTATCTATTCAATTTTAAATATAATAAATATAATATATAAAGAGTATATAAAGAACATCTAAAGTTTAAGAAACATAAATCAAAGTATAGAGTTTAATGAGTCAATAAAGTAATATTATTAATGTATTAAATGTATATTGACGCTTTATATATATATTGATATATTAAATATTAATCTATTATATGGTATTTGTAATATGGCTTTATATAAGTATAAAGTATATAAATATCAATAAATGGGTTGTATATAATCTAAAAATATAAAAATAAACTCTCTTTATATGTATTAAATATTGAATTTTCTATTAAGACTGTGGTTGATAATTTTATTTATACGTCGATAAGTCAAAATTGGCGAGAGATTGAGATAAACATATAAACTGAACATTTTAGCACATACAACTGGATATATCAGCGTATTTTCCATATATATAGATAATAAGATGCTTAATAAGTCTTTTTAGGATTATTTTTTATATTTTTTATTAAATATTTTGATAATCAAAGGCAGTAAAAAAAAAATATGCAAAAAAAAATAGGAAGATTAGGTCAATGGACCAAGGAAATGGTATATTTTTGTTCTTGGAAACGCATATACTTATAAATCTTAGCTTGGAAAAGAGCAACGTACACAAACAACAGATGAATTTAAAGAGCTAGAGCAAGAAATGCAGATGAGACATGAAGGCATTTTCTTTGGATAAAAATAGCATATTTTTACATGAAATAGGCATTGAAAATATTTATAGTTCTATTAATCAATGGGCTAAATCTATGTGTATATTTCTTTTATATATTATTATCTAGTTTGAACATATATAGTGAATCGTCGAGAAGATAAAAAACATACATTGATTGATTTGTTTAGCCAGGCATTATTAAGCTTTGGAGAAAAATTTTCACCAGAATCGGTTTATGGTTTTTTTTGTTTTATAATTTTGATATTTAATTTGTTTATTTTTTAGGTCAAGGATTGCTAAAATATGGTATAGCACATAAAGAAATATCAAAAGAGCAAGAAAGGCTTATCAATGGTATTTCGAACAATATTTTGGAATCAATGGAACGTTCTTTGGTTCAATTTAAGGATTATCAAGTATAAAAATAGATGATAATTTGATGTATATTTAATAGATATAAATAGACTGCGAGAAAAAAGCTTGAAAGCCGTCGATTATCATATGATTCTGTTTCTAATAGATTTATAAAAGCTAAAAAAGAAGATCCTCGTATAGAAGAGGAATTAAGGGCAGCTAAAGCAAAATACGAGGAAGCTTGTGAAAGTATATATGGTCGAATATATTCAATTCAGCAAGCAGAGGTAAAATAAGTGAAAGATATGCACGTTTTAGTAACTAGGAGATCAAGACTACACAGTTAAATGATTTAACTTTTCTTCTTGACTTAGAATTTAGATATTATGAACAATGTTATATGATTATACAAAATTTAAAAGAATCGTGGGCAGAAATGTATAGATTAAATCAATATTTTGTATTTAAATAACTTCAGTAGTAATAACGCATATGAAGCCAGCTCGAAATATGTTAAACACCAACAAATTTCAGCTCATGCTTTTAATAATGGTGGCGAAAACACTATAAATAGACTATCACTACCTTTTCGATCAGGAATGAGTGCTTTATCACTTGAAAGAAAAATATCAGAGATAGATTTAAATAGTCCTAAACAAATATCTTCCTTTAGAGCAACACCTACAAGAAGTATGTTAAAATATTTAATTTTTTATTATATTTCATTCTCTTTTCTGTTATCTAACATTTAAAAGTTCCTCCAGAATCTCCAAATTCAATTGAAGATAAAAATACGCAAGATACTGCATCATTAAAATTGGAGCAATCCTTTAAAACAGACGAACAAGATGCATCTATACTATCAAACGGCAATGCACCGGTAATTCCTCCACGAACATATGAAAGATTTGATAGAAAAGATAATACGTCATCTACAAAACATTATTCAACATTAAAGAATTCAAGCGTTAGAAATTTTTATACTACATACAAAAATGTTTCAGAGGATAATTCTCTCTCATCTGATGAAAACAAAAACATTTATTCAGAAAATCACTTACCAGAATTTCCGAATACGTTTTCGAATTCAGATGATCCCACGTTAAAATCATATTCAGATTCAAAATCTACATCAAAAATCAATACTTTAGAATTCCCGATTATAAAGACTAGGAAACCTCCAATTCCTTCGCAATTTTTGCAAGATATTGATTCAAGTAAATTAAATAATACATGCAAAAATTGTAATTGTGATGACTATCAAGAAAGTTTTTTTAAAAAAGGTCCGTTTTCTCTTAAATATATTTATTATAGCGTTAATGATAACAGGTCAATGTAATCAATGCTTTCATATTCATTAATTTAGAGCTCATATTTATTTATTCAGAACTAATTTTTGTACAAATAGGATATATTAATAAAATTTAAGTAGCATCTTTGTTGATATTTTAAAAATTATTTAATAATATGTTTATATTTAAAATATATAAAAGTTTAGAAATAATTATAATTTAGAATTTAACTTCATAATTGCCTGCTTTTGATATATATCTTACCCTATTTTTTTAAATATTAATTGAGTATAAACATATCAAATACCATTTGACACTTTTATAGTTTTCTTTTTCAGATATTTTTAAATACTTTAAGTGTAATCCTGAGCCAGTAAACATTGGAATGGAAAAGTTCAAAGATATAGGAGGTTTAGACCAATGCCTATCATCTGATGTTGCTTTTAAAGTTGCCTCCGCTGCAAAAATATATTCCATTTTCCCAGAAATTTTAGGAATTCTAAAATAATACTAAATATAAATCATGGTTTATAAAAAAAATTACTTCCATATAATATTATTAGAAGCAGATTCCTATAAATTCAATTACAAAAAAAAGGAAAATATAAATATATCTTTTATTACGTATTTTGTTTTTCCTCGATTTGCCCTAGAATTTGTATTTGCAGTATTCAATGGTGTTGGTATTTTAATAATTACATCTGTTGCAGAAAGATCTGAACTAAATGATGCCTTAATAGTTAATTGATATACAACCTTAGTTTTTCCAATTTCATTTATAATAGGAAAAAGTAGAAATGGTAAACGAACATTTTCTGTAACACGATATCTATTTCTACATATTAGAACCATTTTATTTTTTATATTTTTCTTACCGCATCAATTCAAATTCTCCATCTGGTGGAATAAAAATAATTGATTTGTCTTTATTAAAAGAGCCTAATTTAACACATTGATGAAAGTGACAATTTTCTAATGTTATATAATCAGTTTTCTCTACCTTGGATGTATTTGTTCTATAAAATGCATAAATACTATGGCTAAAATTCATAAATTGATATACGAAGTTATAGGTAATTGACTATTATTGATAAACACCCTGTCACTAAATCTTATTTTACATTGCGGAATTCCTGAAAGTGATGATTTCATAATAATTTGACCCGAAATGTCAGATCTTAGAGTAGTATCTTCATAAAATTAACAAGTTTCCTTTTTTTAGTAATATACTACTTGCTGTCATGGCCACATTGATATTCTCAATAATATCAAGATATGCTTCATTTTTTCGATATTTTATATCTGATTCTCTCCAAAAAATTGTTCCCATCACATGTCTAGTGATTTTTGAAGAATTATTTTTCTAAAACATTTAACCTATATTAAATCCTAATCATATGAAAAATTTACAATATCATTCTCTGATTTAAATTCATTTGCCGTAATATACATTTTTAAAGAATTAATATCTGTATTTTGTGGATATCCGAAATCAATAACTTCTAAGTTAAATTCATTTACACCTTTTTTTCAACAATTACAATTATTACCATCAAGTAACTCATAAATCAATGTAAAATTGTTCTTTATAGAATCCTCATTAAATTTCTTAAAATAACCTTCATGCAAAGATATAATTTTATATAAAAATTCAAATACTAATGAAGTATTTGCATTATTTCTCGTAACTGCAACAACATAAATGTTTTCATGTTTAACATGAAAAAACGTATTTGATTCAATCGTATTAATAGGTGAGTCGATATCTCTATTAAAAAGAACATGAATCCGAAAAACATCTTCAACTGAACGCCTATAACAAATAAACCAAAAATAATAAATTCCTCGTATTCTACTTTAAACCCTGGCAATATATTCGACTAATTAATACTTCTCCTCTTTGATTATAAAAATATATTCCCTAATGACAAAAATTAACAAAAAATGGATTTCTTTAATGCTTTAAAAAACCAAAATCATGTTAATAAACTAATAAACAATAAATTCTATCTTAATATCTTAAAAAAGAAGCAAATTAGCCCCTTAAATACTCAAAAAATATATTTTTACCATATGTTTTCTTGAAAAGAAAAAAACACTCAAAAATCATCCTTTTTTCTCCAAAAAAAAAGGACTCATGTTCAAATATCTTCGAATTTATTATTTAACTATCTATTTTACTAAAAAAAACTTTATTCCTGTCACTTTTAAATTAAATATTTTTAAGCTTTTTTTTTTGACGTTGATTGAACGTTAATTTTTCCTGAAGTCAAGCAAATTTTCAAGATTTTTACTAAAAAGCCATTTATTCTTAGTTTTTTTCCAAAATAAATGACTAAAAAAACCATTTCGCAGGGTCTTAATCTTTATATTTTATAAATAAGTTTCAATTTGACCTTTTTTCTAGACGAAATTAACATATATGACCGTCAAATACGTTTATGGGGAATTGACGCACAAACAAGGTAAAAAAAGAAAGAAATGTAGTTAAATAGGATCTCATAGCGTTAGTATAAGCAATTCTCATGTTCTTCTTGTTGGTGTTCGCGAATTGGCGGAAGAAATAGGTAAAAATCTTGTTTTAGCGGGTATTGGCAGTTTAACGCTTTTGGACGGAGAAAAAATCAAGAATATTGAGTCAAATGCACATTTCTGTATCAATGTCACTGACATAGGGAAAACAGTAATTTCAAAGGGTTTAAAATGGGGGAATTAACTGATATATAGTACGCAGAAGCAGTATCGAATGTATTAAAAAAGTTTAATTCGTCAGTAAAGCTTATTGCAAACACTACAAACATTTATGAGGTCCCGGATGATTACTTTTCATCGTTCGATATTGTTATTAGTTGTGAATTAGAATTAGATTTAATGGTAAATATATATTATGAGTTAGACGATTAGTTTATGCAAGAAGATGCGTTTAAATACAATATGTAGGAAATACAAAGTTGCATTTTATAGCTGTGCTATGTATGGATTTTATGGATATATTTTTTCGGATCTGATTAAACATACATATAGCATGTATTATTTATAACTTGTATAGATATTTTTTAATATTTTAGAGAAAAGAAAATGTCAGGAAGACTCAAAGAAAGTGTAAGAATTCAATCTACGGAACATTATTATCCTCTTTCGGAAATTATTCATCATAAATATGGAGAAACACTAACGCAAAAACGTAAAAAGAAGGTTTCTCCTCTTCTTCCGGGGATAATAGGTAAAATAAGTATTTAATTTTTATTTTGTCTTATAAAATCAAAGGACTATGGAAATTTCAGCAGAAATTTTCTCATTTTCCCTCTAATTCTGAAGAGATAACACAATATCTTTCTCTAATTAAAGAAATAAACTCACAATTTGGATTATCTGAAGATATTTTGGAAAATAATGTACTTGTGTAAGTATATTTTTTTACTTAAACATTATCATGAACATAAACATAGTAATTTAGCAAAAAAGGCCAATTGTAAATGGTCACCTGTTGCATCAGTTATTGGAGGCATCTTGGCTCAAGATATTCTAAATGTCTTGAGCAAACAAGAAAGACCAATTCAAAATTTGTTCTTTTTTGATGGTGAAATATGTATATATTTAAATATTCTATTAAAATACTCAATAAATTTAGGTGCTGGACCTATTTATCAAATATAGAAAATCTACATAAAAATATACTCTAATTACTAAAAATTATAATCGATTCTAAATTGCAAAAAAAAACACAAAAACTACAAAACCAAAAAACATTATAAAAATTTAATCAATAGCAATCCTTCTAGTAACTGAACAAGCTGATTTAGGAACTGTAATCTTCAATATTCCGTTTTCTAAAGTCGCCTTGACATGATCTCTATCAACATTTGTTGGGAAACAGATTTTACGACTAAATTCACCAAAAGCTCGTTCTTTATACCAATAAGTAACACGAGGCGACTTTTTTAATACATTTTTTTCACAAACTTTAAGTGATGTAGATTTGCTTTTAGATTTAGGTTCTTCATCTACTATCTCCTCCACTATCGGCCCATCACCATTTGATTTATTACAGTTTAGTCGCTCAATATGTCCCTGAACTACAATTGTTTTTTGATCAACAAATTCAATTATAATTTCTTCTTTTTTCAATCCCGGTAATTCTACTTCAACACAATATTCTTTAGCTGATTCTGACATATCAATCCTTGGTGATAAAGTCCTATCAGCTAAATTTTCCTTAAAATAAAACAAGGGCTCATCAAATGTACTATGAATGAATCGCCCCAAATCTGTCGGGAAAAATGTTGTTTCAAGCATCCTGGGGAATATCATTGAGACTCTCAAATACTAATTATTCGTGATATTACTTTATAAATATATAAATATTTATAATAATTTTATGTTATTATTCTGACTTCATATATATAATCGAAAAAATGCTAGAAGGTACTAGAACATACTAAAAACTAGACTTTTCCTCATTTGATTTATCAACATATAATACCTAATATTCTTGTTATCAACTAAAAATATTATACTATTTTCCTCTATATCTTATATTTTAAATGTATTTTATAAAATCTTCTATATTTATTTATATTTGATTTTTAATTTTTAATTTATAAAAGATTAGTTAAATTAATTTGATTAAGTCTTTTAAAATACATTATTAGTCTTTAAGTTATCTTATAATACTAAATAAAATAATAGATTTTGATAGGTTCTATCAAGAACTTTGTCTAAAGTTATATATTTTTTTTGATTTTGAATTAAAGTTTTTTTATGGTTTATATCTTTATTAAGATATAAAGTAATTATATTTAAATATATTGTTATGATTTACAGTAAAAATAAAAATTATTACATGTATTTATTAATAATATAATATTATTTGTATATTTTATTAAGAGACTTGGAGATATCGTGATAACCTTTTAACCTCCTAAAATTATATGATGGAGTGCGATTCATTAAATTTGGTAAATAGAAAGGGAGTTTAAAGAAGATAAAGTGAATATTTTTATAGAAAACGTTAGAAAATAAGGTTCTATCTTTAGAAGCAAGGTTGAATGAGCTTACAGAAAAACAAAAAACGCTTCAGGCAACATTAAAGTAATTTTTTGTGTTTTTTGGAGAAAATGGTTGAATTCTTTAGAAATCCAGATGCAACGAGCACAGTGAAGCAACATATTGTACTTCTTCATACATATAATGAGATACGAGATGTTGCATTGGGATTAATGGGAAAGATTGCAGATCAAGAACGTTGTAGAGTTGTAGAGGTGATGGATAGATTTGGGATTACTAAGGACGATTAAATATTTATTAAAGAGTTATATTTTTGTATTAAGTTGTGTATTTTTAGGAGTTTTTGCAGTTGTTTTAGATATAGGGTAAGGGCAAAGGTAAAATAACAGGGCTGTATGAATAGGGTTAGGGTAATGGATGTTAGGTTTAAAGATGAAAAATCCGTCGTCACTTTTTATCTTTAAATATTTATTTAAAAAAAGAATGGTAAGTTAAAGAGTTTTGCAATATTTTATAAGAAAATCGAATTCTTACGTCGGAAAAACATGGTATTTGGTTTTTAAAGGAGAAAAAAGGATGAATTTTGAAAATAATAGTGAAAAATAGATTATCACTAAATTATAATAATATTTGTGTTTCTAAACTAATATTAAATATAGTCATCGCATAAAACTTTTCGAAGAAAAATTATACTTGCTCGTGCTCAACGACAAAATCGACCAATTCCTCAATGGATTCGTTTACGAACGAATAATCGAATTAGATAGTATGTTTCAAATAAAATCATTCTTGATGTTAAATATTGTTAGTAATGCTAAAAGAAAACACTGGCGCCGAACTAAATTAAATATCTAAGTCATTTAAAAACTTAAATGATTCTGACTGGTTCATTTTTTAACTTAGATAATAAGCATTTTTGAGCCATTATTTTAATAATAAAGAATGTTTTATTAATTTGTCTAATATATGTTTTTATGTTGCTCTTGGTGTTATATTTGTTGTTACATTATTTAAAAGACTCATTCGAGGTGTTTTTAAATCATTCCTGATTGCACTTGCATGTCTCTGAGTTGCAGCAAGAAGAAATCGGCCTCCAGGGGTAAGCATGACCTTCCTTAAGTCAGGACTACTTGAAAATTTGGGTATTTCCTTTAGAAATGCAGCAGGTGTTTTTGCACGTTTTTTCTTTTTAATTTGCTCTGTTATTCGATGATGTAATATCTCTCTTGCAGGAATATCTGGCATCTTAAAAGCCCGTCCAGGTGTTTCTGGTATTCCTATAGAGCTTGATTCCATTTCTTTGCCTAGTTTTCGTGATTTTTTCAAGATTTCTGGTGAAGGCGTAGGTGCTTCGTCGACAAAAGTCCATCCTGCTACTTCAGGCTCTTTATCAATTGCTGAAAACGATGGTGATGCAATATATTCCTGACTTTCCAATGGCATTCTCGTTGCATGATATACAATCGATTTTTCTCCATTAGAAGGTAAAGATTTAGGTTTTGTATAATCTGTTTCTGGTGTAAACATCAATGTGTTCATAGGCTATAAAAATATACATATGTTAGTCAATCTCTTACTTAAATAGAAAAAATAAAAATCAAAAACTTCTTAATTACATTAAAAGGCCATGCTTCTGGTTGAGCTGGTCGTTCTTCAATACTTATAATATTATTTTCTGATGATATTTGACGTCGTTCTGCTTCCTTAACACGTTTGCTATCAATTTTATTTCTATTATCCCAAAGCCAACGATAGGCATCTCGTTGTCGTTCATTCTGTCGCTCTAAAATATCTGTAAAAGATGCATTATCTTCTGAGGTATATGTTGCTTGAAATTCATCCAGCGAAAGGTTTGGATTACATAACGAAGAAAGTATATCTTTAGAATCATTTTCTAAGAGATCTGGAAAAAAATCTCTTTTAATAATTTCGCTTAATGTTGCTTGATATGTATCTTCTTCCAAGACATGAGGTATTCTTTTTTTCTTAATTAAAGGCCTTTTATAAGCTTTTTCAATAGCGTTTTTTGGAATACACTTTAAATCGTCTTTTTCATTTATAGTTTCTTCCTTTTTCATCAGAAAATCGGAGAAAATATCGACCTTTCAAGAAAATATTGGTTCTTCAAATTATCTTACGTCTTGGAGATTAAAAATAGGTAAAAGAAATATAACCCTAACCCTACAAAACAATCACCTAACCCAATGTTTAACCCTTACCCCCTAAATTTTGATAATATGAAAGGGTTAGGGTAAGGTTTTAAGATAAATTATATAAATTAGATCTTGCCAAATTCTATTTTCTTTTTTTTCTAAGAAAATGACAACTTCGACTGTACCTTTCTCAGTGACATTTGTTGCAGGAGCAGTAGCAGGAATTTCTGAGGCATAACTCTCTTTTTCATTACTTTTGTCTTACTTTTTAGATTTTTTTAATGTATCCTTTAGATGTGGTAGGAAAAAAGAAAAAAGAAACCAAGATTCATTCATTTCAAATGAATGAGTCATTTTATATATTGAATTAAATAGAAAAGGTGAAAACCCGGTTTCAATTGAACGTGGGGAAAGCGGAATATCAAGGAATGAAAGATTGCTTGATATCTATTCTTAAAAAAGAAGGGTAAAAGGGATAGAAAAGGATAAGAAGCTTTATTAATGGAAAAATGGAATAGTGTTTTCCGGTTATATAGAGGAATCTTGCCGCCTATTTTAATGGAAGCACCAAAAAGGTATTAAATGAGATTTTTTAAAAGAAAAGAATTATTAATTTATTTTTTTATATAGAGCGACGAAATTTGCAGCAAATGAGCATTGGGGATTATTTTATCGTAATTTTTTTGGGATGGAGAAAATGAATCAAGGATTAAGCTTAATAACGGGTGCAACAGCAGGAGCTACCGAGTACGTCTATATATAAAAAAATATACATGAAAAATATTATTAATATTCCTCTTTTAAAGATCATTTATAGTGGTTCCTTTTGAGGTATTTTTTTTTATAATGATTGTTTTGACAATAATTAGCTCATTAAAATTCGGTATTTTTTCTTTTATACTTTATAAGAATATTTATATAGGATTCAGGCTTCAAAGCAAAGCAAATGCATCAAAATACAAGGGAGCTTTTGATTGTTTAATAAAAGTTTCACGAGATGAAGGATTATTTGCGCTTTATAATGGATTGGAAGCAACTATGTTTCGGTAAGAATAATTGCAAATATTAGAATGAATAAAGTTGATCATTTATGAATTAGACATATTACATGGAATGCTGGATATTTTAGCGTGATTTTTTCTGTCAGAGAGAAACTTAATAAACTTGAATGGAAAATGGATGAACGATTTAAAAATTTTTTGGCGGGTACACTGGGTGGCATTTCTGGAACATTGTTAAATACACCTTTTGATGTGGTAAAATCTCGAATTCAAAATACACCAAAGTTATCTGGTCAGAAACCTAAATACAATTGGGCTATTCCTTCTTTATGGACAATTTATAAAGAAGAAGGATTTTTTGCATTGTATAAAGGGTTTTTACCAAAAGTCGTTCGTTTAGGTCCTGGTGGTGGTATTCTTTTACTTGTTTTTGACCAAGTATCTAAAAAAAATATAACTTTACATAGCAATTAACTATTTTTTAGATTATTCAATTATATCAAAAAAATTTTACAAAAAATATTATTTATTAAAGATATTACTAGCTGTAATTCTCTTCAAATTTATTGGAAATCTTTTTTAAAAACTCTTATATATATACATTAGCTAAACAACTATTACTTTGATAATTCTAATCATATACTCTTCTATTTAGCTTTTCATATTTCAATTTTAACCTCAACATCCATGTTAACCTCTAAATTCAATGAACACCCGGCTGTCCTAACATGTCCACTCACGAACCTTTGGTTCAATTCTTTTCTAAATATATAACACATAATTCATAATATTACCATATAATTTTTGAAATTGACATTCTTCTGATTAATTATCTTATATATGCATCCATTGATATTACCTGACACTATTCAGACGGAAACTTCAGTACTTCAGGATCAAACTGAACAAATATGTTTACCTTACTTAACGGACAAAGTTAATTCCCAACTTAATCAAAAAACTCATATTGAATATCTTTTAAATATTTTAACTAAGCCCCTTCCAAAGTCATATTTAGCTTTAGATGCATCTCGTCCTTGGATTATTTATTGGACACTTTGCGCGTATGCGTTATTGGGGCAATCAGTTGAGGAATATAGAGAAAGGTAAGATATAGAGAATTATCTATTGAAGATATTTTCTAAAAGGAATTGAAACATATATTTTATGAATTATTGGGTTATATGCGTCTATTTAGTGGATTATATGCATTTGATTATATATTACTAGAATATATATATATTGTGTTATAGGTGTTTAACAAATTATACAGAACTATACAGTCAATTTCAGTACTTCAACTTGAATCAGGGGGGTTTAGTGGTGGTCATGGTCAAATTGCTCATTTAGCGCCTACCTATGCAGCTGTTATGGCTCTCTGTATTGTTGGGAGTGAAGCAGCATATAATATAATTAACCGGTCAGTTTTCCTCATTTCATAGTAAACATTCCATAATATTGCTTCAGTTCTAGTCTTTATTGCTGGATAATGCGATTGAAACAGTCAGATGGGAGTTTTTTGATACACGAAGGTGGCGAAAAAGATGCACGGTAAACATATAATATATAAAATAAGGATTGATTAAAAGAACTATATTTAGCGCAGTATATTGTGCGTTATCAGTAGCGTCTTTATTGAATCTTATGACGCCCGAATTAATTGAAGGAACAGCAGTATGGCTTTCTAGGTGACTTAAAATAAGATAACAAATTAATAATTTTAATATATAAAAAGATGTCAAACATATGAAGGGGGATTATCAGGATTCCCAGGGGCAGAAGCACATGGTGGTTATGCATTTTGTGTATTAGCGTCGTTAACTATGATTGGAAAACCAAGTATGATATTTGATCAATATCTTAATATATCAAAATTAATGGCATGCGGTTTAGAATAAAAATATCTAAGATATACTAATTATAAAATAGAGATGGTTAGCGTTGCGTCAATCATCAGTAGAAGGAGGATTTTCTGGACGAACGAATAAATTAGTAGATGGTTGTTATTCGTGGTGGATTGGAGGATGTTGGGCAATTCTCTCTAGCGTAATAGAAGATGTTAGAACTCCGTTAGTCGATAAGAGTATTTTTATAAAAGATTATTTTGTATTTCAATAAGTTATAAAATAGATGCTTTACGAAGGTTTATTCTTACATGTTGTCAATATAAAACTGGTGGACTTAGAGATAAGCCGGAAAAGTAAAATATCTTAACTTTTCTTTATTTTGATTAATTTAATATAGATACCCTGATCAATATCATACATGTTATTGTATTTCAGGTCTTTCTGTTATTCAAAACGTTTATTTTTATTCAGAAAATGATAAAAAAGATACCGCATTAGGAGAATCTGTATTTAACTGGTACCATGATCATCTCATAGAACAATCAGTTTTTGCTACTGATCAAATTAAGGCTGTACACCCTATCTTAGCTATTCCTATGGATAAGCTTTGCGATATTTGGCTTTGGCGTATAAAAAAAGATTCTATATAAATATTCCTTCGGGAACAACATATTTAATATCATTTCTTAATCTTCTTATTAATGTATTTTTTTTATGTTTTTTTAGAGGCTGGATCTCGAACACCAAAGCTACTGACGATGACCAGATTTCATCAGAGAATGTCTTTTTGATGAAATGTTCACATGTGTTTACTGTTTAAGCATATGTTTTTACCCAGAAGCATCTCCTTGGCTTGAAATATATCTTGAGCGGCTTTTTGGCGCTTCATTTACAGCAAATTTTTTATATAAAATACAACAAGCAAAGAAACTACCAAAAACAGATATTTTTGAGCAGTTGCCATCAGAGGATTTTGAATATTATCAGAATATATATAAACGTGCAGCAGAGTACAGTTGGAGTGTAAAAGAAAATTCATTTGAAAGACAAACAAATATTTTTTCATTGAACAAAGGGAAACGTCCTGTAAATAACATTATTAAGGGGGAGGATTCTCGAGTTGAATACATTTTTGTTGAATGGTTAGATATAGAGGAAAAAACAGGGAAAAAAATGAAGGTTAAGTCACAGAACGAGGCATCATTTAAAGATGAAAAAACTTCATCTAATCCTCCATTAAATGATAAAATATCGCGTGCACAATATATTCCATTTAAAGAGGATAACATGAATACTCAAAAACATGGGATTGCTAATTTTGGATTTGGAGTGATTCATATTTATCGAGATGGAAAAATGTTATCTACTAAGGAGGAATGGGATGGGGAGGAGTTAACGTCGAAGGATAAGGTTGTAGCAATTCTTGCAGTTCCAAGCTATATGACAACTTCTGATTTCTTAGGGTTTGTGGGTGAAGATGTAAAGAATCAAGTTAGTCATTTTAGATTTATTCGGTAAGATATTAAAAAAATGTATTTTTTTGAAAGATACAAGAAAACAGACCTATGATATAATAGACTAGTGAAAATATTTGTCTGTTATTTTTTATTTTTATCATATTTTTTCCTTTGATTATAAGCTAATAATAGGAAGAACAAGTGCACCGAATCGATATATGGTTTTACTTAAATTTAGACAATTCAAGAATGCTAAGGCTTTCTATAATACGTTTAATGGGAAATCGTTTAGTTCTACAGAGGTATGAATAATTTATTGTTAATCCTTTGAATTTACGTTTTATAGCCAGAAAAATGTCATACAGTTTTCATTAAACAGATTTTATTTCAATCTAAACAAATTCCGAAAAAAGAACTTTTGTCTTCTACAGATGATCCATTTTTGCCCGTTTTTGATATATTTGAAACGTGCCAAGCAGCCTCCACATTAACTATACCTATTGTATCTCCAACATTTGGTCTTCGTGAGCTTCCAACATGTATTTTTCTTGATTTCATGTTTTTGATCTATTCACATTGATATTAGGTGTTGTTTGTTTAGAAAGAATGGATGCATCTGTAACTGGGCTCTTAACTATATTGTATGTTTATAATTTACAAGAAAAAATTACTGATCTTTGTAGATGTCAGCATACATTTCATTGTCAATGCTTAAGTAAATGGGGGGAAAATAAGTAAGTATATTTAAGTTAATGTTTTATTTAAATATTAATTCCTAAAGCTGTCCTGTATGTCGATATTCACAGCAAAAGGATGTTTTAAATGCCGCTAGAATTAATAGTCAATGTAGTGTTTGTGGTTTACAAAAAAATTTATGGATATGGTTTTTTTTGATCTATTTTTTGCATTTTTTTACTTTAATTAGTTTAATTTGTGGACATATCGGATGTGGTCGTTATGATCTTGCTCATGCTTATGATCATCATATTAATACGGGGCATTGTTATGTTATGGATATGGAAACTGAAAGAATATGGGACTATGTGGATGATTGGTATTTTTTAAACCTACGTTATTTAATACAATTAACATTTAGTTATGTACATCGGTTAATTCAGAATAAAATCGATGGAAATTTACTTAAATTTCCATCTACTTCTTATTGTCCAGATACTGAAGAATCAGTATCTGAGAAAAATTATTTAGATATGAAAAAAAAACTAGAATCAATGAGTTTAGAATATACATATCTTTTGACATCTCAGCTTGAGCTTCAAAGGATTTATTACGAAAATAAGATAACAGCAGCAATGGATAAAGCAAAAAAAGCAGCAGAAGAAGAAAAACAAGTTAAGCAGGAAATGGATAATCTAATGAAAAAATTCTCTGAATTAGAGATAAATTTTAATGAATCTCAAAAAAAAATAAATGATTTAAAAATATTAAATTCTCAAAATGGAAAAAAACTAGAAAAATCCTCTGAGCTGGCTCGGCGTATGGAAAAGGAATGGAAGGAAGAGAAGTTATTGAATTCAACATTAATGCATCGGATTGAACATTTGAATATCGAAAATAATAAAATACGACTTGATTCCGAAGGCTTGAAATTAAAAATAGAGGATTTGTCTGATCAATTAAGGTATTTTTTTATATAATTTTTCCCATCTAAATCCAAAAATACAAATATCTGACTTTATACTAGAGATGCTATGTTTTTCATTTCTTCTCAAAAACATCTTGATACTATGAATGATGATCTAAAAAAAGAACTTCAAGCAGGAACTATCTTTATTCCAAAGAAATCAAAAAAAAAAAATAAAAAATAATATTTATATTTAATATATAGAATACTTTTGCTTTTTTTTTCTTTTATATATTTTATATTAGTCACGTGCACTATTAATTTACTGTTATCGCTTCTCACGATAATAAATTTTATAAAAAAAAAGATAAAACATGGCTTCCTCAACGTTTTATCGTAAGTTTTGCGGCGTATTTTGTTTTTTTTTAGAGTCTTATTCATGTTTTTTTAGGTTCAGAAGAGATTTCTATGGTAATATACGAAAAAGAACGGTGAAAAATGAGTGGATATTGATGAAATTTAGGTTCAGTTTTATTTTCCCGTAGAAGTGGCGAAATTAACAGTATCTGCTCTTGGAGACCTCGGAATTGTTCAATTTTGTGACGTAATATATATATATGCTTTTTTTCCGATAAAAATTAAAGGATTTTAGCTGAATGAAAATATCAATATTTTTCAACGAGCATTTGTTAAGGAGATCAGGCGATTAGACGAAGTAGAACGTCAACTACGTATTTTTTTAGTGTAATAAAATGATATTTTCTAAGGAGAATATAGAATTTTTGTATGAAGAAATTAAAAAAACAGATATCAAGATTATAACAGCGGATAATAATGATAATATGACCAGAACATCGAATTGCCATGAAATAGATGAAATATTTGAGAAAGCGTCTTTTTTTGAGAGTCGGATTTGCTCTTTAAATGAGTCTTACCGAACATTAGAGAAACAATATTTAGAATTATTAGAATTACGTTATGTACTCGAGGAAACAGAACAGTTTTTTAACAAAGTGCGTAGAAAGTTGTTGTTTTTTTATGATTTTTATATTGATGTATAATAGAATTATAGTATTCAAGAATCATCTATATCTATTAACGATATGGATACGGCACCATTATTGGAAAATGATGCGGAACAAAATACAACCAATATTCAAGGTTTAATGGGAATGAGCATTGGGTATTTTCTATTGATACTATATACGAATTAATTTTTATATTTTATTAGATTTACAACGGGTGTTATTCCTCGTATTCATATGGCAACATTTGAGAGAATTTTATGGAGAATGTTACGTGGAAATCTCTACATGAATCAAACAGAAATAGCAAACCCTATTAATGATCCTATTACAAATGAACTTATTGATAAAAATGTTTTTATTGTATTTTCTCATGGAAAGGAAATTAATAATAAGATTCGAAAGATTTCTGAAAGTTTAGGTGCTACATTATATAATATAGATGAAAGATATTCAAGAAGATGTACGCACATACAGGAAACTAATCTTGCTATTGATGATCTCATGTCTATTCTGAAGAATACTAAACAAACTGTATATGCAGAACTACGAATAATTGCAGAGAATATAGTTAATTGGATAACTATTGTTAGAAGGGAAAGGGCAATCTATCAAATTATGAATTTATTTATATATGATCAAAACCACAAGTGTTTAATTAGTGAAGGATGGTGTCCTACAAATAGTTTATATTTGGTGCGAAATACTTTAAGAGATGTTACAGAGCAAGCATGTATTCAGATGCCATCTATTTTGAATGAGATTAAAACGTCGAAGACACCTCCGACCTTTCATTCTACTAATAAATTCACAAAAGCATTTCAAACAATTATTGATGCATATGGTGTTGCATCTTATAGAGAAGCAAATCCTGGTCTTATAGCTATTGTTACATTTCCGTTTTTATTCGCTGTAATGTTTGGGGATCTTGGTCATGGATTTCTTATATTTATTGCCGCATTATATTTATGTTTAAATGAGAAAAAACTTGAAAAAAAAAAATATGGAGAGGTTTTTTTTATTCTAATAATAATAATTTTCTAATATATATCTATAAGATTTTTGATATGGCATTTCAAGGACGTTATATGATACTTCTAATGAGCATATTTTCTATGTATACAGGACTTATTTATAATGATATTTTTTCAAAACCGATGAGCTTGTTTAAATCTGGTTGGGAATGGTCTGAATCTTCAGGAAATTCGACTGTTATATTAGCAAAGAAGGTTGGTGTTTATCCATTTGGTATAGATAGTGCATGGCATGAGTCTGAAAATGCACTTATATTTTTAAATTCATATAAAATGAAAATGTCTGTTATTCTTGGAGTTATTCATGTGAGTTTAAGTTTTTTTTCTATCTTTAAGATTTACAATTCCTAGATGACATTTTCTCTAATGCTTTCATTAACAAATCATATATTCTTTAAATCTCCATTAGATATTTGGACTCAATTTCTTCCTTCTTTTTTATTTCTTCAATGCATATTTGGTTATATGGTCTTTACTATTATTTATAAATGGTCAGTAGATTGGTCTAAATCTCAAACTACGCCTCCTGGTATTCTCAATATGTTGATTTTTATGTTTTTATCTCCAGGAAAAATTCAAGAACCTTTATATCGAGGACAGAAATACGTACAAGTATTTCTTCTTTTTATATCTTTAATATGCATTCCTTGGTTATTGCTTGCAAAACCATTTGTTCTTAGATATGAACATCGTCGAGCTATTCTTCAGGGTTATCAAGGTGTTTCGAATCGTTGTTCTTCTACATTAGATGATAGCGATACTGACAGAACTCCTCTATCATCTGAAGTTCATGAACACTTTGATTTTGTTGAGATTTTGATTCATCAGATTATTCACACTATTGAATTTTGTTTGGGCTGTTTATCTCATTGTGCAAGGTAGCTTTATTTTTTTTTTATTTTATTTACTAACGTTATAAAGTTATCTTCGACTCTGGGCTTTAAGTCTTGCACATAACCAATTAAGTGCTGTTTTATGGTCTATGACTTTAAAGATTGCTTTTAGAAAAACTGGTATTACCGGAGCAATTTTATTAGTTTTTGTTTTTGCTTTCTGGTTTATTTCAACTATTGTAATTTTATGTTTGATGGAAGGTAATCTTTTTTTCTTAACTTTTTCTTTACTTTTAATTAAAAACTAGGAACAAGTGCAATGCTTCATTCATTACGACTTCATTGGGTTGAAGCTATGTCAAAATTTTATCAAGGTGAAGGTTATCCTTTTGAACCTTTTCATTTAACAAATAAATTTTATGACATGTAAAATATATTACAATATTTTAAAATTCATAATCATATTATATTTAAACATATACATTCATTTATCTTTAACATTTAATATTCAAATTATATACATGTTTTTTTATCTTTCATATCTTAGATGCTCGAGCTGCATCTGATTGTTTACGTAATGAACCTGTTAAACGTCGATCTCGTTCCATCATCTGTTCATCCCACCGATCAACTGAATATCGAGGAGTCTATTATTTAATACATTTAGATAAATTTAATAATTAAATAATAATAATAATAAATTAATAACTAACTACATACATAACCTTCATTACGATATTGTTTAACAGCTGTTAAAAGCCCTCCTGTTACAACAAACATACCAATAATAATACCAAAAGGTAACACTGCTTCAAACGGTACTGGCATTTTTTAAGATGTTTAATCGAAATATAAAAATATTAATGATTTTTTTATTTTTTAATAAAAAATAACGAAAAAAACTGGCATCTCGAGATTTAATACGACTATTATAGCCCTTTAAAAACTTAAGAAATGGATTTTAATATCCTAATTTTAAATAAATAATATATAAGAATAAAATAGAATTAATGGAAGAGACATTAGCGGATACTTCAAACTTGAATAAACATAATGAACGAATGCTTCGTTCTCGATATTTAAGATCAAATCTATCATTGGATGCACGTAATAAACCACGTGTTTTATTACGTATTATTCGTAGATCTTATAATAGTCTTCATCTTATGATTAAAATGGAGGTAAATGAATTACGTAAACGTTTAAGACAAAAAGAGAGGATTGAAAGGCCATTTGGAGGGTTATTATCAGCTGAAGAAGCAGATACGTCTAAAACAATACCAAATAATGAAGATCGAGAGGTTTTTATGGAGGCGAGTCGTAAGGCAGAGGTATGTTTTAATAATGTGAAGGATGAAGAGGGAATATAAGGATATAATACACATATGTGCGTATTATATACATGATATATACGCACAGCATGCCCATTTATGCACATAAGAAACTTATCATTACATATATTCTATTAACAAATTTACTAATACATAATTAAGGCACGTCGAGCTAGAGAACGTCGTGCCATGGGCGATACAAATTCATCAGAAGGAATTATACAGTCAATTCAATTTGGTAATTTTGAAATAGATGCATGGTATGCTTCACCATATCCAGAGGAATATAGTCATAATAAAATCCTTTATATTTGTGAGTTTTGTCTTAAATATATGAATAGTGAATATGTATCTTGGAGGCATCGAGTAAGTCACGTGACATGTAAGTAATGTTAATGAAAAAGTAGTTAAAATGTCCAATGAAATGTCCGCCTGGGGATGAAATATATAGGGACGGGACTCTTTCAGTATTTGAAGTGGATGGACGAAAAAGCACTGTAAGTTTGTGTATATTATGAATATTGAATAAAAAGATTGATAATGAATAAATAGATATATTGTCAGAATTTATGTTTGCTGTCAAAGATGTTCTTACAGTCTAAAACGTTGTATTATGACATCGAACCATTTTTATTTTATATTGTTACAGAATATGATGATATTGGGTGTCATTTTGTAGGATATTTTTCAAAAGTAATGAAAGAAAGAGGGAAAAGAAATACTAATAAGATAAAAGGAAAAAAGATCGAATAGTGATTATAATGTTTCATGTATTTTGACGCTTCCTATTTATCAAAGGAAAGGATATGGGAATTTTTTAATTGAATTTAGCTATCTTTTAAGTAAACGAGAGGGTAAGATAGGGACACCAGAAAAGCCATTATCATATTTGGGATTAGTATCATATCGAAATTATTGGAAAATTAAAATGTGTTATGAATTGTGTAATCTAAAGAAGCCAACAAGTATACAAGAAATTTCTAAAAGAACTTCAATGACGCCAGATGATATAATATCAGCGTTAGAACGATTGGATGCTTTAGTACATGATCCGATTTCGAAGATATTTGCAATTAAAGTAGATCAAAATAAACTTCAAGATATATGTAATAAATGGGTTCAAAAAGGATATCAGCCTGTCAAGCCAGATTGTTTAAAATGGGTTCCATTTCTTCAAGGTAATTTATCGGATCTAAAAGAATCAATTAATATATCATCATTACCACCAACGCATCAAAAATTTGATGTTAATATGAATAATGATTCTGAAGGAATGGAAAAAAACATGACTTGCCAATCAAATGGTGTTTTTGGAGAAATAAAAAATAAAATGGAATGCTCCACGTTGTTTCACGAGTCTTCATCTGTTGGTAATACTGATTTATCTTTTTCAATGAATAATATTCCCATTAAAACTAAAAACATTTCTAAAGATGCATTGGATATGTTCATTCCTGATTCTCGTTTTCTACCGGTTACTTCGATTTTTCATCAAAAAAGTGCATGTAAACGGGGAAGACCTCTTGGAAAAACTAATCGAAAATTGAATATTCTTTCATCAACACTTACGGCTTCAAAAGAATCTTCTCTTGAATTTCGTGATAAAATTCAAAAATCTTATGATGGATTGGATTTATATAATGCTTTAGACAATTCAAATTTGCCCGATTAATTTTTCGAAGACTTTTTTAAAGAATAATCTTATAACTTATAGAATTATTGAAAAAAAAAGAATTCTAGACTTAATTCTTAATATTCTTTTTTATTTCGGTAAGATTTTTCTTTTTTCCCTTTCATTTGTTTTTTTTCTTTATTTACTTTTTTTAAGGTTTGTGTCTTCTTCCTTTTCAATAATTTTTTATCTTCATATGCTTTTTTAAGATATTCTTGAATCTTATACAACTGAGCATTAATATTTGCATTTCGAAATGTTAATTGCGTTTCAAGCGATTCATTTACATTATTTTCAGCTGGATTATCAATATTAATTCTTCTAGACGTTTGTAAATATTCTGAAAGAAATGTAATCGAATTTGAAATATTTAAACGTGCAAAAGAAATAACATTAAGTGTTGGTGAAACTGAAAAAGATTCAAGTAACATCAAAATAGATATAAAATCCTTATTATTTTCGAAAAAATAGATTAAAAAAATACATTAAATAAAATGGTTTTTAAGTCGTATGAGAAAAATTAGACGGTATTTATTATCTTTTTTTTCTTAATATTTTTTAGTATATAAATAATAATCGAACATTTAAAACGTACAGAAAAAAAGTAGATTTTTTTTTATTTTTGAAACTTAAATGCAGGATACAATTGAAGCAGTATTAGACGATTTTCGTACATATTTTCTCTTTTTTTTTTTCTTATTTTATATTATTTAGGTCATGGACATTTTGTACTTGTTATGGATGATGAAGACCGTGAAAATGAAACTGATTTGATTTTGGCCGCAGAATTTATGACTTCAGAAAAAATGGCATTTATGGTTCGGTATACTACCGGAATTATATGTGTTCCTTTGCCTTGTCAACGTTTAGATCAATTAAAGATTCCTTTAATGGTTAAATCTTGTGAAAATACAGAAAATATGGGAACAGCATTTACTATTCCAGTTGATTTTAAAGGTCGGTTTAATCTTTTTATCTATAATACATATATATATTGATATATATGTAAACAGATACATCAACTGGTGTTTCAGCTCAAGATCGTGCATTAACTGTTCGTATGTTAGTGGATCCTTCGATTGTAAATCCTCAAATGTTTCGAAGACCAGGACATGTTTTTCCATTAAAAGCAATGGAACGAGGGTTATTAGATCGACAAGGACATACAGAAGCAGCTATAGGTAAAAAATTAAAATAAATTGAATTACATAATTAGGAAAAATATAGATTTATGTAGGTTAAGCGGATTAAAAATGGGTGCAGCAATTAGCGAACTAATAAAGGAAGACGGATCAATGGCACGCAGAAAAGATTGTGAAATATTTTCAAAAAAATATGGGATTAAAATGATTACAATTTCTTCATTAGTAAAATATATATCTGATGGACGTTTCTATGACAACTGTTGCTAAGGATAATAAAAAAAAATATTAATATTAAGATGCTTTTATTTTTACATAATTTATCATTTTACAGCCATTTTTTTAGGCGTGAAAGATGGTAATTGATTGTATTAACCGTCTGATTTTTTCGAGTCTTTAAATTTATTTATTTATTTATTTATTTAATTTAAAAAAAATAAAAAAATACCTTTTCTTTCATACAATTTTCTAAAGCAACTACAAAGGCTTTACAAGCGATTGCATCGGGTTGGCCTCCATGGGCTGCCCAACATCCAAGCATTGCACTCATTTCAGTGATACATGGGCCTAATAAAAAAAATTATAAAAAATATGTTAGAAAAAAAACAAGTAATATACTAATTGTACGATTCCTTTTGGGCTTTACTTTTAGTTTTTTTAACCGAAAATGTGGGATTATTGACATTTTTTTGATTTTTGAAAAAAATTTAAGTTTAAAAATAGTAGAGAGGTGTAAAATATTTATAGTTTGAAACATGAGATTTTGATTAATAATATATATATAATAAATTGTATTATTTTCTTAAAAAAAAGTTATTTCATAAATTTAATAAAATTAGTTATCACTTTACATTGTATGCTATAAAAACCAGAATTGATATTTATATAACAATATAAAAATCATTTTTTTGATAGACAATATTCATATGTTTTCAGTTTTAGATGAATGATTTGTATATTTAAATCATATTCTTAAAAGTATTGGGTATTTAGAAAACTAAAAAAATAATTCTTTTAGATTGCTTCCCTATTTGCTTGAGCCAAATCATCCATTAAAGAGGTATTATCAATAATAATTCGTCGACCTCGTTCTTCTTCAGGAACTCCATCCGCTGCTGCACCAAAATCCAAAACTTCAATGTAAGTTACATGGTCTCTCTGTACTGCAGCAACACAACGGCGTTCATCAAAGCGAACCTGCCATACACCAGATAAATCAGTAAGTATATTAGCTACAAAACGCCCTGTTCGAACGTCCCACATTTTAAGAAGGCCATCACTGCCACTAATTACTTTATTTTCATCATGCTGGAAACATGTTATAGCTCCTGTATGAGAAGAAAGTACATGAATACATTTCCCAGTATCTGGATCCCATATTCGTAGTGTGGAATCAGCAGCTGCTGATACCAAATAATCATACGAGAGGTCCAAAAGACCTACTAAAGAACTATGACCTAATAATATTTAATATACTTTTTAATAACAAATAAATGTTAAAAAACCTTCTAACGTCCAAAGACAAGTGCCTGTTTCAAGACTCCAAATTTTTACTTTCCAATCCATACTTCCACTTACACATCTATTTCGTTTTGGATCGATTACTACACTATATACTTTTTGAGAATGACCAACTAATCTCCATATACATTCTCCTGTAGAGATTCTCCAAACTCGAACTGTACTGTCGTAGCTACCACTAACTAAAATATTATTATATCCAGAAATAGCTCTTACTGAATTTGTATGGCCAACCAGAGTTCTTATATAATAAGGGTTGGTAGATACATTAGTACTATCTGCATTAACAGCATTCGGAGAAGATGGAGGTGATGGTCTATAATGAACTTCTCCAGGTTGTGGAAGCCTCCATACACGTAATGTAGAATCTCGAGATCCTGTTACAATTACTGACGTATTTATTTGCTTTTTGATTCCATTATGAGTAAATTCTATATTTGTGGAAGGCAAAATTTGAAGACAACGTACAGTTGAAATATGTCCTTCGAATATTTGTGTACATTCACCTTTAGCAATATCCCAAACACGTACAGTACGATCTGTAGAACCTGATACTAAAGAATTACCCAAATATTGTAATGCCCAGACGCCTCCTTCGTGGCCTTGTAATCTTCTTCGAAGTCTTCCTGTTAAAGTGTCATAAATATTTATACTACTATCATCGGAGCCCGTAATAATTTTGTCTGCATCAAACTGTAAACATGTAACAACATTCCGATCATGACATCGAAAGGAAATGTGTCGTGGCTTTATATTAGGGTTCATCCAATTCTTTCGAATAATATGATGTTTTTTATATAATGCTTTAAATAAATGTTGTTTCTGAATAAAATTGCTTTCTTTATTTTCTACTTCTTGAAAATATTTTTCAGTAGTTTCTCCATGCTCCGCAAGAGAATGCTTTTCGTTCTGAATATTCAAAGTCTTTTCACATTTTTTCGAATACATATTCGAATTAACATGTAAAATATGCTTTATTTCCTTTAACATATGAGTTGAAGATACATCATTTGAATCCGTGCATTGAAGAACCCTGTCTTCTGAAACAATTTGATCAAGCTCATTATCCCGTAATTTAAAACCATCAGCATCGAAACGCATTTTCCAAATCCATTCATCTGCATCAACAATTTGCTTCCATTTTTTTGATACCTGTGCTGCACGGCATAGAGATTTTACATCCAATTCTTTCAAGATATTGAATGCTAATTCAAATGGTAAAAGAGCAAGAAAATCACGTTTAAGTGTTGGATTAACTAAATTTGCAACGATTTGTAAAGTTGTTTTATTGCACCGACGAAGCAAATGGTGTATAAGATATGTTTGAATATTAGGAGGTAAATTATCAAAAATATTCAAAATTTCCGGAATTCGAATTATGGAATTTCCTTGGTCAGATAAAACGAATGTATTAATTTCTTTTATGTCTATTTGTTCATAGTTTTCCTTTTGGCTCTTACAATGAACTGTTTTTGTTGTGTTTAAACGATTATTTCGAGAAGCAAAGTAAGGTTCATTTTCAGAATTTAAAGTAGTTATAACTGGAGAAAGAGATGGAGAAGGTAGAGGAAGAAATTGATAAGATGGTAGATTAGATTCAATAGGTATTTGATTCCGAGAACCTTTTAAATTAGTCAGCATTATGTCATTGTGAATTACAATATTTATATTACCATTAGAAATATTTTTATTTAAGTCCGAATTAGAAATTATTTTCGTAGAAATATCATCATTAGAAATATCTAAAGGATCAACATCAACAATATTTTGAAGACACTTTTTTTCAATGTTGGAACAAAAGGATTCATGTCCAATATGTTTAGACGTGTTTTCACGAGTAATTCTAGTTTTAAATGCCTGATCCTCATGAGAAACTAAAGAATTACTGTGTATTCTTTGATAAGAAGATTCTGCTAAGACTGAATCAGTTTGCAGCATTGGTAATTCCATCTCATTTTCCAGAACTTGTGTATCTTTTTTTTTAAAAGAATGTTCTTCATTTTCCCTAACAGTTATAGTTATAGTATTATTTTTTTCAAGACGTTCCATATCTTCTCGCAGCTAAAACTTATCAAGAACGTGTTAAAAGGTCCCTTTTAATCATTTACCTGAGTAAGAGACTCATGTGGCGCATCGCTTTCTCGAAAATAGGCCGGTCTTCCATCAATATCAAAACAAAACCGTTTTAAACAAGCTGGAGTAGGTGCATCATAAAGCGGATATTGTTTCGAATCAAAATTCTTCTTCTTTTTAGGTGGATAGAAGACAATAGGTGGAAAATTTGTTGTAGTAGTAGTTGTTGTTGTTACTACTGTTGTATGTGTAATAGGCCCAAGAGAAAACTGAGCAACCGCTGGTGTACCTTCATATTTAGATTCTTTATGTTCTGCATACGTATGCGATGACGTTTCTGGTATTATAATTAAATGTGTTTTATCATCTTCTACAGATAAAAGCTGCCTAGAATCCGGAGATAAAGGAGTTTCCATATTCCTATAACATACAAAAGCTAAGAATAAACGTTCATTAACCCAAAATATCTCTTGATTATATATATTTGATATTCCTAGTTATTATTACTTAATAACTCCCTAAATGCCTTAATTTTGTCGGTTTTTTTCCAGGAAAAAAAACCGACTGGACTTTAAATATCAACAAATACAATGTTCTGTGTTATTTTTACTTGATTTCAGACCTTATTATCTAAATTTCTCTCTTTTTTTTTCTTTTTAAATGTTTAGAACGTCTGAGGCTAGAGGGGAACACTGAGGGTTAACGACAATATACAAACTCTTAAAGATGTCCAAGAAATATCAGAAGATAAAAATACATAAAAATCAAAAAAAATAGCACAGAAATATAAGTTTAATAAATATGAAAGAGAATGAAAATCTGTTATGATTTAAGGAAAAAATAAAAAATAATTTAAGGATATTTTAATTATTAAAAATAAGAGTTGTTTTAACTGTAGCTATTATACATGTTTAATGTTTAAGAATATACATTTTTGTAAATTATAAGGAAATTATGTATAATTTTAATCTAAATGATCAATTTTTTCGCCACGAATAGCTTTTTCTATTTCTTCAGATGTAAGTGTTTCAAATTCAATAAGAGCTTTAGCAAGGCGATCCAGTTCTTTTTTATGTGTTTTAAGAATATTTGTTGCACGTGCTTGTGCTTCTTCTAATAATGTTTTTATTTCAGATTCTACAAGTGCTTTTGTTGAAGAAGATAGACGTGACAAATCTTGATCATACGCAACAGGTCCTACCTAAATTATTATATTAAAAAAAAATTAAATAAAAATTTGAATAAACCTTATCACTCATTCCATATTGTGTTACCATTGCTTTTGCTATGGCAGTAGCGTTTTGAATATCCTTTTTAAATTAGTATTATTAAGGAGTTTTAAAAAAATAGTTATACGCTTAAAGATCCTGATGTGACATTATCTTTTCCAAGTGTAAGTTCTTCTGCAACCCGACCTCCTAATGCAACATCTAACTAATAAAAAATTAATATTAATTACTAGAAAATATTTGAATAACCTTAGCTAAAAATTCTTTTTTAGATTCGGTATATTTATCCATATCAGGCAATTGCATAACCATTCCAAGAGAGCTTCCACGTGGTATAATCTAAAATAATCTAATTAGATTTTTTTAATATTACAATTAAAATACAGTTGCTTTGTGTAATTTCATTGCACCCGGTGTATATAAGGCTACAAGAGCATGTCCACCTTCATGGTATGCAGTATTTCGTTTACTTTCTTCAGTAATAAATGCATTTTTACGTTCAGTACCTTAAATACCATTAATCTATTTTAAAATGTATGATTTGTATACCCATTAGAATTTTATCTCGTGCCCATTCGAGATCTTTCATAGAAACATATCTAGAATTTAATTTACTACTTTTTATTGCAGCTTGATTTACTAGATTTTGAAGATCTGCACCAGAAAATCCTGGAGTACCTCTAGCTAAAATAGTAAGATCAATATCTTTAGCCATCCTTATTTTTTTAGTATGCTGTTTAAGAATGCTAAGTCTCCCTCGAATATCAGGTAAAGGAACAATAACATGTTTATCAAAACGACCAGGACGAGTAAGTGCTGGATCTAGAGATTCTGGAAAATTTGTTGCTGCCATAATAATAACACCTTCCTTATTGGAAAAACTAAACATATTATCAACAAAATCACGTATATTTATAGAAATAATTTACCCATCTAGCTCTACCAATAATTGATTTAATGTTTGTTTTATGTAAGCGGAGTCTTTTGGATTTCTCTTACTTCCTATAGCATCTAATTCATCAATAAATACAATACTTGGAGATCTGTCTTTTGCAATATTAAATAATTCTCGTACACGTTTTGCTTGTATATATGTTAGAGATGTTTAAAATAAAATTAAACAGATACCACCAATCCCAACATACATTTCGTCAAACTCACTTCCACTCATAAAAAAAAAAGAAACTCCTGCTTCCTTTGCAACAGCTTTCGCAAGCATAGTTTTCCCTGTTCCAGGCGGGCCTATAAGTAATACACCTTTAGGAAGTTTTCCTCCTAATGCTGTAAATTTTTGCGGGTTTTTTAAGAAATCGACAACTTCCTGGAGATCTTCTTTTGCTTCATCAACACCACAAATATCACTAAATTTTACATCAGGCAAATTATCACCAGAAGCTTCAATATCCTGAGATTTATTTAATGATCTCAAGATTCCCGCACTTTCTGCAAATATTGTAGATAATAAAATGAATATGTACCCAACAAAAGTGAATGACAAAAGAAATTTTGCCCATTTAAAAACTTTAGCCTGACGAGATTCTTCTGTGATGACATAAATGGGGTTCTTTTTAGTATCCTGAGAAAATGATTGAATTATAGACATATACGGATGATTAGACGAGAATTGCTTGCTGGAGCTATTGCTTGATGTGTTTTCTTGGGTATTTGCAAGAATATTATCAGATTTTTGTGTAATACTGCCAGAGAATGCATCTTGTAAATTAGTATTTATATATTTCCGCACTATTAATGCTTTTTCTATTTGCCCCGTACTTTCAAGTGCTTTTGCATATATTAAATCGCAATCTTTGTTTCTTGCCGCTCCTGTATCTTCATAGCGTGATATTATAAATTCAGGATAAGAATTTAATAATGACTATTTAATTAGAAATGATGAATCGTTTAAAAATATGGTAATATATACTTTATAATATATATATTGTTGTTCAGGATCATTAATAGATGCGTTTGCTTTTTCTTCTAGATCTGCCAGATAACAATTATAACTTTGATTCAAAGTTCTATAATATCTTTGATGAAAAATACTATATAAATTTGTACATAATCTTCGTGTATTTGGATTTATAGATAAATACATTTTTGCCTGTTTTATTATTGTAAATTGTTGAATATCTGTTGAATACGACCGAGATGGTATAAATATAAAAATCATCCGTTTGTTATATTGAAAAAATACTTCTTCAAAGGTCTTTGTAATCCTATTGCTATAAAGTCTCTTTTTACCGATTCCATATATTAAATTATCAAAATTTGTTTTCAAATACTCAGATATCAAAAAAAGGCTCCTCAATTAATAAATACATATAAAACCTTATTTATCTTACTGAATTCTTCCACTTATATTTGCCATTTATCAAGGATAAATAATATCTTTTTTTTCTGTAAAAATACTAGTTTTAGAAAGATCTAATAATGAATGAATAAATCTTAAATAACCCCAAATAAACTAATAAAAATTAATAACAAATCTTAATAAAATATAAAAATATAATAGAAAAATCTATTTGACAGTTGGATTTTATAAATATTTTATTATTCATCAAATATTTTTTTTATCAGAGTTCACAGGCTGAAATATTAAAAATCGATATAAGAGATTTTATGTAGATTAATAAAATGATTGAATTATAGATAAAAAATTGGTATTTGAAGTATTTTTAAGGGCTTATATTTGCATTAAATAAAAAGCATTTGTATTTAATAAAAAGATAATTTTTAAAATATAAAGTTGTAAAAAAAGCTACAAAAAAGATTTCATAAGTATAAATTTAACAAGTAAAATAATGTTTCTTATATATTTTAAGTATATATTTCTAATATAACTTAGCTTTAATCTGTTTTAATTTGACAGTTTGAAGAAAAAGTGTAAAAACCAAAGAGTTCCTAGTCGATATTTAGAAATAAAATATTGATTATAGAGTAGATCCTAAAACCAAGTGTATATACATCGTTTTAGTGAAAGTTTTTGGTATAAAAAACTAGTTGAATATAAATAAAGTTATAAAAGATATAAAAAATCCATTAACTAGAATTAAAAATTAAAAAAATATATATAAAATGTTGGTTTTTTATAATTCGAAAAAAAATATTAGAAAAAGGTTATAAGAGTATCACCTGTAGAGATTATGATCAAACCAAAGTATTAAATTGTTTTAAAGTGGTTAAGATTTCTAGACCAATCCCATAGAGAAGTCTCTTCTTGAATTAGTTGCAATTGAGGAGATGGATATTCATGACGTAAAGGCGATATATTTGCATTGATAACATGTTGATAATTGAACAAATAGTCATCTTGGGGTTTTTGAGAAGATACTGACATAGAAGGTGACATAGTATGATTAAACGTAAAAGACGAAGGATAATATGAAAGATAATTATATTGTGAAGGTATATATGTAATTGGTTGAGGCGATATATGATCTAAATCATCATCCATGTCTCTTACAGCAGATGATTGAGGAGTTAATGGCTCATATTGTGCTAAATTTGTCTGAGGTAAAGAGATAGACGATAACATTTGTGTTGTATAATGTTGTGAATTTTCAAGAATATTTTTTATTAAAAATGGACGAGATGATTCCTGTGAAATATATGGATATGATGAACCTGAAGCGCTTGAATCTGCTTCATCCAACTTTAATCGATTATGATGAGTACGTCGTATATGTTTTGTAAGTGTAGTTTTGCGACAAAAACTAAATGAATATAAAAATAAAGAAATTTAATATATGACCTAATACCTTCTTAAACATGATGGATATTCACAGACATATGGACGTTTTCCCGTATGAATTCTACGATGACGAGCTAAAGAACTCGACTATAAAACATTCTTAATCAATGCAAAAAATGATTAGAAAAATACATCACTAAAACATTTTCCACAATTCGGCCATTCACAAACATGCGGACGTTCACCCGTATGAACCCGTTCATGAACAGTTAAAGCTGATCGCTGAATAAATGATTTGCCACAACATGGATAATTACATAAATAAGGACGCTCATTCGTATGAATTCTCTTGTGTCTAACAAGATCTGAACGACGCCCAAACTCCTGAAGCAAAAATCATTAAATGCTCAATAACTTTATTCACTAATATACCTTTGCACATCCTTCCCAAGTACATAAATAAGGACGAGCTTTATTAGTTCGGTGATGATTATGTTTTAAATTAATCAATTCCAAGATATCCATAGTAAGTCTTCCAGAGACTTGTAATTAATTAAATTACTCCTTTTATTATCAAAAAACTCGAGTATTTTATTTGATCACCGTACTACGGTTCTCAATGTTTTAATGATTCACACTTATGTATGTTCACCTTTATAATTTTAGCTTTTTCTTATGAAATAGCACAACAAGGGTATGAACAAGAACGATAATTATGAATGGAATATGCTTTTCTTGTATTTTTCTTTAACATTTTTAATAATCTTCTAGACTTATTCTATTATTTTTCCTTTTTTAGATTTACACCTTAGTTTGACAGTGCACTTATAATATATTGCATCAAGAAGTTTGTCTAATTTTAGTTGATTAGTGTAAATATATGAACGCTATGGGCTTTTCTAAAAAAAATATCTAAAACTTTTTAAACAATATTCATTATTAGTGAAAAAAATAGTTCCTTTCATGAATGTACAAAATATAAAATAAATTGTAATTGATTTATTTTAATGAAAATAATGGTTTAAAGAATACAATTTTTTTATGTATTTTTTTCAAAGGATTATTTACAATGAATAATAATTTTTTATATTTATTTTTATCATTTCTAGAATTTTATTTTTAAAATATGTAGGAACGTTAGATTACTTGTGAAGAGTATGTCTGTAGCTGGGAAGATGATCAGTGCTGTCTTTTGTTTATAGTAAGATTTTGGTTGAATGTCTATTAATGATTGATGTAATGAATAGGGCATAAAATAGTAAATAAATTACTTAAAAAAAATAAGTGGAATTAATAATGTTTATAAAAAGGTTAGATAGATTTATTTTAGAATTAGATAGGCTTTAAATTAGCTTATGCGCTTTCTTTGATATTAAATTATTATTATTGACGGTTAGGGTTGAAAAAAATCCTTTAAAATAAATTAAGCGCTAAAGGGATAATGAAAGAATTGGTGTTTAAATATAGTTGGTATTTTAGAAAATATTAATCATCTTTCAAATGAAAATCTTAGTTTTATTAAAAAATGGTTTTTAAAAAAAATACATGAAACATAATAAATTATGATATTAGTCAGCACAATATAAAGGCTTTTCTTGGTTACATGTTTTTAATCAAAATATTTAGGAAAATTAAATAGTTATTATACAAAAATAAATCATAGCTATTATAGACAAATTATTTAAAATTCAGAAAAATGAAACAATTCACTCAATATACTCAATAGAATTAACTATTAGGAGTTTTAGGCACAGAATACCTATTTAATTAGCATTTTCTTCAAACGTATAATATGAAGCCTTTATATATAAGACTTTTTAACGCTTCGATATTCAATAAAATATTCACCTTAAAAAGAGCTGTTTTTTTCGGATAAAAATTATTAAAAACCGGGTTTTTTTCTAGAAATATGTCAGCACAAATGCAGGTAAGTCTTAATTGACTTTTTCATGGGGGGTTTTCTGATTAAATTTGAGTTACAACGACCTTCTGTCAAAACGCATACAACAGCATCAACATCACAACAGCTGATTCAAACAATGATAGAAGCGTCATTTGGATGTATTTTATATGTTAGGTGAATTATATGCGCTTTTATTTTTATATATGCGTGGTTAAATGGAAATAATAGAGGACTTTTTCCGGATGATAATTTTTCAGAGGAAAGATATAATCAAAAGTCAAATAAATCATCTATTCTTGCAAATTCGGGTACAAGAATTATGAAGATAAAAAGAGGGTTTTCAGAAGAGGCGGATTTATTATTAGATTATTTGGTTTTTTAGAAATTTTATATAAGTTTATAAATTTATATCTATTCAGAATCAAGGGGTTTATGATGCATTATCAAAGAAATATTTAAGATCGATTTTATTTGCGATATATTTTGATCCGAATGATTCGACGAATATTTTTGAATCATATACGTTTAATTTTGTGTATTGTGGACAAGATAAGAAGCCAATGATGAATGTTGTTAATTCAAAGGGAGAGAAGCAAAGTTTTGGTGTAGAAGAAGAATATGCAAAAAGGTGTATACAATTATTATTAAGAAATTTGATTACATTGACACAAAATCTTTCTCCTTTGCCTGGTAAACTATTTTTTAATTTATTTTCTTTAAATTTAGGTTTTAGAAAATAAAAATCGATATATTACGATGAAGCTGTTTTATACGGATGCAACACCTCAGGATTATCAACCTCCAATGTTTCGTGATTGTACAATGGAGAAGCCATTCACATTTGCAGTTGATCCAGAGAACACTAATTTTTATAAGCAAACGGCAGGATCTATTGATACAGGATTTCATGCGTAAGATATTCTTTTATATTTTTATGAAGATTTATTAATTGAATAGAATAACACTTAAAATTACAAGCATAGCTGATGCAGTATCCGAATGTAAAAGTTTTGAAGAATACCAAGATAAACAAATCAAAACACTAAGTGCTGAAGAAGATATTTCTGAGAAAGAATCTTTAAAAGATTCACTAAAAGAGAATAACATTATTATTCTGGATTCTCAGAAAAAACACCAATCTTGCCCGGAACTTTTACCATCTTTGCCTCAAAACAATATATCTAAACAATCATTAAAATATGTAGATGAACGCTATGAAAAGGAAGATGCGGCTATTAAAGAAATGGTATGTTTGATTAATCTTTTAAAAAATATTTAATATAATTCTTTTTCTTTAGCTTACAACACATACGCAAGATTCAGGACTTGAAGCTACACAGCCTCTTGAATCTAATTTCTCTCAAATAACACAAAATGTATCTTATGTTCACTCAAAGCCATCTTTTGAGTATGAGGCTAAAGTAAAATATGAGAAAACACGTGAAAAGAACTCGAAAAAATTAGAAGTAAAGAAAATTGTTTCAGTAGGGGAAAATTTATCTAAATTAACCCTAAATTTTCGAAAAGCATTTGAGCTTAATGAAGAAAAAAAGCGTTTGTTATGTCTTAGGAATACTGTGAAAGGTACATATTAAAATAATATGATAGAAGATAAATTTAGAATTAGGTTCAGTCAAAGATATTGATGTAATACGCTGTGAATGTGGAGACGTTTCTGAAGATAGTGGCGATATGGTATACGATTATTTCTAAAAAAAAAAAATCTCATTAAATTAGATCCAATGCTATGTATGTCAATCATGGGTTCATGCATGGTGTTATGGTTTTATATCTGGTAATGATGAGCGTTTGCCTGATGATCATTCTTGTTATTCTTGTCTTCTCCGGAAATTTGAACCCGTTTTATATGAAAGCATGAAGGATTTAGCATTGTTTAGAAGAGCTCTTATGATTATTTGGGAAGAAGGATTGCCCGAAAGTAATTCTGAATTCTCAAATAGATTGGGTAAATATTTAAAAAATAGATTTACAAAATCATATTTATTATAATAGGATGTAGTCGACAAAATGCATGTCAAATTTTAAAAAGACTTTTGCAAGAGGGATTTATAGCTAATATCACTCAAAATAGAGCTTCGAGAACAAATACTTCAAAAAAAAATGGACGTATAAATATGAATGATGAAATGGTTGTTGTAAAAAACGCTGAAAATAAGCAACGTTTATTTTCAGAATATTTTCAACCACTTTTAAAAATTAGCCATCATGTTAGTATTTAATAATAATATCATTATAGCTAACTTTTTTCTATGTAGTATGAAAAACAAGAAAATGTTAACACTTCATTTCAGAAAGATAAATCTGTAAATTCTAATGCTTCTATTGATAATTCAATACCCATAAATGCTCTTTCAATTACCAATTCATCTGGTGTTGACTCTTTAAAGGATCCTAATTTTATTATAAATGCTACTCCACTTTCTGAATTGAAAGATGCTAATATACCAAAAGAGCTTTGTATTAAAGAAATTAATGATATTAATCATAACAATGCTGAGCTTGATACAACAGATGATGAAGATCTTTCCGCTCAAAATATAATTAAAAAACCCCATTTAACGGAATCTACAAATTTAATTAATTCGAATGCTGGTTTTGGCTTACAAAAACATAATACTATTAATAATTTTAAAACTTATGCTATCTCAAATATAAACCAGATTCCTAAAAAGAATAATAAGCGAACTCGTTTACATTTTTCTGATGAGAATTTCGATACTGAAGCCAAAAAAAGAAAATCAAGTGTTATTTTAAAACCAATTTTAGTTTAAACATGCTATTAACTAAAGGGGATTTTATTATGGTATTGTAAATATTATATTTTATTTTATTTCGTAAACAAATGATTAAATATTTAAATATCATAATGCAGATGTTGATATGATTTTTAATATTATATTGTTTTAAATTATCTGTATTCATATGCTTTAATAAAACAATTCTTTTTATTTATATTAAGGAAACGTGCCTATTAAATTTTTAATTTTTCCCTATTTTTATATTAATTTTAATACAAAAGTATTTATTGAAAAAAACCGAAATAATGACAATTGATATTCAAGAATAAGAGGTAAAAATCTCCATGCATTAAAATCAGGCCAATAACAATTAACAAATTTGATTATAGTTGTTTTATGACACTGTAAATAATTTAAAAAAAAATATTATATATATTAATAATTTCTTACTTGCCATAACATAAAATTACTTAACCGTTGAACACCACTTGTTCGTATAAGCATATCTAGAGGAGGACAACCATGCGTAAACATATGTTGATCCAAAGTTGTTTCATCAATTTTCTCTATATCTAATTTCCCATGCTTTGATTTATTCACTATTTCACGTATTGCGGTAGTAATTTCATCACGAGAAGTGTATGGAAAACAAATATTTAAAATCGCTCTAGATTTCAATTATTTTTACCAACAAAAACTATCTAATTATGCCTTGTATTAGATTTTGTCATATTAGTTGCTTTTTCTATAAGTTCAAGAAAATCTGGTTTTAAAAGTGATTTTTGACCAAGAACATTTAATTGAATCCCATATTCATCTACCATATCTCTATAAAATTCAATAAATAACACGATACCAACATATAAAAACACAAACCCATGAGAACAGAACTGTGTTAATTGTGTTTTACCAATATCCATAATAATATCAATTTCGTGCTTTGTCCTTTTAAAATTTTCGATAGAAAATGCATAAATAGTAACAACTTTTATTCCTAGTTTATAGCAGATCTCTAAAATCTACAAAAGATCCTTAATTTATGTATAAATATAAAAATAGCTAGTATACGTGCTTCATATTTTCAAATCCTCTACTATGTCCGTCTGCTGACTCCAAATTCATATGTTTAGCCCACCGTCTGTTCCCATCCATTACAAAGGCAATATGAGTAGGAACAGGACCTTGACGAATTGCTAAAATACATAATTCTCGGAATTCTCTTGATAAAAACTGAAATAATGGAAACTGAAAAAACCATTTAATTGTATTTCCCATTTAAAGAATAATTTAAAAATAAAAAATAATACACCCCTTTAGTTCTTATTTAATAGACTTGTCTGTGTGTTTTATAGACCAGTTTCTATTTTTTTTTTAATAAAAAAAATCTATAAAAATTAGAAAAAGGTTGGAATCCAATATTTATAAATAAATCATAAACAGCTCTTCTAGAACTTGGACCTATAGGATAGTTGGTTAGTCCATTGGATTCTGATGTATGTTTTCCAATAACCTGAGTTCGAATCTCAGTGGGTCCTTTATTTTCTAAATATCAAAATTTATCATAAATATAAATGTATTAACCCATAAAAAATTATGTTTTTATAAATGTTTTGTTTTAATTTAATTTGATGAAGAAAAAAATTATTAAAATCGTCTATTTATAATAAAATCAAGTTAAAAAGATGTATGCCATAGATAAAAATAAAAGTTTAGTGTTTATAATTTAGGTGTATGAAGTTGATTATATTTTCCTAGATATTTTCCTAAAAATTCTGCGTGTCTTTCAATCAATATTCTTTTTGATGCCTTTTTTTTTAATAAATAAAAATAACAATATAAATACTAAAATTACCCTTAATGATATATCTAATAGTCTGTATTTTCCATCTGAATAAACCACTGTCCCATCCGGTAAAGATATATCTTTTTCAATATATGTTTTTGCCATAATTTTACAATCTTCTCCTACTCGAGAACCTGCACCCAAAAAACACCCTGGACTTACACGTGTACCTGATCCTATACTATATGACTCAAGAACTGATCGAAACTCAATAATACATGTATCATTAATACGTATTCCTTGTTCATTTGGTGCTTTAATTGTGCAATTTTCTTCGATAATACATTTTTTACCAATAAAAACACTAATATAGAATTAAACTCTAAATATATTGAGTAAACGTCTCTTTACGGCCCAAAAGAACTATCGATTAACACCTTAGGATGAATTACTGTGCCTGACTCAATTTTCACAGGAAAATTTCCTTTTATTTTAATATCCTATTAAAATTAGCGCATTCCAAAGAAAAATCCAGATATTACAAGAGCAATTGTGCATGGAAATTCTAATTTTAAAAGATCTTTATTCATTTTCTTAGCAAATTTTTAAAAAATAAAAATTTGTTCACCATATCGAGTAACAAAGTAAATATAGTATTGATATATAAAATTCCATAAGAATATAAACTTTATATTTTATAAATAATTATGACTCTTTTTCGACATTAAGATCAGGGTTTTCATTTATTTTTCGTTTTCTTAAATTTGTTGGTGGAGTTTCAGAAATAACAGAACCTTCTTCTTCTCTAATACGTTTAGTAGGAACAAATTTTGCAGCAGTAGCAGACAATGGTTTTGAAGGAGCTATTGTATTATGTGAAGTTGAATTATCAGAGATATTATCAGATGTATTTGATATTTCTTTCGGTGTTTGTATATTAGTCGTAGAAACGGAAATATTGGATTCAATATTTGGTTCAAGAGGTTTATCCGTTTGAAGAGGTATTGATTGATCTGTTTGTGAAGGTGTATCTTTTTGTATATATTCAAGTTTCATTTGTTTTTTAGGATCTTTTGATACAATTTCGCTTTTTTGAGGAAAATGTTGAATAATAAAACCCATAAGATCAGGTTTAGTTTCTGTATGCTCTTTTAGATTGTCATTAGATTTTTCAGTTAAATTTTGGGAAGATTCTGTTTTCTTTGATTCTAATAATATTATTTTATTTTTTAAGTCTGAAATTTGTTTTTCTGCTTCAGATAATTTTAATTTATTTCTCATTTCATTCTCTTTTCTCAAATTTTCGATATCCTGCGTATGTTTGTTTTTAAGTTGAAGTTCTTGCTTTTCTAATGCATCTTTTATTTTGGTTTGAGTTTCGTTTTCCCATTTAGATTGAGCTTTAGATAATTCTGTTGATAAACGTTTTGATAAAATTTTTTCAATTTGTTCCTTCATTGGATTTGCTCTTAGTGTTGTATTTGAATTTTTTTTAGTTTGTTCTATAAATGTTTTTAATTTTTCTTCGTGTATTTTTTTAAGTTCGTCTTCCTTAGCTAATAAGGCTTGTTTATGATCTTCTTTCCATTGCTCCTTTTCTTTTTCAATACGACTATAAATAATAGTTTCTATGTTATGATTATTCAGGTTTTTTGGAAAATTTTCATCTAATTTTATATCTTGAGTTGTTTTTTCTCCTTTGTTTTCAAGACCTTTTTGTAACTCCTTTATACGATTATTTACTTGTAATTCTATTTCATCATTTTTATTTTTTTCTAGTTCTGATAATCTCTCTTCTACTTTTTTTTTAATCAACTCTTCTGTATTAGAATCCTTTAATAATTGAACCGTATCCTGAAGTTTACTAAGTTGTGTGTTAGCTTTTTTTAACTCTTCTAGTGCTGAATTCTTAATAATGTAAGTTAATATGAAAATAATAAAAGATAGTATTTTACTTTTTCTCTAAAAAAAATAAGGGCCTTTGCTTTAAGTTTTTTCGTTTCTTGATCACTAGTTTCTTTTACTTTTTCCAGTTCAGCTACTTTTTCGGCATACATTTTTTCCTTTAGTTGTATCTCTTCTTGAAATTTATCTTGAAAGCTTTTCTTTTCTACTTCCCACTTTATTTTTTCGTTTTCAAATGACACAATAGAATTTTCTGATTTATTAGCTTTGTTTTTTTCTTGAACATTAACTCTTTGATCTTTAGATATAATTTCTTGTAATTGTGCTATTTGTTTTTTCAACTCTTCTTCTGATTTTGTTTTAATTTCTAATTCTTGAGTTTTTTGTAGTATCTGTGATCTAATTGTTTGAATTTTTTCTTTACTTTGGGCTATCAGACGATCATATTTCGTTTTCCATGCATTTGCAAGGTTAGTATTCTGAATAGATTAGTGTAAGCGTGAAAAATTAGAATATAATACTTGAAGATTAAGTTTTTCAATCTCTTCTTTGGCATTCTGATGTTCCTGTAAAATCTTTGAATTTTCTTTTTCAAGCAAAACAAATTTATCTTTTATATTCTTAAGCTCATCAGGATCAGTTTGCTTCTAATATTAATAAAAATTAGATAAAACTATTTGAAAATACCCCATGTTTCTGTAAAATCTGTTGCACTCTATTTTTCCATCTTTCGTTATCTTCTTGAGTTAATTTTAATTGAGATTCTTTTACTTCTTGTTCTGCTTGAAGCATTCGTAATTGATCTTTATATCATTAGTTTTGAAAGTTGAATAAAGTAAACTACCTTCCAAAGGTTGGATTTGAGATGTTAAATTTTGAATAGATTTTTCATATTCTTTTAATTTCTCAACATTTATCTTATTTTCAGTACGTAGAACTGTATTACTTTCACGTAATATATTCAATTCATTAATTTTACTCATTAAATCTTGGTATTGTGATGTAGAATTAATTAGATCATTTTTTTGTTGTCTTTCAGAATTTAGAGTTAATCTAACATCATCGAGTGATTTTAGTGTTTTAGAAAGCTCATGTTTTATACGTTTATTTTCTTGTATACTAAGTTCATATTGACAATCTACTATCTCTTTTTCACGTCTTAAAAACCTGACTATTTCTTTTAAATCTTCTGTAGATTTATCACACGTTACAGTATCACTTAAATCATGTATATCATCTTGATTAGCAACTTTCTGTAGCTTTAAAGCTTGAAGACTTATATTTTCAAATTGATTATGTAAAAGATTATTTTGCTGTACAAGTTCATTACATCTAAATTTTTGATTAAAAATATTTATAAAAATGTTCTATACAAACCTAGTCTTAATATCTTGCAACTCTTTTTCGTAATTCTCCTTTAATGTTTTCCAACTATTTTCTGAAGTAGAAAGCTGAAATTTAAATGATTCATTATCTTTATTTAAAGTTAATATTTCTGTTTTCAAATCTGAATTTTCTTGTCTTAATAATTGTAAATTATTTGTAGTTTCGGCATGGGAAACAAGTTCTCTTTCATAACTTGAACGAGCTTCTTGCGATATTTGAAATTGTTTTCGTAAATCTTCTTTATAATCATTTTGGGCTTTGATAGAAAGCTTTTCAATTTCTTCCAATTTCTCAATTTTAGCTATAAGCTCTTTTTTTTCATTATCAAAATTTTCACGTTGTTCATTTTGAGATGTTTCAAATTGCAATAATTCTATTTTTCTGGTTTCCAATTCTTCAGAAATAATTTTTATTTTTTGAGTTAATTCTTTTATATCATTCTAAATAGATTTAGTAAAAATATAAAAAATAAATTATTGATACTTCTTTATCAAACAATAACTTTTCTACTGCAGCCTTATATTCATCATGAATATTATTCATATCTTGTAATGTTTCTTCCGCTGCATGGCTAATTAATTTCATTTGATCTGCATATTTTTTTGCTTGTTCTGCTTCAGATTTTGCTATATCTAAAGAACTCCTGTTGAAATATTTAATAAAGGCTATTTAAAGTAATATAATGATTATACCTTAAATTCATTATTTCTATTTCTAACTGTTGTTCCTTAGATAGTGATTCATTTTCTAATGTTTCAGTGGTGTTTTTCTGATAAACCAGCAATTTTTCTTCTGTAGATTTAAGAAGAATACTTAATTCATCAACTTTTGATTGAAGGTTTTGCTGGGTAGTCTGTGCTACAAGTAGATTTTCGTATGTTTCAGAATATTTTGTAGTAAGATTATTAATTTTTGATTGATATTCTAAAAATTCATGCTCTTTTCGTATCATTAATTTTTTATATTCTTCATTTTCTTCAGTAGCTTTATGTCGTATTTGTTGAAGTTCTTTTTCTATTAATTCATTTTGTTCTATTAATCTTCTACGTGATTCTGAATCTATCCTTTCTTTCTCATTTAATATTGCTTGAAGATCACTTAATAATTTATTTAAACGGTTTTTTTCTAAAGTAAGATTTTCATTATCTGAAGTAAGACGCATTTCAATATTTTTCCAAAGTTGTTTTTCTGCTTTTAAATTTGCTGTCTCTGTCCTAAGGTTGTCTATAGTAGATTTAAACTCAACAACTTCTTCAGAAAGATGTAAAAGTTTTAAATCTTGTTTAGCTAATGTTTCTTGCATTTGCTGATTTCTTAAACCAATATTATCTCTTTCGTTTTTAAGAATATCAGCATTTTCACTAAGCATATTATATCTTTCAGAAAATAATTCAAGTTGTGATGTCATTTTTGCTAATTGAATTTGTAAATTAGAATTATGATTAGTAGCATCACGTAGCTGCTGAGAAAGAGTCTTATTATTGATCGAAGTTTCATTTCTATATTGATCAAATTGAATTTGTAGTTCACGTAAAGCATTTTGACTTTTAATAGCTGAAATAGTATCTGATTCATTTGTTTCTAAATCACTTGAACTAAGAGGATCTGTCTGACCATTATATACTAACATTCTTCTAAACATATCTCTTTCACGTATATAAGAATCCATTCTAGAAAGATTAGTTTCTAAAAAATTAAGAAAAAGATCCTAACTTTATTTTAAGTTTTTTCATTTCTTCTTTCATATCCTCAATAACGTTATTTGCTTCTGTAATTGCAGCACTTTCCAAATTTTCCAATCTTTCACGATTTTCTAATTCCTCTTTCTCCATTCGTGTTCCAAGTTCTCTTATAACTTTTAATAAGTTTTGATTTTGTTCTTGCAAGGTCTTTATATCCTTAAATAAGGTTAATCGTTCTGATATTAAAAAATGTGTATCTGTAGGCTCAATAATATCAGATTCTGATATTTTTTTTATAACAGACTTTTCTTCTTCAGTCATTATAACTCCTGTATAATTTTGAATTTCCATTTCATATAAAAGACATTGGATTTGTCTACTTAAATCTCTTGTTTCTATAATTCAATTAGTTATCAGTAATTTTTATATAATAAACATCTACGCTGCAAATAAAGTAGTTTTTCCTGCTCTAAATCTTTAATATGAATTTTTAGTATTTTATTTTCTCTATCAATTTTTTCTTTCAATTCATTAGATTCTTGTAACATTCCACTTATATCTGCTATTTCTACTTGTAATCGTGAAAATTCTTCACGTTGTTCATGAATTTGTGGTGCGCGAGTTTCAAGATCAGATAAAAGATCATTCAAGTTGTTTTGCATTATTTCATTATGTTTTTTTTCGCTCTTTAATTGCTCCTTTAGTGAAATATATTCAGAATATAATTTTGTTAACGACATTCCTGATTTTTCTAGTTTATTAGCAGCTTGTGCTGATGGAGATAATAAACCAATTCCTAGTGGAGCATTTTCATTGCTAATTCCTTGTGACAATTGATCCTTAGCAACAACTAATTCCACTTGCAATTTCTCTGCCTTCAATTCTAATTCTTCAAGTTGTAATTCCATACTATCTGCACGATTTTTTTCTTTTTCTGCAATATTCATCCATTTTAATGCCTCTTGTCCTTCTTTAGTAGAATCTTCATCTAAATGTTCTTCAAGCTCCGTAATACGTTGCCTAGAATTCTTTAGATTTTGTTCTAAAAGTTCTGTTAATCGATGTTGAACATCCATTTCATTTCTAAAAGATTCTTCTTGCTCAACAATTTTATCTTGACATTCTTTAAGTTTAAACAATGTTTCCTCTAGTTTATTAGACATTTTTTCAAGCTGCTTCTTAGATGTATTTGCATTATTTTCATGTATTGTAGAAGCTGAAACTGTATTTTCTAATTCTAATTGCAAAGTAGAAATTTGGGATGACTAATTTAAATATTAATAAAAACCCTTTTTTTTTGATTAATATACTTTATCTTTGCGATATTCTGAAAATTCATTTGTTTTGTCTTCTACTTCTCTATTTAACCATTCAATATTCTTTTTCAAAAGCTCTATTTCTTGCAATGAAGTTTGTTCTTTAAACTACATTCTATTTAAGATTTTTCTACAATAATTTATCAATATACTTTCCACGAAATTTCCTTATCTTTTAACTCATGATTCTCGCTCTCTATTGAATTGATCTCCTTCCTTAATTTACCATATCTTTCTGTTAAGTTTTGATATTCTTCTTCTTGACGTAATATTTCTTGAGTTTTTCTCTCAAGAACCTCAACCACTTCTCTTTTTTCACTTTCCAAAAAACGGTTGCGTGATTCCAAAGTGTGTATATATTCTTTAAGATCTGTATTACTTGATCTTAATCCTGCAATTTCTGTTTCAAGTTTTTCACTTGTCGTCTCTAATTTTCATCAAAAAATGCCCTTAAAAACCTAAAAATCATACTGTAGAGAGTACTCTGTTCCTTAAGATATTTATTATCTTCCAAACTCGTCTCTAATTCATTTTTAATTGATTGTAATCTTCTATTTGCTGCATGTGTTTCTTGTTCTAAAAAAAGGCTTAAAACTCGGAAAAAAGATATATCTTTAATTCTAACCATAATTTACTTCTAGAATAACCTTAGATTTCTTTAATTCCTCGAATTCATTCGCTTTTTGAAGAATTCCAGACAATAAAAGAGTAATTTCTTCTTTTGACCCTAAATTTGTTATAAAATCTGAAGACAGATCCAAAAAACTTGATATTCGGCCAACGTCTACAGCTGATTCTACTAAGGCCATCTTAAAGATGACAGGTTTTAACGTTGTGCACAATCAATAATAGTTAATGTAGATTTTTAATCTCGTAAATAAAATATTTAAGATGTAGATAAATCGTATTAGATAATTCTTTTAATATAAAAGAAATTATAGATCAAAGTAATTTATATTTATTAGTACAAATAGAAATATTTTAAAGAGCAGTGTTTATACATCTATAATATTCTAATGATAATTGTTTAATTTTATTGAAATATTCATCTTCAGTCAAATTCATTTGCAAAATTCGACTATGTTCATTTACCTATGATAATTTAATTAAAGAGATTTTCAGAAATATTGATTACCATAATGTTATTAGAAAGTATAAAAGAAGCAGAAAAACTAGACATGATTTTAATTGCTACAGATTGTTCGAATATTTTTGCATCCATTATAGGTAAGGTTTGTAAAAGTCGTAAAACAAGATCTTTTTGAGTTTGTGTTATTTCAAAGTCATTATTTTTTATAAAAGATAATGATTTTGATTTTTCATTAAATTTTAAAAGTTCAATATAATCTAAATAAATCTAAAAAAAATAAATTTTGATTAAAATATATTAAAAATATACTTGTCCTCCTATTTTCCAATCTGTAATAACACTTGTATTTTGAAAACGCTGAAGAAAAGCATATAAAACATCATGTTGAGAATATATCACTGCTTGAGGTGCTATAAATGTTAAAAGAGTTTTATGAGCTTCGTTCCACAATTTAGCGTCCAAAAGATATTTTTCTTCAGATTGATAATAATTCATATATCTAGAATAAAGAGCCTTTGATAATCAATTTTATTGAATAACGATTTAAATAGCACTTACGCAGGATTCTAAAATCCAGATTTTTGGAATTTTTAAGTTTTGCATTAAGAATGTATCTAGATCATTCTTTTTGTTATTATAGTAATCAGCTATGTTTCGGGCTAAAATTTCGCGAATTGCTCTTTCTCGGCTATATATATGTAAGAAAAATATAAATATATATTAGATCATTACATATGTGCATATTGTAAATGCTGCAAAACAAAAATTGCCCAATGCCATAGACCAGATGATTCTAATTGTGAAGCAAAGTTTAAAGTCAACTGATTCCCACGAATAGTTGTTTTATTTTCTTGCAACTTTTTGCTAGAAAAACTTGTATAATCTTGAAAATGCCGGATATTATATGTACGTGATAAAATGATATATAGCAGCCAAGGAATTTTGAAATTTAAAGGAAAATTTAAAGTAAGAGAATCAATAATATTTTCCAAAGGATAATCGTCTTTGCTAAATAATAATAATAAATGATATAATATGTCAAATTCTTGTGTATCAGAATTATTGGTATTCTTAGAATAGGTGATTTCTGGTGAAGATACAGTAGAACTTTCATTAAAAGCCCTTTGGTAACTCAAGACCGCTACTTCTATTGGCATTTCATCGGTTAATTCATACCATAATTTTAATCCAAATGCCCTTTTCCAGTCTAATTCCTCCGATATATGTATATCAGGTGCATATTCTTCAGAATCCTTCATTCCGGAACCTTGAGACGTTTCTGTATTTCCGGACATTAATTCATATATTGCGCGATAATATTTACCAATAGAAGGAAGACAATTTGAATCTTTCCAATCAGCAATTTGTTTTTTACAATCCTCTCGAATAAGCTCGTCTCCTCCAATAAGAGGAATAAGACTAGCTAGAAAAAAATTTCTACTTTTTAGTGCTTCTAAACAACATTCTTCTATTTGATAACCAGTTAATAATAAAAACATTTTTGAAGATGGATCAACGGATTTGTAAAGATCGTTTTCAACATTCGTAGCGACAATATCTTTAAGCCAATCAGAAAGATTTTGTTTTCTTTGCATCCTAAGAATCTGTGCCTTTTGAGATTCAGATTGCAAATTATGAGAATAAACATCAATTTTGTCAAAAAGAATTCCACATAATTGTAATATGTTGGCCTCATAATTATCGAAAAAAGGTATAAATAATTTTGAAGTAAGTGTAGAATTAGGATTTGCTTCAGGGCACCCATATTCATCTATCTGAATATTTGTATGTTTTAACTGCATTTCTAAAGCGAGTTGAGTATTATCCAAAATCTATTTATAAATTAACAATAATTATTAGATAAATTATACTTTACTGATTCTTGATTATCTATTTTTTTTAATAAAATCTTTGGCTGAGCATTTTTGTTATTAAGGGGGATAATAAGAATATTATTGAGTCCCCAATGGAATTTTCCGGGAATAATAGTAGTAACTGAATTAGACTTAGATGTGTGAACCTAAATATGTCTTAAACATGCAACTTTTATAAGTTATATATACCGGTAAATGTAATGTTTGCTGGACATCATACAAATCTCTATCCAAATCTTGTAATTCATATTTTTCTACTGGTTCAAAATTATCAAAAGGTGAATCAAATTGGAGGCTTGAAGGATCCCGATATTTTTTAGTACGAGTTTGAGGTGCATGTAATAAATTGAATCTCTCAATAGAAAGATTTAAAAGATCTGGCCAAGTTTTAATATCTTGTAAAAAGGGTAATTTTGATGATAATGATAGAATTTCAAGTGATTCATCATCCGAATTGTCCCGTTTTTTAGAAGATGTAATTCCTTTTGAATCATCTTCAAAATATAATTCAGATTCCTTATTTTTGAGATCAATACTAGATGTATCAACTATATCATTTATAGTTTGTAAATTAGAATAATTATCTGTATCATCGAAAGATAAATAATCACATGACTCAGTTTCATCCCTAGATATGTCGACTTCAGTATTATTCTCTATTGTATAATTCATTATTTCTGATGAATTTTCCAAAATAAATGAACCTGGAATTTTTGATGTGGGATGTTGAAAAGCAAATTTATTTTTTAAATCAGCGTATTTTTTATTTAGATCCATATTTTCTTGAAACGACTCATTATTAGTTGATAATTCACAATGTTGTTCTAATTTTCCTTTTTTTTGTTCTACATAAGTTTGTTTAGTTAATGACTTTAATTCTTTATTTGAAGATAATGTTTTTTGGTAAAACGGTGCATTCGTATATTGATCTTTAATTTCTTGTGACTTCGGTAATTCATCTTGATCCTTTTTCTCAGAACTAGAATCATCATCTTCGAGTAATCCCCATCTACTAAAATGATTGACTTTAAATATCCATGCTCCTGTATCTGCAATATAATCGATAAATTCCGTTTCTTTCATACGTTTAAGTCTATCCAAATGTTGTTGAAATCTTGAATGATTTGGATCAGTTATTGGTTCCCGCTTTTCTTTGCTAAATGGCCAACAACGCTCAAGAGTTATTATCGCTGGAACATTTATTCCACAACCTAATGGTGGTTTAAGAGATTCATCAGGATATACTGTACAGACTTTTTCATCAAAAATAATTATAGTTCCCGGAATATCTTCCAAGGCTTCAAAAGTAGTTAAATCAACAGGTGATTGAAAACTAATTTGACCGAATCCCTTACGTCCAACTTTAAAATTACTTACATGCTTTAATTCATCTGTGGTATAATCTAATAATTTTGATATTGAAGGAGAAGTCCAATAAAATAAGCTATTACTTTCTCTTTTATCCTCTTCTGTAGAGTCATGCAATACATTTGAAGTAGCATCTGTTTTAGTATTATTCTGATGTTTAGCTGCTATTAAAGTAGGAGATTCTTGATCAGGAACTCTCTCAACCATACCGTTGCTTTGTTTTGTCGAAGATTTGTTATTTTGTTTGTCGCAATCTGTGTCTTTTAACAAATTTTTCTCAAAACTTCCAAGATCCGCTCCACCTGTCAAAATATTTGTTTGAGAAGTCTTACGATTTATTACGAGTTTTTTAATGTTGGATCTAGGGGAAAATGCATTAGCGTTAAGCATAGTTTCATCATTTAGATTATCAAATAAATGCAAAGAATGACTTGTTGCTGAAATAATAGTTGGTGAATTAATATTGGAAAAAGATACACCTTTTATATCTTGAAATTTTCCAGACGATGATGATCCAGGAGTCAATTTAAAATGTGGTAGCATAGCTGGTTTTTTTTTTTGCAAATTTGTAACAAGAGGAGTTGCAATAGGTCCAGGTGAATTTGTTGGAAAACTGATGCTTGAACTTTGAAATAACGGATTATTTCCAAAAGGATTTTTATCGATAGAAGCATGTAAAAGCGGCTGCTGTTGTTGCTGAGTATTTCCAAGTAAACTATTTCCTAATTGTTGATTATTATTTTTAAATAAAGATTGTCCAGAAGTATTTCCAAAAAGCCCTCCTCCTGCATTAGTATTGGATTGTAAGGTGGGGTTATTTCCGAATAGACTTGTACCAGTGTTTGTTACAGGTTTTGCACCAAATAAATTACCAGATGATTGTTGATTACCAAAAAAGCTAGTATTTGTATTAGAAGCTGGTGTTGTATTAGATCCAAAAAGCCCAGTAGAAGAATTAGTGTTTGTATTATTGGTTCCAAACAATCCAGTTCCAACTGTTGATTGCCCGAAACCGGCATTGTTTCCAAAGCTAAATGTCGGTTTATTTTGATTTTGATTTTGATTATTCTGTCCGAATAAATTGGAAGAAAATGACAGAGCAGGCTTGTTTTGTTGATTATCTTGTTGACCAAAGGAAAAACCAACACTATTTGTAGTTGTATTTGTCGTATTTGGTGTTCCAAAATTAAACGATGAAGTATTCTGAGTTAGTGATTGTCCAAATGATGTTGAAGGCTGTTGCACCTGATTACCAAAAAGCATTCCGCCAGTACTTGGATTATTTGTTGTATTAGTATTTCCTCCAAAAGTAAAAGAATTGGTATTTTGTGTAGTTGATGTTTGACCAAATGGTGTTGATGTAGATTGTTGTTGATTAGAGCCAAAAATATTCGTACCAGTATTATTAGTTCCAAACCCACTTCCAAATGTATTTGTTGTATTTTGCCCAAAACCCATATTGGCAGTACCAAATGTAGTCGTTTTATTATCTTCATTCTGAGTATTATTGAAGCCTGTTCTAAAAAGACTTGACGATCCAAACGCAGATTGAGTAGAATTCCCCGAATTTCCAAAGGAAAAGACTCCTGTCGTTTGGTTTTTAGTAGTATCAAATGTGTTCGAAGTCCCAAAGCCAAAGGGTTTCGATTGGTTCTGTTGAGTTTGTCCAAATGGACTAGATATATTTTGTGTATTTGAGAACATATTTATCCCAGAAGATAATCCTATATTCGATAAATTAATAAAATTCTATCTAATAGAATAAAATTACCGAAGGGTTGTGATGTATACGTTTGATTTCCTGATCCAAAGATATTCCCTGTAGTCTGCCCAGAACTAAAAGAACCAAATAGTCCTTGTTGTTGCCCAAATCTCCTATTTTGTGTATAATCTTGTAATCGTAATTCCTATAAAAATTAAAATGCTGAAAGAGATATTTATTAAGAGATAAACTTCAAATGAGGCTGCTTGATATGCAGGCATACATGTAATCGATTGAAAATATTGCATTCCACCTGTTGATGTTTCCTTTTCCTGTGTTACCTGATAAGGTGGATTACTCGTTCCTTGTGTAGGTATTCGAGAATTTAACGAGTTCCCTGTAAATGTATTTGATCCATATGTATTTCCAAATCCTGTAGGTGTAGAATTTTGACCAAAAATCCCTCCTCTAGATGGCGTACTAACCCTAATAATAACAATTAATTTTTTTATTTTTTTAACACATTGTCAAACGCTTGACTATTAAATTCATTTGTTGTTTGTGTATTAAACCCTGTAGTATCCTTTGAACCACCAAAACCTAAATTTTCATCATTAATTTCCACAAATTTTTTACATTTTGCTTTACTAAAGTTTGAGGTAGATGATAACTGCGTTCCCTGTCCAAATACTGAATTTCCACTTCCAAAAGTTGTTCCCTGACCAAATCCTATACATTTATCAGTATTTTCTCCTCAAAATACACATATATGCGCTTCTTTCTCTCAAAAAATATCATTTTTTAAATCATTCTGAATACGCATATTTTCACTTACCAGAACCTCCAAATACCCCTGTTCCCGAACCAAATAGAGTTCCACTCCCTGTTGATGTCTGTTGGGATCCTTGTGTTCCCAAATTTTGCTGTCCAAATCTTGAAAATGTATTATTTGTATTTTGACCAAACATTAGTTAAAACTTTCAAAAAAAACGTTTTTTTTTCCGGAAAAAAAAAGACCTATCAATACAATCCCTTACTAGAAACACGAAATCCTTTATGATTCTTACAAACTAGTTGTTCCCTCCCTTTTTTTTCTGAAAAATTATTTTCAACAAAAGTTGGTCGTCGTCAGCTCGATGTTCATCTTTTGTCAGGGTTTTATCTCTTGCACATGATCAAAGGGACACGTAGTTGTTCTAAATGGCTTGTCTCGACAACTTCGAAAAAAAAAAGGTATCCAAATTATTTAAAATTTTGGGTAAAAAAGGTCTTTAAAGAGGGGTTTGGAGGGTAAAAAACAGAGAAAATAGAAGGGAGAAGGTGTATTTTAAGAGATATAAATATGTTTTCAACGAAACAACGGAGACGATTGCATGGAGATTCGCCAACTATTCGAGGATCACAAATTCGAACAGAAATCACGGAAGAACAAAGACATGAGATCAAAGAGGCATTTGAACTGTTTGATTCAGACAAGGACGGGGCGATTGACTATCATGGATTGAAAGTAGGAGTGAAAAAAGGAATTAAATATGTTTTTTTTTTGATAAAAATAGATAGCAATGAGAGCTCTTGGGTTTGAGGCTGAAAAAGCTGAAGTATTGAGTATTTTGAGAGAAAATGGGAAGAACGGGCGAGGAGTTATTATGTATGAAGATTTTGCACGAGTAAGTAGGGCATCCTATGAAAATTTAAAAAAAAAATAATATTTTAAAGTGACGGAAAAGATTTTGGAAAGGGATCCATTAGATGAAATTAAGCGTGCATATGCATTGTTTGCGGATGAACAAACAGGGAAAATTAATATTCGTAATCTTCGTCGTATTGCTAAAGAATTGGGAGAGAATATTGATGATCAAGAATTGATGGCTATGATTGATGAATTTGATTTAGATCAAGATGGTGAAAGTATGTTTTTTTTGTTGTTGTTTAATTATAATCTTGGAATAGTTAATGAGCAGGAATTTATTAATATTATGATCGATGAAATATAGGGAAAAATATACTAACATAGATTTCTTATTAAAAACAAAAGATCAGAACTCTATCAAAACAGATTTTATAAATATATTCTACTATTTTTATTGAAAAAAAAAAAAAACAAGTTTCGGTCTTTCAAATCATCTTTATATATATATATTCTTAAGAGTTTGTCAAATTCAATTAATTTGATTCAATAGATGATTCTGTATTATGTCGTTTTGGATGTTTTTATTGAAAAGTGTTCTATTTTGAATTAAATTAAATATTTTCATCAGACTAGGTAAATAATTCTTATTGAGCTTAATCTAACTATATATCTTTTAAGCTCACAAACATTTAATTTTTATATTTTCTAATTTAATCGTTTTATAGTATAAAACATATAAATATTTACAATTTTCTTTTTAAAATATAATCTACACAGCTGATTCCAGAAAAAAACTCAACACAAGATATAAATCATGCAGAATTATTTATTCCATAGATATTTACAAAAATTATATCTAAAAATACATATCGCTTAAACAAAATACTGAAAATTACTCATTTTAAAAATTTAAAAAAGAAATAAAAAACAAAAAACAAATATTAGGAGGTGGTTTTTGTATAAAAATATAGCGATTCTTGACATTTCTTGGTTTTTTTCTTGTTTTTTTCTAGAATTTCTATCGAATATCGACCCCGATATTTTCTCGATCGTATATAAAAACCCGTCTCGAACCGCAAAAAAAACCGAAATTTTCATATGTCTTCTACATCCCGCAATCCAGGCAATTGGTACGTGAATAATATATGAAAGAATAGTACTAATTGTATTCTTTAACATTTAGGCACTGGACAAGTAAAGATTGTTTTCCATGGACAAAATCATACCTATCAGAAAAACTTATTATATCGGCAGAAAAAGAGGGAATAACGGCCTCTATAGTCAAATTATCGAGTTGTTCTGGAGATGTAGATGTTGCTATGAGAAAGGGGAAGGTTATTACTATTTATGATCTGGAGATTTCTCTTGAATTTAATGGTTTTTTTGGTTTTTAAGGAAAATAAAAGAAATCTAAGATATTTAGGAAAAATTCCGGGAGACATTGAAGTTTCAGGCTCAATAACGATTCCAGAAGTTTCTCATGATAATGATGAATATCTGTTTAATATAGAAATATTTTCAGAAACAAAGGAAAATCAAATAATAAAAGGTTTTATTAGATCATATATTGTTCCAGAACTTAAGGAGCGGCTAAGATTTTTGGGGCAAGCTCTTATAGATGGTGGGGTTTAGTTTTATATGTATTTTATTTATTAAGAAATTAGCACATGGAAAAGATGTTCTTTTATTGATTGATAAGAATACGGCGTCCAATCCTTCTACTCCTAATGTATCATATGCCAAATCGCAGAATGGTATTAGGGCATCTACATTGTCAGGGAAGGAAGGAGTAGAAGAAAAAACGAAGGGAAAATGCTCAATTATTAATACAGTAGAAATTTCGGAAAATATCGACTTTCAAGCATCTACTTCTCAATTATATTCAGTTTTTCTGGATCATTCTCGTTTAGAAATATGGACTCGATCTAAGGTAGAAGTTGATCCTAAAGTTGGAGGCAAATTTTCTTTTTTTGGAGGGAATGTTCAAGGAGAATTTTTAGAGCTTGTTGAATCAAAACTTATTCTTCAAAAATGGAGACTTAAAACTTGGCCGGAAGGTAACATGTTATTTCTTAATTATAAATAAAACTAATTATTAGGTCATTATGCTGAATTGAAATTATTGTTTGACCAAAGTATTGATGGGACTTTATTAAGGATGAAAATGAGCGATGTACCTGTTGGTCAAGAAGATGTAGTTAAATGCAATTTCCAAGAGGTAGTTTTTATCATTTTTTAATTTTTTTTTAAAAGTAATATAGTATTATGTTAAACCTATTAAAACTGTGTTTGGGTATGTAAACAACTGAAAATATACAACCATTAATATTCCTTTAATTTGGTTGTATATTCTAATGCAGTTTTTATACATTTTGTAATATTTCTAATTGATTTTAGTTATGGCTCGGTGTTATAAAAATTGTTTTTTTTGTAAAAGAAATTTAAAGATAGAAATGTATCATAACAATAACATTCCAAATACCAAAAAATAATTGAAATTTTGGTATTGTTTTTATCATCTGTATATTTTATTTTCTGGTATTAACTTATCGAAATTTTATTAAATCATGATTACAAATATATTTTTTAATAATTAGAGTTTCTTATCTTTTATCATTTGACTTGAATATATTTATTCAAAACTGGCCTTTTATATAATTATTTAAATAGGTAAAGCAAAAAAAGGCTGAAGAACTAATAGAAATGCTTATTATGAAAAGAACAAAAATTAAGAGAATGAGCTTGTTTATCCAGCAAAATTATGATACAAAAAACATTAAATCTAAAAAGAACGTTAAAATTTAGAAAGACGATATAATACTGAGTTCCAAACATTACTTATTTTTTATATACATATATGTTATCCTATACACTGGAAAGAAAATGATAGGATAAATTATCAAAATTAAATATCATTATTTTTATTCTCCCTTTTCATGTTTGGTTGACATTCTCTGTAAAGCAACGACAAAGTCTTCAAGAGAACGTTGCTTTGAATTCTTTTTAACACTTTTTCCATGCATAATATTGTCAAATGCTACAGAGTCCGAAAGTAAATAATAAATACCGGCCATAATGCAAAATACACCAAGTGAAAAAAGCCAAACACGAACAACTGTAATTATAGAAGTCCGTTCAAGACCATGTTCTTTAGTTCCTGTAAACCAGCCAAAGATACAAAATATCGTAGCAATGACGTCAACAAGAAAGACTGCACCAAATAGTTGCCATGATGGTAATGATGACCAAAATGGTCCATTAGCACGTGTGATAAAGATTAACCAATTCTCAGTAAGTGAAATTTCAAGGAACATAACAGCATCCACATTACCATAGCCTTGTACGATACCAAAAGCATTGTCATTAATATATATTGTAGTTAAGGCAATCCATGATCCAATAGCTAATGCAGCACCAAGAAGAAGCGAAATACCCCATAATTTAGGCAAGTTCCACTTAGTAGGCAACAATGAATAGGGTGCATTATCATATGCAATAGCTAAAGTAGCAATATCTGCAAAAATAGCAATAAAGACAACTAATTCTAGAATCATAAGATGGTTAAAAATAACAATCCATAGACCTAAAAAGATTTCTAAATGCAATGATAAAGCAATACGATAAACAACATATGCGTACATCCGGTGAAAAATCTGCCTAGATGTCTTCAAGGCATCAATGATTGCAGAAAGACCAGGTGCCAAAAAGACTATATCAGCAGCAGAACGCGCGGCATCTGAAGCACCTTCAACTGCAATACCTGTATCTGCCTTTTTAAGAGAAGGTGCATCATTAACGCCATCACCAGTCATAGCTACAAGATATCCACGCTGTTGCAAAATTTCTACAACATTATATTTATGTTGTGGAAATACCTCAGCAAAACCATCAGCTGCTTCAACAAAATCATAAACCTCGGATCCGGGCATATCCCCTCCACCACCAAGGCCAAGACGTTCAGCATTGTAAACATTAGTACCCATTCCAAGTTGACGAGCCGTTTCTTTTGCGATACCAACAGCATCTCCTGTTAACATTTTAATACGAAGTCCAAGACGAATAGCTTCACTAATAGTTCGTGCAGTATCACATCGTGGTGGATCAGAACATGGCATAATACCTAAGATCTCCCAATTAGAGTTACCAGCTCTACGAGCAATACCAAGAGATCGATAACCACGAGATGCAAATTCAGCAACCTTATCTTTATATGCATTTTGAATATCCTCAGGAACAGGTTGATCTTCCTCAACAGTTCTAAGAACAAAAAGAGGAGCGCCTTTTACACAAACAATTCTTTCTCCGGAAGGCGATTCAACAATAGCAGTAACTTTCTTGCTAACAGGATCAAAAGGATGAAATTCGATAACCTTATATCTTGAAAGTGCTGATCTTACAGCTGGATAATTTCGAAGTGCTTTAAGAAATGCCTTATCGATAGCATCAAGACCCTTTTTTTTACGTGAAGCGGCTAAGCAAGCAGTTAACATAAGTTCGTCACATGAAATCCCTTCAACAGTATAAGGTTCAGAAAGAGAAAGGTTATTCTTTGTCAAAGTGCCTGTTTTATCGGAACAAAGAATTTCAACTCCTGCAAGAGATTCTATGGCAGAAAGCTTTTGAACAATAGCTTTCTTCTTTGCAAGATATGCTGCACCAACTGCCATTGTAGTTGTAACAACAGCAGGAAGACCAACCGGAACACCAATAATAGTAATAGCTAAAGTATATTTCAAAATTGTAATGGTAGTTGAAGATCGATAAAAAGCTGAAATATATACAATAAAAAGCGTGAAGACAACTAATACTAAAAGAATGGTTCCTATCCGATTAAGAACATCAGTAAAATGTCCTGTCCCACATGATGCCTTATTGACAAGAGAAGCTGCATGACCTACAAATGTACCATCACCAGTAGCAGTAACAACCATAAACGTTTCACCACGTTTGACCACTGATGATGAATAAATGCTATCTCCCTTATGTTTATCGACAGCTAAAGATTCACCCGTTATGGACGATTGATCAACTTGAAGATATGCCTCTTCTGTAACAATACGGCCATCTGCTGGAACAATAGATCCCTCTTCAAGCTGCAATATATCTCCTGGAACGACTTCTTCTGCTTCAATATCAATAAGTCGACCATCTCGAAGAACTGTTGCTTTTAAAGCAAGTGTTTTCTTAAGTTCATCTACAATTGATCCTGCTTGAAATTCTTGAATAAATCCGACAAAAGCATTAAGAAGAAGTAGTGCACATATCACCCCAAAGTCAACCCAATCTTGAAGACCTGCTGCCAGAATAGCCGCTGCTTCCATCACAAATTGAATAGGTCCAACAAAATACATAAGAAATTTAATAATCATATTTTCTTTTTCCTCCTTCATCTTATTCAGACCATATTTCTTTCTTCTATTAATAACTTCTTGACTAGTTAACCCAATACGAGTATCTGTTGCTAATAACTCTTCTGGAACTTGTCGTTGAGACTGAAACTCCGTGTCTTCTATATTATCTTCCTGATCTCCATCTTGAGATTCAAGATCATCTATCAATGCATCAATATCATTATCTTCATCCTCTAATAAACATTCTTCTTCATCCCCCTTTTCTAAATCTTTTGCCGAATTGTTTATCTCAAACGTATTCGTATGTTTATAATACACAGTTTCATGAATCAACGCTTTTCCTTCTTCACTCATATTCCTCTCCTATTAATAATAATAGACTTATACAGCTTTTCCTCTTCTTACACCTTTTTCGGCTTAAAGATCTTCAATTACTTTATACTCGTTTTTTTACGTTTTTTTACTGTTTAAAAACAATAAAAGATATGTTTAATAAATAATATACATAAACCAGTATTCCTATACGTCTTCTTTATTATTAAACGGCTTAAAGCAGTATATTTTAATTCTTACAACAATTAAATATTTTATATGTTGTCAATAACTTGATAGGCATCGATCAGTTCTCAGATTTATAAACCCTCATTTATACCCTAACCTCTTTGTTTTTAATTAGGGTTAATACAAATTTCAAAAACAATTAGGGTTAAAAAACAAGTACATGTATAAATTAGAGGATATATTAAAAGAAATATTTTAGAATAGATTTAGTATAAAAAGGAATTTATGTATTTATTTGCAAATATAAGTAAAAAGTATTAACAAAAAAATGAGTAATCAAAGAATGAATTACTAAAAAAAAATGATAAATTTTAAATAAATTTCATATCAGAACTCCCTTAACACTAAAAAAGTTAACAGTCTTTTGATTTTATTGGAAAATTTAGATGAAAATGTAGATATAGATAATATATATTCATTTACAAGACCTTTTATAAAACCAAAACTATCATTAATTCCAAAATTATCATATATAACCCACTTTAGATAGCCTTAAATCAATTAAATGTCCATATATAGTAAAACCAGAAAAAATATCTCAAAATATAAAACATCCAAATCATTATTCATGCATTATCTTTAAACTAAGTATAATATTCAGAAGATGGTATATAGCCTTTATAAGGATTAAAGTCTTGCTCTTTCAAATATTGCTGATAAAGTTGTCTTCTAGAAGTTTTCAATGAATTTTGCATGCTAGGAACTGTTATAAACGACTCATCAGGACTTTCTGCTAAACTGGAAACAGTAGATGATGATGAAAGAGACGGCATGGTTGCAGGAGAACTCGTTAACGACAATCTTTTAGTCCAAATAGGAGATTTTGGTGGAGTATATGAAATTGGAGGATACATCAAATAAGATAATGATGGTGACATATACTGTTCCGATCGCACTGTCTGCCATGCGACAATTGCATGTTTAATAGGCACCAAAAACGGTGCTAAAACCTTATACAAATCTTCTACTGTAATTGAAAGATCCCATTCTAAAAGTGTTAACAATTGCTTCTCCATAAGATTGACCTCAGTTAATGAAAATAAATGGTTCGTATATTTTGCCCAATGCTACAAATGTTAATTTTCTTTTATTTCTTGTCTTGAAAGAAACCCACCTTATTTTTGGGAGAAGAATCATTAAGATATTTTGCAGCTAAAATAAGAGACGCAAGAAAAACCCGATGACATGTACACATCATCCCCTTTGCAACACGAGGAAGTTTGCATCGTAAACGCTCAAGATAAACTAAAGACGACATAAGTGTAGGTACTTGAACATTAGACTGTTCACAAAGACTAGAAATAAAATGTTCTAATGTAGGAAAATTGCGATACGAAAGCTCCGTATTATATTTTGAATTCTGACTTATTGGAACACATTGCAAAACCCCATTTGCCTTTTCTGTAAGATAAACAATCATTTCCCATTTAACGGGCTGTTTAATGAATTCAATTAATGCTTGTTTATTAAGCATTTTAAGAATTCCACTATAAAGGAATATAACGTCTTTAATACTTTATTTTCTTCACTTAATTTTTATTATTGTAAACGCGTTTTTTTTTTTTCGTTTAACACGACCTTGTTATATTTCTTATTAAAAATATCAACTCCTTAATTTATCAATTCCGCTTTATTTTAATTTCAATCTCCCGATAACTTCTATTATATATTAAAACCTAGATCCCTACCCTTTTTTCCTTTCAAACTATACAATTTTTTCCTGTCTTACTTTTCTCTTTCTCCTCATTGAGAAGATTTCTTCCTTGCTATCCCTGCCTCCTCACTTCATCCTATTCTTTCAATATTACGCCCAAAAAGCCATCACGCGCTTTTTTTTTAAATAATCATACTAAGAAAAAATAAATATATCTTAAGACTTACGTAAATAGGATATTAGGGTTAAAAATACAATTTTTATAAGGGAAAGTAAAATGCTTTACATTCTTTTAATCCATGTATTAAATTAATCATACTAAAATAGGAGGGAAACCGGTCTAAATGAAGAGAATATAGAGCTTAAAAAAATTAACGTATGAACTATCGATACAATTGTTAAAAATTTCTATGTAAGGTATCGCTTAGAAAAACTAAGGGTTAATGCTTTGAAATCAAGATAGTTAGGGTGAAATAAATATAACGGATGTTAACAAGGACTGATGTATATTGCATGAAAAAAATAAATGAATAATTAAAAATAAAATGTAAAAAATATAATTTTTTATAGTATTATAATTATTTTTAAGATTAATAGAATGTAATTTTTTGGTTGATAGATGTTTTAGATAGTCTTATGTAAAATGATTAGAATTATATCTTAATGTTTAAATGTAAAGTTTAAATATAAATCTATAGATGCAATTATTGCGGATATTCCATTACGGGATATTATTAGAATATATATTAATATGTATAGAATGGTTAATTAAATATAAAGCAAAAGGGTAGATATTTTTATATAGATATATTAACGTATTATATAAAATAAAAATGTAGCCTAATAGTCAGCTCTTGACTTTCAGTCTATTCTATATAGAAATGCAAGCCAGATTCCTGGAAAAGGCATATATTATTCTCGAGGGTATAATAGACGGCAGTAATCAGTTATAGATAAAAAAAGATTACTATGGCATATCCTCTTGCTTTTTTGATCATAGAAACATCCGTCAGTTAAAACTGATCTTATACATTTTTTCTCATGCCTAACCCACGACTAATTAAATTGAAAAAATATATAAAATTATTTAACAATGGAACGCAACCTAAATTTTGTATAGTTGCTTGGATTATGTTTTATGCTTTGTTCGAAATAATAAATTGTTCTTTTTTTGTTTTTTAATTAATGAAAAATTTTTAGAAAAACCAGCGCGTTGTGCTAAGATTGCCTCATTTTTTTCATTAATAGACTTTGTTAACATCTGTTACATATAAAAACAAGTTAGTTAATTCTTATTTTTTTTGTTAAAAAATAAAATAAATTACCCGTTGAAGATTCTGTGCTTTTCGTATCGATGCTTTTTTAGCAGAAATTATACGTGCTAATAATAAAATTAGTGATTTATTTCATTTAAAACACATATAGTCAACCCCCTCGTTTTAACTGAACAGGCTTATGACGAGTTTTAGCGGATTTCTTAGTAAGTTTTGTTAATCCTTGTGTCATTTACCACTGCAGCTAATAGCAACTTTTTACGAAATAATTTACTCGCTGCTTTAAAAAATATTTCATAAATGTTAGAAAAACGGAAAATATTGATATTTACATTTAAAAGATTTTTATAAAAAATTTTGTGCTAAATAGACTTATTTTTATATGAATTATATTTTTATTTTGCTTTTAATACTGTATTTTATAATTATTATTTAATATTTTAAATATATCTATAAAAATAAGATTAAATTGAACTATCAATCTGTTAAGTAAAAATAAAAGAAGCATAAATACTAATGAAAATTCATTTGTATATATTTATGTTAAAGACTAAGTTATTTTTTTTTAAAATATAGAAATGAATATTTAATATGTAACAATTTTTCTAAAAGCTTTTCTATTAAACAATATTTAATAACATTTAATTTTACTTAAACTATTTCATAATAAATAGACTTATTTTAAAAATATTTACAAAATATCAATATATAATATGATTATTAATGAACATTTATTTTTCTATTAAGTTGATCTACCGCTTTTTAAATTAACATATATATATATAATTTTGCAATATAAATCTAGATTAAAAGACAATTTGATACTTTTTTATACAGGATTTCAATTGATTTTAAAGATTTATTAAGTCTCAGACATCTCTATTCAAATTTTTTTAAAAATAATATATAGATTTTTTCATTCTTATCCTTATAATTTAGTAATAAGGCTTTGTTGAATTTTTTATAATTTTCTAATTAGTTCTTTAAATTTTATATACAGTTTATAAACATTTTTAACATAATCTATTTCAACATATTCCAACAAATCTATGATTTCTACTTTTTTTTTTAAACTTATTAAAATCCGATATTCTATAAGGCTATTCAATAATTTAAATATAAGGACATTTTGATTTTTCTAAGATTAAGAGTATCACAAGATAATATATCTTCTATGATATGCTTCTTAAAGATAAATTACTGAAAATTCTATATAAATATATAACTTAAATTTATTTTGGAAAATACTTAAAAAATACACTATAAACGTAATAAAATGACCTTGAAAAATATAAATTTTATATTTTTCTATATATACTAAGATTTCTAAATAATAGGGTTAAAAATTATGGATAAAAGGAAAAAGAAATAAATTATGAAAAAGCATTAACAAATATTAAAAAAATAAAGAAAAATATCATATTAAAATAAACTTTTAACAGGAATTCAAATAAAACAACATATACTGTTAATATTTATAAAACAAAAATAATAAAAAGATAAAAAAATGCAAAAAAAAATATAAATACACTCAAATCAAGAAATTACTAACAAGAAAAATATACAATATTTAAAATTATACATACACAATTATATGCATTTTGTTATACATTATATATACGCTTTTTTATTTCAGGGAATATCGACTAGTCAACGCTAAAAAATCTAAACCCTCAAGATTGATTTGGCGTAGATTGATTTAGTAGATATAAGAGAAGTCTAGACAAGATTCTAAGAGATCAAGGAATACTGATACTAAAAGCATATGTTTAACGATTTCTTGGTTGCATGTTTTGTGAAGGAAATTCGGAATTTTATCCACCCATTTTATTTCAATATTCGCCTGTTTATCATACATGGGTTAAATTATTCGTTAAAGATGTTTATACCTTAAAAGTAGTTGAGGGATTTGAAGGTTAGTGTAAAGTTTATTGAGCATATATAAGGAAATAGGGTTAAAAGAAAATTCGTAGATTCTCCTGCGCTTTTCTGGTTAAATCATCCAATTCGCTGGGTTCATCTCTTTGGTGTAGTAGTTGGTTTAGAGAAACGTGAAAAAGGTGATTTTGTCTCACGTATGCGTAATGTGTGCATTATATATGGGTGTTTAATTCATTTAAATAGTAGATGATTCAAGTGGTCGTATAATTGAACTGATATTAAAAGAACGACACCATCGTCATCTTATTCCCGCATTTCCAGAGGAAAATGGATTACTTGATATTGGAATGAGAATCAAAGTTCGTGGTACGCTTTCTCGCTTACATGGATCTCGACGGATTAGTGTGATTAAACTGGGTACGAGTTTTATATAGAAGATACTGAGATTTAATAAAAAAGATGTTATTCATGATCCAAATATCGAGATTTTGGGTTGGGAAGAAAGAATACGATTAAAGCAAGAAGTTCTTTCGAAAGTATGGATTATTGATTCGGATCTTAAAACAGCTACGATTAAAGCATATTTAAAAATGTACAATAGATCGATAACTCAAGGGGTATCGAAATACGTAAGTTGGATTTAATAGAATGAGGGGAAAATAGATGAATATTTAGTCAGACTATTCATTTAAAATACTCAAGAGTGGCGAACATACAATGCAGAATTTGAAGAGGTTGGTTTTAAATCAATTGAAGGAAAATGAATATCGAGAGTTCACAATATCGATTTTAAGAACTGACACAGAAATTGAGTTTGCAGCAAATTGTTTAGCAACAAAAATTCGAATAGAAATGGGTGAATTGGAAAATACAATAGTCTGGTCACAATCGACTGAAGTTTGCCGTCTTTTAATGAATTGTATTTCAGAATTAGTTAATCAAGGCTTGATTATATGTGTTAATGGGAACCAAGGAGTTTATGTAACAATAGGGGAATGGAATCTTTCTCGAACGATACGGAAATGTTGTCGAGAATCATTACACAAATGGCGACTTGCAAAGCATTCTTCAGACAATGAAAAAGCAATAATTACAACTAGAGAGGTTTGGCAGAAGGTAAGAAGAATTGGGGATGAGTGGAAAGCAGTAGATAAGCGACTCGTTACAAACATTATGGCAAAAGTAATGCCAACACTTTCAGGTTGGCGTTTACTAGGAAAAGGAAAATGGATTCTTGATAAGTAGTCATCTTTTTAAATTTCAGGTCATATTAGATTAGGTTTCTTTGTTCGCGGGTTTTTTATATATTCAATTTATAATTCATTATACATTTGTTTTTTTGACATGCATTTCGGCATTTCACACATTGTTTTAGATAGATTTTTAATTCTTGATGCTTTTTACTTTACTGATGTTTGATTCAATTGAGATTTTTAAAAATTAAATTTTTAAGCTTTTTTATAAAAATATAATATATTTTATACTATTAATATTAAATAAAAAATTGGAATTATTATTATAATTATAACAAATTATAGTATTTTCTTATTCGGGAAAAATATTTTAATTGTATTAATCTATATATTTTTTCTGCGCATCATTTAATTATCTTAAAAATAAATAGTACAATTTTAATAAAATATAAAATTAATTGGAAATCAATTCTTACAAATAGATAAGATAATATTAATTAGATCTTTCAAAAAAATATGGAAATAGAGGTAAGTTTTTTTTCCTGTAAAAAATGATGAAAATTAAAAGAAAAAAGTTAGTAAATAAAAAACCTGAAGAATTACTATCTAATCAATGGATCAAAGATTTTTTTACTAAAAAAGAGTTTCCAAGTGTTCCGGAAATATCAAGGAGGTATTGTATATCTTCTTATCATAATTTAGATATTTTTCGTGAAAATACATTGGAACAATCTTTATCTAAACGTCCATATTCATTCTATCAGACGATAAAAGAATGCCCTGAACATTTAAATTCCAAAGAATTAAAATCTAATTCGCATATTAAATACAGATTTTCTTTAATTCCTATCATAAGAAATACAGAAAACATTTCTTCAAATCAAAAAAAAAATTCACAAGATTATACTCTACAAGATAAAAAAAATTCGAATAATTATAAAGAAATAAAAATAGAACAATATCAATCACCCGAAAAAAAAGAATCATCTACTAAAACTAACCATTTAGGAATCTATGATACGATAACACTTATTAACTATATACAACACCAATTCTCAACATGGTTAAAACATATGCAGAACGATAAATATCTTGTTTCATCATCTAGTAATTTACATGATGTTGCAAAATTTAAATATCGACAAACTCATCATACCAGAAAAATTATTCGTTCTCTTTCTTTGGTCAGATTACAACTCTTATCACTTTAAAAAATAAAAATCTCGGTTTTTCTAAATACATATTTATTTCTTTTTATACATTTACTTATTTAATCAAATATGCTTTTCAATTAATTTACATAATATCCTTATCAAAGCGATAACATCGATATTTTTTCAATCAATATTTTCTTTGCTTCTCAATAAAATACCTACATATACACATATTATAGTGGAAAACGCAGTTTTTATTGATAAACTATATTTTAAAAAGGTTATTTTTATCATTCTTTTTATTAATTTATTTTTATTACAAAAAAAAACATTCAGATTATTCTTACAAAATATAATTTATTTAAAAGATTTACAGAGTTTGTTAGATAAAAACTCAAATAACCCTATACATTTATTTAATAATCCTATCTTATATTAACTTATAACCTCGATATTGGATAATACTTTAGTAAAAGGGTTATAAAAATAATGCCTAAGAAATAATACTTAAAAATTTTAGAACTATAAATTAATTTTAAATATGCAAGAAGTGGTTAAAAAGAAACTTTTAAAAGTATTTTATTTTAAATCTCTTTATAATCAGGAAAACCATTCTCAAGAATCAGAAGAATCTTTACAAACAATATATAATGATGAGAATAATTTTGATAAAAAAAAGGAAAAATATTTGTATTTTATTATTAAGGTGATTTTTATGAGTAGCTATCTCAATATTCTTCTTTTTTTTGTACCATTAGGTATTTTATATGGTTATTTTGAATGGAATCCTACATTAGTGTTTATTTTTAATTTTTTAGCAATCTTCCCTTTAGCAACAGTAAGAAATAGGAATATTGTATCGTTTTTATATGAATTAATTGGTTAGATACTTAGTTTTTTAACAGAAGAGCTTTCTATGAAAGTTGGACAAGTAATAAATATATATTATTATAATTTATTTATACTAATATTTTAAGACAACAGGAAGTCTTTTAAATGCTAGGTAAAAGGATAATATTTAAGAAATATTTTTTTAATTTTCTAGTCTGGGTAATGTTGTAGAAATGATTATTTCTATCATTGCATTAAATAAAGGACAATTAAGAATTGTACAGACGTCAATGCTTGGATCTATCTTATCAAATGATCTTTTGGTATATTTGTTATATGTTTTTTATCATTCAATTAATATATTTAAGGTTCTTGGGATATGTTTTATTGCAGGCGGCTTACATTATCAAGAACAGCAATTTAATATGACAGTTGCACAAACTATGTCTTCTCTCATGGCAGTAGCAACTAGTTCTCTTTTAATACCAGCTGCTTTTAGACTATCATTACCTGGCACAGACGAAACAAATAAAAATATCATTATATTATCGCGTGGTACATCAATAATTTTATTAATAATATACTTTTTATATTTAATTTTTCAAGTAATATGATCTATTTTCAAATAATTTGGCTTATTATGCAATAGTTAAAAACACACACAGAATTTTATGAAACAGTTATTGAAGATACTCATAAGGAATTAATTCCACCCATTGTCTCCGCAGTTTTTCTCGTGCTGGTAACGCTTTTGGTTTCTTTATGTGCAGAATATCTTATTGATTCAATTGATTTGTTTACAGCTTCATATAATGTTAATAAAACATTCATAGGTTTAATACTTATACCTATTGTTGGTAAAATGACCATTAATTTTATAAGTTTAATACTTATGTTTTAGGTAATGCTGCAGAACATGCTACTGCTGTTATTGTATCAGTAAAAAACAAAATGGATCTTGCTGTCGGTGTAGCTCTTGGTTCTTCAATGCAGATAGCACTTTTTGTTACACCTTTTCTTATCATTATTGGCTGGGTTATTGGACAACCCCTTACACTATATTTTAAAACATTTGAAACAGTTATCATGTTTGTTAGCGTTTTTATTATAAATTATTTAATTCAAGTATTTAACAAATCTATTTTTAATTAATAATTCACCCCTTCTAGGATGGAAAAAGTAATTGGCTCGAAGGAATTATGCTTATAGCGGTTTATTGCATTATTTCAATTGCATTTTTTCTTTATCCAGAACAAAAGGCGGTTTAATCTTATCACTATTGATTTATCTATATACATATTTATGAAATTATTGCAAATATATCAATTTAGAATTTTAAAAATATACTTATATGGCATATTTATTTGTTTCAATGATTATTTTTATGGCTTTAATAAAATGAAATTATAATTCTGTTAAAAAAATCGAATTATTCAAAAACAATATGGCTAAAAAAAAAGGTTCATTAGGTGAACAATTAACTGAAAAATTTAGTGAAATTGATCTATACTCTATTTTAAAAATAAACAAAAATGCAACTGAAGCAGAAATTCGGTCAGCATATCGTAAACAAGCTTTATTGAATCATCCAGATAAAAAACCAGAATCGGAACGAGAAAAGGCACATACTGAGTTTGAAAGAATTGCATTTGCATATGGGATTTTAAGTGACGAAAAAAGACGTAAAATATATGATACAACTGGAAGAACGGATGAAATTATAAGCGATATAGATTGGTCTGAATGGATAAAAGATCTTTACAATAGTTCTATAAATGGGGAAATATTAGAAGAATTTAAAAAATCATATCAGGGAATGTTTTTCTATATTTTTTTAGAAATTAAATATTGATCAATATTTTAGGCTCAGAAGAAGAACGACAAGATTTGTATCAAGCTTACGAACAATTTAAGGGATCCATGACGGACATATTTTCATATGTTTTATGCAGTAATGTGCTTTCCGATGAAGAGAGATTTCGTGCAATGATTGATGAAGGTATTAAACGCAAAGAACTTAAAAAATATAAAAATTATACACAAGAAACATTTTCTCAAAGGCTTAAAAGACGAAAGAAAGCAGAAAAAGAGGCAGAAGAAGCAGAGCAGCTTACTAAAGAGCTTGGTTTAGACAAAACCTTAAAAAAAATAAAAACAGAAGATGATCTTCAAGCATTGATAAAACAAAGACAATCAACACGTATGGAAACTTTGATAAATAGTTTAGAAACAAAATATGGGAGTTCTAAAAAAAAGACTTCAAAAAAAAATTAAGTATTTTATAGATAAAAAATAAGAAGTTTAGTTATGTACATTTGAATAAATGATGAGTCTTCTTTTTAAATATGATTCAACAGAACCTAATATTAAACGTTAAATTCCTTTTCAAAAATATAAAATCATAAACACAAATTAATCAGTACTCAATATCGTGCGTAAAGCAGATTAATCAGCGCCACTAGGCTAATAAGACCGTCGTGAACTTGAGAGGTTTATATCATCATAATATATATGTTCATAAAATATTCTTACCTTTTGTTTTTCTATCAAGCCTCTAATAACATTTATTAGTAAAAATAAAAATTTTACTAGAAAAAGTGTAAATACTTGCATCAGAATAAATTTGTTCATCAATGTTTTAACTATGACATATGCTTGTCATTAATAATTTAGGATCATCCAATGCAATTAATATTTTGCATAAAAACATACCTTCATAAAAAATAATTTTAATAGATCAAACAGTTAATTGTCAAGCAAGTTTATTTACATTAAGAAATCCTAAATAATATAAATTAGTATTTATATCCAAAATATTACAGTCAATAATGCATCTAGTCATTCAGTTAAGCATGAATGGTAAAAAAAGTTATCAACATCAAATATGATGTCTGACTCGTCATCAACATTCATCATTAACAAAAAACTTTTTGAAACAATCGTTCTAAAGCTAACCTTAATATTTTTAATAAATCATAAAAATATATTTTTGCTTATAATAAATATATATACTCAAATATAAAAACCCCAAATTTTTGAAACAAAAGCAAAATAACATCAATTCTTATAGTATTAAATATAAGCAACTCATATATTAATGTTTAACAAAATTTCTATCCTTTATATTAAAAAAAGAAATAAGTTGTGTAAACCTACAAACAGTTAAAACTCTTATATATAACAATAATTATAAAAGCTCAGGTTTAAAGCAGCAATTTTTCTACATAAGATTCAATATTTGAATATCAGACGGTAATTCCAATTTATAAATTTTCATCTTTGCTTAAAAAAATCAAAAAAATACCTTAAAAAATTTCGTATAAAATAAATCCTATAAATTATAAAGTTAGCATTTATTTTTAATCAAGAAATGTATAGAGAAATGAAAATTTATATATCAGAAAATATGTAAGAATATAGAATCATATCAATATCAGAAACTCTAGTTTGAAAATAATCATTCATCAATTACAAAAAAAACTATATATTAATAACATTTGTAGATATTACCTTCAAATATTATACTATGTTGCTTTTTTTTCCAAAATTATATTTTATATAAAACTATTAAAAAACTTAATTTTTGAAAATGCTTTAAACTTACATACCATTATATAAATTGTATTAAAAATAATGATAGAGTAGTTTGCAGCCAAAAAAAATTAAAACGTAATTTACTGGGATACCGTATAATATTATGTAAAGACTAATGTTGACAGAAAATCCATATTTATATAAAATTTTGTTTTTATAAAACCAAATCTTTAAAATATTAGAAAAAATAATTTATGAATTAATTTAACAAAAAATTGTTTCGGCTCATTTTATAATAGAAATTTCTAAAAACTTTACAAATTGTTTTTTTCTACTAACTGCCACACTATAAGTTCAAAATAGAGTTTATTGCATTTCGAGATATTCTATGAGAAAATATTTCTATTCATTAGTTAGTATACAATAAAAAAATCTCTACAGATGAATATTATAGAAATTAAAACAAATACCTTATTTATAACAAATATGTTATCCCTCAAAAGTATACAAACAATATAAACTAATAAAAACTTCATTCATAAAAATCCTTTCCTAAAAAAATACAAAATAATTGATTAATATAAAAAATAACTATCTTGCAAAAAAAAGGAATAAATATCAATATTTCGGCTGAAAAATTATCTTCCTACGAGTCTTCCGAATGTAGTTTCAACCCAGTCTGTAAACATGTCTTTTTTTGCATAATCTTTTAACCATCTTTGATAATCATTATCTCCTCTAAAAAAATAAGAAAAAAAAGATTATAATATTTCTAATACTTTATAATAACTCTTTCATATCCAAAATCTAAACTATAGCCTATGTTATGATCTTTAATTCTTGTGTTTACTTCTAAAAAATATTAAAAAAAAAATATAAAAATAAGAAATATACCAGCTCCAGGATGAAATAAAAGACGGATAGGAGGCTCAGGTTTAGAAATACATCCTGTATTTTCATCCTGTCCCTGAGATGCAATTCTTGATTGTCTTTCTATATTTTCAATAACGGATGATTCTTTTGATGACATAGAAATTAATACTGAAGAAGGTTCCGGATATGTATATGAGGATTTAGATGTTAAATGACCATAAATATCTTTAATAGAACGCATGTTAAAAATTTTAAGTAATTGAAATAATTTTCAAAAAATTGTTTGTCTTGCGATCAGAATAAATATTTTTTTTTCAATTTAGTACTTACCTTTTTTAAAATAAATATTTAAATCTTTTATTGTATTTCATAAAATGAAATGTATGTATATGCTAATTATATCCGACAACTTGATTTTTGTGCCAATGTTAAAATATAATTTAAAGATTCTGGACTAAATTCATTTTTATTTTTAACATTTTGTACCCAAACAACATCTCCTTTAATATATACAATAATTCCACCTGTTCCGCTTGCACTTGCAGTGATTCTGAAAAGAGGATTTCCTGTATCTTCATGTGCTTTTCGTAAAGGTATTAAAACAAGATCATGTTCTAGACAAAAATCTTCAACAACATCTTTAAATACAACATCTTCATCCTGCAATTTCTTTGAATATGTTTTAGGTAATGGAGTTTCTTTAGTTTCTATTTCTATAGGTTGTGTAAGATTTGTCACAGGAGGAAGTAATCTAATAGTTATTAATAATTAAAGATAAAATATAAAATATTAATACTTTTCAGAAACATCATTTCCAAGATTAAGTGCTTGATGCATCATATCTAAACCGTTTATAAATGATTCACGAATCATTGGCATTTCAAGCATTTCTGGAGGAAATACCTGTTGCCACCATTGATACCTATAATATAGTTAAATAAATCGAAAAAATATAGAAAACTAACCATTCGCTAACTTGTGTATAATTACATTCTGGATCGGTAAGCCATAAATAAAGTATATCCATCCATTTTGGAAAGAATTCAGTTGCAAACAATTGATCAAATACTGAAGGTTTAAAAAAACTACGCCATGGAAGTATCCATTCTAAAGGTTCTAATTTCTGATCACTTGGATCAATAAAGAAATCTAATCGAAGACATGCTGATAACTTCGGTAATATATAATTTAACATTAATTTTTCAAATTGAGCATCTCCAAAAATCTCTTTCCATAGATTCAATTCCTCTATAGGACCATCTTTTATATCCCATGAGCTTAATATCATTCTAAATTTCCTTTTAACAACGTCAATCAGTGTTTCGGTATTTTCTTTCAACAAAGGTAACCAAGGAAAAAGCCATACATGTGGAAGTCGTGAACTCTTTTTTTTAATAAAATTTCGTGGATTCCAATTAAAAATAGACTTTTGAAGTTTTGGAAGTATAAGCTGATTTAATACAAAATCCTGAATAAATGGTGATAATAAATTCTTCCATGATTCAAAAAGAAGAAGAGCAGAAGAATAATTATAAGGATTCCATGTGTTATTAATTGCCGAACGGACTTTGGGGACCCATAAATATTGCAACATACTTTCAAAAGGTGTCATTATTCTTTATTATATTAATATTAGTATAATATATAAGTAATAATTACGTTTGCTTTAATGAAAAAGAATCATCTTCTTGATCAATCTCGGATATATTTTTTACTCCTATGATTTGTTTCCATTTATGAAAAAAGTTTAAAACAGGACTAGGTTTTTCTAAAGGATCCCATGATAAAAATAGCGATTTTACCTAAGTTTAAAGTCAAAAAATTAACAAAAAAGTTATAAATATACTATAGGAAAAAGAATAGAAATTATAACTTCATCAAGATTATATATTTTGATTTCTTCGAAAAATTTATGCTGAATCTCTTCTAACATTCCAGAGATATTGTTTAATAATTCAAGACTGTCTTCTGAATTATTCTTACAAAATAAATAAATATCTTCAATTTCCTTTATAATCTTTTCAAGTTTTTCAATTTTCACTGACTCTTTTTTTGCATCCTCATTGATTCTTAACTCTTCCATTTCAATATATACTTTACGATCTTGCAATTGCTTCCATTCTGTTGCGTACATTTCCAAATCACGTCTAGCCATTAATGATATTTGATACATTTCATCATTACGACTTAAAGTCATAGGAATAGACATTGTTCCAGAAACATTTTCTATCAACTTTACCTCTTTTTCAGTCATATCAATAATCTGTTGAAGTACTGGAGGAACTTCCATGCCACCTGCGATCTCACTTGCAGTTTTATATTTTATTTTTTCTTTATGAACTTTTTCTGATTTTCGTTCATGCACAGGCTTTTTTATAGGCAGATCCTCTTCATCTTCACTTATTTCACCTCGTCGTCTTGATTCCTCAATTGCTTGTTGCGTTTTTTCCTTTATTAGTCCAAGACCCGCGCGTGTTGGTCTCACTTTTGTTTCTACAGGATTTAAAATACCCTGACCTTGAGATCCTAAACCTTGGCCTGCAACATATCCCATTTTTTCTAACATTTTTGCTCCAAATCCTGAATTTTTAAAATATTTAGATGTTTCTGAATTAACTAATTTCGGCTTATTCTTTGATGCTGAACTACTTGATGACAAGTCTATTGTGGACTTAAATGGTCTTTGTGGATTTGATTCTTCTTCAACTTTTACTGTCTTGTATTGTTTAGAACTATAAAATGCTTGTTGATCATTTAAAGCTTCCGTACGTGGCTTATATACATAAGAAAAATGCCCATATTTACTAGAACTATCTTTTTCTGATTCTTCTGTACTTTTTTTATCTGAATATCCTTTGTTTTCTTGATATATATTATCAATATGTTTTGGAGTTGTAAAACGAACATGTCTAATTAAAGTTAGTTTTTTTTTTCATTAAAAAAAAACACATACTTATATCTTAACTGTTTTTCACCAATTCCATTATAATCTTCATCACTATCATCCATAAAAACCCCTAACATTCTATCTTCTTTTGTATTTCCCTTATAATTCCTTTTTCGATGCTTCAAAAAAAGACCAAATTCCTCCTGATCCTCCAAATCTAAATCTTCAATATTTTCCTCACTGTTCTCATCAGATGAACTACTATATGATGCCATTATCTACTATTTTTATACGTTTGACACCCTATTAATAAAGCTAACGTTGATCTCGAGATCTCGAAATCTAACCATATAAAAAATTAATATATAGAAATTAATGTTCAATTATTATGATCTTGATGATATCCTCTGTGAAAACACAGTAAATAATATTCTCCATATTAGTTTTAATATGATAGAGTTTTTTTTAGAAAATATCGTCTATTTTTCAACATATAGTTCCAGGATTAGGTTATCTAGATGGAAATAATGAGCCAGATGTAAAGGAAGCTGAATTAATAAATAATATCTATTTATTAATGTCTATTTACTTAGATAAAAGAGGGTGCTAATGTGGATCTCCCTTTTTGGCTTGCCGAAATGCTAGTTATTAAGTAATAATAAGTGTTGAATGATTAATAAAAATTTATATTTTATAATAGTAATTTTATTGATATTGAATTTCCAAGTGCATTTTCAGCCAAGGTTAGAAACGCGCTTAAGGCATGTCCTCAAAATGTTGATTTGAGAATGTTTTCTACACATTATTATTTGTTTGGAGAAAAAATACTAAATTTGTATATTATATGAGTATTTAAAGAGATCGGACTAACTAAATAATATAGACTTTCTGATAACGAACTTGTAAATATTTTAATTGAAGTAAGTCATTTATTTTATATACTTTATTTATTTTAAGACTTTTAAATCACGTATATGTTTTATCGCTGATCATGCTCATAATCCTCATGGTGCGCTTGAAGAAGGGGTGGAATTTCTCCGTAATCTTGAAGATAGTGAAAAAATGTGTATGTTTGTATTATGATCTTTTAATTATCTAAAATAAAAAGTTTTTCGTATTGGTCATGATAGTACTAAAGATATGAGAAACTGGTTAGAAAAGTCAAAAATTCATTAATAAAATACGAAAAAACACATATTTTCTATTAAAAATTATTTTAAATTATTTTAAATTATATTTTTATCTTTCTCCATGCCCTAATGTATATTATTCCATCAAAAAAACAAATATATTTATAGACAATAATAATAAATATTATAGTCTTCGGTCACTATAGTCCTTTAAGCTATTCAAATGCGTATTTGTAATTCTTCCTCTGTTGCTACGTCTTTTTTTTTGTTTTTGTAAACTTGTTGCTACAGAAATTCTTTTGATTGTAGCAGGATCTATAGAAGTAGGTTTTAATCCAACTTTCCTTATTCAGAGAAAAAATAATATAGACCATATTTTCTTACCATTTTCAAGCTCGTGAGGGAGATCTGAGGGAGCAGGTATTATCAATGAATGCCATATTTCTTTAAATTCTATCAAATATTAAGTAAAACCTTATATTTTTCCCTTTTAAGAACCTTCATCAACAGACTCTTGATCATTACAATGATTCGGCCATACTGATTTTAAAAGCCCGTCTTTTTTTGTTCTTAATACAAGAATCTCTCCATCTTTTTCCAGCCTTTCGATTTCATCTATTGCTCCTGACCATCCTTCTTTAAGATCTTTTACTAAAATTCCTGTTGCTGTTACGCTTGAATTTAAAAATGCTACAAGGGATGCTGCTGATCTAATATTATGGATCGGTTTAAAATGATAAGTATCTTTATAAGAATCATATTCAATTCTTTCATTTGTTCGCAATATATTAATAAAAGTTGTTGTTAATGGAATAGAAAGATATGACGATATTTCCTCTGATGTTTTCGGCGCTTCATTTTTCTGTTTTATCTATAAATACGATTTTTTATTCATTTTTATTACCCACTTTAAGATATTCTAATACATAATAAAGTTGAGACTGTAAATGGTTTCCAACACCCGAGTCATCCGGCTGAGAATAAACTATTCATTTATCTTAACATTAATAGGTCCTATTCATATTTTCTAACCTATATTATTTCTTGGTTTCTTAACATTTAATTCATTTCCTCCATTTTTTATATTTGCCATTATTATGTTCTATATATAAAAATATTTCAAATCATTCAATAAACCAAATTTATACATTAATATTAAGTAATTTCTTATAAAAATATAGTGTTTATTTAAACTCAAATATATAAATTATGTAATCCTATTTTTTCAATATTAAAGATTACGAGTGTAGATAATATATAGAATGCTTAAATTTTATAAAAGTATGAAAAAAATAAAATATATAAAATTAAAGGAATTATAAATCAATTAAGCTTCCAGATGGTGGATTATTTTGATAATGAGATGAATGATTTGAAGATGATAAATAAGGATTATTTTCTTGGATAGTTGATTGAGAAAAAGTAGATGAAAGGTCTATACAATTTTCTTGTGTTGAAATATTTTTAAAACCGACGCCAGTTGGTGCAGATAAAATCGGTCGTCGATTAAATAAAGTTTGATTAGATTTTTGATTATTAAGAGTACCAGATATGGTTGGTTCTGTTTTTGTTCGCATGCCATAAGAATTAACAAATTCGCAAGCTATATGTTGACTAGGAATACGGAGATCGCCAGTATTACCAAAAGTATCAATCTCCGGATTTTTTGCTTGTAATATAGAAGATAATTTAGCCTGATAGCTAGCATCGTATTTATGTTGAGGAAAAAAAATACTTTGTGCAGTTGGGATAGTATTATTTGATTCACTTTTTTGATCTGAATAAATTTCTAAAGGAGAACTGATAGTATTATAATTAGGTTTATAATCGCTAAGGTTTGCCATTTGAATAAAAGGATTATTTGATCCTACTCTAAGGGATTTAAATTGATCCTGAGGGCGATTAAGATAAGAATGATCGAATGGAGAATCCCCTTGAAATGTTTGGGCATCAATATATGAAGAATATGGATTATTTGCATGTTCATTCTGTTGAAACAATGGATAATTTATTTGAGAATGATTTAATTGATAATTTTCTTGAGGTTGATAATATCCAATATTTTGTGTATTAAGATTTTGTTGGTTTTCAAAAGCATTCGTTGACTGTAAATGCATATTTTGAATATAATCAATGTTTTGTGGCTGTTGAATAGAAGTATCTTTTATGAAAAAATCCATTAATTTCGATGGTTGCTGTGGCTGCTGAAAAGATTGTTCAAGTAAAAGTGCACCTCTTTCCTTTTGAAGTAATGCCATATTTCGCAGTTCTTCTTCTTCTTTACTAAGTTGAAGAGCAAGAGCTAATTCCTCTTCTTCCTGTTTAGTTTTTAAAAGGGACCTGAGTTTATCATCTTCCGATTGAAGTTTGCTTTCTTCTATAGCACGTTGAAGTTCTTTATCGTCATCAGACGCGTCAAACGTTTGTGAATGCTTTTTATATGACGATTTTTTATATGAAGAGCTACCCGACATATTATCATTGTGTTGAAGACCCAAGCGATTATGCATATGCGTTCTATTTTTTCGTTCAGAACGAAGACGATCATCGTCCTGTAATAGTTCCGTAATATCTCTTGCCTTTATTCTTACTAAAAAAATTAACTTCTTATTTTTAATTGTCAAAATACCATTTGATCCCTGATCTTTACCGTCTTCACTAACATAATTAAATTCGCGTAGAGTTTTTATAATATATATATTATCTTTAGCCCATTTTACTGTATTTTCTGATCCACTATGCAAACAATAATCAAGAACTGTCAATGCCTTTATAAAATTTATTAAACAAAAAAATATAAATATCCTATAATATACTTTAAATACGTGTCTCCAATTCTTTCCCTTATCATTCATTCGACGATCCAACATATCCATTACTTCTATAAAATTATGCCTGATATTTTTTAAAAAAAGAAACTTTAACCCTTTGAAAAACATACGGATCAAATGTCATACGCGCAATTTCATTCATCTCTACTCCACTAGGACCCCATGGATCATTTGATGTCGCTGACCTTACTTTATTTTGTACATCTGAATATTTTAAGTTCTTTCTACATTTCTTCAGCTTATTTTTTTAACATTAGTAGATGATATCTACACCGTTCGAATCGCTGCTTTTCCTGTATACATATTTCCTTCTTGTAATTAAGAAATAAGCCACTTCTTCCTCTAAAATATTTCTTAAACTTTTATTTTTTTTATGACGTTTCGTTGCGCGAGAGCCAAAATGCCATTTTTCTATTAATAAATATACGAGGAATTCGTTTATTAAGAATTAAAATTTCAATAATATCTAATTTATAGGAAAATAACACTGAATATTCTTATTTAATATATAATAAAAGAAGATTTTAAATAGAATAAAAGTTATATTATTTTTTATTTTAATTTTTCTTAGTTTTATAAACTTAATTTATAAAAATATTTAAACATGTCCAATTCTTTTATATTTAAATAAAAAGTTAATATTTTTATGAAGTTTATCTTTATCTTTAAAATATGATATTGAGAAAAAAAGCTAAATATATATAAAATAAAATAAATATATATAGAACAAAATGAAATAATTGTAAAAAAATTAATAATTTTTGTGAAAATAGTTTATTTTGTTACTCAAAAGAATGGATTGAAATATAAACTAATTTTTTTGGTAAAGCTTATCAAACTTCAATTTTTATATTAAAAATAAAAATGAATGAAGTACTTTCATTTAAACCGTTTTATGTTTATAAAATACCAGAAACACTTCTATCAACATTAACAGTAGAGGAAGATAAAAAGGTTTTTTTGCCAAAAAATGAAGATAAAAGTTCAATTTATAATGTTAATAAAGAAATGCTCTTTACATGTTCTACATGTAAAGAAATACAATTTAATTCTACAGAAGAACATAGAATTCATGTAAAAACAGACTGGCATAAGTTTAATCTTAAGAGAAAAGCAAGACAAATGCCATCATTAGATTATAAGGAATTCGAAGCAGCATTAGAGGGTATATATTTGGTAATTAATCATCTAAAAAAAACATGCTTATATATACAGAAATAGAAGAATCTATTTCAGGGTCAGATTCTGAGAGTGAAGATTCTGTTTTTGATGATATGGAACAGTTATTTGTATCAAAAGCGGAAAAGTTTATTGAAGAAAAAAGTGTAGAATCGCAAAAAACAAAGGATCCTATTATATGGACAACATCTACTAAGCTAAAAAAATCTTTGCATATCGGGTTTTATCGAAGTCTTTTTGATTATGATAGTTCTCAAACATTTATTTCTGTTCTTCGTGAAAACCAGTTAAATATAAAGAATAAAAATAGAACTATTGCCTTGATAATGGTAGGAGGAGGAAATTTTGCAGGAATGATTGTCTCTTTATATCCAAAAACTGAAAATTATAAAAATTATTTCAAAATGGATGAGCTTAATGTATTACATCATAAAACATTTCATCGATATACAACACGTAGAAAACAAGGTGGATCTCAAAGTACTTGTGATTCAGGAAAAGGTGCAGTTATTTCTGCTGGAAGTAATTTAAGAAGATATAATGAAGCTGCTTTGCAAACAGTTAGTGAATTTAATTAATATTTATTTACATATAATAGTTTACTAGGAAATTCGACAACTTTTGACATCATGGAAACACGCATTGGATAAATCAGAGTTGATTTTTGTAAGAGCATCTGGAAAACTTAGTCATAAAATTCTTTTTGGATATGAAAATTCAGTTTTATCAATAACTGATAAACGTTTAAAGAAAATCCCATTTACTACTCGCAGAGCTACAAAGAATGAGTTAATTAGATGCTTTAATGAACTTACAATGGCAAAAATTGCCGATATTGATATGGAAGAAATCGAAGTTATCCCGGAAACTCAAATAACAAATCTAACAAATATTTCTAAAACAATTGTGGCTGACAAAGAATTTGAAATACAAAAAAAAAATACATCGCAGATCATATTTCTTATAAAAAAAGGCAATCCTCAAAAACTAATTGATTATATAGAAAAAAATGCATTATCATACGATTTTCAATTTCAACCTATTTCATTTTATCAACATATTTCTACACCTCTTCACCTTTCATCTTCATTGTCTTTGTCATTCATTGTAATAACACTACTGGAAAAAGGTGCCAATCCAACTATAAGGAATGGAAATGGAAAAACAGCATATGATATAGCAGGAAATAAAACAACACAATATGCTTTTAGATTATGTAGAGCCAGTTTAGGGGAAGAAAGATGGGATTGGGGATTAGCACATGTTGCATCACCATTAACAGAAAATGAAATTAAAAAACGAGAAGCGCAATCAAAAGAACTTAAAATTAAAACATTACAAGAAAAACAACGTCAAAAAGAAGAATTGAAAAAACTTATAGAAACTAGTCCTCCTAAAAATTTGGATACTGAAATAATTAAAAAAAAGTCTATCATATCATTATCATTAGAAAAAACATTACAAGATCAACGTAATTTATCTCCTGATATTCAAAAACGTATCGAACGAGAAAAGCGTGCAAGAGCTGCTGAAGAAAGGATAAAAAAATCAAAGCTCTTAGGATAGCATTTTTTTGTTTAAAACGACTCTTACATATTTCTACATTTCTTATACATCTATCTGCTATCACTTGCTGGATAACAGCCCTAACCCTATCACTACCGATATTGTTTTGAGAAATCTATAATTTTAAAAAATAAATATATTTTTACCTGATAGAAGATAATTATCAGTTAATCATAGATATTGTAACATGGATGTTCAAAAGGAAAGAATTGATGAAGAAAAATCAAAAAAAAGAGATGAAAATGAGACTATTTTAGATTTAAGTGATGGAGTGGTATATTTTGGGACACCTACATCAGCAGAAAAACGGTTACATGCAATGGAGACACCTCCGAAACACGTTTCATCAAGGAGGAAAACAGTTCTTCTTCCATCTAAAGCAATTCTTTATTCTACAGGAAATTTAAATCAACAAGAAAATTATAAGGAAAGAAAAAGTAGGCGACAAAGTTATTTATATGCAACAAAAAATTCTGTTATGTTAGAGCAACAAAGACTTCAAGAAATTATGGATGATAAGGATTTTGCATTATATTCTAATAATTCTATGGATGAAAATTTATTATTTACAGAAGCACCTGGAAGTGTTGAACGGAAAATTAGAAAGAAAAGTGATACAGGAAAGTTGTCTCTTACACCATCTACATGTCAAAAGCGTGTAAAAACATCGAGACAATTTTCTGTTTTTAACACTATGATACCACGTTCAATATCGACTATTTCTAGAAGAAAATCTACATCATTATTATCGCAGAAACAGAATAAGACATTGCATCATGCATTTGAAAAAGATATTTGGATGTCCGAAATGCCGTTATTATGTTGTATTAGAATTCAGGCAACTATACGAGGTTATTTAATACGAAAATCAATTTTTCTTCAGAATCAAGCTGCAAAAATCATTCAGCATAAATATATTACTATACTTGCAAAGAGGAAGTTTTTTCATCAAAAAAGATCGGCTATAATTATTCAATCTGCATGGCGTGGTTGGCTTGGAAGAATGCGTTATCTAGAAATGATAGACGCATGTATTTGTATTCAAAAATGGTGGAGACAATTATTTAAAGAAAAAAAGGCAAAACAGACAAAAGCAGTTGTAAGAGTAGAGGAAAAGGAAGTCATGAAAAATATATCGAATAATTCTAGTCTTCAAGGATTTTTGAGAAAATGGGAATCTAAAAAAGCATTAGTAACTGCTGCAAAAGATAAAAATTTAAAAAGAAATTCTTTGCTAGAAAACAATACAAGTATGGTAGATAACATAAAGGAAAATATTCCATTTCGTTTAGTTGAAGAATTATCACCACAAAAACCAAATCCTCCTATATCTAACGAATCACCAAAATCATTTAAAAAGACGGAAAAACAAAGAATTTTGTCGTCTTATTCTAGGTCTGTATCATCTATGACATTAATGCTGAAACAATCTATATCAACTACTAGGATATTATCCGATCCTACAAATTCTATTTTATCCACTACTGCACATAATTATCCTGTATCATTTCAAAATCGCCCAAAGTTACCAAGATCGCAACTTGCTGCGCCAGGATTCACTTCAAGAACTTCCGTATTAACTGACATTTCACCGAATTTATTAAAGCAAGATACAATAAATGTATTAAATACACCTGCGAAAAAAAATAAAGTAGATGGCACATCTATGGTTACATTGAAAGTTTCTACTCCAAGCCCCAAAAAGAATCCTTGTCTTGTATCTCCACTTAGAAAGACAATAAAAAAAGTAAGTAATTTAATATTGTCTCATTATTATTTACATGTTCTAGAACCAACCACTTGGTTATCGAAGAACAGCATTATTGGCTCCTCAAAACATAAATTCAATGCATTTTTCATATATCATACCCGAAAGTACTTCACCTCAAAAAAACGTTAGCCATTTTGTAAATAATGGTCTTGGTTCTCCTTCAAGACATAAAATTATTAATCAATCAGACCTTGCTTCTAAGAATTTAGAAGTAAGTAATGAAGAACGGAATCTTCTTACTCGATCTAGAACAATAGAATTAAAAACATTATCTACATCTACTTTACAAACTTATACATCTGCGATAAAAAATACCATTTCTCAGAATTTATCTAATTCATATCGGCCTTTAAATTATTTAACTCTTGGAGAAATAACCAAAATGACCCGGCAAAATACATATCAAAACAGAATATATCGATGTGACTTTAATAGAGTTATTGTACGAAAAAATTATTTACGTCCTCCATCTCCTACTGCAAAGTCGCAATCCAAACTTGCAGCTGAAGCACGTATTAGAAGAAAGAAATTTCAAAAAGAAAAAATGCATGATTATGCACTTGGTCCAGGTGATGACGATAATTGGATTCCAAGAGAACTCACTCCTTTGAAAAAAGGTGTAAAATGGAATAAACTTTTAGAATCCGAAATTGGAGAACCTAATCATACCTTAGAGAAACTTAATTCTGGTAAAGTAAAAGTTCAAAAGGGATGCTTATCTAAAAAGACAAATTTAGTAAGAAATCTTATTAAATTAAATTACAAAATTAATTTCTGTAGATTCGATTAGATGATCTTGGGAATGTACTAGATGCACATGAACCATTGACACCTATTATAGGTAAAGCAGAAACCGTTATTATACAAAAGTTTCTTTACAAAGGAGAAGAGGATGAATAACATATTTTAAGAAATATTTATCTTCTTATAATATTAACTACAAACGAAGTGGTATAATTTTTATGCCATTTAAGAATCTTAAACCATATTTAAATATTTATTATAATATAATATTTTACGTAATTATTGCTCAAATCGTTGATTCATGACTTTCCAATTGACCACCTTAATTCTTCATTAATTAAAAAATTGACCGATAATTAAATCTTACATTCCATATATTTTCAAAATATTTTGTTTTATTATTTAAATATTGAATATCTATTTTATCTTAATTATTTTTAAACAAAAAAGAATATATTACAGTATGAATGTTCCCATGCGTCCTATCAAACATAGTAATTAATACATATAAATAAAAATGAATAACTTACGATTCCAAGAATAACTTTACCCTGTGTTACAACATCTTGGTTCTATTAAAATTTAGTAAGAGAAAAATGGAATAAATAAATAAAAACCATTGTTGTTTGAATACTTAGACGTTGACTAAAAGGTGATTTTACGAGCCAAGCCCATCCACTTCCTTGAATTCCCGCTAATTGCATATTAAATATACGAATGAATTCATCGACACTTTTCCATTCTTTTTTAATAGCTTCTACTAAAGGTCCATTAATAATTTGTCCACCTCCTTGTTTATTAGGAAGAAGATTTTCCCAATATAATGAATGATTAATATGACCTATAAATAAATCACCCATTCAGTACCTATAATAACAATAAAATATATAATCATATAGTCACAAATAGACAACAATAAATTAACAGATATAATATATATATAAATATATAGAAAAAAATTATAAAATAAGAATTTAATTACCTCCTGCAAAAAATTTTATAGATGTTAAAAGATTTAAGCGGTTAATAAAAGAGTCTAATGATGATTCATTTTCCTCATAATATTTTTCTACCGTCTTATTTAAATTTGTAACATATGCCCGATGATGTTGATTATAATGAAGCTTATATGTTTAAGAGAATTAAATAAAAAGTTAATAGAAAAATAATAACCTCAATTAAATCTCCTGAAAGATATGGTTCCAATGCCTAAAACTATAAATTTATTTTTTTTCTTATAACTAAAATCTCACCTGATAATCAAAAGAAAGATTTGGTAGAACATATTTTGAATGAGAAAAAAAACGAAAGTTCTTAATAGTTTTTTTCAAAACTAGATCTTTAAAAGATTTTAACATTTCTGTTTTTTAACATTTAAAAACCCTAAAATCTCATAATAAAAACCCTTTTTTATAACCTTTTCACTTCCAGAATAACATATAGCTTTATATTTATATAAATATGTTAAGTCTAACTCCTTCTGGTTTGTTTTTTATCTTTTGTTTTTTTATTTCTAGCTTTTTTTTCTAATTTTTCTTTCATATAGGACTTCAGAATACACCTATTACTCAATATCTTTTATATGGAACAGTTTTAAATGCAACATTAGCAAGTATTTTTAATATTAAGCATTATTTTCCCATCCAATTGATACCACATTTTATGAACTATCACCAGGTAAAATTTTAAGAAAAAGAAGATATTAATTATTAAATGGAATAAGTATTGGAGAATTCTGGGCTGGCAAATGATTTATATTAATGCAGGGGAAGTTTTATTTGGTACATTAACATTCTATAACTTAAGAATTGTGGAAAGACATTTTGGTGCAAGAAAATATGCATCATTTATTATTTTATCATTTTTATATACATCTATTTTAACACCACTTATTTTATGTTTTATTATAAAACCATTAAGTCAAGGACGTTATCAATATCTTCCAGCAGGGCCAACAGCATTGATTTTTTCTATTTTAGCACAATATCATACTATTATTCCTGAAAGCTATAAGTTTAAAGTACTAAATATGCCGTCAGCTAAAAAAGGATTTTTTTTATCTAACAAAATATATCTTTATATTCTTTCATTTCAATTACTTTTTGCAGAATCTCCTGGAAGTATTTTAGAAGCGGTTACTGGATGGATTATAGGACGTCTTTATGTTTTTCAATATCTTCCAGGTGTTAAATGGAGAATACCTAAGCGTATTTTTGAAAAAATAATTAATAATGCACCTTCTATATTTACCCCGAGACAAACTAATAATAATGAACCAGAACGCGCAATTCCTACAGGTACATCTATTTTAAATGCAATTAGTGGTATTTCAGAAAGACCAGAATTAAGTGGAGCGAGAGAACATGAAATTGAATCCATTGTGGCTATGGGATTTACAAGACATCAGGTTGTTAATGCATTAATAAGAGCAAATAATGACGTTGAAATGGCTATCCAAATTTTATTAGAAGAATAATTTTAATATTATTTATTTCATCATAAATATATTTATTTTATTTAATAATATATTAATAGAGACTATATATAATAAATAAAAACACATATTTACATAATTCCTTTTCTTAAAAAACTAGATTCGAGATCATCATATGTCCAATTTATATAAATACCATCTGTTTTATAGTAATTCTCAACCAATTGATGAAATCTCTTTACTTTTTCCCTATACTCATCATTTATTCTATTCCACACTACTGCTATTAATTGTTCAAAATAAGGATTTTCTTCGTTTCTAAAATGTTTTTCAACACGTTTATAGAGAGTTTCAATTCCTTTTAATACTTCCTTAATATCATACGAAATCATTATACGTTTTAAAGATGCAACAGAAAATGACATTCGATTTTTAATTTCCTCAATAGTCTTTGTTTTTAACAAAGCATCAATACTCTCTGAAAACTCCTTTTTATAGATTAGTATTTTTACTATATTTCAAAAAAATAGTACCATAATACGGCCTAAAGGACGTTTAATAACGTTTTCAATATATAAATTCAAATGTTCTTGATATTTTATATTCGCATTTTCTATATATAAATCTAAGATAAATATATCTTTTTTTCTAAGTTCTTGAAGATAATAAAACATATTTTCAACCACCATAATATGATAATATAAAAGTTCTTTATCCTCTGAGTCAACTTTTAAAATATTACTTAAATTGTAGGTATCTTCTGACAACATATTAAATGTTTTAAACATAGCATGATTTAACTTCTCAAGAGCTTTATCTAGTAATTCATTTATTTCTATATTATCTGAACCAGGATTTTGTTTAATATATTTCTCAACAAAGTCCTAAATTTATTAAATCATATTAAAAAATAGCAGGTACCAACAGGAAAAATCCTAAAAAACGATAATACACCTTGTTTCCTTTTGCCGATCATTCTAACGCTCTCTATTGCCTGAACCTGGGTGTCAATAAACATATGAAAAAATTCTATATGTTTAAAATATAATTTATTTAAAATTCGTATCAAATATTCTTGATCAGTTTTCTCCCATTCTAATAAAAATTTTTCTAGAGATCTAATATTTTCAAGAATACACCTAATATCAAATAAAAAAAAGCATTTAATATTAAATACAACTTACATAGGATCTGATTTGCAACAAAATTCTCCAAAAGTTAGTAAATTATCATGTAAAAAATTCATGATTTTAGACATCATATTTAAAACTAATTTAGCCATTGATTTATTCGATTCAACTGGCCTTTTTTTCCTTAATAGATCAGCAATATCATCTTGATTATTATTCCATGAAACGAGTTCAGTATAATCTTGTTTTTTTATTGATATTAAATGAAAAAATGATGTAATAAAATTTTGTTCTTGAGTAATTGCAGTTACAATTTCTTTTATAAGACAGAAAAACGCCTCACTTGCAGTAACTTTAGCTTCTTGATTTTCTTCTTTCCAGGAATCTATAATAGGAGCACGATATGTTTTAAAAGTAGTAACAGATCTTTTAATGTTTCCAGCTTTTATATTTATCATACCTTGAGAAGAAGTTTCTTTAATAGAAGTAAATACTAGTTTATATTAGCAAAAAAAATATTGATGATAACGTACAAAACTCATTTTCTTCTAAAGAAATCTTTTTTATAATAGTTTTCCAAATATTAAAAAATTTTTCAAAATTATTATTATAAAATTCTCGAGTGTATTTAATATAACACTATAAAATCAATTTAATGAAATACCTAGTCATATTTTATACCTCTTGAAATATTGAAAACATAGAATGATTAATCTGTTTTGCATAAAGCATAAAGCTTTGATAACGATAAAAAGACATATATGTAGAAGTATGACTAACCAAATGAGGTCTTAAGACTTTAAGGGTAGGTGAATAATCTTTATATATAAGATTTGAAAGTTCTGTCTTTATTATTTTAGAATATAATTAACAGAAATAAAATATAAAAACCTGAAATTTATTACTCAAATATTGAGCTAAACGTGAAAGAAAATCATTGCTTTCTTTTTCATATTCGGCTCTTTTATTTTTCATTATTGCGATATCATCTGCTGGTTTTTCATTATCAGTTTCAGATGCTGGTATTTTAAGAGCTTTATATAAAAACGTTAAAGATTTTTCAATATCCATGATCCCTGCTGTAGACTCGAAAGATGCTTTTTTTAAAGGTTCTAAATCATTAACATTAATAGAAAGTGTATCCTTAATAATATTAAAAGTTTTAAAATTTAATAAACAATTAATTACCAACAAATTTTGCAATTCCAGAGCTAATTTCTTTTGATTTGCGGCCTGAACTTGTAATCCTCTATTTTGAATTTCTATATGAAAAATATCATCCTTAAGACTCTAAATTAATTAATTTTAGGAATAATAATGAAAAAAATAAACTAACGTTCAGTTCAGCAGAATATAGAGAAAGTATAGAATTCAGTTTTTTACACTCCTTAATAGATGGTTGCAAATTTTCACTTAATTCTTTCATTTTATTATTGCTTTCTATGATTCTTTGTATATTTTCTGATTCTAAATCAGATAATTCATCTTTTAATTTCTCTTCCAATTTAGCCACATTTTCCAATGCAGTCCAATCAAAACTATCTAATATTTGATCAATGTGATTTATAATATCATCCGCATCTTTATCATTAGAAGGAGATTTAATTATTTCATAATCATTTTTTTTAAAAGGCTTGGTTAAATTATCAAAAAACTTAGTCTTTTTTAGAAATTCCTTATTTAACGAAGTATTAGAATCATTGGAATTTTTTTTATCTTTATTCCCAAATATTGAATAGTCAGGAGATTTAGTTGAAGAAAAGTCAGAATTATGTTTTGAAGTATCATTATTTCTAAATTCATCAAATAAAATTCCAAAAAAAATAACAAAAAATACTCAAACTTTTCCGAAAGATTACTATTTAATGAAAAAGATCCACTATTTTGTTTTTCCATTATTTGAGATAAAGAATCGGAAAAGAGATATTGGTTGCTAGAGAAACTAAGTGTTTCCTTATGACCTTTAGTAAATTTCGAAGAATGATAACTTAAAGATGATCGATTTGATGAATATTTTTCAGAAGACTGTGAATTCCGAGTGCTTTTTAGACGCTGTTGACTAGAAAAAGAAGAATGCTTAGTCAATGAATCATTAACATTTTTCTGTTCATATGAAGCATGTGAAAGTCTCTGAGAAAATGATAAATCCGATTCTATGTAACTAGTAATATCAGAATTTTTTGTCTCTTCAAAGCCATTCATAATAGGAATTTTTCCTCCAGTGAACTTTTTATATATTTTCACTAAAACCTCAATAAAAAACATTTTATCTTTTGTAGATTCACATATCCAATGATATGGTTTCTGAAACGTAACAATTACTTTATACGCGTCGACATTATCAATTCTTTGAAGCTCAGTCATATCCCATGTCTTTCCAATTGAAAATGTACCATTATTGTTCTCTCTTGATTTATGAACTTGCACTTTTCCATTATTTTTTACTAAAATATATATATAAATAATACTATAAAAAATCTTATCATTTGCCACCTGAAATTAAAATATAACGCCGTTTCCGTGTTGTATGTTTAGAATCCTGTCCATCAAGAAAAAGATAATGAGATTCCTCAAGAACTTTTATGTGTGTTATATAATTTTCAATCACTAAATTATTAGTAAAAAAAATCTTTTGTTTTATTACTTACAATCACCATTTTCTGTTCTATTAGAGAAAAGGGAACGAATAATCCGAATCTTAATGTTATTTGCATCATCTGTAGAAGTCATTAAGGTTCTAATGGTTCTTTTTCTTAATAAAATTAAATTTTAAATTTTTAATATTTTTGAAGTGGAGATTGTGCTTAAATTTAAATAAAATATTTTTTATTAATTTTATACATAAAGATGGAGATTCCAGAAGATTTATTAATATGTATCTATAATTTTCTATTAAAACATAAATTTGTAAAAACAGCTAAAGTTTTTGGAAAAGAAACAGATAAAATAGAATTTTTTTCAAAAGAAAAAGAAGCAACATCATTAATTAAAATATATAAGTACTACATTGAAAATATTAGTGCAAAAGAATCTATCAATGTTGAAAAAAATAATTCTGAAGTTTCAGTAGCAGAAAAAGCAGTAAAAAAGGAAAAAAAATCAATAAAAAATATACAAATAGAAAAAAAGATGAAAGGTAATAGTTTTTTATTTATTATGGAAGAATTCCTTTTCTTTTTTTTAGTTAAAAAACGAAGAAAAACAGATCCTGATCAAGAAATATGTATTAAATCTAAGAAATATAAAGATGAAACAAAAAAAAATGTACAAAATAAAAATCAAGATGAACAATTATGTGAATTTTCTGTTGAAAAAGATAGTTTGAATATTTTTAATGATGTAGCAAATACTCAATCTAATAACAAAACAGGGTAAAATTGAATATATATAGAACATTATACTTAATTTTGTTTTTAGAGCATCTAATTTGGATTTTGAGATAAATAATAGAAAGAATTCAGAAAAATCTATTAATATAGAAAAAATACAGAAAAAAAATCCATCTTTTTCAAGAATTGATAAATCAAAGATTGAATTTGCTCATGAATGTCTAAAAGATAATAGTTATTTTGGAACTTATCAAGAAGAATGGAACGAATATGGAAGAAAGGCAAATAAGGATTTATTAGTTATCAAGGGAAAGGAATTTAGAGCAGAAAAAAGCAAAAAAAAGAGGGGAAGTTATCATGGAGGCAAAATTGATTCTAATGTTTCTCGAAGTTTTAAATTCACATAATTAAATTTCGATATTTAAAATGTAGGATTCAATATACATAATAATAATAAACGATTCATTTTCTTTTGAATCATAACGTCCATTATAAAAATTAATAAAAAATACCAAAAAAATCTATAATGCTTTCATAAACTATTAAATGTAATTACAAACAAAAACGATTACATCAATGATACCAGTCAAATATTTTTCTAAAACGTTGTTTCTCGGCAAACCATAAACTATTTTGTTGTATTCGAGATTTTATATCAGATAAATCAGTAGTAAAGTTACGACAATTAGAGTTTTCAACAATATTTTCTATATTTCTGATATGTAATTCATAGTTAGCGAGACGCTGATTAAATTCATTAATAGTTATTAATATACTATCAAAATCCGAATATGTATATCTAAATTTCTGAAATAAATTTATAGGTTTATAGCCATGGAGTTGTGATTTACTAAAAGAATATTTCGGATATAAAAATAAAATCAGAAAAAATAGAATAGTAATAAGAAATACTCTAAATATCCAGATTAATAATATTGAAATATTCTTTGTTTTTTTAGCAAAATTCTTAGAATTTTTCTTTAAAATATAAATACTCATCACTGTAGAAGAAGATACATTCCGTCTGCCTATTTTGTTGACTTTACGTTTAGCATATAGATCATTATTATAATTAAATTTAATTATTTCACCTAAATTAAATATTAAAAAACGAATAATACTTTTAGGTACTTTCCAAAATCTGAATCTACATTTATAGTTATTTTTTTAATCCCATTATCTGGAAAAATAGGTAAATTAATTTTATTTACACTACTCTTTGAAGTATCTTTTATCCAACCTATTTCAAATTTAAATCGAGAATCTTTATAAATCCAATCTTCAGCCAATATATATATATCACCATCGAATTTAGAATAAACACCAGAAAACAATCTTTTGCCGTTAACGGTGATAAACGAGGGATTAGAGTCATGTTTAAGATGCAACAATATATCATCAAAAATACAAGTATCCATAATTGACACCTTATACAATAAACACCATTGAGAAAACGATAGTGGAAAAATATCAACATCAACATTTTCAATATAATTTTCCGAATTTAAATATACCGTCTCTTTAAACATTCCAAGTGGTAATAATTTTTCAATACGAATGTTCAATGGAGTTGATTCATCAGAAATACATTGATATTCCAATATAGAAAACCTTTCCAATGAATTATCTTTATCACGAGCCAATTTCCAATCAGTTTGTGTTTCAGAATCAACATAAAATAATAATGGCAATGGCGTTTTTATAAATTGAATTGTTTCTAGTTTAGTTTTAAAATATGGAACATGCAAAGATAACCCTAAGGTAGATATGGAAAATGGTTCTAGAATTATTACTTCTGATTCAATAAGCAAATCGCTAAGTCCATATTCCTTTTTTCTTGTTATTCGAATAAGATAGTCATAGATATCGGATTGTTTTGATGATACTTTTTTTAAATTAGATTCATTATCTTTTATTGAAACCTTATCACATTTCCAATGCAAAATTCCCATCGATTTTACGGATATAAATTGCAACTCAGGAGGTCCGTAAATATGAAAACTTTGTATTAAACCCATATTTAATATGTTAGAAAGGTCATAATCTTGCTGATTAAAAGTTATATTAGAAGAAAATCCAACTACTACAGCATCACCAATAGACTTAATATCTACTTTTGTTTGTATATCCAGCGTCCCTGGATAGTTATAAACGGATGCGTCCAAATGAACTTGCCAAAAACACTGCCATGACCTTTTTTCAAGACTCTCATCTGTAAGATCAATAACATCTATAATACTCTTATCAATCCCCTCCTCCAGATTTTCCGTAGCAATGTGTGTATTAGGAAGATGAATATTTTTATTATCAATCTTTTGTAAATCGAACCTAATATTTGCTAAATTTTGACACCTAGGTAGACATTGTAAATTTAAACAATAACATCTCCCATCAGCTCCTAAATTTGTGGCTTCGGAAATAATAGATATAAATTCAATTTCTATCAATATTTCTTTAATTTGATTAGTGGGAAAATAAACATAAAGAATTGTATCTTCAAGATCGATTGTAGCAATCTCAGGAACATATTCAGCATAATTAGTTGTTAACTCATCTGTATCGTTTGTTTTTAAACTTCTGTCGGAATTTTCAGCAGAAAAATCAGGTTCATTAGAAAATATATCCAATGTGGGCTTCCCGGCAGAATTATTTTCTATTATTAAGTTAAAACATACTAAAAAAGGAGAAAACTACTTTTTCTGAAATTTTTTCTAGTCTTGGGTGTTCTATATATGTTTTCAAGTGGCGAATTAGTATCAATAGTCCTTTTTTTTTGCTCGTCTAATTCTTTCTTATTTTCCTTCTTTTCCGACGAAAGCAAACAAAAATTTCTTAAAAAATCATCCATCCCAGATTTGTTTTTAGGAGATAAAGTAGAAGGTTGCGTTTTCTGATTTTTTTTCAAAGGTAATTCTGTATTTAACAGTGTTTTTTGAAAACTCTCACAGCGAGACTTATGTAAAGTCAAATTATGTGAAGAAAATGAAGAACCAGAGTAAGGACGAGAAAAATCCGCTCTATCTTCATTATCAATAACTTCTTGAATAGGAAGACTGGATAGCCCTGTTCGTCCGTAAAATGTTGGTGAACTACGAGCCATAACAGATAAACCCGAAGGCGAAGAACGTTCGTATTTCGATTCTACATTCCTCTCGACCTGTTTATGTCTATCTAGTAATTGAAAGGGGCTACTCTCCGATGACATTCCTTCATATGAGTCAAAAACCGGAATTCCTAACATTGTTGTCATTGCTGTTTCTTCTGAAGCTGTCCCATCACTATTTAACACACAAACTCGTGTTGATTGGGGAAGATATGTAACATCCTGAGATAAATATAATAATGGAATTCTTCTTCCCGGCCGTGACATAATCTTTATTAATTAGTTCTTATTACTTCTTTATAAAAAATATCTATTATCCAAAAAAACCTTTGTATACAAAAAAAATGTCGCCCATTCAGAATCTGGGACTGTTTTCCCGTGAATTGAAAGGATTTCTAAGATATCTTGTATGTTTTGAATCATCTTTTAATTGTTTATATTATTGATAGTTGTCATAGTAACTAGATTTAAAGTCTGAAAATAAATATATATTAGAAATTAATAGTGATATAAAAAAAAGAATGTTCTTTATATGATAATCCAATAGAATTTAATATTTATATCTGTTTCTTTCATAGATTTTTTCTGATAGTTTAAAAAAAAGTTGTATCAATATCTTTTCCAAAATCATATACCATAATCTGTTTTTTTTGTCCACAACTCATAATACGAACGTCGTCAAATACAATTCTATAAATATGGCCAGAATCTTTACTCTCAATATTATGTAATAATTTTCCAGAACATATATCCCATATACGTATTGTTTGATCATAAGATCCAGAAATGATTTTATGAGAGTCATGACAGAGTGCTCTTACTAAATCCATGTGACCTTCAAATGTTCTTAGTATTTGACCTGAATTAGCATCAAATAACCGAATCAAACGATCCGAACTTCCTGAAACAATTCGATGTCCATCAAATTGTAAACATGCAATACCTCTTTGATGCTCCATGATTGTATGTAAACATGAACCTGTATATAAATCCCATATTTTAATTGTTCGATCCCCGCTAGCACTCACTATTTGATCATTTTTTAATTGAACTGCATTAACAGCTGCGCGATGTCCTCTAAGAATACGTAAATGATGCCGTTTATCTCTTACTTCATGATAAACATGAGACCAAATCCTAACAGTGAGATCCTTAGAACATGTCACAATATGTTTTGCATCAAAACATAATCCAAGAACACTACCCGTATGACCCTTATAAATCGATCGTATCTTCCCTGAACTTAAATTCCAAATAATTACAAATCTATCACTAGATCCTGAAACTAGCAAATTCATATTTACGTCAAATTGAAGTGCTAAAACACTTCCTTGATGTCCTCGTAAAATTTTACGACATATACCCTTCTGCATATCCCATATACGAATCGTTTTATCTTTTGAACCTGAAACTATAAAATTCCTATCAAATTGAATACAATAAATCCTATCTTGATGTATTTCACTCTGTTTCACCATAACTTGTCCTCGTGGAATCGTATAACATACATATTTTCCTTTCTCCCAATTTTTTACAAGTAAATACCGCTGACTATAAACAAATTTCCAATTCAAAATAACCTCCATTCCAGGCAAAAGTGTAATATGTACCGGACGAAATAAATTATTATCTCTCTTTGTTTTTTCATGTTCAAATGCTTTGATTTTAGAAAAATTATTCATCCATTTATTTAAAACTCCTATCTTCCTCCTTGCCCATTCTTCACAACGTTGAATATATTCTTCATTCATTCCCCATTCTTTTTGAACATACAATTGTTTCCAAAGCAATGGATGTGTTGCTAACGAATACCATCCCTTACAAACAATCATACATATCACGACTTCCCCATGTGACAAATATGAGAATATCTTCAAAATTAGTTCCAGCGGAAGTCTCTGATTATCATTTATTATTATTCATCTTATTCTTAATTTTTACCTGAATTAAATCCATTTCTTTTTTATTCAAACCTCTAGATAATAACCCTAATAAATGATAAGAATAGGGTTAGAAGATGAAAATCTTTCGGGTTGATTCCCTAACCCTAACCCGGCCCGCAAAAAGAAACCCTAATCCTCCTTTATAACCTAACCCTCTATTTTATAAACCCTGATCGACTCGTAATTTCACCCCTACGAGAGGGTTAAGACTTAAGTCCTGACGCCAAGTTTAAATCATATTATTTTAAAGGATGAAGGCATTAATCCTTGTTGGAGGTAAGTTTAGGGACAACATGTTTTTTTGTCTAAAATTAAAAGGATTTGGAACACGTTTGAGGCCTCTTGTAAGTAAAGTTTCAATAAATTATATAAGAAATATTTGCTATAAAGGCTTAAATTTTATTAATATTTTATTAATATTTTATAAATATTCTTTTTTCTCATAATTAATTAAATGAATAGACTCTAACATTGCCTAAACCGTTAATTGAGGTGATTTTTTCATATAAAATATTAATATTTATAAAATACATTAGTTTGGAAATCGACCTATGATTCGTCAGTTTAATTATTTTTTGCAGGGATTGACATATATTGATAATATTTAGTCCATCAAATTGAGGCGCTTGTATCATCAGGAGTTACGGGTATAAAGTTTATGTATAAGATTGTCTTATGAACTACTTAAATAGACATTGTTTTAGCAGTGAATTATTGTTCGGATATTATGGTTTCTACTCTGAAACAGTATGAACAACAATATCATATTAAGATTGTGTTTTCTGTTGAGAATGAGGTCTATTTTATTTGGACAAATGTCCAGTATTTTTATTTTGATTAACATGATATAGCCGTTGGGTATGTAAAAGAAATTTAATAAGCAGATATTTAGAAAAGAATATATTAAATTTCAAACAGCTATTGGACAAATGTTTGTTTATAAATTTTTATTCAGAGAGGAATGCCAGTGAATTTATGCCTATATTTTAGAACACTGATATATAATAAAATAATTATATGATTAAGTTTTATGGTTATTGCTGCATTCACCTAGAAAGTAATTAAGAGATACATGGCTGTATAGCTTTAAATATTTTTATCTTAATATTTTTTAGACACTCTAAAAACACTATTATATAGGCCATTAGCTTACTGTTTTTATAGGTACAGCTGGTCCATTAGCATTAGCACGAGATATTCTTGAGAAAGATCACTCTCCTTTCTTCGTACTTAATTCTGATGTTATTTGCGAATTTGCTTTTTCGGATTTTCTGCATTTTCACAAACAACATGGGGCAGAAGGGACAATTATTGTTACAAAAGTTGAAGAGCCCTCTAAATATGGAGTTATTGTAATGAAACCAGCTAGTTCAGAGATTGAACGCTTTGTTGAGAAACCAGCAGAGTTTGTTAGTAATAAAATTAATGCGGGAATTTATGTTTTTAATCCCTCCGTTTTAAAACGTATTCCATTACGTCCAACAAGTATTGAAAAAGAGATTTTTCCGGCTATGGCAAATGAAGGACAATTGCATAGTTATGATTTGGAGGGATATTGGATGGTTATTATTTTATAAATATATATATGAATTTTATTTCTAACAACTTTCAACAGGATATTGGCCAACCAAAAGATTATTTGACAGGTACCTGTCTCTATTTATCTTCTTTAGCAAAAAATAAACCTTCTTATCTCGATCATACGAGTAGCTATATCTATAGAGGAAATGTTATTATACATCCATCAGCAAAAATAGGCATAAATTGTCGTATTGGGCCCAATGTTGTGATAGGACCTGATTGTACTGTTGGTGATGGAGTTCGTCTTCAACGATGTGTTATTTTCCAAGGTTCAAGAATACAAAACTATGCATGGATCGAATGCAGTATTATCGGTTGGAATTCAACTGTTGGAAAGTGGGCACGATTAGAAAATGTTACTGTACTTGGAGAGGACGGTAATCTTGTTTTTTAGATTTTTATATTTTTATCTAATCAAAAAAGTGACAATTAAAGATGAAATTTATGTTAATGGCGGCTCCATTTTGCCACATAAATGCATTGATCAAAATATTGAAGTATATTTCTTATTTCTTTTCTAAAAAATCTAATCTTGCAAGGTACCTTCCATTATTATGTAGAGAATATTATAAAAAATTATTTACATTGGACTTTGTACTTAAAGAAATACCTATTACATTTTCAATGAATTATTAATTTATATTCAAACCATAACTCGTATATTTGTAATTTAATAATAAAAAGATTATTTAAAATATGCTTTATATTAGATAATATTGAAATAAAAAAATTATACTGTCTTTTTCGATTCTTCATAATATTCAGATTCACTTCTCGTTTCTGATTCACTCTCGCTTGTGCTAGAATGTAATTTTAAATAATCACTCTCATCACTAATATCGAAATCACAAGATTCAGAGTATATATAAGGTTTCCTATTTTTTCGTTTTTGTATTCTTTGCTTCATCGCCTTTCGAATTTCCTTTGAAACTTCCTCAAAACTTTCACTTTTACTTGATATACTATCTTGATCTATCCTTTCTTTTTCATTATCCTCAATGAGACTATTTGCTTTACTACTAGAACTAAAAGAATTATTTGTAAAAAGCTGTATTGAAGACAAACTTTGAAGACTAGTATTTCGTGATAAATCTAATATAGAATTATATGATAATGTGGTTGAGTTAGTTAATGCATCATCATTTTTATCGAAAGATGCTGATCGACTATGACTTTGCCCAACTCGACTATTTTGAACCATATATTCGGAAATAGCAGCAACCTTGCCAGGATCAAAATCTGGAAATAATTCAGGTCCTAAAGTATTTATCAAATTTGTTAATTCGACGGCTAATTCCTCTCGAGTTTGACGCAATTTATAAATAGTATTAGCAGATGTAGGATTTAAGCTTAAAAATAAAGGCCTTAGTGATCTATGGCTATGTTAAATAATAATAATAATAATAGTTGTTTACTTATAAATATCTAGGCCACTTTCTCCAAATCTTAAAGCTGCAAATGATACCATAAAAATGATTATTAGACTTACAATAAGCATAATACAAATCCATTTTTTTGTATAAGAAACAATTTGAAAATGAATCGTAAGATACGTAATTATAATTGAATAAAATAAAAGCAAAGCGGGAACAAGAGCTAATGCAACTAAAAGTTTCCATGTGGCCAAAACATCATTCCCTTGAATTTTAACAGTAGAGGCATCTAATGCCTCTAAAAGTTACATTAAAATAGCCAATAACCAATATAATTATACTACCTTTTGCTTTTCTCTTTGAAATAATTTTCGTTGCAATAAATACAGGTGCAAACATAATAACACCAGGAAAAGATACGATAGCAAGTATTAAAAATTTCAAAAAACGATATATTAACAATGTTATGACTTTAAATACTCCATAGTTTGCACTTTGAACCTGATGGTCACGAATACCAAGCAAGTATAATTGGCGATTATAACTTACAATAGAATTTCGAAGTTTAACAACACGTGGATCATCTTTATAATGATTATAACCCATTATAAACCTCCTATTTAATTCGACTATTTGTTGTAAAGGAAGTCTTCTATGGCCTGGTTTATATAACCTTCTTCCGGCCTGAATAAACTATAAAGAATTAAAAATGAATATAAATATTTCTCTAAAATAAACCATTAAAGTCTCGTAATCTGTTGTTCTAACAGTAACTGCCATAAGGGCATTATAAATCATATCTAAAAGTGTTTTTATTGCTTCATATTTACATGAAGACTTATATTTTTCTACAAGTTCTTTAGGTACTTCTAAAGGAGTTCCAAATTCAAGCACAGCGGAAGAACGGAATCGATGAGCATTAAAATAATTCATACCACATGGAACAATTTTAATATCTATATTTGGATTATTTGCTAATGCTCCAAGAGCCATAATAGCAACACCAGCTAGTTTCATTAATTTTCGCATAAAATTGTTATTTTAGAAAGAAATAAACCTTTAAGAGGAAGTAAATCAGACCGATCATGACTACCTCCTTCTGGAAATATCCCAATACATTTTCCTTCCTCAAGTTTTTTAAAAATTTGACTATAAACTTTATTTTGATCGATTTTGGATGCAATTTTAAAAGTCAATCCATCTTCGTCAGAAGAAATAGAAGAGAATTCCTTGGTCTTTTCTTTAAGTATTATTTCAGTATCTGAAATAATATCTACAACTTCTAAATTATGAATATTTGATATTACAATTAAAGATCCTTTAAACAATTCTTTAGTAAAAACTGTACCAATTCCATAAGCATGCATCGGATTTTTGGTAGAAAGAACTATCTTGCCTGTTCCCTGTTTCAAATAATCAAATGGCCGTGCAACAGGAACTAATGATAAGTAGGTAATTATAAAACAAAGAAAAGGCCTACTTGAACCAGCAAGACGTGCTATGAAACCAACAAATTTCCTCCTCATTGATTTCTCTGCAATTAAGAAAAATATACGGCGAGAAGATGCTAACTGAACTTGCCGCATAAGAAGAAGTGGATCTACAAACTAATCTATTAATATGAAAACAAAAAATAAATTTCAAAAACACACTTGATTAGCATGAGGTGCTGCAACAAAGATAAGTCCCCCTCTTTTTGGTATACGAAATGAACCTCTAGTCTTAACTTCTCGAAAAAATAAATCGAGAAGAACTGAATCAATCTTAAACTAATCTATTTATTCTTCTTTTAAAAATAATACCTGTCATCATCCATAATATTATATCATATGTAAAATTTGCAAAATCCATTGTGTCAGTTCTTTAATTAAAATAATATATCAAAATGTTATTTTTAAATCTGAAATCCTAATCCTCTATTCCTATATAACTACACTTACTACCGTAGTTATTCAACGGGTCTTCTTATTTATCAACATTAAATTATAATCTAGTTCGTCTTAATATTTATAAAGACTAATTCTCTTCCTGAAAGATAGAACTAATCATATAAATAATTCTTAAATAACTAAAAATAGTTATAATAAAACACTTTATTTTACTACCAAAAAACTAAAAATGCCGAAAAAACATAAATACCTAATCCTTATGAATAACTAATCAATGAATAAGTGTCGCTTTTAATTAATGCTGTTTAAACCCTACCCCTCTAAATATACTAAATTACCCTAAATAGATATTAACCCTAGATATATATCTTTAGGGCATAAACCTACATAGGGTATTATGCTCATTTTCTCATTTAAAATCCATAGAAATTCTATCATTTCAACCCTAACCTTATACAAATTGTTTTACTGATGAATTAACTCTATTATATGCGCTAATTGACCTGCATATATTCACATTTATCTTTCTGTTTAACTTATTTTAAAATTCTTAATATTTATTAAAGTATTTTTGAAAAGAAGTCCTATTTATAAGTTATATTTTTTGTGGAAAAAATATATAATTTCCCCTGAAAACGCATATATACATATTGTTTGATCAATTATTGTATTTTTTATATAATTAATTTATTTTTGAAGACTTTGACTCCGTTTTGGATTTTATGCAAGATTCAAAAAAAGCAATTCACGGGAGTTATATAAAAAGGCCGCGTGAGCCACTCGAGAACGAAAAAAATTGACAACAGTTTTTAGAGGCATTATGCAAATTTTCGGTAAGAAAAGGCCTAAAAATGCATGAAATTAAGCGAATAATTGATGAATATAGTGAAAACGCTTACAGGAAAGACAATTACACTTGAAGTCGAGTCATCAGACACGATTGATAATGTTAAAAGCAAGATTCAGGATAAAGAAGGGATCCCTCCGGACCAACAACGTTTAATATTTGCAGGGAAGCAGTTGGAGGACGGAAGAACTTTGTCAGATTATAATATTCAAAAAGAATCCACATTACACTTGGTTCTTCGTCTTCGCGGGGGAATGCAGATTTTTGTCAAAACGCTTACAGGAAAAACGATTACTCTTGAGGTTGAATCGTCGGACACGATTGATAATGTTAAAAGCAAGATTCAGGATAAAGAAGGGATTCCTCCAGATCAACAACGTTTAATATTTGCAGGAAAACAATTAGAAGATGGAAGAACTTTATCGGATTATAATATTCAAAAAGAATCTACGTTACACTTAGTTCTTCGTCTTCGTGGAGGTGTTTGACCATTTTAATGTTGCCGTTATAGGAGTATCTTCTGCAGAAAACGTATAGCTGATCCATGAAAAGTGAGATATATTTTTATAGTGTATCTTGTTTCAAGTTAATTTTAATTGTATTCTTTTTGAATTGATTTCGTAAATGAATATGTATGCAGCTTTTAGTTAGGAAATTTGATAATATAATTTTTAAATATTTTCCTGAAATGCTGAAAGATCATTTTTTCTCCAGCAGATTTTATGGATGATAAATTAGTTTGAATTATTTGAAGAAGTAAGAGAGGGGTTTTCAGATGTTTTAATGGAATTATGAGAGCGTTTTTTTATCCTATCTTCTATATGACTTCTAAAATTTCGAATAAGCCCTTGAACCGGCCTTTCAAATATTAATCTATAGAAATAATAAACAAAAGGATTACTACCATGCAGCAGCATCACCAAGGGCACATATTGTATGGCCTTCTATTTCTTTTGTTAATTCCCAAAGCCTAAAATAGTTAATATTTTTTAAAAAAAGAAAAAAATCTAACATATCAATTTCCCTTAATTGAGCATCGCCTGTCTCAAATCGTTTCATTATATTATAAATCCATGTTGTTCCCTCACGACAAGGAGTACATTGACCACAACTTTCATGTTTATAAAAAGCAGAAAATCTAGAAATGGCTCTAACTAGATCTGTAGATTTATCCATAACAATTACTGCTGCAGTACCTAAGCCGGATTGCGCATCCTTAAGAGAATCAAAATCCATAAGGACATTTTCACATTGAGTTTTTGTTAAAATTGGAACTGATGAACCCCCAGGGATAATTCCTAATAAATTATCCCAACCGCCTTTTACACCACCACAATGTTTTTCAATAAGGTCTCTCAATGGAATAGACATTTCCTCTATTTTTTTCATCATAAATCTTTCATTGTTAATAATAAAAAAATATACCTTCAACTGTGCAAGGATTATTAACATGTCCACTAATGCAAAATAATTTTGTTCCAGAATTACGCTCACGACCAAAACTATTAAACCAGGCTGCTCCTCGGCGACAAATTGTAGGTGCTACTGCTATTGTTTCAACATTGGCAACAGTTGTAGGACATCCAAAAAGTCCCACATCAGCTAAATAAAATTAAAAAAAAAATAAATTGTACTTTTTTTCACCTGGAAAAGGTGGTTTTAATCTGGGTTTTCCTTGTTTTCCTTCAAGTGACTCAATAAGACTAGTTTCTTCGCCACATATATATGCGCCTGCACCTCTATGAATATATATATCAAAATCATACCCTGATCCACATGCATTCTTTCCTATTAATCCAGCTACATATTTTTTAAACAAAAGATATAAAATTTCTAACACATACCCTTATATGCTTCGTCAATGGCTGACTGTATAACCAATGCTTCATTATAAAATTCTCCGCGGATATAAATATAACAAACAGTAGCGTTCATTGCACGGCCTGCAACAAGACATCCTTCAATGAGCTTATGTGGTTCTTTTCTCATAATCTCCCGATCTTTACATGTACCTGGTTCTCCTTCATCTGCATTAATAACAAGATATCTAGCACGGGTATCTTTTTCAAAGCCTGGCTTGTTCATAAAGCTCCATTTTAACCCTGAAGGAAACCCTGCGCCTCCTCTTCCACGAAGTCCGGATGCCTTAATCTCTGAAATAATCCATTCGTGTCCTTTAAGCAAAATTTCTTTTGTTTTATACCAATCACCAAGCTTTTGTGCTGATTTTAAACTAGAATCATAACGACCATAAAGATTCTGAAAAATTCTATCATAATCCCTAAGACCTAATCAAAATTCATAATTAATTTATGTTTGTTTATTTAATAAGAAATGCACCTCCATAAACTGTTTTTTTAGAAAGTTCTTGAACAAATGCAAATGAGTAAAAATTCCTATAGCTTTGCTGTAAGAAATATGAAATACATGTATTTCTATTAAGAAAATGAGGAGGCATTTTGCCTATTTTAATTTTATCAAAAATGAAGTTTTTTTAGAAGAAAAAATGAAATTAATTTAGTGTATAATCAAAGAAAAAAATATATATACATAAGTTATTAAATAATGAGTAGTTATGAAGGTAATTTAATAATATAATGCAGTTTCTATTACTACAAATGCTTGAATAAGGTTGATTCTTGGTATGATATTAAAGTTTAGATATTTTTTCAGTAGTGTTATAATATTTATCTTGTATTTCTTGTTCCGAGATTGTTATTGAATCAAGTAATCTATAATCTAAATCTTGTATATGGTTATCTGAATTTAAATCTGATTTATTGTTAAAATTCTAATAAAAAAGTTAATTTATAATTTAATAATATGTAAATAGTAAAATACGTACACCATAATTATTATCTATTTTTTCTTGTTTTTCACCAAGTATTAAAAAACTATCAACAATTGTATTTTTATCAATATAATTTTCTTGATATTCATTATATATTTTTTGTTCAAATATATCATTTAAAGGTTTGTTAACAAATTCCTCGTCCGTTATTTCTTGACATTGAGAAGGATTTAAATCACTTGTAATTTGATTGTTTTTGAAAGCCTCATTTTCTTCTATCCAAGAAATATCTTCCTTATCATTATCAGGTCTTCCATAATTATTCGAAAATTTATCTATGGATTGCTGATTAATATATCTCGAAAATTGGTCGTGTTTTAAATCCCTATCGTCATCCATATCAGTTATAGAATGTTTATCATTAATATCTTGTATTCCAAATAAATTTATTCTTCTATTTAAATCATCGTCATCATCGTCATCGTCATCATAATCGATATCGGTGACATCTGAGATAAAATCCTGTAAACCATGATCATCGAAATCAGTGACAGAATGAAGAGATAAATGATGAGGCCGAATCCCCCCTAGAATAGCATTATCTTTTTCTCTTGTTTTAGCCAAACTATCCTCGACATAATCAATCCATTGAGTTGATAAAACTTTTTCAGCAATAATAGAAGATATTGTATGAGAATATCGTTTTGTAAATTTGATAACTTCTTCAGCGATTAAAGTCAAATGGCCCATATATCCTAATCGAACACCACATGGTTTAGAACTAAGACAATTAATTCTGAAACAGTAAAAAGATTACCATTGTTATACACTGCATTATCATTATCTCTTTGACCTTGAATAATTTTTTCACAAATTTTTCCTTGAGAAAATAAATCTATTGCTAAAGCGCTGCAATATTTTTCATCCATAGGACCATTAAAAACTTGTTGAATAATGTCGTATACAACAATATGTAGAAAATTATTCCATGGAAATATGAAGAACATATCCTGATAAAGTTTATTAATATCACTTAGAAAAATATTATTTTATACCAATAATGTAGAAAGGACTTTATGTTCAATAAACTGTATCTTCAAATAATCACTAACATCTAGCTCAAAAATAGTATCTGTATTATCATGTACCACAGTAATCTCGTTTATATCGGCACAATATTTTTCATCTGATAAATTATTCTGCAATGGTATATTTAAAGCATCATAACTATTTTCGAAATGACCCAAATTTTCATCTGATTCCACATCTTCCTTTCTTAGATCATTATTATTATTATTATTTAAATGGTTTACTAAAGTGTTATTTGTTTCAGATTCCTTTGAATTTAATTCACTAGAATAATTATCAAAATCATTCTCCGGTATAGGTGATTTTATTTTAGTGATTTTTTCTAAAAATATATCTTCTATACTGCTATTTTTATCTAAAAGATGCTCTTTATTTTCAAGAACCTCATTTGAATCTATATATTTAAATGAAAGATTTTCCCATGAAAATACCTGTTCAGTATTAAAGACTTCATATGTTTCTAAGTTCTCAGAAATGTCTGAACCCCCTGCTATTTTTGTATTTTGCAGGTTTTCTTCTGTTTTATCGCATAATTCGTCTTTTTTCATAATCTTCGGACCATTTTCAGGTTTATTTAATAATATTATATTACTACAATGCAGTAATTCCGCATAAAGCTCACAAATACGAAGTCTCTCAATACCTAAGGGTTTAATTTTATCATATGCAATTTCAATTTCATCTTTAGGCATTCTAGGATCAAGAAGAATCTTTTGAAAATCGGGTATATGAGATGCTAATATTTTTAACATATTACCAAGATAAATAGGACCTTTTTCCCCTGACGTATTTTTTGCAAAAGAAATGTCAAAAAATGATACTCTGTTATAATCGCTAAAAATGAATTCAGTACCTATGTTTCATTCCAATCATATCCGTATACCTATTATTTTTTCTAATAAGCTCAATAATGACACTTGTACTATTAATAAGGCTTGATGAAGAAAATGGTGCTTCTGTATCAAACATAAATTTAACAAGAATTTCTATGCTTTCTTTTGATACAAGTTCCCGTAATAATGCATTCGATCCAATGCTTCTTTGATTTTCGGAACTTGAAGAAATCGCAATAATCTCTTTTAAGAGATCAGCTGCAGCGGTTTGTGTCTAACTATAATTTAGAATTCCATTTATATTTTAAAATTTGTACTTACACTTGGATCAACATGAGGATTCATTTTTGAAAGAAGATATGGAATCAATGACTCGTTTTGAAGCCACTTTTATACATTAATATTTTATTTTCATAGATAATATATACTATTTAAACACTTACATTAATTACTCCAAGATCATTTTGTTCAATACTGATAATTTTCAACAATAAATCAGTAATAGCACTTGTTTCGATATGATTTAATATTTTAAAAACAATATTTGGAATACTTTGAATAAAAAGTATCATTTCTTCTGTCTTTTTTTCAAAAAATTGTTCATTCACTTTAGAAAAATATGATGCTTGTAATGGATCCAAAGGTCCTGGGCGTTCTAAAAATTCCCAAAATTCAAACAATAGCATTTTATTTTCCATAATAGTTTCACATATTGACCATATTTCACATGATAATACTTCACACGCAATATACGGGTATCTATTCTTTCATTAACACTTTTATCTACCAAAGAAAAAATATGGTTTAAAATAGATTTCTTGTTTCAAGATACTCTTATCTGTATGTTTATTCTTCTCATATCCTATTTAAACCCTTTTTTTTTCAAACTTACTTTTGTTTCACTTTTTCATCCAAATCTTCCGTAATTATATATTTAAGAAGTTTACGCAATACATCTGGCTCCCTTAAATATTCGATCAACTTAGGATTATGTGATTTGCATTCCTGCAATAATTCTTCTTCATCTAATATCTCCTCCAACGTTACATCTGGAGCTTTCTCCAATAAACTATCAATCACCGATGCACTTGCAAATCCAAACCCCCCCAGCCTCCAAAACATAATTATTATTGAAAAGAATGCTGTGTTGCTTCTTTTATAATAACCTTTTTTGCTTTTTTTAATATTCTTTTGAATCTTGTCTCAATTCAATACCGAGAAGGGTGTCCCGTTTCATGTGTCCCGAATAACTCTTGGAAACTCTAGGGACACGTTCAAGTATATTTAGGAACACCCCTACAGGTTGTTAAAATATTTGAATTTTTTATATCTTTTTATGAATAGATTATTTGGGACTCATTCAAATACATTTAAGCCAAATATTAATGATGTTATTTCATCAGTTGAGTTTTTATATGATATTTTTTTAATATTTTTAATGGGAGATTTAAGACAGAACAACAGATACAAAATATAGAAAAAAAAATAGATAAATATACAACAGAACTTGTAAAACTTCGGCAGAAATTAAAGAGCTGCTCTTCTGGATCATCACGTATATTGAAGAGCCAGGCATTGACTTTACTTCATCAGAAAAAAATGTAAATTTATTTTTTTGAATTTAAAATATTTATTGAAAAAAAATGTTAAGATATGAGCAACAGAAAATGAATCTTCAACAACAACTACTTAATATGGAGCAAACTGTTTTAGCAGCGGATCAGATTAAGAATACAGCAGCTATTATAACAGTTATGAAAAGTACAAATAAAACGTTTCAAGGACAACGATTCAAACTTAACGAAATTGAAAAAATTCAGGATAATATGGAAGATTTGTTAAATGAAGTAGATCAGGCTAATTGTTTGCTTGCTCGGTCTTATGATTTAAATCAAGTGGATGAAACAGAGCTGGAAGCGGAATTTGAAGCCCTTGAGGAAATAGATTTAGAAATCGAAAATGGAATTCCAAGTTATTTAGAAGGAATTGAAGAATTAAATGAAAATGAAGATAAAATAGAACAGGACGAAGTTACAGGATTAAAAGAAGTTAATTATGTTTGATGAAATTTTTATTTGGATTTTTTAATAGGAAAAATATTTTTACAAATATGGTTTTGATTTTATTTTGACGTTCAGGTTGTTTGTTTCTCATAGGTTTTTCAACTATAATTTTGAATTATTGATTTTTGGTTTCTTTTAGACTTTTATTTTTCTCTTTTTTAGTTTTCACTGAATTTCCTTTAAATTCTTTGGATTTTTTTGTATTTTCTTTTACGATTGATTTTCCTTCGACTTCTGATAATTCTTTTTTATTATTCCTTGATTCTTTTTTTTCTGGATGGCCATAAAATAATTGCATTGTTGAGCCCAGATTGCGTTTTGATCCATTATTTTCCATTGGTTTTTCCATGGAAGAAAAATTACTCCTCTACAATCAATTATTGAGACGTCTGGATATTGTGAAACCCATGTTTTGATTTCTGATCGTTTAATAAACTTGCTCCATGTATGGGTTGAATTAGGAACAAGTTGAAACAATCTTTCTGCAATAATAATTGTTAGAAAAAATGAAAGCAATGTTTTTTCAATCGTTGAAAGAATCAAAAAACCGCCTGGTTTAAGCAAATCAAAAAGTGTTGATATAAAGGCTTTAGGGTGGTTTACATGTTCGATAATTTCCATGGCAGTGATTAAATCATACTGTTTTTTTTCATTTAATAGTGCTTCTGCTGTAGTTTTTTGATATATTAAATTTGTCAAAGATGGATCTTTCTTTCGATGCATTTGAGCTACTTCAATTGCTTTTGAAGATATATCTATACCAAGAACTGATAAAGCTCCAAGTCTAGATAATAACTCCGATAGAATTCCACCTCCACAACCAACATCTAAAACACATTTATTTGAAAGCCACTTTCCAGTCGAAAATTTTCGTTTAAATACATCATTTGTCATTTCATCATTATATGAATTTTTTTGTTCTTCGCGCATAAGGCATTGTTTAATATATTCAATACGCACATTGTTCATTTTATGTAATAATTTCAAACGTCCTTGTAGATTCCACCAATCTTCTGATAAATTATCAAAATGCTGTGTTTCTATAAAAGACGCTGAAGAATATCTCTTTATTAAATGTTTAAAAGGATTTTGAATTTTTTTTTTAATTTTTCTCATTTTTTAATTTTTATTAGTAAATCCTGATTTATATATTTTTTATCTACAGCTTATCAAATTAATGTTATAAAAATTAATATAAGACACTATATAATACGTTTTTATTTAAAGAATAGATTTAAATTATAAGAAAATAATAGAATTAAATTGCTAATAGATGCCATTATATTATCTTTTTTCAAATTTTAAAAGAATTTAATATAAATTAAAAAAAGAAATAGTCTAAGAAAAAACAATAGAATTCGAAAATATAAAATAGCTGTCTATATAGTTAATAAGTAATTGTAAAAAAAAATGTCATATTTTCTATCTATAATTAAGATTTATTTTATTGTATTTTTATGGAAAAGAATGTTTTAGTAACAATTTATATTAATTTTTAAATAATTTATAGAGCTATATTTTGAAAATGGAACTTTTCTTAATTAAGTTAGTTTTATTTGAAATATTTTTTTAAATGAAATTTTTATCTATTAAATATATTTTATAATGTTTCTTTTTTGTTCTAAGGTTCTTAAATGTACAGAATTTTATAAATGAAATAGATAATTTATATATACAATAAATAATTCCTTTTATGATTTATTATATAAAAGATAATTTTCATTATTCTAATAAAAAGTTTTGTTTAGAAAGATTATTTTATGTATTTTAAAAAAATCAAGAAATATTGTAGAAATTTAAAAGATTGTTAAAAATCATATAATCTATTAAAATAACATTTGTTTCAAAACAGTTATATTTTATAATTTTGAATTATATTTTTTGAAAATTATTTAAGAATTATTATACAGTAAATAAATTTAATGAAAATTCAAATAAAAAAAATTTAAATTATATTTTCATTTTATAATAATGATTTTTTTAGCATTATTTTGAATAAGATCTTTTATTTTTCTGATATAATAACATACAATAATATAAAAAAAATATAAAACATATCAAAGATATTTTTGCTTTTGCAACTTAATATTTTTTATCAAAAAAATAATGAAAATTTTTCAAACTTCAATTTTTAAGCTTTTTTAAAAAAGTATTTTATTTTTATATTATCAATAAAATTCTGTAATTTTATCCGGGGACTTGTTAAAAATAGATCAAATATATTTAAAAATAGAAAAAAAAATCTTGAAAAACAAACTAATATGGAACCAGATTTTGCCTTGGATAATTCTAAATTTGATGAGAAATATGACAAAAAACTTGTTCGTCGTATTGATTTAATTACAATTCCTATAGCTGTTATTTTCTATCTTTTATCATATCTTAACCGTACAAATATAGGCTCGTTAATTAATTTATTATTAAGTTTATAATAGCTTTATAGGAAATGCTCGTCTTTCTGGCTTAGAGAAAGAGTTAAGGATTTCAGAGAAGCAGTTTAAATTTTCTTTAACTATATTATTTATTCCTTATATTCTTATGGATATACCTTCAAATCTTATTATGAAAAAAATTAAACCTAATATATGGTGTAAGTTATTTTCTCAATTTTTTTTTATATTTTTTATAAATTAGTACCATCTCTTGTTGTTTCTTTTGGAATAATAGGAACATTTCAGGTATTATAGAATTTTTTTAGTATTTTTTTATTTAATTTTATATTTTTAGGGACTTATTAAAGATGTAAATGGATTGTATATATCTCGTTTCTTTTTAGGATTAGCTTCAGGAGGTGTTTTACCAGGTGTTATTCTTTGTAAGTACATAAGTTAATATTAACGCAAACTATAACTAAATATTTATATCAGATCTTTCAGGTTGGTATAAACCTCGTGAACGTCAACTTCGAATGGCTATGTTTTGGTCTTCTAGTATTATATCAAGTACATTTGGAGGTTTTATTGCCGCTGCTCTTGAAACTATGGGTGGATTAGCTGGATTAAGTGGCTGGCGTTGGATTTTTATAGTAGAAGGATTAATAACCGTATTTTTTGGTATTTTAGGGTATTTCATGATGCCTCAAGGAATTGAAAATACGCGCTTTCTAACTAGCGATCAAAAGTATTGGGCATCTAAAAGAATCAACTTAGAAGAACATAAATCTTCAGTAATTATATCACATCCTGATACCGGGGAAATGCCATATGATAATAAACGTTTTAAATGGTCATACGTGACCTCTTGTTTTACAACATTCCATATATTATTATTAGCATTTATTGCATTTTCTTCCGGTCTTAATATTTACTCTTGTGCATATTTTATGGTAGTAATTCTATCTCTATTTATATTTTAAATAATGTTTCTAGCCAAGTATAATTAAGTCATTTATTGGAGCCGATAAATCAATTGAAATAATACAATTGTTAACAATACCTCCATATTTGATCCCTTTTGCAACTATATTACTTACATCTTACTATGCAGATAAAAAATCTCAACGAATCTATATAATAATTATCTTTAATATAATTGCTGTTATTGGAATGGCTATTGCATATTCTAACATTAGTCCTGGTTTCAATTATTTTTCCATGTTTTTTATAGTTTGTGGTATATATACGATTTTTCCGCCACATCTAGCACTAGTAAGTAATAATGTGGCGCCATATTATAAAGTAATTATTTTCTTTTTTTTCTTTAGTTTAATATTTTTATAGAAAGCAACTGCAATAGGATTTATGATAGTTATGACAAATAGTGGTGGTATATTATCTTCTTGGATGTTTAACAAAAGTGAAGCGCCTAGATATGCTATGTCTTATGCTATTATTCTTATATTAACAGCTATTTCTGTCATCGTTGCTATCATTTTGAGATTTTATTATGTTAAAGAGAATAAAAGAAAAGAAAAATTGTTAGCAGAAAAAAAAGAGTCATTTAATACTGTGGAGGAATTTTATAAGGCTTGTGATCAAGGAGATAGACATATTGTATTTAGATATTCATTATGAAAAAATATTTATTTTTTTTTTTAAAAAAAAGTAATCTTAATTTTATCATTTGTTTTTTATAATTATAGGAAGCATTCTTCCTTATGATACCGATTATTTATATTTTATTAAAATTTCAATTTTTAATATTTTTATTTTCTTAAAAAATAATTATTTTTTAAGACATCAACAAATATTTTTAGTTAATATCCTTAAAGATCTCAGAAATAATGGACTTAGATGATAGAATATCTATTCAAAGTATAATATTTCAGTATTAAATTTAAATGATAAAAAATTAGATAAAGAAAATATAACCTATAAAAATTATGAAAAACTATATGATGATATATGTAATTCTCAAAAGGATATTTTAGATAAAAACAATGAAGAATCATCAATGAATATGAAAAAAATTGATTTAGATCGATTAAAAGTGGCTAATCCTTTATTATTGGATGGATTTAAACTTGAATTTATAACACAGAATGCTTCTAGAGAAGAAGCAATGCATAATTTGGATATAGTATCTGATGAGATGGAAAATAAAAATATATCGTTTAATAAAATGATACTTGAAGAAGATACAGGTTTAAATGAGAATGCACTTTTTCAAAAGGATATATTTACTTTAAAACTGGATAATCAATATAACAACTCTTTTAAATATGAAAGATCAATCAATAATAAGTGTATTTTTGCTTGTACATCATATGGAAAAGTTATACGTTTTAATAAAAAATATAAAAAACTAAAAAAATCAAATTTTATAAATAACAATGACTATTATGGGATACCAATACATAAATTAGCTAATTTTTCTAAGAATTCGGAAGAAATATTTGATTATAATGATTACAATTTCACATCACCAATAGAATCTCAATTATGGACAAAAAAATATGCACCTAAAAAATTTGCAGATCTTATTGGAGACGATGTAGCTCTCGTGATATTTATTTAATGTTAATGGCTTTTAGAGGATACATCGAGAAGTATTAAGATGGATAAAACATTGGGATTTTTGTGTTTTTAGTAAATATTTACCACAAAACAAGATATTTGAAAAAGAGGAAGAATCTGTGAGTTTATGGGCATGAATATTTTTAACTTATTATAAGTAGAATTACGATTTTTTAAAAAGACCTAAGCAAAAAATTTTAATGTTGGCTGGAACACCTGGACTAGGTAAAACAACATTAGCTCATATTGCTGCTCGTCAGGCAGGATATAATGTTATAGAAATAAATGCAAGGTAGTTTTATGTAGAATTAATATATAATTAATGTTAAAAGTGATGATCGAACTGGAGCTGTCGTGAGGAATCAAATTTCTAATGTTCTAGATATTCGGTCAATTCATTCGAGTTGTCCAACGCTTATTATAATTGATGAGATTGACGGTGTTAGTAATTCGACCAGTGAACAGGTTAATTTTATCTTGAATAATATTAATATCTTTTTTGATTAATTTAGGGATTTATAAAATCACTTGTAGATATTCTTATTGAGGATGATCATGCAACAAAAGAATTAGTTTATAAAAAATCTGAAACATATTCGAAAAGAAGCAAAACAAAATCCAAGAAAAGGATTCTTTTAAGGCCTATAATATGTATTTGTAATGATTTGTATAACATATATTCATTTACATAATACGTTGTTAATATATAATAGATATACAGCAGCTCTCAGACCAATTAGACAATATTCTAAAATAATATATTTTAAACAAATACCTACATCCTCATTGGTATCGAGAATGGATACAATTTGTAAAATAGAAGGTTTATCTGCTGATATGCAAGCATTAACCACGCTTTGCGAGATATTTGAAAATGATTTTCGAAGTTGTATAAATTCTCTTCAGGTATTTTTAAAGTATAATTTTAATTATATAAATTAATTTTTTTAGTTTTATAAAACATATGGAATTGACTTAACCTCGGGTTCTTTGGATACATTTAAAAATAAATTAAAAAAAGATCCATCAAAAAATTTAAATCTGGTATTAGATAAAATATTTTTTTCAAACAGTAAAAATTATAAAAATGAATATATTTCAGGTGAATATTATGGATTATTAAGTATTATTTATAATTTTTAAAGATAACCGTGCTATGTTTGTGGATCTTTATGAAACTATACAAAATTATGGTGATTATGAAAAATTAATTAATAGTATTTTTTCTAATTTTTTTAATTATTTTTAAAAATTTATAGATTGTTTTATGCGTTATCTTTCTCAAGACTATAAAGATGACCAATTATCTAAACCTATTTTGGCAGGAGATTGGCTTTTCTTTTTCGATATTTTAAATCGCTCCATATATGAAAAACAGAACATAGAACTATTATCATATCTAGCATTTCCATTATTAATATTTCATATATTGTTTATTTCTGTTAAAAAGGATTATTATCGAAATTATCAGCAAAATACAAAACAAATTTCTGATTGGGAACTTTATGAATCAGAAAAAATCAACAAAGAAATTTGTGCTTCTTTATATTATGGAAGTGCCCCTTATTTACAACAAGTATTATGTATAGACATACTTTTAATTGATGTGGTGCCATATTTGATTTATATTTTATTACCAACATTAAATCCAGTATTAACTTTTATATTATATTTCAATTAATTTCTTATTATAGGTTAATTTGCGGTCAATAAAAAATACAGAAAAACATATTTTAAATAGGGTTGTGAATAGCATGATACATTTTAATATCAATTATGTTCAAATGAAAGCAAATGATGGGACTTTTTTTTATAAATTTGAGCCGTAAAAATATTTATAATTTCTTGTTTATATTCTTATATTTTTAGTTCAATAGAAACCTTAGTAACTTTTAGTTTTTTGAAAAGACATGAGCCTATTTTTTTGAAATATTCTGTTTGTCATATTATAAATCTGGAATTAGAAAATGAAAAGCGCAGGATTCAAAAAGAACGATATAATAAGAATTTAAATGAATTATCAAATATCCCACCAGTAAATAAAAGAAAATTCGATGAACCACTTGATGCTGAATCTGTAGTTATTAAAGATTTCTTTGGAAGGGCCATATCTAAAGATATAAATAATAAAAATCCGAAAAATTTTAATCATAGAAATAAACAAATATTACTTAAACCAAAGGCAAAAGTTTGGGTTAAATTTCATGAGGGATATTCCAATGCTGTTAAAAAATCTATTTCAATAGAAGATATATTAAAATGATTACTTAGTTTTATTCAGATACCATATAAACTTAATAATTATCCATTATAAAATGTCTAAAGATAAAATTATATTATTTAAATAATGATTTTTATAATATATAATATTTGAAAAAACTAATTTAAGTTATAATTTTTATGAACTTAAAAATTGTCAAATGTTTTTTTTCAAACAATACAATTAGCTCAAACAAATTGACATTAATATTCAATTACTTCAATTTTAAAGTTTATCATAATACTCTTCATACGAAGGTACTAATAGAATAAATAATTAATATCAAATATATGATTTTAATTACCAGTTTCTTTTAAACCTTTGCGTTTTCTTATATCTGAAACTATCAAACCAACTTTTGATGTTGCATCTAAAGGAGAACCACTCATAGTATCCCAATGATCAAACACTGTCTGAGGAAAAGCCTAGTGAAATATTAAAAAAAATATACGAACTATATTAGAATACTTGTCCTCCAGTTGCTTGACGCAATTCAGCCGTAAAACCAAAAGACTCAAGAACAGGTAAATAAGCCTTGATCTGACATCTTATTAATATAATTAAATAGTAACAAAATACTATACATTAAAAAGAGGTGTTCCTGGCCTTTGTTCCTCAGAAAAAACATGACCCCGACGTCTATTTAAAACTCCATAAATACCACCCATTGCTAAAATGTTTGAATTTTTATTTTTTTCTTAAAAAAACAAACCTTGTTCAGGACATTGAATTTCTGTTAAAAAAACCGGTTCTTGTAAACAAGGACTAGCAAGCAATGCTGAAGCATAAACTACTCGTCTTGCAGTAGGTATAATTTGACCCCCACCACGGTGAATAGCATCTGCATGTAAAACTACATCTAAAATTTAAAATAAGTTTAAGTTATAAGAAAATGCCAATTAAACCTAAAATATTAAATCTACAAGACCGCATATTCTCTTCTGCTAATGGACCTTCTTTTGTTGCCCATTGAAATGCCTATTAATGTTGAATTAAATAAAAAAAAAAGCATAGTGGTATACTCCCACAACAGAATCCTTAATTTCCTAAGATAAAAATAAATATTTTTTTTAAAAAAAAAAAAATGCTTACACTTAAATAAGCAATAGATTTAGTTTGATCAACAATCATATTTGGCCCAACAGTCTAATAAAGTTAGGACATATAGATAGATACATATATAATATTTACTTCGGGACCAAAACACCATATTTTTCGTGCATCTGTTAGATCCCAACCATACTCATCAACCATAATTCTTGCGCGAACCTTAAAATCATCACGTGCAGAAACTTTTCCTGATTCAATAGCTAATGAAAGATCTTCGGTAATAGGTTCAGCAGTCATGAAAATACGATTATGTTTATTAGGAGATTTAGATAAAGCAATCATACTTGAAACTGACGTAACTGTTTCTCGATAAGAAACAACTGGAGGCATTTTTTTCAGTGGAATGCAAGCATGATCTTCTTCCAAGTCCTTTAAGCAAATTTCAAGATGCAGTTCACCTGCGCCAGCAACTATATGTTCTCCTGATTCTGATGTATAACAAACAACACACGGATCAGATTTAGACAATCGCTTAAGACCTTCGACAAGCTTAGGCAAATCATTTGCATTTTTAACATCAACAGCCACTTGTACAACAGGAGATACTGAAAATTTCATAACTTTCAAATTATACGCAGTTTCAGAAGTAGTTAAAGTGCCACTTTTCAGCAAGAATTGATCTACACCTACAAGACCAACAATGTTACCAGCTGGACAATCTTCAATAGCTTCGACATAACGACCCATCATTAAAACCGTTCTTTGAATGTTTTTTACGAATAGATCATCCTTTTTCCCATGAATATAATTTGGACCTTGAATACGAACTTTTAGACCAGCACGTACTGTTCCAGAGAAAACACGACCAAATGCATAAAACCGACCTTTATCTGAAGTAGGGACCATTTTTGAGACATAAATCATAAGAGGTGCTTTAGGATCACATGCTTTAATTCCAACTGCACATTCGTCATCTTGTGGACCTTCATATAAAGTTTCACATCGGTATTTTTGAGCTATCTCAGGAGAAGGTAAATGAATGACTATCATTTCTAGAAGTGCATCTGCTGCTGGCAAAAATTTGCGCATGACTGTTTTTAAAAGTGCTTTTCCTTCTTGCTCACGCTCTTCAGAATTAAGAGTAATATCTAGCTTTTGAAGCAAAGATATTACTTCATCTTTTTTAAAATTCATTACAGCAGAAAAAATTCTAAATATAGGATCCAATACGAATTGATTAAAGGCCCTCTCAAGGGGCTTTCCATCCGCATCTGTGGCGCATTTTGTCCACTTTTTTGTTTTAGGATTGAAAAAATTATCACCCTAAAAAAATAAAAAAAAATAAAATTAATTAAATTTTGTTTACCCATAATCTTTCCATCATCCTAGATTTATCTACTCCAAATTTCTTAGAATATCTAACAGCAAATTGTCTAACAGTAAATGCCCATCCATGCAAACCTGAGCCAAAAGCAACTGTACCCTTATCTGGATATACTTGAACATCTCCAATAGCTTTATCAAAATATGTAGATATAATTACATTTACTGACTCAATAGTTCTTGAGAAAGATTGATATAAATCTTCTTTTGATATTTGTAGTTCAAGTAATGCTCTATCTACTTTATTTATAATAACAACAGGTTTAATGCGTTCTGCTAATGCTTGTCGCAGAACAGTTTCCGTCTTAATATATAAGCTTCTAAAATAATATATAGCAATCATATCTACCTGAACACAAACTCCTTCAACACAATCAACAACAACTAATGCCCCATCTGTTACACGTAAAGCAGCTGTTACTTCTGATGAAAAATCAACATGTCCTGGCGAATCAATTAAATTAACCAAAAACTCATTTGAGTCTGTTTTATATGGCACGTCCTTTACACTTTCATGATCTAATTCTGCATATAGTGATATCGCTGTAGATTTAATTGTAACCCCTCGTTCCTACAGCTAATATAAACATCAATTAAGCAAAAAAGTATAAAAAACCTGCTCATCCGGCCTTGTATCTGTAAACCGTGCATTACCTGCACTTGCTGCTGAAATAATACCGGCCTTTTGAACAAGTGAATCCGTTAATGTAGATTTCCCATGATCTACATGAGCAATAACTGACATATTACGAATATTACATGGGCGGTTCATAAGCATTCCTGAAAAATATTAATCATGTCTTAATATACAATACCATATTTAAATCATACGAATTTGATCTATCTAAAAACATATTAAAAAAATAAAAAAATACCAAAAAAAACTGCAAAAAAATACCGTAAAATTAACCATTCTTATATATTAATTATTTATCCAAGATATATAGGAAAATATCTATATAAATTTGATATCTTATTAAGAAAAATCAAAAAATTATATTTTTAGACTCTAAAATTTAAACGGTTGTGGTGACTGCCTATCGACGAATTCCTAACAGTTAAATATAAAAATGTATATTTTTCCTAAATATATAAACAAAATCTTATTTTAAATGTTTTTTATTAATTTTTTGAATATACAAAAAAGTAATATATTTAACGATAAAATTTGTATAAAGATCAAAATAGTCTGTATCGTTGAAATTTCTATATAACCCTAGAAATAATATAATCTAAAATGAGTGAATGTTGATATGAAAACTACATGCTAGTTATTAAAATAAAGAGGGTGAATTTTTGATATTATCGTCTCCATAAAGCTTCATCGACATCGTCATCATCATCGTAAAATCCACGTCCATCAGAATTTCTAGCTTCTTTTAATTCAGTGAGATTATGATCCAAAATATTTCCTGAATTTTTAGTCGTATCATATTTCCATTTTAATTTTACATTCTCCATATCAGGAATTGTAGAAACATTGCGAAGAAACTAAAAATATATAAATTAATTTTTATAATTAAATAAGTAAAAAAACCTTTTCAGCAGTCCATCTATCTTTAAAGACGATAATTTGAACATTAGAATCATCAACATCTTTCTCGATAGCTTCATATTCTCCATTATGAAGTAAATGTTGTCTCAAAACCTCATCTTTATCTGGATCCAAATTATATACTGCAATTTTTCTTGTACGATTATCTAATTGCATTGATCCACGACGAAGGGTATTTTTTCCTGAACTATGTCTAAAAACTTTTGAAAAACTTCGAGAAAATCCTAATTTCTTTTTGTTTCCAGAATTTCCAGATGTGTTTAAACTTTTAGTATTAATACTTATCCCTAAATTATTGGCCTAAATAAATTAAAAATAAATTTTAAATAAATTAAATTATGAACTTCAGCTTTTAATGAAGCTAATTGAGTTTCCAACGCTTTTCTAGATAATGCTGATGGCTCTAATTTATTTATATCATAATCTTCTTTTTGAGGAAATTCGGGTATATTTGTATCTTTCTTAGACATCAACGCTATTAAATTTCGTTTTTCTTCCAATTGTTTTTGAATAAGTTCCTCTTTCTCTAGAAGCATTTCGCGTTCCTTAGCATTTTGTTTTTTTCTTTGTTCTCTTTCTTCATATTCTTTTTGTTTTTTCTCAATTTTTTCCATAAATTTATCCTTAGGTAAACCATCTACTACATGTTTTTCAGAAGTATCTAATGCCATATTGTTTTCCTGAAGATCATTTCTATCATTAGATTTAGAGGAATGCCAATACAGTTTAACAAATCTATTATTAAAAATAGGAGCCGAAGAAGACCATGCTTTATTTGCACTTTCCCAGTCTTTAAATTTTAATATGGCTCTATGCTCTGCTTTTTTAACAATTATCTTAGAAATTTCACCAAATTTCTTGAAAAAAAAACGTATATTTTCCTCGTTTAAATCACTATTTGGAATATTTTCTATTATCAAAGTTGTTATTGTTTGATTATAGTTTGGTCCTTTTATGAGACACGAATTATTTTTTTTATGTTTCCTAAAATGTTCTTTATCATTCCTAAGGGTATTTTTATAGTTAAGTCCTGAGTGTGTGATTGCCACAGAATGATTCGTATGAATAGATTGTGTAGGATCATATGCATCTATATCAATCATATTAATTAAAAATACCAAAAAGCCCTAAATACAACTATCCTACCAGAATATTGACCATCCATTACAATATGATCAATCCCGTGATCATAAAAACACTTAAACCATGTCATTTTTAAAATTTTTAAATAAATGAATATATACCATATCACCTCTCATACAATATCCCCTTTCTAATAAAATAATTTAGAAATAAAGATATCTTTTATCTACCATACCTTCATAATCTCGACATCTTTGTGTAGAATTGATAGGAAAATCAGGAGAAAATGAAAACATATCAGAAAATGGTGCTTTTTGACGAAATGATCTCCAATTTCCACGATTATTTACACGAAAGGATTTTCCAAATCTAGATTTTTTCTCATTATTTATTCCATGAATCCGTGCATCCAGGGATGTTTGATGAAAAGATCGCTTTCTTGTCGATTCTTTATATTTTTCTACAACTGATGATTCTTTTTCTAGCATGTTTTCATTCAAATAAGTTTTCCTCTTAACCTTTTTAACATACTTTTTATAGTCTCTTAAAAATATACCTCTAGTGCATCAAAAATATCCTGTACAAATGAAAATGTATCTAAAATAATCAATTTCGTTTCTTATTCCTTTTAAAACTTATACTTTCTCTTAAAAATTCATCTAACTGACTCAAACAAAGCTTCTTTACATCTTCTACTGACTGATCATGTCTTAACAGTGCTAGAATATAATCACTAAGAATATCCAAATCTGCATTTGATCTTTTTGACTTAGTAAATTTATTAATTCTATAATAAATCTTACATCGGATCAAGGAGTGTTAACAAATATGCCTTAAGAGCCTATTATTTATTAGAAATTTTTAATAAAAATCCTTAAGAAACCTTAGAATCCTTTTCTTCAAAAAGCATAGCTTTTTAAAGTGGGTCTCGAAAAGTTGCACGGATTTATTAAAATACAAATGTTAGAAAAGGATTGAAAAAAAAATAAAAAATATTGTAGAGAAATGTATTATAAATGTTTAAAAAATATAAAAACAAAAGAATGTAAATGGTTTTATATTCAAAGAAATTTAAATAAAAAATAGTAAATAAAGTTTTAGTTTATTTTTAATTTTTATACTTTAGATGTAAATAATAATTTATAATTTAGATATATTATAGATATTTTTATATTACGACAAGCTTTTTTAGGTAAAGAATAGATTTTTAAAGATTGAGATAAAAAAGTTAGATAAATAGTCCAAAAAGACAGATATGTAGGCTAAATCGTAAAATTTGAAAATAATTTAAAAGGTTTATTTGAAAGAATGTTTCTATCAAGATTTAGATCATTTTTGAAATGTTTTATATTAATTAAATGTCGATTAAAATATAAACTTTCAACCTCATTGAAAGAATTTGTTATCTAAGCGTTTTCTAATTTAATTAACTAAAGAATAAGTTTTTTTGTCAGAAGATATCTATATAGATTAGTTTTCATTAAATATAAGCGATTTTATTATTTACATGAATAAAATTTATGTTGATTTTTTTTGTATTTTGAAAAATGCATATTCATATTTAATGAAATATCGTTTTTTTATCGATTGAGTGATTATATTTTAAAAGATTTTGAAACAAGTGAATTCAGTGAATTGTTTAAGAATATTTTATCATAAATTAAAAATCCAGAAATTTAAATATGTGTAATAAAAATACCCTTAATATTTTTATAAATATTAAAAAACCCCTTGGTAAAGTGTTAAAGATTCATCATAAGAAATTTCTTTAAATATAATTCTTGAAAAATTAACTTTTGTCAATACATCGTCCGTAAAACGCTATATGATAAATTATCTATAATATATATTTAAATTATGACAACATATCATTAGACATATCTTTTTTTTTTTTGAAATTAAATCCCTTTTTTTCAGTTTTAAGTCGTTTTATCTCTTCTTTTTTAAATATTAATTTTCCACGTGCCTTCTCTTTTTCTTTTTTAATAAGATCTTCTTTAGCCATTTTTTTCTTGAAAGATTCACGCCGTTCTTCTTGTTTTTCTTTTCTTTTCTTTATTTTTTCATTACGAAGTGTCAATAATTTATGCATAAGATCTCTTATTTTTCTTTCTTCTGGATTTAAAATAACAGCCCTTTTTTGAAGATATGTCTTTTTCCGTTGTGGTTTCATATTACGTTGTTTTGATGCATAAGGAAGAGATGCAGCTAATGCCTTTGGAACACGTAAAGGATTGAAATGTCTAGCAGGCCGTTCTATTTTACGATATTGAGAATTAATAGGCAAAGGAGTTTTAATATTTAAATCTTTTCTGATTTCTCCAATAAGTCTCATCCCTTTCCATGAAGATTTATCTTCCATTAATAATGATGTGACTGGATTATAATATTTTTTGGGTTTAATAGGATACCATGCTCTTAAAAAAACAATATCTTAAATTAGTTTTTAATAATATAAAATTGATACAATAGTTACCACTCATAAGTATTTTATCCTCAAACGCGCATCTACAATAACCTTCAGGTTTAGTTAATGCTTTTTTGATTTGTCCACGAATTCCAGATACAGTTCGTATACTAGCACCTTCGAATTTTGCAACTTCAAGAGATGAATTAAACATATCTTTTATAAACGCTGTATTTTTGTAAATTTTATAAGGAACTCCAACAAGCTTGAGTTTTTTTACAATTTCAGTACTTTGATCATTATCAAGTATGACACCTGTAGCAGCAATTCTAAAAATACCTGATTTTATAGAATCAGCACTAACTGATTGCACAGCAACAAATCCTGTGTTTGGATTTGTCAGTGGACCATAAAATGCAGCAAAACAATGCATATGCTCTGGGGTATATTTTAACATTCGATTCCTTACTCTTGAATCAGAGGTATAATATATTGGTAAAGATTGAAATCTTCTCCATCCTATACTAAATACTAAAGGATCATTTGTTTTTAAAATTTTCTTATGCCAACGATGTTTTTTAATTCGAACTTTCAAAAACCCAAATTGCTCTTCACTGGACAATAATCCACCAACAACGATAGGAAATTTTGGATCAAAATTTTTGACAAATTCACATGGCATATTAGACACAAGCAATCTTATGTATAAACCTGCTCTATAACCTTCAATTCTTACTCTATCTGATAATTCCAATCCTTGATATTCTTGTCGGTTAATTTCAAGCTGTTTTGAAATTTTTAGCTTTTGCTGTTGATACCAATCCAATTTTTCGTCAGAATCACTATCCTTTGTATTATCTTCTTCTTTAAAACGAATGGCGAGTTCCTTTTTTTTTAAATTAATTTCTCTTTCTTTTTGAAGATCTTCATTCATTTTATTATCAGAAAAGACTAACTCATTTTTATTTTCTTGGTCGTTTTCCAAATCTGTAAAATCCCCATAAAGATCTTCATCAATATCGGGCTGCAAATCACTAATGTTATTATTCAAAAGACTTCCTGTAATAAAACGTGTTTTTAAAGCTTCTAAATTTTCCTCTTTTTCCCAAAATTTAAGTGCAGATATATTAATTGGAGGTTTAGACCTTTCAAAAAAATCCTGATTTTCATCTTTATCAAATCTTATGACTCTTAATAAATCATCAGAATTATCTATCAATTTCACATTCTTAAGAACTGGATCTTCTCCATTACTATTTGGTAGAGCTACTCCTTCCCAGATGTCTACCACTTGTTTTGGAGTATATTCCATTTTAATGTAGATTAGATCTCCTAAATCAGGGGTTTTTTTTCCTAAATTAAACATGTTCTCTGATATTCTTTCTATATTTTCTTTCCATGTTGAAGATATTCCAAAATATTCATTATCCGAATTTTCTGTTGAACTTTTTAAGCCTGAAGAATCCGACAAACTATTACCATTGGTTTTTCTCGATGCATTATCTTCATTGAATTCAACATCATTTAATTCAAAGTCCATATTTTGCAACATTTCATCTTTTACTTCCGAAGAATCACTAGAATCAGAATCTGCATTAGATTCTAAGTTATCATCAGGTCCTTTATATTCTTCAGAATCAAATTCATCCATATCTTTCATATCATTATCTTCAAAATTTTTAGAATCATAATCATCATTTATGATGTTAGGGCTTCTCATCTGCTTTCTTCCTGTATTGTTGTCACTAGAATCATATTTTATTCTTTTTCCATTATGAAAAATTTGAAGATCATTTTTTGAAAAATCTTCTCCAAGATCATGATTTGATTTTTGTAATTCTATAATCATTTTCTCGCCAATACCACATTCTTCTATATCTTTTTTTGAAAAATCATTAGTCGGAATATCAATATAAACAGCGTCTTTATCAAACATAACACCACCAACATCAGACATAGGCGCATAAATTAATTTCTGTTTTTCTCCAAGAGTACGAGTTTTTTCTACAAGTGGACAAGGATCCGGAAGAGAACTAACTTCAGATACAGAAAGATCACCTACTCCTGGTATATGTATACGGCCATTTGTAGCAGGAAAGCTAGTTCCTTTTAAATATCCATAAAGAACTACAACTCGATCACAAAATGGTTTTTCATGAATTTTTTGAGGGTCTGTTATATCTTCCATCCTATCCACAAGAAGATAAGGATGTGAATTTTTCCAAATTAAAGGACGAAATTTAATAACTGATATAAATCTTGCTAAATTTAAAATTTCTCTATCTGGATAACGACCATTAATTACACCAGAAAGATAAAAAAGTTTAGCACCCTGATATATTTCCGTCCAAAATCTACGTTTAAGACGCTTTTTCGCCGTTCTAAGGGCTTCTGGCTTTTTAAAAAGATCGAGATGAGTAAGAATACCCATGATTTTGGGAAATCCATGAGGTATTAAAATATTTAAAAATTCCATAGTTTCCATCTCAAACCCAAAATTCCCATCAATAAGCAAAAGAATTAGGTCTGAAACTTTTGCTATATCAATCATACTATTAAGATCATTAGGACATTCAATAAATGTTAGTCGACGCTTTTTTCCTTTTATAATTTAAAAAATAAACAAAAAAAAATAAAAAATAAAACCAGAAACACATGTAATAGGACCATTAATTTCATTAAGTGTATGTTTTGAAAATTTCCTAACCAAAGATTTAATTAACGTAGTTTTTCCTGTCTAATGTATATTATCAATTTTTTTGAATAATAACAAAAAATAAGGTATAATTACTCCTGGAGGACCAACAACTGCAACAATAATAGGTGGTAAAGCATCTGGCGTACGATCCACCATAGGAATATGAAGTTTTTTTTGAATAACCTATCATTATTTAATTAAAATTTATTTTAACTAAAAAAAAGATACATCTGCACTTCTTCTCTCTAGAACATTTGATTTCCTCCATGATCTTGAAATAAATGCCTTAAAATCATTAGCTATAATGTATCTTTTTATAATAATTTATTAACTTTAGCATTATTTTGTTGACTTGATTTTTCTTGTTTTTTAGCTTTTTTTTTTGTTACTTTTGAGCCTGATTGACGAGGCCTATGCTTCTTCTTATCCTCAGAATCCATATAAATTTATTATACACTTTATCCTGTATTCATTCTAGTTAATATATATTATTGATTTCTAAATTGTCGATTAAAAATTATAATATTAAAATATTATATAATATAGAAAATGTAATATTTCTAGGTCTAATGAGATAATATGAGATTATTATTAGAAATATAAACAAAATGTAATTATATATTTTATAAATTATTATATAGATAATTATTAAAAATATGGTTTAAGTGTATTTTCTGAGGAATCTTTAAAACAAGAATATTGTAATTGTGTTATTTTTCTATAATTAACTAATATATTTTTTGTTTTTTCTAATTCTTGTTGAAAAATTTGTCGATTGTCATTATGATGATAGGCTTTCTCTAAATGAAGATATAAGGATCCAAATATATTTGAGGTTTCTTCATCAATATATGCTTCCAAGACTTGCTTAATGAATTCTACTTCTATAATAACCTGAAGCATTCCTCCAATACCAAAATTGTCAATTTTTTGAAATGATTCAAGTAAAGATTGAGTAAGCGATTTTACTAAATTATTTAAGGCACGAGGAATTAAATTTGAGGTAATAGTAGAAAGCTGAGAATGAATAACAACTAGCGATAGTATGGAATCAAATACGTATGGTTGAATTTCTATAATATTACTAAAAATAAATGAAGAAAAAAACTTACCTTGAGGTGGTTCTTCAGATAACCAAATAGAATTAGAATTGAGTATTCCATTTTTTATAATTTGAGAGATAGATTCAGACTTAACTTTGATATAATCATCAAATAAACGATTATCGAGTTGAACTAAAGCACTGTATAAATTCTAAAATTTTAGTTAAAAATGAAGATTAAATAATAGAGTTACTTTTGAATCATCTTCTAGAGACAAAGAATACAATGATTCAAATTGCTTCAATAATGTAGCAATAATATTATTTTTCAGGTGAGAAAAATTGCTTAAAGTAAAAAGAATTCGAGTATCCTATATTTTGTTATATTTTAGGAATAATACAGATAGAATTATACTATATTTTCATGATTTACTTCATATTCGGATTTCGAAGAAAGTTCAGGAGTAGAATTTTTTGAATCTGTTTGATTAGCATTAAAATAAACAATTTTGATTAACCCTTCTAAGGCAATATATAAAGATTTTAGAAATTGCATTTTGATAGATAATATTGTCTTCGTCAAAGGAGACGGCTGAAATATTAATAAATGCAAAGTAACTTAAACAACTTACTATTATATCTTCAGCATTTAATTTAGAGTTTCTTCCAATATATAAAAGCTCGCTAATTTTAATAATAATACAAGACTCATATGCATACAATGCTTTCGGATAACCTGTTATATCAGGATTTTCACTCGATTTTACCCAGTCTTCTAATAAATAAAAATGAGAAGAATCTATTTTGGGTAAAAAAATAAATTTAAAAGTTTAATTCAGATAACCTGAGTTCCACAAAACATTTATAGCTTCGACAAACATTTCTCTCACAGTACTGATCATTGTTTGTAAATTTTTGTTAATTTCTTGAGAAATATTTAATTTAAAGATTGCTGTTGATGAATTAACAATAATATTTAATAATTTATTTAACAGAGAGCAAGCAGTTAAAGAGTCAGAACATGGAGGTATGAATGAAATTGAGGAATTTTTATTGTCTAGATCAGGTGCATCTTCTGGTTTCAATGAAAAATTATTATCATTAGATGAATGATTATTATTTGATAATGATGTCTTTTTTACTGAATGCGAGATGAAAAAATCAATAACAAGAGAAGAGAGTGTAAAAATAAGCTGCTCTGCTGACTTTTTTACAGAAAAAATATCGTCGGGGGAAAATATAAGATGGTGTTTGGATTCTCCATTTTTGCCTGTAGGAAAATGCTATAAACATTAATAACAGAAAATACTAAGAAGCGTACCTTACCTTTAATAGATTTCCTTGAGAAATTTTACAAACAATTTCAAGATAATTTTTAAATTCATGAAACTTGTGAATAAATATATATTCAATCATTTTTTCAAGAGAATTCCACATTAGGTTATCAGATGATGTTTCACGTGCACTAGACATCTGATATTTCCTTAATGGTTTTTTCAATTGTTGAACTATTTGTTTATTAGTTGGAAGAGGCAATTTAGATAATTGATGATGAGCCGCTTTAGATATTATTATTTTAATAATATAGACTAAATAAAATACCTTTAATCTTTATACACTCATCTTTAAAATCTTGTTCTAAACTTTTTATAAGCCAAGCACTTTGGCATTTAAGAGAATAAAGAATAGGATTTTCTGTTGTTCCTAATTCAAGAAGTATACTATAGTTAAAAGTTATTAATAAATCCCCCATATTAAAATTATATTACCATATTAATTTGTGTTGTTCTTCTGGAGTTTTGAACGTAGAAAATTGCTGAAAAATATTTTTGCGATAATCTTCAATAATTTTTTCTACTTCTTTCCAGATCCTTTTAAAAATCTTAGATCTTTGGGATTCAAAAATATCCACAGATTTTTCAGGTGTAACACCTTCTTCTAAAAATATGTCTTTACATTTTCTATATTCACGTATTAACATTTCATGATCATTCTTTTCTGATGTTAAATTTTATAATTAAATAGAAATAAAAGCACCTTTTCAATACAATCTAATAACAATGATGGAACATTAAAATGATATTTGTACTTTTCTAAGATAGAAAGTGTAGATATTAAACGATATGCTTTTGCACGATTTTCTGTGATAGGGTCAAATGTTTGTGTTGCCTTAGTAATCACATCTATTTATGATTTAATCAGAAAAATAAATAAATTTAAAAATTACCATTAATATTTGACTTTAATTCAGAAATTCCATAGTCAAATTCTTGGTTTAACATATCATGTTTCATATCTTGACAGACATAATCAATTGTTGTTTTTGCTTTTACAAATCTACTAAAATTATTCTCAACAAGCATCTTCAAAGCATCTGATCTCTTTTCAATTGACTGAGTTAACCATCTTAATCCAGATAATAATTCTGGATACCAATTGTTTGAATGAATATCTCGTAAAAATACAGTCGGATTAAATCTTTTTGATGAAATAAGATATTTCGCACCTATATATAAGAAGTATCTTAGACATTTTATCCTTAATAAAACATATATTCATACGCAATCTAATGTCATCTGGAACTGTTATACCATTTTGTTTAGCTAATCTATAAACATCATTTAAATATTCTTTTTAGCCCTATAAGAACATACGAAATAACAGAATCGCCCATCCCTAAAGGATCAGGTTCATCCTGTGCAATAAATTCTTCCTCAAATATTCTTGATTCTTGAAATTCTTTTGAATCAAACTTTTCCTCATTATTAAATTGATATTCACTAGGATCTGTCCATTTTGAAGGATATGGTGTTGTTAAAGAATAATATTTAAGAAACTCAAGATTTGTCTGAGTCATAAATTTTATTATATATAAGACCTCTTAATTAGCCTTTTAAAATTTTTTAAATTTTTTAATAAAAATGGTTGTCGATTTAAAAATAATTAATAAAAATCTACTTTATTTTTAAGATTTTTTTTTAAATTTCTTTATTTTTTATTAATTATGTTAAAAATTAATATTTTTTTTGATGTTTGTCGACTAAAATTATTAATTTCTTTACTTTTTAAAGAATAAATAAAATAAATTTTTTACTTTTAATGAGGATTCTCTCTAATTTTGTTTTCTCAAGATATAATTATTCATCTTTTTCTATTAAAGTTTTTTTTTAAATAAAAAAATGAAAATGGCTAAGAAAATCTAGAAAGCCCGATTTTATAGCACAGGAAATTATGTTAAAGGGTCTTATAAGGGAAAACCTAATAGTTCTGGACTATATCCTGTAACATTAATTTCTGGAGATGGTATTGGACCGGAAATATCAACAAGTGTTCAAAAAATTTTTGAAGCAGCTAAAGTAGAAAGAAAATTTATAGGAAATTAGTTTAAGATGAAACTAGGTCCCCATAAAATGGGAGCCTGTTGATGTGACTCCGGTTTTTGTCAATGGTAGAAGAAAATAGAGTATTTTATGAATTTTTTTAAAAAAAGGTTTTGACAGGAAAAATGACAATTCCTGAGGCAACGATTGAATCTATTCATAGGAATACAGTGGCATTGAAAGGGCCATTAGCTACTCCAGTGAATTTTTTATATTTAAATTGGAATAAAATTTAATATTTTAGATAGGGAAAGGTCATGTATCTCTTAATCTTACACTTCGACGTACTTTGTAAATTAATGATTACGCTTTTTTTTCTTTGGTTTATTCAAAATAGTTCACTTTTCGCAAATGTAAGGCCATGTCGTAGTATTGCTGGATGCAAAACTGCATATGATAACGTGGATATTGTATTAATTCGAGAAAATACAGAAGGTGAATATTCAGGCATTGAGCATATGTTAGTTGACGGAGTTGTTCAATCGATTAAACTTATAACAAGGGATGCATGTGAAAAAGTTTTACGATTTGCTTTTCAATATGCTCAAAGTATTGGAAGGAAAAAGGTAACCGCTGTTCATAAAGCTTCAATTATGTCAATAAATCTTCAGAAAAGAAAATATCTCATATTTATAGGAAAATTACCGATGGTCTTTTTGTAAAAACAGCTTATGATATTTCTAAAGAATATCCTGATATTGAACTAAATACTGAACGTATTGATAGTTCTTGCTTAAAAATTGTTTCAAATCCGACTCCTTATAATGATAGAGTATTAGTTATGCCTAATCTCTATGGAGGTATTTTTTAATCTATGTTTTGACTTTTATTTTTCTCATTTTCAATTGATATATTAAGTGATATGTGTTCTGGACTCGTTGGCGGTCTTGGTTTAACTCCGAGTGCAAATATAGGTATTGATGCAAGTATTTTCGAAGCGTAATATTTTTTTCATTTTATGACATTGTTTATTTAATCATAGAGTTCATGGCTCTGCTCCTGATATTGCTGGACATAATAAAGCAAATCCTACTGCTTTGCTTTTATCATCAATTATGATGCTTCGTCACATGTCGCTTTACAAATATGCCGATAAAATAGAATCTGCTATTTTTAACGTTCTTTCTCTTGGAAAAACAACTACTTGTGATCTTGGAGGCCAAGTTTTTTCTTTTTCTTTTATTTTTTTTACTTATTTTATTAGGCCTCTACTCAACAATATACACAAGCAATTGTGGATTCCTTGTAATTTTCTTTATATTCAAATATACTTATTTCACTTATTTTTCTTGTATTTTTCTTCCCTTTATTTTTTTCTTTTTTTCTTGAATGTCATGCTTAACGACAGTTGATAAGATGCTTTAAAAACAGGCGTTATTCATGGAAAATACTTGTTTAACGCCTGAAGGAAACCATATATCAGTGCTTTATATTTATCAGAATCTTCTTATGTTTGAAGAATCTTTAAGACAAGAGTATATTTCCCTTTATCTTCGTCGGCGCAAATATTCTAGTAAAGTAATTTTTTTTTGAGAAGAAAAATTGATGAAAAAGTGTTCTTAACAGGACTTTTATCATGGAATACATATTTCTTTTATGGTTCATTGATTAATCCGTCTAATGTAGGAGTTTTTTTTAGAAAAAATAAGGAATTTATAGGTTTTTAGTATTATTATGTTTCTTTACTTTACCGATTGTGTCTTTTAGCTGGAATGATTACATTTCTGTTGTTCTATTTGTCAGGACTTTATAGTCGAACATTAACACTGCCTCAAAAGTTTATTCCTTATACAAATAAATGTTTAAGACCCTACAATTTAAAAATTGTACCAAATCGGCTGACAAAATCACGTTTATTGCAATTTTTGCCTCATAAACTTTTTAGAAGACCGGATTTAGGTGAAGGAGGTATCCGTTTGGTTCTTCTTGGCAAGGGATTTGATCGAAATTTTTGTGAAGGATGGGAAATTTTTAGACAGGAGTATTGGATTAGTGAGCAAAATCGCTTAACTCAAAAGAGGGAAAAGAAACTCAAAGAAAGTCCATATAAAAAAGATAATAAGCTAAAGAAGAAAAGAGAATAAGGTTTTTTAAAGAAAAAAGAATATTTTAAATGGAACTACTAATATCTCTTTTTATTTAATACGTTGGTTTATACACAAGTGCATGTTTTTCATATTAATAAAGTAGTACATAGAAAGATAAATAATTTGGATTGATATCGATTTTATATCAATAAGGTGTTTCGATCGAAATTTTTTATATTTTATATTATGATAGAGACAAATGATAAATATTGTCTATCTTTTAGTAGACTACACGATTCTTTTTTTTATAACTTTTCATTTTTTTTTTGGAATATGGATAATTTTTCATTTTATTTATGATATAATTACGTTTAAATCACTTATAACAAAAAAAATAGTTGGGAAGATTGTTGTGATTACTGGAGGTTTTTTAAAAATACTTTAACGTTTTTATGTTAATAAATAATTTTGCAGGTGCTTCTGGTCTTGGATATGAATTATCATTAATTTTAAGTCGTCTTGGTGCGATCGTCATTATCATAGATATAGCTGAAAAAAAAATATCGGATCGTAAAAAAGTATTTTTTAAACAATTGGTACTAAAGTTAAAAGCTTTTTGTCACTATTACAGATGTGATGTTACATGTGTAAGAGGTCTTGAGAAAGTTTTATTGGAAATTAAAAAACATGTTTGATACATTGTTTTGAGAATTATTTTTTGATATATATAAAGTTTGGGATTCCTACAATACTTGTTAATAATGCTGCTATAATTGATGGTGAATCAATTGAAACAATGTCATTTGAAAAATTTAGAAGGTTATTTATTATTATTTGTATTTATATTTATTTACGAATTTTAGAGTGGTTGATGTTAATTTTATATCACATTTTAATACTGTTAAGTTGTTCTTACCTGGAATGAAGCAAAAAAATGAAGGACATATTGTTACGATAGCATCTTCGCTTGCGTTTATTGGTGTAACTAATCTTTGTATGAACATTCTTTTTATTTAATATATACTCCGTTAAGAATCATAGCTGCTTATTGTGCTTCTAAAACGGCATTAGTCTCTTTTCATGAATCTCTAAAATACGAGCTTTTATATTCAAATTCTAACATTCGAACGACACTTGTGGTGCCAGGACAATTGAACACATCATTATTTCAAAATGTTAAGACACCTTCTCGATTTTTGGCTCCAGTGCTTGATCCCGTATATGTTGCAGAAAAAATAGCCAAAACCATAATAAATGACATGGGTATAGAAATATATACGCCATTATATTGTTTAATACTTCCCATGCTAAGATGTATACCTATAAGATTTCAAAGAATCTTCAGATATTTTAGTGGTATAGATAAAGCTACGTATGTATTTATAAAACATTAATTGTATTATAAACTATTTAAAGTTTATATTAGAAAATTGCATATTCAATTAACTGTTATTAATATTTTAGACTTATATTGTAAATCTTGATTGTTTTTATTACTATCTTTTTTCTAAATTTTATTTTTGAGTTCATTTGCTCATTTTTTCAAATACTTAAATAATATTACAACTATTTTGCCTTTACAGAAATATATTATTTTAAGTATTCCTTAGATTATTTATTTATTCTTAATATTCAAAAGCAGAAATATTTGCAGAAAATATTTATATTATAAAACTGTACACTTTTTTATTCATCAATTTTATAGAATTAGTTACTTTTTTTAAAGAACTTCATAAAATATTAAAAGTTGATTTATAAAATTGAATATTATTAATATTTCAGTTAATAATATTCTATTGTAATATTTATCTCCTAATGCTCTTACTATAAAGAATTCTTATAATAATTCGATATCATTAAAATATTAAAATATTAAATATTAGAAAATAAAAGCAATAATTTTTCCTATAATTAAAAAAATAACTGTTTATAAATATCTTTATATATTTTGAAGGATATTTTGAAATAAAATTATATTTTTAAGTCTGTTATTAGTTTTTTTTTTCAACTTTAGAACAATTAGAAATATTTCAAGCTATTAGTATTCCATGTAAAAATAATATTTTAAGTGATTTAGAAATAAACATCTTTTGTTTTTTAAAAGACAAAAGGACATATATTTATATTAAAACATGCAAGGTTCTTATTTTAAATTGCTCTACAATAGCTATTTCTTTATCGATGATTATCTCCATATCTATATTTGTTATAGTACTCCCATTTTAATTTCAAATTATATAAAACCATCTACATAGAATTTGTTAAGCAATAGTTTGTAAAATAAACATGTATTTTGGACCTCTAAAAAGACAAAATTATTTATAATTCGAATATTAAAGAAAAATTTTATGAAAAAAATCTTGAAAATAAAAAGAACTAGAATACATTGTACTTATTTATCATATTTAATATTTTGTAGTATGTTTTTTAATTAAAAGTGTTTTTTTCTGTTGTATAAATATTTATAAAGATTATAAATATACGCCTTCTTATCGATTAAATATGTTGTTTTTTTAATCAATATATGTATTTTTAACAATATTATCTATTAATTTCTTCATTATGTACTTTATTTCTCACATTTAAATGTAATATCAAAGTCTTTATGCTAGTGATCGACTATACAAATTCGCATGAATCATTAATATAGAACATGTTTAATGCATAAAAAAGTTATGAAACGCTTCTTTGTTATTTTTTAATCTAAGATCTATTAAAATTAATAAATATGAGGTGGATATATTTGATTTGGTTGTTTTCCTTATATATATATGTAAAACAAGTAATGTCATCAAATTCTTCAAATAATCTAGATCCAACTTTAAAAAGACTAAGATTTCTTAAAAAAGTATATTCTATTCATTCATTTTATTGTAAATTCTAATTTGCCTTTTTTTATAGAGGCACACTTCAATAGAACCTATTGTTAAAGAAGTCACCATAACCATGACCCACTGGGTAGTTCATCATGATTGTATCATACTAACTACCATTGATGCTTCAAGAATAAACACAAAAAGTGATACGCGTCAATATCATACAATTACAGGCACCAGAGATATATAGTATTTTTTTAAAAAAGAATTGATCATATATAATAATTGAATAATATTATGCAAAAAACTAATAAAATACAGCATTAGCTTTTAATAATTATAATTAAGTTATCAATTTTTTGAAGTGCTTGTTAAAGAATGTTTGGTATGGATTAATTTCGGCCATTTATTAAAAAAAGAATCCCACATACTTTTATTTCGATTATCATGAATGTCTTTTCCCGATGATTTGGTATCAGCTTTTTCTTTTTTTGAAGTACCGCTCAAAAAAAATCTGTTAATTATGGTAGATTTTAAAAGAGAGTTTGATAACATAGTCTTGGTATCATTATTTAAAAGAACAGAAGATTCAGATGGACTTGTAGAAAAAGTAGATATAACCGGGCTGATAAATTGTGTAGGCGGAGAGAAATTTCTGGGAGTTGTCCATGGTTTCCTTAAAAGAAAAGAATCGCGTAAATCTTCTGACTTTACTCCATGTAATGGTTTTTTGTATAGAATATGCTTAAAAAATGAAGTATTAGGTGTATCTAAATAAATAGACAAATCAGAATTAAATTTATTATATTGTGAATGCCGCAATTCTTTTGAAAGATTTAAACAAGAATTCCGTCTTTTATTATTCATAGAAATCAGTTTTGGAGAGTTAAACATATCCGTTAAGGATAAATATCGTGTTTTTTCATGTAAATTATTTTGGGTATTCTGAAATTTGCTTGATGAACTAAAAAGTGACAATATATCCGGTGCAGAGAACGATCTAGTTATTTTCGAATTATTAAGATATAATTTTTTGAATTTTATTGGTATAAATAAACTATCAATAAAGTCGTATTTCGATTTAATTTTTATTTCATTAATAGATTTTGACGAATATCCTTCTCGGTTTTCCTTATCAGACTTCTGTAATATATTTGCATTTATGTTTTCATTAAAGATTTGATTCGAAGAAATTTCATTTAATTCTTTTTCTAAAAATAAATAGTTATTAACATTGAAATGCAACATATTCTTCAGATTATATAAATTATATGAATTATTAAATAAAGAACCATAATTATTGTTTCGAGATAAAATTTGTTGTAAATAAATCGTTTCATTTTGTGTTATAGAAAGAATATCATAAAGTTCTGTGCATATTTTTTTAAGAAACGAATTTTTTGAAATTAATTCTTTAATGAATAAGATTAAATGTGGTTTTTCTATAAAAGGAAAAGATTTTATGGAATCTGCATTCATCTTGATCTTTGGATATTTTTTAAAATAATCTGTTAACGTTTGAATATTTTCTTTTTCTTTATCAGTTTTTAATTCATCTTCATTTATCTGTTCTTTTAATATATTAATTAATCGTTCAGATTGTTGCCATTTTTTTTTTAAAAAATATTCCTATTTCTAAAGATTGTTCTAATTCCTTTCTCAAAAGATTTTTTTCTATTTCCATTGCATCTATATGCTTTTCAATGGCTTTTTTACGATCAATAACAGAACGAGCAAGTTCTAATTCTAATTTAGTAGCTTCCAATGTATTTGAAAGGTCTTTAATATTAGATTCAGAATTCGATAATAATATATTCAATTTTTCCATATTCTTATAAATTAATTAAAACAATCATAAAGAAAATAAAAGTGTTACACTTAAGATATTCCCGTTTTTTTCATTAATTCTAGATATTTCCTCTTCCAATTCCTTGTTTCTTTTTTTAAGAAATGATAGCGAAGATGTAATTTGATCCTTCTTAATTTTTAAATGAGATATCTCTAACTTAAACAATTTTTCTCTATATTCTGCATTTTCATTGTACGTTCTATATTCTGATAATAAATATTGACCTAATTCTATTCTATGGTTAAAAAACATTATAAAAAAAAGAAAAATACCTGATGCAATTTGCATATCTTTCTCAAACTGTTTAAAAAGAAGTCTATTTTGTTTAATATTCAGACAATCTGTTCCACAACAACATTTTATCGAAGACATATGATTGTTATTTTTTCTCTAAAAACCCTTAAAAATATCCTGAAAAAAAGCCAAATTATCTTTAGCTATTATTATTGATCATAAATCATAAAAAAATATTAATAAATTTAATAATAATGTCTTATTAGCTTCAAATTTTTAATTAACATTAATTAGAAGTAATCGTAATCGATTAATCGAAGCGTGAAAAAATAGAAGGTTATAAATTATGTGATGAATAAAATGATGAAAAAAAATATAAACACGTACTTATTTTAACGCCATCCTGTATTTAAAAGAGTAATTCCTAGCTCTTCACAACGGAGTTCTTTTAAACTTCTTGAATAACCTAAACCATCGTTTTGATAAGATTCCATTAATTTATATTTATTATTAATACAATGTTCATGACAATTGTGCACTTCAAGTTTTTTTCCTAGTGTAAAAGAAAAGCCTGCTTGAATAGCTTTGATTGGTGTTCGTGCAGGAGTTTTCAATGACCATATTTTTATATTAAAAGGAATAACAGTTCTTTTCCATGGGATAATTCGGAGTTGTGTCACAATCAATATTGTTTTTCCAAGGCCCCCAGCTATAATTGTGACACCTTCAAAATCTAATAATGAAGAATTGTTAATTTTTCTTTTATAAGATGTTATAAATTCAGCATGAAAGTGATTTAGAACAGGTATATTGGAAGAACAATGATTTGTATCTTCTAATAGTTTTTCAATATAAAGATCTAATTCAAAGACAACTGGCAATAATTCTTTAGAAGAAGTGTTTGACCATATTTCGAGTTCGAAAGATGATGATGAAGGCCAAACTTTATTATCATATAAAGTCTTTTTTCAATAAAAAAATATTAGTCTTATGAATATACAATCTTTTCCCTATCTATGAATTACCTGGTCATCATAATTATTCATATGATAATATGGAAAAAAAATAATCCGTGTATTCGTTAAAACGGGTATTAACCCATATTTTAAATACGAAAAACATGCATGGTTATAAATATTCCCTTCTCCTGCTGGAACTGCCATGGATTTCATGTCCAGAATATTGTTCTGTGGAGATAATTGTACTCGTCTTACTTCAATCCATCCACCACACATAGATTCCATTTCGTCTGTTACACATATATATCTCCTTAATAAAACCTGTGTTAATGTATGTTTTGTCGTATCCCATATTGTTTCTAAAGAAATAATTGGTATGTTATTAATAGAAAGAGGCTTAAATGTAATTTTTTTCATCAATTTAACCTTTTCGTTAGGAGTAAGTTGCCATAAATGAATATCCCCTTCATATCGAATTTCTTCCTCTTCAGTATCATTTACGTTCTCATTTCTTTCTCTTATATTTTCAAACATTGTTTCATTTTCAAAGAAATGCAAGAAATATGGTATATTCTGAGTACATTTAGGAACTGAAACAAGATAAAATGGCCACGATGAGATTGTTCCAAGAAGTATGTCTCTTCTAAGTGCTTTATCTGGTGTATCTATTGTATTTATATCTATTTTTAAAATTGGAACCTCTGGATGTTGGTTCCTTTGAGATATACCCAAAGACCGTTTGAAGACATAATCTACATAAAATTGGCTTTTAGGAGTCATTTTTCGTTTTAAAATATAAATGAGAGATTATATATAAAATTATGTCATTTTTCTAATGAATTGTAGTTTAGAAGAAATACGATAGAGCTTATTAAGGGTTACAGTTCTTAGAATTTTTAAAAAAATGAAACAAAATATTCAAATATGCATAAAAAAGATCTAAATTAATTTTATTATTAGAAATTTTCTATTTTCTAATTTATTAGATATCATTAAACATAAGAATAATATTGTAAAAAGTAAAGACCAATAAATATATATATAAAATACATATGAAAAGAATACTTATATTGTTGGTTTCTGTTCCAAATTTTTGATAGATAAATCTTGATATATTTGAAGAGAAGCATTAGGATGAATTTCCAAAGAGCCTGTTGTAAAAATTTCGATCATTCTATTGTAAAAGTTAAAAACAAAAAGAAAAATAAATAAAACCATAACATACTTTTCTATAGTTTCTCCCTTCTTACTAGCTGCATGTTGCCGAATATTTTCTAATTTTTCATTAAGGACCTTATTATGAAGTTCTTCTTCTTTTAAATTAAACCTCGCAAGCTATTCAATTATCAACAATAAAACTATGAGGTAAGATCCTTTTATTTTATACTTCTTTCTTGTATTTTTCAAATGCCTCTTCTTTTTGTGCTCGATATTCTTCAATTACTGCTTGTGCTTCCGAACGTGCATTTTTTAATCCCTGTGCTCTACCTGAGATATATTATTTCTCCTTTTTATGAATTCTATCATAGTTTTCTATACATTCTCTAGCCTTTTGAACAATTTTTTGCGACTCCTTTTCTACCTAAGATTATTTAATTAAACATATAATTTAAGAAAAAAAACCTCCAATAGTGTCTGAATCCCTGAAGAACCTTCGACTGACTAAAATTATATGTTATTCTTCACCTTATTTAACGTATTTAATAAAAACTTTACCATTTTATTGATAATTTTAGATCTTTAAATTCCTAGCTAACAGAGGTTTCAATTGTAAACTGTTACCAAACTACTATGACAACTATTTCCATGACAACAGTATCTAGGACAGCTTGATATAGACAAAAAAATGTGATTTTTTATTAAAAACTAGCTGATCTACTTATCAAATGTTTATTTCACATCTTTAAAGTACTTGAATATGTCTAAGGCGGCGAAAATAACATTTTTTACAACAGCCACTTTAGCGTTGGGTACAGTTGGAGGAGTTCATTATATTCAAAATCAAGAAAAAGAAGTGATTCAAGAAATTGTATTATCAAAAGTCTTATTTGAAATAGAAATTGTATGCTGGTGTACTTCGAGACGAAGCACGTGAAGCTATTCGTAAAGAGCATCAAGAAAAACAGATTAATAAAGAAAAACCAGAAACCAGCTATAAAAAGATTGAATTATCAACAGCTTCTTAAAACTGTCCAAATGTATATAGATAAAGAATTAGCCATATACCTGATAATATATTTTAAAATTTAAAGATTGAGCTACAATTTTTCAATAAATAAGTTCGGTTATTTATATAATTATAGTATAATCTTTGTAAATTGTGTTAAAAACTCATTATTCATAATGCAGATGGTTGTACTTCTTTCAACAAAATAGGTGATATAAGACTGTTCCATGCTAAAATTAATTGACCATCGTGTTCTAAATCTGTGTCAACACCAAATTTCCCGTAAATTTGCTCTCCAGTTTCAAGATCAATTTTTTTTTGTTTTTGATCACGCTTAGCAAGCTGTAAAGTCAAGAGACCTGATTCTGAGTGATCTATTAGTGTCGCCGTTTTATAATCAGACAAGATGGGTTCATAATTATCATTTATACAAAGGTGTTTAAATGCAATAATAGATCCTATGGATGGAGGCTGAGTAAGAACAACAAATGTCTCTATATTGTCTGGCAAAAGTGGCATATCTTCAAATGATGATACTCCATTTGAAACTTTATGTTATTATTAAAATAGTAAGATCAATCAGACTGATTTACCTTTGTTTTTATCATTTGATGTTAAAGGAATAAGATTAATAGGAACATTTGGAAGCTCACATTCTATTTCCTTAACAATACATCTATCTTGCCATTTTTCTTCATGTGCTTTATTATTTAAATCACATTCTCCATTCTCATTAAATCTTATATGCTTTCCTTGATTATTGCCTATTCTTGAAATAAAATTCTCTCTTTTATTTTTTATATATTTTTTTATTGGCCTGATTTCAATCTTTGTATGATTTAAGGGTTTGCCTGTTTTTTTTTCTAATTGTAGTAAATCCGAAAATTTAGCAGATTCTGGAAGAATTCCTTTTTGTTTATACATTATGAGTCTTTTGGTTTTTCTTTTTCTTATATTACGTGCTCTAGTAGAGGGCATTCCTTGTCCAGGAGGTCTCTGATTTTTAATATGTGAAAATGCTTGATTTATCTTTGGAGTAGATCTACAATTATTAAGCCTTTTTTTCTAGATTTTCTATAACATACTTTGATGATGTGCCTGAATTAGAACTTTTTTTAGAAGTAGATAATTTTGAAGTCATTGATGTTGATGTTGATGTTGATGTTGATGCTGATGCTGATTCTGATTCTGATGATAATGATGACGATGATGACGACGATGACAAATCAGATGATTCTGAGATCAATTCTTTTACAGCAGTTTTTTTTTTATATGGTTGCACCTTTTTTATTTTACTAGAATTATCTTTATTTTTTAATGTATTTAAATGAATTGAATTATTTTCCTGAGAAAAAGAACGTTCTTCATTTTCAATACATGATGTTTTTTGTTTAATAGGATCACTTTGCATAGTTCTCTCCGTATGATCAAACATATCAAACCGTTTGTTATATTTTAGCAAATATGTATCATTTTCTATTTTATCTTTCTCAGAAACCTCCAAACCCATAGATACACCTCTATTAAACATAGTATATATTCCATCGCCTACTTCGGGTGCATCATTAATTCTTTTTAATCTATTTATGTATAATTAACTTTTTTTTCTAGAAAAAAGCTTGATATATACATAATCAAATCATTTTCCCGAAGCACTTTAGAAACAGGAGAGTTCAAAGGAAGATGGAACCCCTCTAATTCAAGACTTAAATAACATGTATCTATATTAAATGAAAAAATCTCAATGATTTGCTCAATTAAATCTCGAATTGTCATAGAATCTGATAGAGGTGAAATAGAATGCCAACATTTAAATGTAGGTAAAGGATATGCAGTTGCAAGGCGTATTCTCATAATATTATGGAAATACTAACCTGTTCTAATATTTAAAAATCTTGACGTTTTACAACTGACCGAGCCTCTAAAATATTTAATAAGTAAAATAAAATATAAAATTCTAATTTGATCAATAATTCTTTAGTTTTTTGTATTATTAAGTATAATTAGTTTTTTCTATGTATGTATAAATATATAAATATATATATATTGAAAAAATTGTAAAAAAGAATACAATAATGCACATAACTGATGAATTATGTAAACATTTGAAGCTTCTTTTTATATTTAAGTATTTTTTAGGCTATAAAACCAGAAGAATTGGTGTTTTCATATTATTTTGTTATAATTCAGGCAATACTTAATCAAGCTTTTTTAGTCGATTAAGCTCAAAATTTACTTGATTTTCTAGAACTACTTCTTTAATCCTCTTTTTAATCCTATCTTTTGCAACTGATTTATCTCCATAGCAAGAATACTCCATTTCAAGAAGATGATTGCTTTCATCAAGTAAGATTGATGATAGAGAAAATATTTTCTTTGAGTTTTCTGAAATATCTATGACATTTTTTTCTGAAAATAAAATAAATTCTATATCTGACCATGCTAATAAGAAAATTCTAAGAAAAGTATGAATCGTTGTTAAAAATTCGAAAGGAAGCTTTCTTAGAAAAATAAAATTGAAAGGAAATATAGGATAAGATCGAATAATACTTAATACCTCTAATGTAAACCATAACCCTATTATGTAAAAATACCACTATTATCTGTTATTTTCTCAAAAAAAAAATATATAATATACAAATGTTTTCAACGGTTTAATTCCCAAGAAATTAAAAACCAAAGAAACAAAAATTATTCCTCCATAAAACTGAAATGTTGGTTTAATACTTTCAAAAAGGATTTCATATAAAGAAACTGTTTTTGACCATTCAATCATTGATGGACCAAGTCTAACATTTTTACATTAATTCATATCTTCTTTTATCCATATCTTTAACCTTTCATATGCAAATCTTTGTTTTTCATTTGATAAAACATTATACGCTAAACGCAATCTTATAAATTCTGTTGCATCTCCATTTTTAATCTTATCAGGGTGTATTTTTAAAGCTCTAATACAATTATAAGATATAAACACCAATACATAATGCCTACATCTTATGAAAATGTGTTTTTAATTTTCCTTTACTAAGACTGTATGGTGATATTTTTAAGATTTCATAAAAATTTTGAGATGATTTTACATAAAATTCACACATTATAAACAACAGATAAACAATGATTAAAAAAAGTGATATTTTCCTTCTATCCCTTGAAAAATCTACTGAATTAACTGGACATTCTTGAATATAACAAATACGTCTACGTATTTGATAATATAATTTTTGTAATATTCCAATCAATTTTCCTGAAAAAATACACCAAAAGATCCATAACATAATTCCTGGTGGTAATTCCATCCTGTTCTTATATTATCTTTACGTCTTTTTAAGCATCTTCAGATTCTTAATATTGTTGGAAATTGGAGAAGGGTACGAATAGATCTCAATCTAAGAAACTATAAAAAAAGCCAAAGAAAAGGAAGAAATGTCAGGAGAAGATAAGAGATTTAAGAAAAGAAGCTATAATGAGGTTGATAATGATAATATGTCAAAAGAAAACAAAAAAAAGCGGAAAAAAAATGAATCAAAAGTGAAAAAAAAAGAATTATTTAAGAAATCAATATTAAAACCGAAAAATCCGTTCTACAAGTTTGAAATAGAATCGTATATTTCAATTCCTCCTATTTATTGTGGATCGCCTATGAAGGGTGTTGAATATTATCTTGATACAATGATTTTGAATTATCTTCCTAATATACAAGGAATTATGCTTGCACATAGGAATTGTGAGTTTATAGATCGAACAGCAAAGATATATTATGAAAGCCCGTTTGGATTTTCATGGATTCGCTTTGAAATGTTAGTTTGGCGAGTTAAAAGAGGTGATTATTTAGGTAGAAGTTTTTTTTAAAAAAAAACATATTTAATTCATTAAATAAGAGGGAATAATTAATTTACAGTCGCCTTCGCATATTGGTCTTTTAGTAAGTGGATTTTTTAATGCCTCAATACCGAAAAATGGAATTCCAAAGACATGGTCATATCAAGAAATTATGTCTCAAAAAGAAGTTGAACAAAATAAAAATGGATATTGGATGAATGAAGACAAGAAAGCAATTAAGATTGGAGACAAATTATGTTTCTGGACAGTAAAGTATGTTTTAAAGATTTTTCTATTAAATAATGAAATATTAGACTTGAAACTATTGGCGGTATCGTTAGTATAGAAGGAACAATAGATATTGAAAAAATACACAAATGATGTATTATAAAGACTATTGAAAATAGATATTTGAATGATTCAAAAACGCTTTTAAGTACAAATAATGTTTCTATCCTAATAAAATTAAACCCTAACTCCACAAATTTGCATTTAAACTGTAATATAACCCTTACAAATCTAGTCAAAAAAGATTCGCTCAAATATATAAAACATAGATTATGAAAATATTAAAATACGAACGATATTCAGAAAAAATGGGTAACATTAATTAGATAATTGTCGAGCTATCATCTTGCAAAACAGGTGTAGGGCTTAAATCCTTAATGAAACAAAACATGCCATCTAAGGTAGAACCATCAATATTATTATTCGGAAATAAATCTGTAATAGGACTTTGAGAATCCCAAGCAGAATCAGAAGATGCATCATATGAACTCGATAGAATAGGAACCGAATCAAATGATTCCTTATTGCAATCTAATGTCCAAGTAAATTGAGAAAGTGGATTAGACGACCAAAACTGCGATGCTTGATGATCAAATGATAAAGGATGTTCAGATGATGATCCACTGCTTTGAGGCATTGTTAAATACTGATCCGATGTAGCTAACTCTGTAGTTGTCTCAAGTATCGAAGACGAATCATGAATTTGTGTATACAAATTCTCTGACGTCCAAAGATCAATAGATGGTTCATTAGCCATTAAATATGAATGTAGTCCCATTAAAGAAGGCGTTGTACGCGAATAAGATGTGCATGATAATCCTGACAATGTTTCCGACGTCCCATATAAATCTTGATTATATATGGGAAGATTCGAGACATGCTTATTCGTTAAAACTGTCGATACATTATTTGACCACGATGTATCATGATGATTCATATTAGAAGTAAGACCCGGCGAAAGCGCACTAGGAAACTGAACCACCGAATTTAAATAAGGCTGAGGCGACTCAACTGTACTAGGAGATTGTGGCGATGGCGACATTAAAATTGGTGAAATTTGTATCGGCGGATGAATCCGACTAACAAATTCACACGGATAATTTGCTTTGATACAATGCGTACATTTCCCATCCGGTCGCCCTTGATCTCCTGAACACCGAATTTTACGTCTCCGACATCGTTGACATGCTACATCAATCCTTTGCCGTGGAGAATCTGAACTTTTAAGCGGTAAAGAACGAGAACGATATGGAAACTTAATAGTATCCAAAGCCCTTGTCTTAAATAAAGTATTATCAATTTCCATTTTTTTATTTATAGAAAGAAAACCAGGTGTAATATTCTGAGATACTAACGTTTCACACGTTGAATGAAATGTCATATATACTTTTTTTTCAAAAAAAAAAGTATTTTTCTTTTAAAAATCTTTTCAATCTATTATTGAATTTTTGGACCTTTTTTTTTTTCTGGTCCTTTACTTGAAAATACTTATTTTTTTTTCTATTTAAAAAAGAAAATCTAATCGAGGCCTTCTCGTTATTTATCGACTTTGTTCAAATTTTCAACGTTTATCTTTATGAAATCTTGTTTATAATTTATTCTTGAAATGTGTGTTTTTAAAGTATCTGCTTTGTAAAAATTCCTTATTTAGTTTGGAAGAAAGGATATTTTTTTTCATATTTTTTTTTAGATAAAATCAGCTTGGCCGGATGAAGGTGAAATTTCACGTAAGTTAAACGGATTAAAAATACATAAATATGTGAAAAAAAAAAGACAAATGTATTTATAATATTAAATAAGAATAAAAATAAAGTTTTCAAATAAATTAGTTGAAAGAATTAATGTAAAATACTAATTATTTAATATTATATAAAAAGATAATTATAAATGAAAAACAAAGAGGAAACGCCACTTAACTTAATAAAGAAGAAAATCTATAGGGTTAGGAATAAATATTTTTTAGTGTAAAACAAAGATGGCAAGTATGGCAAGTTTGTCGAAATTTTCTATGTTTTAAATAAATTGAGCATTTTCTAAAATTAAGGGGAAAGAGTTTATTTGAAAAAGGTTAGATAGAAAAAAGTAAGAATTTTAAATGAAAAGTATTGTTTTGTTGTTTTATTAAAAATGAGTAAGATATAAAATTAAAATTTTTATAAAAGATTAAAAAAATAAGATTTAAGAAAAAAATCAATTAATATTTTAAAATAAAGTATTTTTTATAAAAGTTTATTTTTTTTAAATAAAAAATGATATAAATTTTTAGAAATGTTAAAAATACAGGGTTGTAGACTAGAGCTAAAAAGTTAGAAGGGTTTAAAAACAAAGTAGTATTAGGAATAATGAATTTGACATTATTAATTTAAAGGCTAAATATAGCGCTTTCCTTTTATATTTATTTTCCTGGGGTAACCATGAAAATCGGGTTAACCATGAATTTTTATAATTCAACTCTATATAGATTATCCAATTCAAGAATTTAATACAGTCTATCAATGATATACCTTCCTAAAAGGGTTTGATTGTTATATTTTGTCTCCTTTTTAGTTTAATCATGATATACTTAAAATTATTTTTTAGAGAATATAAACTTATAGGAATGTTTTATTAAAATGTTTAAATAAAATCATAATTTATTAAGTATGAACTATATAAAAAACTATGTGAAAGAATTGCTTTAAATAATAAAGGAAGTAATTATATGTGTATTTAGTATATTCTTTTTTATTTAATTTAAAAAAGAATTAAGTTGGGATTCTTTTGAATGTTAAAATCAAGAGTTTTATAAAGATTAAGGTTTGCTTTACAGTTCAATGGCGAATGTTTGTTTTGTTTAATAGAACTTTTTACCATGTTTTATTTTTTTGTATATCCATAGATTTTTTTGATAATCTTAGAAAATGGATCTATATGAGCAATAAAATTTGTCGATCATTATTTAGAGTTTTTGTTATGAGAAAGTGAGGAAAAGAAAGATATTTGCCATCTATTTTTTTACCTATATAAACAATTACTTTTTTTTTATGTTAAAAATAATATAAATTATAAAGATTTTATTAACTAAATATATCTAAATTTTTATTTTTTTAGTTAAAAACTAATAATTCTTTTTTATTAAAACAGAATTTTCTTTTAGTAAAATTGAATTCTGAGATTTTTTCGAATAAGATTTTATAGATTCATATTTTTATTCTTGTCTGATTTAAATTATCTTAGATCGGTTTTTTAATTTGAAAAAAAATAAAGAAATCTTCTTAACTATGGTTAAAATTGTATCATACTTTTAAAGATCAATCATATATTTCTATATCTTATCATCTTTATACTTTTTTAATACAATAATTCTTATATTACAAATCAATAAAAATAAAAAATAGGCCTTTTATTTTAGAAAAAAACATGTTAAACAAAACTTTTAAATATTTTCTAAAACATTAATTATAAAATAATCTTAACTAACACTTGGATCATTATAAATTTTTAATTTAGAAGGTTCTATATCAATAAGTTGATCATTTAGACCTCTTGCTGTTTATCTTGCTTGACTTATGAAGAAATTAAGTTGAAGGTATTTTTATTTTAATTCTTTTTATTATATTAAAAAAGAAAATTATAAAAGTTATGATCGAAATATATTATGTACATTAAGACATATGTCTCTCAAGTATAAATAAAACCAATATTAATTAAATCAATTGAAAATAATATCCATGAAATATGTTTTTTTTATTTTATCATTAAAAATCCAAAATCATAGGTTAGTGTCTTTATAAGATATCACAATCATTATCAAGAACTTGATCTGCTCTTTTTTAGAATTTATATCAAATATTAAGCATTAACAATTCATATTATCCTTTAATTGATCCAATTGAATTTATCAAATATATATTTCTAGTCAGAATATTTTGGAATAAAAAATTTATTCTTCTCATATCTTCTTTCAATCCAGTTACAAATAATACGTAACTTTCACTTAATTTTATTCATTATTGATGCAGATATCATAGGGATCTTAATTTCCTTATATTTCTTAAGACATATATTTATAATATATTAAATAAATATTATCTTCTTTTTTTTATACATTATTTTCTGAATAATATAAAATCCTATATAGAAACATATTAAAACATTCAGATCATTGAATCTTTATCAAAAAAAGGCTATCTCTCTGTTTCTTCTCACATATTCATTATTTAATCAATTTTCCCCAAATTATAACATAATACTGGAGATTTGATCTAAATAGTATTTGATTTATTTCAATTAATAACCTTATGCCATTTTTAATTTTATGAGAGACAAAAAACCTTTTTCCAATATCTTTCTTTTTTTCCGCTGATATTTTATATAGTAATAATTATATAAATTATTTCATTACAAAAGTATAAATAATTAGATTTAAAAGGTATCATAGTCTAAATCTCAAAAATATTCTTTCATGATTATATTTTTTATTTGCTATGCTAATTTTAAAACTATTCATAGATTCGATAAATAAAAAATCATAAAAAATCATATTTTTAAGGAAAAAATATAGATTATCATTCATTATTTCAACAATTCTTAGCACTTTTCATTCTTTTATTTTATTTTTTGTTTTACATTTTTTTTCTTAATACTCGGTCTTAATTTATTAATTTTTAATTATTCTGAATTCTCAAGATTTGAACGTCAAAAAAACATGAAAAAATTAAAAATATAAAGATTTTTCTAAATAAAGAGAAATATTTCAAAAATTTATTAAAAAATAAATAAAAAGATTATATTATAGATAAATAGTTAAAAGTTCGAAAAAAATTGAGAAAATATAGTTAAATATCTTAAAAAATAAGATTATTATTATTAAAGATATGATTCAGAATGAGAGCAAGCCAAATAAGTTTAATGAAGGAGCTCCTATAGAATCATATGAAATTTTTGATGATGAATATGAAAATTCGGCTCAATCAGTTGATTCTGATGATAGTTTAATTATTTTTACAAAAGAAGCGTAAACTGTTTTTTTTAGTAAAATAGCCATTTTAACATTTAAAAGTCCACCTACTTCACTATTATCAAGAAAAACACTTGAAAATGGACAATTCGTTGAAGAAATTAACCAAGAAAAAAAACAATCACAAAAAAAAAGGTAAAATATAATTATTAATAATTTTTGTAATTTTTTTCAGTAAAGAAAACATAAAATACCAATTATTCTCAAAAGATGAGCGAGAGAAACCTCTAAGAGTGTCGGATGATATATGTATTTTAACTCCTTATTCAATAGAAGAAATACCAGATTCAGAAGATGACAATTCAGAAATATTTTTGGAAAATGAAGAAATAGAGTTTTCAAAGGCTTATGTAGATAATAATACTCCGATACGAAGTAATTTAAAATACTTTGTGAACTCGGAAGATAATGCTATTATGAAAGATCAAACGACTACAAAAAATGAATCTTTAATACAATATCCAGATCGACCTTTGCCTTGGAAAAAGCCGGAAGCCCTCGGTACATTGAATAATCCAATAGATCTTTCGAAAGACTTATCAGGACACTTTCCTCCTCCCATGCCTCTTCCTTATTCAAAGTATGAATATCAAAATTCTATATTTCAAGAAACAAATATTTCTTCATCATATCCACGAATACTAGATACTAATAAGGAAATAATGGCATTATTTGATAATATATATTCGATGAATGAATCCAAAATCAGAGAAGGGACACCAAAAAGATTACTTCCTACACTTATGGAACATCAAAAAATTGGCTTGAGTTGGATGAAAGAAAAAGAAGAAGGGACTAATAAAGGAGGAATTCTGGCAGATGATATGGTACGATTATTATTTTTATTTCATTTTAATTGTATTTTAGGGTCTTGGGAAAACAATACAAGCTTTGGCATTAATTGTTTCAGAAGATGAAAATAAAATGGGAACTACTCTTATTTGTACTCCGGTATCTCTTTTGCAGCAATGGGCTCGAGAAATCCGGACAAAAACTAAACCTCCCCTTAAACTATATATTCATCACGGTAATTCTAAGCGTATAATTCAACCATCTGAACTAAATAAATATGAAATTGTTCTTACTACATATGGAACTGTTGTACGTGATCATAAGACTCTTATTAAACTCCAAAAGGATCCTGATCATTCCACATATATGCTTTATAAACCTGCATTTACTTTATTAGAGCATCATTGGCACCGAATAATTTTAGATGAAGCACAAGTAATTAAAAATAGACATACCTTATCAGCTCAAAGCTGTTACAAACTTCAAGCTACTTATCGTTGGTGTTTAAGTGGAACACCAATGCAGGTATAATTATTGAACATTTAATTTTGGTTCTAAATATCTATAAGAATTCTATAGATGAACTTTATTCATTGATATGTTTTTTACGTATTAAACCATATGATGACTGGTCTACATTTTCAAATCATTTTTCTAAGCACTTCAATAGATATTCCTGCTCTAATTATATAATGAAATCTATGAAAAGATTACAAGTATTGTTAAAAGCTACTCTCTTGAGGAGAACAAAAACTTCTACTATTAATGGAAAACCCCTTTTAACATTACTCCCTATAAACATAGAGTTAGTTTATACCATATTTAGTGATGAAGAACATGCATTTTATAAAAAACTCGAGGCACAGACACAATTACAAGTAAGTCATTATGTTAACGAAAATGTCCTTGGTTCTCATTATACGAATCTGCTTGTCCTTTTGTTGCGTCTTCGTCAAGCATGTGATCATCCATGGTTAGTTAAAATTAAAGAATCGACCGAAATATCAGAAAACGATTTAGAGAATCAAGAAAAGCTTGCTCGTGAAATATTTGCTCAACAAGTTCAAAATATTCAAAGACTTAAAGATTTCGAATGCCATGTATGTTATGAAGTCATTCTTTCACCGAACTTTATTGTACCATGTGGGCATTATTATTGCAGAGATTGTATTATTAGAGTAATCGACCAAAGTCAAAAAACTTCTATTATGAATGGCAATGTTACATTAGATGCTCGATGCCCGGAATGCAGATGTATATTCAATATGAAAAAAGTTATTGATTTTTCAGTATTTAAAAAAGTTTATAATTGGAATTATGAACCTAATTTTATAAAAGAAGATAAAGTTTCTGATGAAGAAACAGATGATGAAGATCTTACTGTTATAAAAGATAAAGGCAAGCAGAGAGCTGTTATTGATAATAAATTTGCTGTTAATGATTTGGATGTAAAATTAGCATGGAAAAGAATATTTAATCATAAATTTATTAAACAAACGAAAAATAAATTTCATCAACACTTGGAGAAAAATAATGATCAGTTTAAATCGTCTGCAAAAATCGACAAATGTATTGAAATATTAGACAAAATAAAACATAATAATAGTTTAGAAAAAACAATTGTTTTTTCTCAGTTTGTAGAATTTTTAGATCTTCTTGAGATTTCTCTTCTTCTAAAAGGATACAAAATATTACGCTATGATGGACGAATGAGTGCAATACATCGAGATCAATCATTATTCATGTTTGACCAAGATCCTACACATACTGTTATGTTAATATCCCTTAAAGCAGGAAATTCCGGTCTAAATCTAGTTTCCGCCTCACAGTAAATATTAATAGCCATTTTCTTCTATTTACATATTTTAGATGTATTTTACTTGATCCATTTTGGAATCCTTTTGTAGAAGAACAAGCTATTAACCGCATACATAGAATAGGACAAACAAAACCCGTTCAAATTTATAAATTAGTTATTAAAGGGACAGTAGAACAGAGAGTTTTAGACCTCCAAAAACGTAAACGTGATCTTGTAAATTCATTCATTTATTTATTTCTAACATAATAATAAAAAATAGATAGAAAATGCACTAGAAGAAAATGCTTGCATGCAAATAAGCAGACTTAATAAGCAGGAACTATCATTTTTATTTGGTCTTCAAAATCCTTAAATTTTTAATTATCTTAAAATATAAACCTTTTTTACGGTCTTTATTTTTCTTATATTATTTTCAGCAAATATTTCACGCAACTATTTATGGCCTTTGCATTGCATCTTTTATATTAATATTTCTAATAAAAATTCCTTTTTTTGTAAAATTTATTTTTAATCTTATTTTACACATACATATATATAAATTTTACATAGTTTTATAACTAAAAAAATAGCTACATACTTAATACCATTCCCTTACTAATAATTCCTATGTTTAATCCTTATTTCAATACTTCTTTGCTTTTTTTCTTCAACATTTTCCATACACGTTCAACCTTTAATTTCAATAAAATTTTTCACCGACGGGAAATATTTCAACCAAATTATTATTTTTGTAAAAAATAAAAAGAGGTATAGGAGTTGGGGGAGATTTTTAAGGAGATCTTTATCTTTTCTACTTTATTTTTCTTTATATTTGATTTTTTTGTGGGGAATTTGGGATAATTTTGGATCAAAGTGATAAAGAATTAAAAATGTTACAAAAGCAATTTTAAAGATAAATTAGGAGGGAAGATAAATATCTAAATAAATTATGTCTTTCAACTATGATTATGGCAAAGGGAATACCCCGTCAAGTTCAGTATCAACGGCACAAAGTCAGAATAATCAAATTGTACCGCCAACGAATACATCATCACCTACTTTTCAGACATCAAATGCCGTTAGTCAGAATATAAATAATGGGAAAATTTCTACATCCCAGTCACCATTGCAAGGAGAGAATAAAACAGCTCTTTGGTATATACTTTTTTTTATTAATTTTTTTAATATATATAAGGATGGGAGAACTTGAGCCATGGGTAGATGAAGCATTTATTCGTCAGGTTTGGTTTAATTTGGGTGAGCAAGTAAATGTAAAAATGATTCGCGATAAGTTTTCTGGGTATATTTTATTATTTTTTTACATTCATGATTAAAGTAAAATAGTTCGAATGCTGGTTATTGTTTTGTTGATTTTTCAAGTACTGCAGCGGCTTCAAAGGCTCTTTCATTAAATGGGACAATTATTCCAGGAACAACTCGATTGTTCAAACTTAATTGGGCGTCTGGTGGTGGTCTTACAGATAGGAAGTATATATATATCTTTATATTAATAAAACATTAATATTATCTCTTAGAGACGACCGTGAGCCGGAATTTTCGATTTTTGTTGGTGATTTAGGTCCAGAAGTTAATGAATATTTGCTTGTATCTCTTTTTCAAAGTCGTTATCCCTCGTGTAAATCGGCAAAAATTATGACAGATCTTGTATCCGGGATGTCAAGAGGTTAAGAATATATTTCTATATACTTTTTATATTGACGTAATTATCTAGGTTATGGTTTTGTTCGGTTTTCAGATGAGATGGATCAGAGACGCGCTCTTACAGAAATGCAAGGCGTATATTGTGGAAATCGCCCTATACGTATTTCTACAGCAACTCCTAAAAATAAGCCTGGGATGAACCATATAAATATGATGCATATGGGTATGCCTCCTTTGGGTTATTATGGAGCGCCTCAACCTATGAATCAATTTACAGATCCTAATAATACTACTGTTTTTGTTGGTGGTCTTTCAAGTTATGTCACCGAAGACGAACTACGTAGCTTTTTTCAGGGTTTTGGTGAAATTACATATGTAAAAATTCCTCCTGGTAAAGGTTGTGGTTTTGTTCAATTTGTACAACGGCATGCAGCTGAGATGGCTATCAATCAAATGCAGGGTTATCCTATTGGTAGTTCTAGAGTCCGTCTTTCATGGGGAAGAAGTCAAAATAATTCGGGACCCATAGGTACGCCTTATAGGTATTTCCCTTTTTTTCCCTATTTTTTGCTTATTCACATTTATTTATAGACCTAATCCCCCTCCTCCTGTTCCCTATGCATCTTTAGGACTTCCGCCTCAGCATGCTTATTCTAGTTTTGCTCCTATTAATCCTAATGCAGCGCATATGCATCCGCCACAACAACAGGGACAACCATTACCTGCACAGCCAGGACAGTTGTCTGGCTCACAAAATCCTATGGATCCTATTCCAGTAACTTTATTGAATGAATTATATTCTGCAACACGAAACGCACGATTAGATAGATTAGAGGCTGATAGGAATAGTTTCCACGGTGTCTATGCTCAGTGATTTTATTAATTATTCATTCAAAGATAACTAATTTGTTTTTGTTAATTTTTTATTAATTTTTATACGGTTTCTTTTTGTTATTTTGATTGACGACGATAAGGAGAATGTACTGGATTTTGATAAGCGTTGTTATCTTGATTATTTACTTCAATTTATTTTTTGTTTTTATATTTGTTTTTAATATTGTATTCTAGTCTTTAAACTGTTTATTTAAATAGTATTGCCTTAAAGCAATACGTATATATATACATATTTTAATATATATTATCTATAATTATATTTATAAATCTTTATTTTTACATATTTTTCTACATTTTATATTTTTTGTTTCGATTAAGCTTCTCTTCAAATCAGACTTAAGAGCAATAAATTTTTAATAAAAAACTAATATTAAACTAATAAAAAGAACGTTTAATTAGAAAGATATACAGAAATTCTTTATAAAGATGCGTTATGCTGATTTTGATTGTTTAATTTTTCCTTTAAACCGAAGGGTTCCAATACCAGAGTTCCGGACATCATTCTGTTTAACACATGATCCAGATCATATAACAGCTCTAAATAACCACCAAAAGTTTCTAAACAGTAGTGGAAATTGCGATAATTCATCAATAAATTCAAATATTAATTTATTTGACACATATACAACGTTAACTCTTCCAACAGTTACAACGTTTATTCCGTGTCTTTCACCGTCAGATCCTATGAAGATATCTTTACATTCCTGGACATTGCCACATATATCTAGAGCAATGGCGTCAATGCCTCCAAAACCTGAAGAAAATGTTGCATATATACCTATGTTTGAGGCGCGTATCTATATTGATGGAATACCTATCACATATCAGCTTATGTTGCCACATTCTAAATGGCCGGTTGTTATTGATAGTTATAATGGTATGTAGTAATGATTTTATTTTTTTATAATTGATTTTTTTTTAAGATCATAATAATACATCTCACAGATTTTATTTTCCAAGTCATAAATTGGAAAATATTTCTAGTCTTACAGGCTATGCTATACCGCCAGATTTTTCATCAATTAAGGTTATTTTATCAGAAGGTTGGCTACAAACACGTGAAAATGTACGTCCATTATTTAAGCGAGTTCGTAACATTGTTTGCTTTATGTTTCAATATACAGAGTCAGGTAATTCTTATTATTATAGGTGTTATATATATATTTTTTTAGAACTTTTAGAAGCATCAGGTATTTCTTATCCATCCTTTCGTCCTGTTAACAGTTATACTCTTTCTTGCTTTTCACCTAATTCTTATCTAAACTATCAATCAAACGATGTTCCTCTTCCGCTTTCCAACAATAATTCACCTCATAGCTCTCTTTCTGACACAAATATACAAATAACAACCAATGTTGAAGATCAAATCGATGAAGTTGCACACTTTAATCCTTTATCTTCCTCATCTTTCGATCTAAACAAATCACAGTTTACTATACCAATCAATACTCAACCTTTTTCTGATTCTTTATCTGAAAATACTACTTCATTTATTCAACATACTGATTCTAGTTCATCTTATAATATTTATCCTTCTTTGATTCAGTCTCAAAATGATTTATCCTTAGACTCCAATTCTAACGAAAACAAAGAAAATACTTCAAACATTCAAAAGTCACCACGTAAAACAATAACACGCACTTCTCTTTCAAAAAGTCCTACAAAATTAAAAAAAGATCTTAAAACTCCAAAACGCTCTGAGCTTCTCAAAGAAATACAGCTCCAAGGTATACAAACTTAATTTTTTCCTTTCAACATATCACTCATAAAATATCTCTCTATCAAATCAATTATTTATGTTTTTATAATTCTTTTTTTCTCTTTATACATTCTTTTTTTTAAATAAACTCTGCTTCCAATTTTTCTGATAACACCTTATCGTTTCTATCATTCCAAGATTAATGGTTTATACAAATTTAATCAAAAGAAATACAAAGATTAAGTTCTCAAGTGACGTTGATAAGGGTTCTATACGTGAAATTGAGGCTCTTTTATCAGCAGTTCCAGGTCTTGAAGAGCAATATCATGTTTTAAAATTAATTGGCTATGGTATGAATATTTGGGAAGCAAAAAAAACCGTATAATTATCTGAAACAGGGACATTTAGCAGTGTTTTTAAAGCTATTGATCTGAAATATCATGAATATGATAATTCTTCATGGGAAAAAGGGTTTAATAGTCTAAGATATTGTACAAGACTTTCAGTACAACGAACACATTATGTGGCAATTAAGCAGATTTATCCGACACAATCAAGTCATAGAATTATAAAAGAACTTAAAATACTTAACGAATTAAAGTAGAAATGAGATATTAGATTTTATTAAAGAGATTTTAATTGAATATGTAGAGGTAAACCATCAGTAACATGCGCAATTACAGCATTTCGATACCAGGGTATAAATATATTTAAATATTAAAGTATTTATTAATACATTTTAGACCAAGTATTGATTGTTTTACCATATATTATGCATTCAGATTTCAGGGAGTTTTATCTAAGTTATACATTGTCAGATGTTTCAATTTATATTCGTGAACTTTTTCGAGCATTAAGTTCTGTTCACGAGCTTTCAATTATTCATAGAGATATTAAGCCTGCCAATTTTTGTTGGAATCCATTTTCTAAAAGAGGATCTCTTGTGGATTTTGGATTAGCACAAGTAAAAATATGATTTTTATAAATGAAATGGTTTATGAATTCAGTGGGAAAATGAATTTGATGCTTCATGCGCCTGTAGTAAAAAACACATCCCAAGTAATCCGGGATTTTTTGACAAGGAAAATATGGAATCTTTCAAATTATTAGAACCAAATAATGCTTACATTAAAAAGGATTTAAGGTATATTATACACAACTGTTATATATTTAATGTTTGAAAGACCCTGTAAAAAAGGAGAAAGAGGAGGAACAAGAGGATTTAGGGCCCCAGAAGTTCTTTTTCGTTGTAAAAGCCAACGTTGTGGTATTTTTTAGATATATCAATCTATTATTGTTTGCTAACATTTAAGCAATTGATGTTTGGTCAGCAGGAATTATTCTTTTAACTTTTTTTATTAAAAGATTTCCTCTTTTTCAAAGTGAAAATGACATAGATGCACTTGTTGAATTAACACATATATTTGGTCGGCAAGAAATGAAAAATTGTGCTCGGTTACATGGTATATATATTATGTCAATTAGGCCATTTATTTACATCTTAGATTGTTCTTTTGATGATAATATTCCTTCAGTTCCTGATTCAAGAATTGCTTGGTGGCAATTAATTAAAGTATTTTCAATTAATGATAATTATTCAATATTTGATGGAGAAGATAATTCAATTATTAACTCTGCATTAGATTTTCTAGAAAAATGTTTAACACTTAACCCTTCTGAAAGAATTCAATCAAAATCTGCTTTACAACATCCTTTTTTGAACTTTGTTTAAAAAGGATCATATTTTTTGATTTTTTTCGACACAAATTATACATGAATATATAGGTATTTTTATATATTTATAGGAATAATATATGCACCTAAGCTTCCACTTCCTCCCCAGCTTTTTTGAGGTATTAAAATAAGGTTAATATCGGTTTCTTTAGTATCTATTTTCCGCATAACTAATATTTCTATTTCTTTCTAAAATAAATATTAAATATTGATATTTATAAAAAAAATCTTATACATTTTCTGAAGCCTGCACAAGTCGTGAAACTGCTGATAATGTATCATGACTTCCTGCATGGACTGTACCAAATTTTTTGATTAAGTCACCTAATAAAATATTTTAAAAAACAAACTGATATTTATTTTATACCTTCTTGAAGCCCTGCTAAATCAGCAGGTGATTTATGTATTATATAATTAACTTTTGCGAAAGGCTGATAAACAGGTTCTTGAACTACTTGAGGACTATTTAAAATATTAATATTATGAAGCATAGTTTGCATATTGTCGGTTAATCCCCGATAATCATTTTTAAGTCTGTTGATACGTGCTCTTGCCATTCGTACTTAAAAAGGTTTATAACATAAAGTGAATAAATATAAAAACCTACCTTCAACAATATTTATATCGGATCTTGGAAACCCTTCTGCATCTATTAAAGATGTTTCCATATTAACATTATTCTTTGAGCTGTGTTAATGTTTAAAGTTATTTAATTTTAAGAAAAACCTGAGATAGCACTTGACCTAATGATTGAAGCTCTTGTTTAATTTCATCAATACGTTGAAGAATATCTTTAAGTTCGTGTTGATTTTGAAATGTTCCAGTATTTATGAGGATCCCCATAGAATAAGATTATAAATATTAATTTTTTAAAAAAAAATTCGATATAAAGGTATATATACAACGTAAAAAACTATGTACAAATCAATGTCGACAAAATGTATTTTCTACATTTAAATGGAAATCACCATTCATCAGAACATCCTTCGATAGTTATAAAATCTAACATATATTCATCAATATGCCTGGGCTCAAGAGTTGAATGGGTATTTGTATTATATAAATCAGTATATGATGATACATAATAATTTTCTTGTGTTGTATTTGTGATAGAAGATTTTTGTATAGTTTGAGATGTATTTTTTGTAAAATCTTGATTAGAGATAATGGTAGTTGATTCAGCGAAATCAATAGCATCAGTATTCATTTCACAACTTGCGATTTTAGCAGCAATAGCATCATTTTCATCTTCAGTAGCCATTAGAATACGTTCTAAATTTCTTTCGTTTTGTGGAATATCATCAGTTTTAATATTCGCTTGAATAATATCACGCCAGTTAATATTATTTAAATGATCCGTAGTAAAATAACCTTCCCCAATAACTAAATTGTCCAGCATTCGCTTTTGATTTGCTTTTAATAATATATTTTCTTCAATAGTATACTCAGATACAAACCGATAGATATGCACATCTTGTGTTTGTCCAATACGATGACATCTGAGGTAAATAAAATTAGATATATACAGTATTAATAATATAAAATTACCTATCTTGGCATTGTCTGTCCATAGATGGGTTCCAATCAGAATCATAAAAAATCACAGTATTTGCACCTGTTAAATTAATACCCATACCTCCACTCCTTGTGCTCAAAATGAAAACAAATATTCTTGAATCATTATTAAATCTTTCAGTTAGAATCTGGCGTTGCTCAACTTTAGTAGCACCATCTAATCTTAAATATTTATATCCATGAATATTTAAAAATTGCTCTAAAATATCTAATACACGCGTCATTTGTGTAAAAATGAGTGCCCTATGGTTTTTTGCTTGAAGCTCACGAAGAAGTACAACAAGTCTTTGCAATTTTCCACAATCATATTGAAGAAGTCTTTTATCCGGAAATGCAATAGATAATCTAACTTGCATTGGATGAAGAATATTTGTATATTTTTGTTGAATTAAATTTAATAGTGATTGTGAAATTCCACGCAATAAAAATAAATTTAAGTCTGTAGCAACAACTTCAGGAGTAACACATGAATACTTTTGTAATAATGTATCCATAGAATCAACCCTTTGTTTGAGATCCAATACTGCATCTGACAAAAAGTTGCTAGTTTTCCAAAAAAGATTCATAGTATCTTTGGGTTTACTTTTTTCTTTCATACTTAATATTTTATTAGTTGAAATATAACAAAATTGAATCAAGCCACTGCCATATATTGAATATGATTGGCAACGCATGTAATTGAGATAATTAAAATGTTGAATTTTTTCAAGTTTTGAAATTTTTGTTCTTTGAATAACATAGTTTTTATATTCCTTAAAGTTATAATAATTTTCTGGAACAGAATAGTCTATAGTAGATTTTAAAGATTCTATATATTCCAATATTTCATTATTTGCACAATGTAACCGTATTTCATTCATCATTATATGTGATTTGTTTTCATGCTTTACAATAATAAGATTTAAAAAGTCCAAATTCAGATTGTAGAATGGATCCTCATCTAATAAACGTTTACGAATAAGAAAGTCCTTAATTTCAAAATCAGCAACAACAGAGCGTGACATAGCAAACGATGTCACAATAGGACGAATCTCAAATAAATCAGGATGGTTGCAAACCTTTCTTAATTGCATCAAGCAATTAATAATACTAAGAAAATTTCCTGATGCCAAGGTTTCTTTCGTTTTTGCTCTTGACATAAAATCATCATAAAGATAACGTTGTCGTTTGGATAAACGACAGTAAAGTATATGCTCATATTTTTTAGGCATTTGTTTTTCAACATCAGCTTTAAGTCGGCGCAGAAGATATGGCCGTAAAAGCTGATGAAGCTTAGATATTTGATTTTGAACATCACTATCAATGGTACCGTTATTATTTTCTATCATTCTATCAATAGGTTTAGAGAACCATTCCTGAAAATCTTTTAAATTAGCAAAATCAATAGCCATTGATTCTGATAATCCATGTGGCATTAGAAAGTATAAAAGAGACCACAATTCAACAAGATTATTTTGTAATGGTGTTCCTGTTAATAAGAGACGTCTTTCTGTATTAAAATTCAATAATACTTTCCATCTTTGAGAACGGAAATTTTTAATATTATGAGCTTCATCTAATATTAAATAATGCCATTTTTTTCTACGAAAAGGTTGTTGATCATGAATAACAAGCTGATAGGATGTAATACAAATATGGAACGTATCTGGCTTATACCATCCTTTCCTTTTATTTTTACGCTGATTCAAATTACCATAATATGTTAAAACCTTAAATCCTGGAGCAAATTTACTAAATTCCATTTCCCAATTTAACATAACACTTGTTGGTACCACTATAAGATGGGGCCCCCAAATGCCTTTTTCACAAGCCAAATATGACAATAATGCAATAGTTTGAATTGTTTTTCTAAAAAAGAATTAAAGAAAATAAATAAAACAAAAATAACTACCCTAATCCCATCTCATCAGCCAAAATCCCATTGACTGAATTGGAATAAAGACCAACTAGCCATTCTAATCCCGCATATTGATATTCACGAAGTGTACCACGAAGTAAAAATGGAATAGGGATATTCTGCCGAGATTTTTTATTATCAGAAATAGATTCGCTATTTATCTTATTTTTGTCACATGTATTTGAATCTTCTGTTTCTAAACAGGAAAATGGTTTTTCAGAGTTTATTAATTTCTTATCAATTTCCTTTATGTTATCCTCATTAAATTTCTGAGTTATATAATCATCTGTTCTTTCTTCATTGTTATCATACTCTTCTACTTCTGAATTTTCAGTATCAACTGAACTATAATTGTTAAATTCTTTACTATTAGTTGAAGCAGGAGAAGAATTTGTTTGAATATTTTCATCCATATAAAGAAAAGCTAATCCAGGTCCTTCTTCATTACCATCATATTCACTGTCTTCATCATATTCTGAATCCATCGTAGTATCAGTCTCATCAATTTCATTTGTTTCTTGAAAACTTTCAAAATCTTTTTCGCAAGAAGCTGTATCACTTTTATCATCATGTTGAATATCCTCTTCAATGAATGATATAGTACCAGTAGTATCTGATGAATCTGTATCTGAATCTACTTGATCTTTATTGCATTCATCATCAGTAGAATCATTTGAATTATTTTTTAACTGATTAGAAATAATTGAATCTTTAATTTTCAACTTTTCTAAAGACGATTCATCATCTTCAATATAAGATATTTTATGATGATATTTTTTATTAATAGAATCATGTTCCTTATCGTTATTTTCACAACCATTTATATTAAAATCTTTAATATTTTTCGTTTTCTGCTTTTGAAAATCAGAAACCTGCTTAATACCTTCCTTTTGAGCTTCAAGAAGTTGCGCAGAATGTTCAAGAATCTTGTTTAAATGTAGCTTCCCTACTTTTCTTTGTTCTTCCTGCAACTTTTCCATTCTTCTTCTTCGAACTTCCTATTAAAAATTTAATAATATAATTATATGCAAAAAACAATGCAACCTTTTCTATAAGTTTCCATTTTTTCTTAATTTCTAAAGAAGTCCTTTTAGCTAGCTGTTTTATTTTTTTTTCAGCTTCTTTTTTTTCTTTCTCATCTGCACCAGAAAGTCTTCTAAAATACGACATTATCATTCCAGATATTTTTCTGGCTCTAGATATGTTAGTTCTTCTTTCATTAGCAACAAGTTTAGAAAAATATATAGCATGAGAAATAAGATGATCTAAATGGTCAAGTGTACGAACTGGTTCAATTGATTTTTTAATCATTAAAGTTGACGATTTACATAAAGATCCTTTTAATTTTGCTTTTTCTATCTTATTAAGAAGTTCTGCCTCTATTTTAGCCAATGAAGGCGCGATATTAACAGGAATTTCTTCATTATTAAGAATTAAAAATGACGACATATAATCATCGAGAGATTCATATTTTTTCATCAATAAAACATGAAATGGATGAGTAATAATAGGAGACGGTACTTTAACTTTAATTTTGAGAGTTGGAAGACGGCGATTAGGATCTAAAACTATTAATTTCTTTGTAAAAGATGAAAAAACAATAAAAGCAAACCATATGTATCTATAGATTTAGAAGTTTTATCTTTGGAACCTATGTCTGAATCGTCACTTAAGGATTCATATTTTAAATTCATTAAATCTTCTCCATTGATTTTTTTAGGTTCTGAATATTCCTAAGATACAAAATAAGATTAATTATTTATAATCTTACCATCATTTAACTTTGTATTCACTGATTTTTCTGTTGGTAAAAAAGAACATGATTCATCCTTTGAAATAATAGATATAAGATTATGACTTTCGCAAAACTATAAGTATATTATATTAAATATTTTATGATATTTAAATCATAACCTTTATAAACCTTTCACTTTTATCTTGTCTAGCAACCTTAGGATTATAATCAATAAGGCTACCAAAGTTTTCCAAATGATATAATTGACGAATTCGATCATCTTGATCATAATAAATATTTTTCAATTTTTCTTGACGCTCTGTGATTACACTATCATGAAATTCTGCAATATGTGACTGATCGACACATCTTTTCTTTTTATCTTCTTCTTCTATGTCATTTTTTCGTTTTTTTGTAACTGACATTCTTGAAATATAATTTAATGATTATCTAAATTTACATGTTAAATATTATTTTTGTTTTTATATCCTCTGCTTTTCTTTTTTATAACTTCTATTTCATCTTTAAAATGCTTGACAGTTTATTGAACTTAAATATTTCTTTTAACAATAAATAGACTTAGACAATTTAAATTCTTGTCGATTTCATGATATAAATTTAAATTTACGATTAAACAATTTTAAATTTAAAAAAGTAAAAATAACTGTTATTTTATTCTTTATGATAGGAAAAATGTTTTTTAGACAACTTTTACTGCAGCGATTTGTTTTTCCAATACAAAGACATAACAGTATTTATTCATGCTATAACCGGATTAAATCAATCTCAATTCACTCTAAAAATGATAACTCCATAACAGGAAATTATCCTTCTAATATTCCTTTTGTAAATAGGCAAACAAGGACTCCTTATGATCCAGAGTATTTTGATGTAACGGAAAGACGTAAATTTGGAGAAATTGTTATTTTTTTGTTTCTTTTACTTAGATTCTGATTAAGAATAGTTGCATGAACAGGATGAAATTCTTTCAATGTTTTCTCCAGATATTCATTCTCATGTCACATCTTCAAAAGCTATTCTTCATTTATTTACATTTGGGTTTATTGTTGTTACTATTTCTTCAATTGCTTATATTTTCCGGCCCAAACCACTTGCAGCACCTAGAGAAAATATCTTGAAAAAACTAGAAAGACTTTGATTTCTTAAATGCTGAAAAAAATTCTTAATTTTTCTATTTTTTAACTTATGAATATCTAAAGAAATATTTTTATAATAATTTCTAGTATAAAAGGATGTCTAATTATTACTCTTTGATGAAGTAAATATTAATTACATTACATAATTATTGCATTTATTCGATATATGTTTAACAAGGTCTATTTTATTTTTTATAATCTAATACTGTCAAATATTTATTATTGAGAAGTATATATTATTCTTAAAAGAATAATATATCCTATTTAAGTTTAATTTTTAATTAAGGTCTTTTCTAAGTGTTAATATAAAATCCATGTATTTCTGTTTGTATTTTTTAAATAATTATCAAAAATGTTTATCTGAAATTTCGTTTTTTTTTTGAAATTAAAATAATCATATATATTATCTTTTTAAGCTTTTTGACATTTTTTTTTTGATTTTAAAAACGTTTAAAATCAATACTAATTAACGTTATCAATTATTATTCTAAATAAGAATAGGATGTTATTGAAATAATGGAAAATTCTTCATATTTTTCTCCTAAATTATCAAATTTGTCTTTTAATGAAGATAGTATAAAAATTGATGAAAATAAAGAAACAAAAATTAGTAATTTGAAAGAATATGAAAATCTAATTGGGTATGTTTTTTTCCAATATAATGTTATGTTCTTTATTTTAATAATATGAATAGATTTGTCAAGGAAAAACAAAAAGAACTATCCGGTATTTATATATAAAGATATCTGATTTATTAAATTATGTAGTTGTTTTAGATGAAATAGACAAAATAAAGGATGAATATAAAAAATTATACAATGAAAAGGAAATGATGAAAGAATATATTGGAAATTTAATGGAAATCCATAATAAAACAACTAAAAGATAGATAATATTGTAACATGAATATTTAAATATACATTTTATACAGAATTTTGATATTTTTTGTATAGATAATAACTTTAAATATAATTAAATTTCTGAAAGAGGCAATTCATCATCAATTACTTTAATCTATTTCAAAATAAATAATACAATAGATGCATAAAAACCATACCAAAACAACTCGCATTTCTGTATGATCATTTCCCCGTAATACATCGCTAACAAAATGTGCTTCGACTTGAAGCTGTATCTATATAATTATATGAATAGAATTATTTTAAAAAAATATAAGAATAACCATTTCTAATGCGCCTTTAAGTACGCCACATAAAATATTTGAATACCAAAGTTCATCCTGTGCTCTTCCATCATCTGGAAGTTCTACAAAATCTGAAAGTGGATTCTCATCAAAAATTAATGAAAATTGTTTATTATCTGGAGAAAAATTTGTAACTGTTGGTGTGATATTAAGAAAAAGTTTAAATCCTATCTAACTTTTTTAGCTATTAATAAAAAAATCTATAGAACTAATGCCTTTGCAATTACTTCTGCTGTTTCACAAAAATCTTTGCATCTTCCTATATTTGTTCGTGCTAAAAAATCTTCAATTAATCGTACACCAATATTATATCCCCTATAATTTTTTAACTTTATTTAATAAATAGCTCAAGAAATACATATTATCGAGTTCTTTGTTTACTTGAGCATAATCATCATATTCTTTACATAATTGTGCGACAATTGACCCATATGTTAAAACAAATAATTCTGCATTCTATATTAATAATTTATTAGTTTATCTAGTCTATTTTTTTAGAAAAAAAAAGAAAAAAATACATACGACTTTCTCTGTTTTTTTCCAAAATTCCTCTCCAAGTTTTGTTTTTGACATAATTTAACTTTTTTTATATTTTTTTTACTTTTCTCAAACTTTAACGTAACGGTTATAAAAATATTACTTTAAGTTATTAACATTACTTCTTAATTCTTATTTAAACTTATCCTTATTTTAAAGGATTATAAGCGTTTTTCTACGGAAATAATCTTGATTTAAAGTTTAATATATATAATTCTATGGATAAGAGAAAAGAAGCCCCATACGATGAAAAAGAAGATAACATGCTTATGAAAAGAGTAAAGGTAATTTCGGACGAGGTTGTAAAATCAAAGGATAAGCAAAATACACTTATTGAGTCAATACCGAGGACATCCGGATTAAAAGCTCCAATTATGCAATTAACGGGACATCAAGTATATAAAGAGAAAATGTATATAAAGATACTTAAATAATTATTATAGGGAGAAATTTTTTCATGTAGATTTGATTTGAGTGGACGATATATTGCTTCTGGCTCGTTTGATCAGTTAATTTGTAAGTTTTAATAGGTTAACGTTGTCATTTTGTTATTAATTGTTTTATTGTAATAGTGGTATGGAATACGTATGGGGACTGTTCAAATTTTGGCCAGCTAAAAGGCCATAAACGTGCTATTCTTGATCTACAATGGAGTCGTGACTCTCGAGTAATTTATTCTGCAAGTGCAGATCAAACTGTAGGAACATGGGACTTGGAAACAGGTCAACGTTTGCGAAAACATACTGGCCATGAAGATATTATTAATTCTATTACAACTGTGCGGAGGGGTACTGAGTTTTTGGCAACAGGTAGTGATGATACAACTATATCGGTAAAAAACTTTATAAATAAAAACATAATTAACATATAAAGCTTTGGGATGGAAGACAAAAAAATGCAGTAGACTATTTTGATGCAGCATATGCGGTGACTGCTGTTGCTTTTAATGAAGAAGGAAGTCAATTATTTTCAGGTGGATTGGATAATGATATTAAAGTATTAAAAAAAAATAATTATATACCTGAATTTATAATAATAGGTCTGGGATCTCCGAAAAAGATCTATTATTTATAAAATAGTTGGACATGTGGATACTATTACTTCACTACAAACCTCTCCTGATGGCAATTTTCTTTTATCAAATGGAATGGATAATACTGGTAAAAATAATATTCAATATTGCATTAATTAATATTTCAATAGTTAGAATATTTGATATTCGACCATTTGTACCATCAAGTAGACAAGTTAAAGTATTAAAAGGTGCACTTCATGGTATAGAAAAAAATTTAATTCGTGCTTCTTGGAGTAATGATGGTTTACGCGTGGCTGCTGGCTCAGCCGATCGAACTGTCATTGTATGGGACGTCTCCTCTGGCAAACTTACTTATAAATTGCCTGGACATAAGGCTTGTGTCAATGCTGTTGATTTACATCGTTATGAACCTATTCTTTTATCTGCTTCCTCTGATCGTTCTCTTTTTCTCGGAGAGCTATCTCAATAATCCTTTCCATGCTTATTTATTTTATTTTTACCATTCATATGTTTCTTTTCACCTTTTTTACTGTATTTTTTTTTCTTCCCTTATATATCATTTCTATCTTGTCGAAGTACTCGGGTAGACTCTGTCGAGCGAGCACCGCACTCTCTAGCGAATGAAGTGCTGATAGCTATTAAGCTTTAAAGGAATCTATATTTGTCCTATAACAGTGATTGTGAGATTTGCAGTGGAAGGGTATGTCGTGTTTATTGTTTAGTTATGTGTTAATAAATAAGATATGAGTGAAAAATGGGGTGAAGAGCGTGGAGCACAAATCTTGTTAAATAGCTATATTTATGATTATATGTTAAAAAATGCATGGAGTACAGCTGCACGAGCTTTTATGGAAGTTGCAGAAGTACCTTTATCGAGTGAAAATCGTTCAGGAAATAAAGAAGAACGTATTCAATTGGATATGATGGATGGACTTAGAGGAAATGATAAAGAAGGGTGTTTAGGAGGAGGAGATTCAAAGGGAGACAATTTTGCGCTTTCCTCGGTAAAACAAGAGCCGGCACATTCAGGGGAATCGGAAACAGGAGGAGCATATTCTGGATTACTTCAGCCGGCAGTAATTCCAGTAGATACTCCAGGAGGATTTTTGTTAGAATGGTGGACAGTTTTTTGGGATATCTTTAATGCGAAGTCCGGAAAAGGAGGTTCTGATGCAGCGACGGCTTATTTTGCACATGCACAGGTAAGCTATCGTTGCGCAGAAATAATATGGAAGGTTAACTATTGATCTTTTATAGAAAATGAAGCATGAACAGCAGCGAGCTATTGCATCTATGGGACAGCCACATATTGTTATGATTAATCCTCAGTCAAATTCTACAACTTTTAATCCAGCTTTTATGCGTACATTTGATATACCAAACGGAATGGTAAATATATCAGGCCAATCTGATACAGCAACTCAGGCTGTGGATACCCAAATAATAGGAACAATTCCATTAAATGAGAAAGTATTATGCTTTTTTATATAAGCACTTGTATAAATATTTCTTCTTTAGACACGACAAATATTGATGCGGCAAGCAATGAATAATAATATTAGACGGTTTTCGCCGTATGTCTTGTTGTTGTTGTTCAATTCTATCTAATTTTCTTTGTAACAGAAGTGCAGCGCAAATTCAACAATTAAAAAATCAGCAATTTTTACAAAATCAGCAACAATCATCTACATCACAAGCACAAAGAAACCAGGTTTGCTTCAGAGAAGGCGTTTAAGTATGGATATATATGATTGACTTGTGTTTAGCGTGATCTTGAAACAGACGTAAATGGACAAACCCAGTCTTCCCGATCACCCGCTCTTTCAAATCAAGTTCTTTCTCCCTCAAAGAGGCAAAAATTGTCTCCGGATGGATCATATACTTCTGTTCAGGGTTTGTACATGGCTTTTTTCATATTTTTATGTTGATATTTTATAAAGGAACGATACAAGCACGTCCACAAATGATACAAAATAATCTTGTAGCAGCATCAACAACTCTTCAGACTCAACAAGCAAAACAAATGTTATTGAATTCTGGAATTAATCCGGTCGGTCTTACACAACAGGTTATATATGTCTTTTTTTTTTTATTTTTTTTGACTTTTTGCAGCAATTTACTGCATTTCAATCTCAAACGCCCTCTATACAACAGAGACAATTACAAGAATATACACAGGGCTTTGCAAATCAACAACAAAGAGTTATAAATATTGCTAAAGGGCAAGTTTCAAATCAATGTGTTCCTTCATCAATAATAACGGGTGATGGAAATGAAATCGGGCCTAATGATTTTTACGGAAATATATTATCATCTCAGCAGAACTGTCCGACAAATCCTAATAATCACGTCCTTGAGGATTATCAAATGCAGCTTATGTTTCTTGAGCAGCAAAATAAAAAACGCCTTATGATGACTCATCAAGATCAAGAACGACTCCAGTCACAAGATTCATCCGCTTTTCAGATTTTATCTCCACAAGGAGTTAGAAATGCTCTTTCTCCAAAAAATAATCATAACGATGCTAAACGTGGCATTTCAAAAGTGGCACATCAAAATTCCCCTAATTCACCTACCGATGTTTCACTTTCTCAACAAAATAATACTTCTAGAAATACTTCGCCTAGTGTTGCAGGATATAATGGCCAAATTCAGTCTGATACTCATTCGCAAATTATGTTTTTCAATCAAGCAAAAACTATGGGAGATATGCAAAGCGATGGAATGATGATTAGTCATAATGGACATATTATTAGATCTCAAATGACTGATCAGCCCATTTATACGAATAATCCACAAATGCAGATAGCTATGATAAATGGTAGACCAGAACATTTAATAAATTCAAGAGTAGTACGAACAAATCAACCCAGTGCAATATGGCAGCAACAGCAAATAATGCAGCATTTAGTTAATGTAGGTTGTGAAATATTATTGTATATTGATATTTATGAATATAGCAAAATCAAAATCGTAATATTCAAATGCAAAATATAAATCATACACAAGGGCATTTAAACCAACATTCACCGCAAAATCAAATATCGCAACAATCTCAGCAGCAATCTCAGCAATCATCACAATCACACCAGCAACAATCACAACAGCAGCCGCAGCATCCGCAGCAACAACAAATACAAACATCACAAAATATACTGCAATCTACATCTGCTAACCAAACATCACAAGGACATATTCAATCATCTCCCATTGTACAGAATAGTGTATCACCAACCCCACAAATAAATAAATTAAATTTGATAAGAGAAAAAAAGGGAAAAGATGCTAGAAAAGTTAGTAATATTTTTTTTTAATTACTTTCTAATTTTTAATTTGAAGTCTAAGAAAACGCTTTCAGGTGCACCTGTTACACCAATATCCGAATCTTCTTCTAGTACACCAATTACTTCACATAATGGAGGGAACTTTCTTCAGACAAACTCTTCTGCTTCTCAGGAAAATTCATTATTACAAACTCCTGGTTCTATTGTGCCTTCTTCGGATCAAGCACAGGCACAAGCTGATCCTCCATCCTCATCTTCATTTGCAAATATTGATAATGGAGATGTATATTTTTATAAATTTATTTTTTCATGACTAATATTTTTATAGCCTAGTTCATTCTTGAACGATTTCAATGCTGGAAATGATTTAGATCTAGGGATAATGAATGACTTTGATTTCGATAGTTTTCTAGAAGATATTAGAAGATATTAAAATTGAATGTCATCGACTAATTTTGGAATATTTTGTTTGAACTTGGGAACAATATTGAACTAATAATGGATAAGTTATATGTTTGAGGTGATATTTGTACGAAATCTATCAACTTTTTGTTATTTCTCATCTATTTTATCTCTGTTTTTAATCCTTTCATTATATTTCTGTGATTCATATACTTATTCCTAGGTATCTTACAATTTAGAAGAATTCCTTAAGATATGAGTATTTTATAGCTATAAAATTGCTTATATTTTAGATTATATGCTTTGTATTTAAGAAACCATGATATTAATTAAATATTTTAAAATATCATTGTTTTAGCTATATATATAGTTTATATTTTCCATACGTTTTTATATTATATCACATGAAGACTTTCTAATATTATGAATTTGTATATTTTTTTTTTTAAATAAAATTTATGATTCATTTTCAATGATTGACAATACTTGATAACATTTTCCTTGCATGAATTCAAGATTTTCACCTGCATACGATACAAGTGGGCTAATTTCAATGCCATAAAAAGGATTGCCTATTAAAATACCATGAGCCTGTTCAACCCATCTTCTTCCTTGTGAAAGAATATCCCTTCTAGAAGTATTAGCATTATCTTCTTCAATTTCCAGTGAATTTTTAAGAGGAGAGAACTCATCAAAACGTGCAACTTCTAAGCAACCGAACTTATTCAATGAAACTTCTGAAAATACATCAAAAATAAATTTTTCTAATTTAATAGCATTAGAAGTTTCAGGAACAATCGTTTTTTTAGATTGAATATCATAAAAAGGTACTTTCTTTTTTGATATATGATAAGGTAATTTAGATTCATATGCTGATATTTTGAAAAGAAATCGTATATTAAAATAATGATTAGCAATATTTGCTAAACGAAATTTTAAGAGATTTGAGGATTCATCTAAAGCCTCGGAAATTTTAGTATCAATTTCATTATATTCGATAATAGAAGGCTTCCCATTTTTCAAAACAACAAGTCCAACTTTTTCGGAAGCTTTATGTTTCCGAACTACTTTAGTAGAAACATCGAGGTCCCGCTCAATTGAAAACCCAATAAATATAGGATCAGCTACTCGAACAAGACAGTTATCCACACAAAAACAATGTATATGTTGAATTTTACGAACCATTAAATCATCTAAAATATTTGAATTAAGAAGCGCCTTATATATTCCTCCATTTCCATTAGGCGAAACAGCAATTTTAGACTTAGTCTCAAGAAGAAATTTTCCTGTATAAGAAAAACATGGAATGTCTTCTTGATTAAAAAAAATGATATTTTTCTCAAGACCAAAAAAGTTATACTTAAAAAAAAATTCTTCTGTAGCAGAACGATTTGAATTGCTTGTCATAATATACCATGGAATACTCACAGGCATTGAACTATTGTATTTTATTTGAGCAAGTGTCATAAGACGCCGAATACGTTCTGCTTGCAACTGAAAAAGTGATTTATGAGATGGAAGCCCAATATCAAAACATCCTTTAGGTCCATCTGTTCCAAGTCTCGTTGCTTGACCACCTGCAAGTAAAATAACAGCAACTCGATTATGAAAAATATTTTCAAGTCCAATAGACATCCATCTAGAGAGTTCTTCTTGACTCGCATCAATTGTAGATCCTAACATATCCAGAGATATTGGTTTAATTTCTCCTTTAACTTTCTGATCTTCTTCTTGAATTGTTTTAAATAAAATTTTATTAAAAGTATCTGGACAAATAGTTTTTATCTGTTTAAGAAATTCTTCTCGTTCTTTTTTACAAAATGTTTCATAAAACTCCCATACATGTTCTTGACCATATTTCTGATATATTTTATAAAATATTTCTACCTCTTTTTCCATTAATTCCATATAATTTGACAATTTCCAATTTTGATAAATTAATTTTTAAATATTCGATTTTTATTCAATTTTCCTCTTATATTAGGATAGAAAATCTTCTTTTTCATATATCAAAATAGCTTTTGTACTTATATTTTCTATTTAAAAGTAATAAATCTTAATTTTTTTTTTCATTTGTAATTTTCATTTCTATACAATATATAAATATAAAATACCATTTTTTGCCATTTTATTCAATAAATTGACTAATTTTGTGTTTTTAATATATAACTTTTAATATATAAAATTCTCTTATAGGTGATTAAGATTACCTAACCCTTCATTCTATTATAAAAGGTTAGGTATAGGTAATTATTACGGGTTAGGGTTCGGATTATGTTTTCCCAATTTTTAGGGACACATTAGGGTAGATTCCGTGACATTCGTTTCTTGAGGTCCTCCTTTTTTCTGAGACCTATTTATATTCTAAGCAAAGAAGTTTAGAAAAGTAAGAAATTGAGTGATAAAAGATACGAAAAAGATAGTAATTTATTGTAAGACTTAGGAAAAAGAATTAAGCAATATTTAGGTAAGTAAAAGAGGGCTAAAATAGGATTAATAATAGAGATAGAAAGTATTGTTAAAAGATATATAGAAACGTGAAATTAATATATATAAGAGAAAGGTATGTTGGGAGATTAAAAGTGTTTATTATTTGGAGGTGGAGACAATCGGGGAAAGTTATTTAAAGGTTTTTTTATGATGAATTATGAATAGAATTAGATTTTAAAGATTTGAAATTTAAGATTTTTTGAAAAAAGATGATTTTTTTTGAAAGAAAAGAGGTTGACAGTATTTTAGTTATAGAGAATTTAGACGTAATGACGACTCGTGAGGATTCCGTATATCTTGCAAAACTTGCCGAACAGGCGGAACGATATGAAGGTTATAATTTTTTATTTTAAAATATATATATTTAGTAATAATATAGAAATGGTCGAAAGCATGAAGAGAGTAGCGTCATCTGACCAAGAACTTACAGTTGAAGAAAGAAATCTTCTTTCTGTGGCGTACAAAAATGTTATTGGTGCGCGTCGTGCTTCTTGGCGTATTGTATCATCTATTGAGCAAAAAGAAGAAAATAAAGGAAATTTTTCTCAAGCTGGGTTGATTAAGGATTATCGCTCTAAAATTGAGTCCGAGTTAACTAGCATTTGTAATGATATCTTAGCCGTTCTGGATACTCACTTGATCGCCTCTGCAAATACAGGAGAAAGTAAAGTATTTTATTACAAAATGTATGTATTTTTATGTTATTTGATGAGATATGTACTGGTTAAATAGGAAGGGTGATTATTATCGTTATTTGGCTGAATTTGCAGTAGGAGATAAGCGCAAAACTCCTTCTGATGCTTCTTTGGCTGCATATAAGGAAGCTTCAGATATTGCGGGTACGGATCTTCCTCCAACGCATCCTATTCGTCTTGGGTTGGCTCTTAATTTCTCTGTTTTTTACTATGAGATATTAAATTCACCCGATTGTGCTTGTCATTTGGCTAAACAAGCATTCGACGATGCTATTGCCGAATTAGATACATTATCTGAGGAGTCTTATAAAGATTCCACATTGATTATGGTAATTTTTTTTATTATATATAATAATTCTGATGTTTTAGCAACTTTTAAGAGATAATCTTACGTTGTGGACATCTGACATGCAGGACTCAAATGAAAAAAATGACTCTAAAGAAGCTGTTTCGGAAATTCCTGATCCAGGAAAGCCCTCTGAAACAGAAGCTTCAAAAACAGATGACGTTTGAGTTCGTTACATGTTTTTAAGTATAAAATATAAAAATATAGAATTAACTATTTAACAATTATTGATTAAAATTGTATTTATGTATACAAGAGTGTATCGTTTTCGGATTTTTTAAACATTTTTTACTTTTATTCTTAGTTATTAAACATCCATCTTTTATATTCTACCCTTGCGATATTTTTAAAAATCGATGCACGTGCTTAAATTTCCGTGGATTATTTTATTTGAAATTTAAAAATTCTCTGATTCTTGTATTATTAAATAATTCACCTATTTAAATTCTATTATGGGCTTTTTTAAATTGATTCGTGCTGGTAGATTAAAATATAAAAGATTACAGCTATCACATATAGCTTATATTAGTAATCTGAGTAAATTCAACCCTTAATTCTTCTGTATTGCTTAAATTTTTGGAAATAGCAGACGCTGTAGGTGGATCAACTCCCTCTCAGGTTGCAGATGTACTTAAAAAACGTGAAAAGGTTGCAGAAGAAGAAGTAAGGGTTAATTTTATTGATAAAAATGCTTATTATTGTTTTTAGTATATTAAAAAACGAGAAATTGACAAAATAAAGAGTAGGAAAGGGAGTACAGATGAGAAAGATAAAGAGAATCCTTCTCATTAGGGAAAAGGACTTATATTAAACCACTTTGATGTCTTTTTCTTTATAAAATATATTCTTTTATTAATATATAACATGCTTCTTATTAGATCTATTATTTAAATTGTCTATTTTTTTGTAAATAAGAAATACTAATTATTATCTTTAATTGTTATATTAATATACATTATATTTTCAAAGTATTGTTTCTGCAAGTTAAATATATTAAATAAGGGTTCAAATAACTATTTCTTTTATATTTTTCTCATTTTCTAAATCTGTATTAATTTTAATTTTGCAATCGGGTCATAAGTTTAAAATTTATTTTTTCAAAATTTTAACATTTGGCTTATGAAATAAAGAAATAATATCTAAGTTTTTCTAAATGAATATTTATGATGAGATTGAGATTGAAGATTTTACATTTGATAAGGAACTTGAACTATATCATTATCCATGCCCGTGTGGCGACCGTTTTGAAATATCACTTGTAATTATTGAAAGCTAAATTTTTATTTGTTTTTAATATATTTTAGGATGATTTGAAGGAAGGTGAAAATATTGCATATTGTCCAAGTTGTTCTTTAATGATACGTGTGATTTATGATCAGGTTTTTAATAACAATAAATATATTTTGACTAATGTCAAACTAATATCGGCATAGAATAGGTTTACGCAGGATGACGAGGAATTAAGTGTACAATCTAAACTTATTGTTGTTTGAATATTAATGAAACTTCATATATCAAAATAATATAAGCTAATTTTTTATTTTTAACATATGTAAATAAAATTAGGCGAAAAATACATCATAAAAAGTTTTTGAAAAAGATAATAATGCCATGATAATTCAAGTATTCTAAGAACTTGAGCATTTATTTTTTTTAAAAAAACTCGTACATAGATTGAAGTGAATTACGTGACTTTCTATTGAGATTTTTTTTGATTGTATAAATATATTTTCTAAGAATTAAGTTGAAATTATTATTTATTCAAAAAGTGTTATTTTTTCTATAAAACTATTCTCTCATAAAAATCAATCGTTATCTTAGTATTAACTTAAAAATATAATTAAGTTTATTTTTTTTAAAAAATAAGCTAAGAAACATGAAATATGATTATTTCAACCATTCGTCTTTTAAAATTCCAAGGGTCTTTATTTTCATTTTGTTCATTGTATCAAAAATCTAAAAATCCTATATTTTTTTGTTTAAATTCATCAAGAAAAATGCAAAGATTAAGAGTTTTAAGATCCTCTTGGATGCCTTATTCAACATGCAAAACAGAAGGAATGTCTGTCAAAGAACATTATAATAAGTCTAAATCATTTCTGGAAAGATTAAGACATTTAATGAGACAATATGGTAAACTAAAGCTATCATTTATTATAAAAAGATTAATATATGTAATTAGGCATTGTGGGTGCATATGTTTATTTTAGCATCTGTCTAATTGATTTCGGTATTTCATTGGCTCTTGTAAAGTCATTGGGTACTACAACGATCGGATTTTATGAAAAAAAAATTATTTCAAAAATAGAAAATTTTATAGATTGGCGGCCCAAAAGTAGTCAATCTCCTTTATCTGGGAATAGTGAAAGTAGAAAGAATGAAGAGGCAAGTATTTGGACAGAAATAGCTATTGCATATGGTATTCATAAACTATTAATTTTTGTTCGAGTCCCTTTAGCAGCAGCATTAACCCCGCCGTTAGTTAGGTTATTAATTCGACAAGGATGGCTGATTAGCAAACACTAATAAAATTGACATTTTATTATTGGCTATAATTTTTTGTATATGTAAAAATAATAAAATATAAAAATAATATTTCCATTAAATCTATAGGTATCTTTCCTAAGAATACATTTTAAGCGGCTTATTTCTAATTATATCCTATAATAAATGCTTATTTTGTTAAAGTTTCTGATTTGCCTTGTTTTCCATTCTCCCAATTTGAAATCTTTAAATTAACTATTTCCCGTTTTTCTGCTTCAACACGTTTATTTTTATTAAGACATTTCCTCACTATATTTGCACAAATAGAGGAATATCGATTGTATCTATAAAGATTTTAACTGATATTTAGAATAAGAAAATATTTAAGCTTACGTAAAAATATTTTTCCTAAAAAATAAATTAAGATTTTAAAATTAATGAAAAAATACACACCACCAAAACTCCATTAAGGCACTATTTAAAAGATATTTTTAAATGATTTCGATTTATTTTTTTATTATATCTTCCGTTTTTACCCAAAAGTATCTTTAATTTATACCGAAAAAATGCATTAAAAAATAAAAAATATAATTATTAACCAAATAATTTTAAGTAAAAAAACATATCTATATCTGGAAATATTTCTATCTAAATATTCAAATGTGACTATTAAATTATAATTGCAACTTATGTTTAAAATGATATGAACAAAGTGTTTATTATTTTCTAAACGTTTTATCTGACTTTTTCTTCTCTTTTTCCATAATTTGTTTTTGAAACATTATTATTGTACTTTTAATGCTTAAGCCTATTAATCCTTTCTTGAAAATCATCATGCTGATTATTTCCTGAACCATTTATCATTTGCGGAATCTTTTGTCGTCCTTTATGTATTGTATTCGTAATCGAAGGAATATTATTGAGATCTTGCTGAAGATCAATTCCTATTTCATCTAATACTTGATTTATAATATCATTATTTTCCATATCATCGTCTTCCATAATATCATCAATTGCATCATCCATCATTTCTTCTCGTTGATCCATTATATCATTTTCTTGTTGAAAATTTTGAGTTATTTTCATTAATGTTGGTACATGAATTTTTCGATTCATTGAATTTAAAAGCTAATATATTATAAATATTCATTGAAAAAACACTGAAATATTTTACTCTTGCTGCATTCTTTAAACTTTGTGTCATTTGTTCATGAGTTTGTACTGTCTAATATATTTTGATAATAATTTATCAAAACCAATTAAAATTAACATACTTGTATCCTTAATGAAATCGCTTGAAGTTGCGTTTTGATCTGTAAAAACTTTCCAATCTGTTTTCTTGTTCGTACAAGATCTTTTGCTTTAATCTTCGTCACCTCCATTTCTCCTGCTTGTGCACTTTTTCGAATCTCTCCAATTAGTCGCTTTTCTTGAGCTTCCAGTTTTATTTCCTCTCTTTGAATCTCCCGTTGTGCTTTTTCTAAAGCTCGTCTATGTTTCCTATATTCATTAGATTGATTATTATTGTTTCATTAATAAACCTCAACTGTTCTTGAGGAGTTATGTATCCTCCAAACACCCATCCAAGAATATTCATCTACTAAAAGACTTATAATAACTATTTCCAAACTTATATTTTCTATAATATATTCTTTAATACTTATGGTTTTTTTCTAATATAATTTTAAGTCGTCCATTATGTAAGAATATTATTATATTTAGGCCAACGGAACTTCACGAAACCTAAGCACATTTTGAAAACAAGGGAAAACTATTATTTTATTATTAGTACGAAGAGGTTTCAGTGTTATATCTGATAAATATCAGTAATAAATAAAGATAGGGCAGGAATTGAGTGGCTGGTTCGAAAAAAGTTGTGAAAATAATGGATTTACAGAAGTAATTAATATAAAAAAATAATAAACTCAGTAGAATAAAAAGGATGAAATCACTAGAGAATCTCGTATTTGCATTGCATGATTTTGAGGCAGTTAGCCCAGAGGATTTACCATTAAAACGTGGGGAACAGATTTTTGTTTTAAAAAAGGACGAGGGATTTAATGATGGGTGGTGGGAGGTATGTAGATCTTAAATATTGTTTTTAAGGATAATTAAATGAATTTATTTGGTTCTCGTTTATGAGAAGGCTATATATGAATGCCATTTTAATATTTTCATTGAGAAAGTATTGAATGAATTGTTTTTAACATTATAATAGGGTCAGAATATGGAAGGCCGAAAGGGCTTATTCCCAGTTATATACACTATGTCATATTCTGAATTAGTTAAAGTGCTTTTATTTGATCCTCTTTCTCCAAAAACTCCAGTAGAAACAACGAAAGAGGTCGACTTAATGAAAACTACTATTTCTAATATTGATGATTTACTATCATATATTGACCGTAGTGGTTTTAAAAACATGAGTCTTGAAGATTCTAGTGTAGATGTTTTGAGTTGGACTCCACAAGAGGTAGCATCTTGGATTGAATCGAAAGGATTTGGATCTGTTGCAGACAAATTTATTGGTATCTCCTATATTGGTTATTTTTATCACTAAAATGTTTTATAGAGCATGAAATAACAGGGGATATTCTGATTCAAATGGATTATTCGCATTTAAAAGAGTTAGATATCCTTAGTTTTGGAAAAAGATTTGAAATTGAACGTGAAATTAAATTACTTCGAGATTCATTGTCTATTACTACGGAAAAGCAAATAAATGAGAGGATTGTACTGACCTATCTTTAATTTTTATAGTCTTATTGTAAAATAGCTAAAAGATGATACACGATCTTCTCAATCTATGATTACTGCTAGAAATTTTCAGTCTGAAAAATCAGACTATGCACAATCTATGCATAGTGTATGATTTATCTATAGAATAATTTTTTAGGGTTTTTATTTCTAATTATTTATAGATTAATTCAGCGTCAGTTAAACGAAGATCATATGAAAATAGTTTTTTGCATATGAATAATGTATCTATTGATCACTCTTATAGAAGTTCTCGTAATGGAATACCATTAGACGGAATTGGTGGTGCTGTTTCTAAACATTCCTTAGACCAGTCAGCTTCTATATACGATCATAAAATTGAAATGCCTAATGCTTCTGAATGTTCGGAATCGTTAAAATTACATTCTAGAGATACTGAAGTTACTGTTAATAATAAGAGTTCATGGAAAGTTACTAACAAATTGATTCGTGCGTACAAAAGAAAATCTAAACCTTACGTTATGGTTGGTCGTTTACAAAAAATTGACAAAGGATTTGATTATAAAAAAGCAGCACGACTTTCCAAACATGTGAATCAAGATGTTCTAAAAGCATGTCCATATGGAAATTATAGGCAAATGGATACTATAACTATGTTGAAAGAAATACAATCTTATAACACTGCTTCTAGCAAAACTTTTAAAGTAGAAAAAGACGCTTTAAAAGTACCTTTAAAAAAGCCAAGCAAAGTATCAATAGCTAAAAAATCTTTATTAAAAAGAGATCAAAAAGTGCCAACCGCTATAAAAGAAGGTATTAGACATATTTCAGTACATGATGCTATAAAAGAAGCAGATCATTATGGCTGGATGCGCAAAAAAACAGAAAGATATGGGCAGTGGAAACTTCGGTTTTTTTGTTTGACTGGAACAAGACTCTCTTATTTTTATAGTGAAGATGTTAATAAAAGCATTTTAGCTATTATTATTAATATGATTAGGATGTTGGAGAAAAGGGATTAATCGATATTAATTCTTATCGAGTGGTTTCAGTGAATAGTCGGTTTTTCTATGGAGAAAGGAAGTTTTGTTTTAAAATTATTCCTCCTGTTCCTGGTACAGCCAAAGGTATTAACTTTACGTCGCCTAAAGTTCATTATTTTGCGACGGATACTTTAGAAGAAATGAAAGAATGGGTTAGAGCACTTATAAAAATTACAATCGGAAGAGACAATTCGGGTATATATTAATTTTTTCATAGTTTTTTTTTTTAATTTAATTTAGTACCTGTCTTATCATCTTGTAAAGTTCCGACGATTTCTCTCAAGGCTGCTAAAGAAAAAATAAGTGCTAATATTTTGATGAATGATAAATCTGAGCCAGAGTCTTTAAGTGAGAATCATTCTAAAAGAACCTCTTATCAAGAGCATGCTATATCTTCTGGATTAACTAAATCCTATCATGCCGAAAACGCTCTGGAAGACCCAAATCCCACTGAGAATAGTAGTTTTATAAGTGATATAAAATCTGCATGGGAAAATGTTGAAATTCTTGCTAATAGTACTCAAGAATGATTTATAAGAATCCTTTTGATATTTTATAATCAATGTTATTAACTACAACATATAAATGTATTATTAGATTTACTATCATTCAATTTTACATAAATGTATTGGCTTATTAGTATTATTTTTTTTGTTTAATTTTTGTTATATAGGAAATATTAGCTATAAATAATTTTCTTTTAATTTAGATTATTTTTTAAGCATGTTGACGATCAGGAGCGGTTTACCAAAAACTTTAAAATTAACTATAGACTATGAAGATCACTATCAATGTGAAAGCTTCAAATGATAAGAAATATGCAATTGAAGTAGATACAGATGCAACTATTGAAGAATTTAAGCAGTTAATTTCTAGTAAAACGGATATCACACCTGAGAGACAACGATTGATTTATAGTGGAAGAGTCTTAAAAGATGAAGAAAAAATTGAAACATATAAGGTAAGCTTAAAAGAACACTTTGGAATATGTTAGAGTTGGTTTTGAAGACAGTTATTGATAACAGAGATTTAGATATCAGATGGGCATACAGTTCATCTTGTTCGAGGAGCGGGACCGCTTCAAAGTGAGAGAGACGTAGCATCATCGGCAATGCCGGCATCTCAACAGATTCCAAGAACTATATTAGCAGGAACGGGTATAAATAATCCATTTTCAGCACTTATCAGTGCGCATTATGCTGGACAGATTCATCTTCCGCCAGTGTCAACGTTTGGTCCCGATGGAGGAATGACGAGCTTTCCTCCGACTCCAGAGCAGTTTTCGCAGCTGATGGGTCAGCAAGGAATGCAAGAGGTTATACGGGAAATGTTTTCTAATTCTCAGCTTATGGATTATATTATCAACAGCAATCCACAGCTTCGAAATGTTCCATCAGGAATACAAGAAATAATAAGAAGTGAGGAGTTTATTCGTATTATGTCAAACCCAGAGACTATACGACAGATTATGGAGATGCAAAGAGTGTTTGGTAATCTGGGGATGGGAGTAGGGAATTTATTTTTAACATCAAATGAGCCAAGAACGGAAACAGCATCAACATATCAACAGCACCTTCCTTCTGTAGATACACAAAATCGGACGGATTCTCTAGGGCCTCTTTTAAATCCTGCTGAGAATGAACCAACACAGCAAAATCCTGATCCTACTGCCCTTAATAATTCTTTTGCTACGATGGTATCGTTGTTGTCTAATTTGGGGGCTCATCAACAAAATACAGATACATCTGTGTTTGATCCTGTTGTATTCCAATCATTTCTTTCTGGTTTGATTCCTCAGCAGCCTCAGCATTTGTTACCGCCAGAAGAACGTTTTCAAGAACAGTTAAGACAACTAAATGAATTAGGCTTTACAAACTTTGATCGTAATATTCGAGCACTCGGACGAAGTGGTGGATCTGTACAAGGAGCTATTGAGGCAATGCTGGATGGTGATGTTTAATATATGTATTACTAAATTAGGCTTGATTTTCATATGTTATTATCTCTACTAAGTGCTTTTACTATTTCTTTTCTTTTTTTTTCGTTCTATGAACATATAATTGCCATGTTTTCAAGTGGCATACAATTAATATAACTTTTTTGTATCCTGGTTTTGTATTTTTGTAAATTTTCGGGTTTAAGAATAACTTGATTATGTTGTGTTATATAATTATTTCTTGTGTACAAATTTCAAATCGTATAATATTTTTTCCTGGAAGCACAACTAATCCTATTGATCGTTTTTTTTCTATAAAGATTCTTGGTTACATATTCACATAGAATAGTACCAATCAATTACCTTTGTTAAATTCTTGTGTATTGGAAAGAATCATTGTTCCATCTTTATCTAGAACACATTTCAACTATGATAAATGTTTTTTAAATATACTTTACCTACGCAGACGAATTTCCCTATGAATATTCGAGAATCTGAAAGAGTAACACGAACAATCTTTAAAAGCCATGTTTCTAATATTTTTTTGCCTTTCATAAAAAAAATTTTAAAAAAGGTTATTTTATAAAAAAATTAAAAAGATTTTAAAAATAATTATGGCATAAAAAACACTATAAATAGTAGTTTATTCTGATAAAGAGGAAAAACGAATAGCGACCTATAAACCTTAGAGTTTTTTATTCAATATATGTTTTTTAGGTTATTATATATTTGTAGTATTCAAAAATTAATATAATTTAAAAATATTGATTTGAATATAATTAAAATATCTTGTTGATAATTTATAAAAGGAAAAATAGTCATCTCTTTATTTTTTATAATATAATCTATCTCTTCATAGGGTAATGCAAGTGTCTATTAATAAATTTAAAGAAACTTGCGACCATAGTGAAGATATTTGTCCTTTTAATAAGGATTTTTCTTGGCATGCTTTTTGACTCCAAAAAAACACGCTTTAGGTCTTTAGAATATCTGAAAGACCATGTTCATTGGAGCTTCGAAAGTGCCTAGTATTTTATCTTTATAAAAAAATTATAGTATGGGAACATTATAATTCTGTAAAGAATGTATCTTGATGATTTATACGTTAGTAAAGCATCTGATATGTACTTAAAAGTCCAATAATATTTACAGTATTTGCAAAAATATAAAAAATATTGAAGTTTATGTAAAATTAAGGGAAAGAATTTTTTATATTTATAGCGTTTTTTTTTTAAATTTAAATGTTGAACTTTAAAATTTAATTAAAAAGCTATTTAAGTTTTAATGACTTTAGATGGAGATAATGCTTCTGAAGAGGTAAAATAACATTTGTATATTATAAGATGATTAATCAAAGTATAGAAACTTTCTTATGAAGAAATCTGGGATGATTCTATGTTAATTGCTGCATGGGATGCAGCGGTTCATGAATATAAGGTTTTTTAAGATAATGATGCTGAAAGTAAATATTAAGTTGTATATAGACATATCATTCTAATGTGTAAGAACGATATTTTAATATAAGAAAATTGATCATTTTATAAAGAAATCAAGATGATAATAAAAATTTGGAAGCACAGGTGAATCATGAAAAAATTATTTTCAATTTTTTTATATAAATAGTCTTTATGCGTTTTAGATTCAGATTTTCAAAATAATTGTATTAATAATGAATCTCGTAATTCAATAATCTTGAAATATTTTATTTTTAAATATTATAGCCAAAGAAAGTATAAATGAAATTGATTCAGATGAAATATTTAAGATTTGTCAAAACAATGATTCAGAAAAAGACTCGGAAAAAATAAAAGATACATTTATAAAATCGACTTCTATTACACCGCCTCTTCAAATTTTTAATAGTATGTTTATAATCTTTATTATTATATTATTTAATGAAATTTAGATGATCATATTTTAAAAAATCTTTTAATGAGCTGGTATTATGCTGGTTGTAAGTATTCTAGCTAATCCCCCATTATTATTTTATATAGAGAATAGATTATACAGGATATTATGCAGGCCAAAACTCTATAAAAAATGAAAAAGATCTATAATTATGATCCCAAAGCATAATGTATTCTTAATTTCAAAAATGTAGACATGATTTCATAGATCAATGTTAATATTAACGTATTTTATTAATGTATATATAGGTATATTATTAGATCTAGTAGATTTGGGATTCAAACAACTTTTGTATTAAAGCATTAAACTATACAGACATTTCTTCCTGTAAAGCTTTAATTTCTGCTTCGTCATTATCTTCTGTTTGAATAATTTCTTTATATTTTTCTGTATTATAGCCAGGTAATTGTGTAGGTGGCTTTTCCGCTCCAAGCATTTTTTCATCCAATTCTTCTTGTTGAATTCTTTCGAGTTCTTGATTCAATTCATTTTCATCGAATGTCTCTGACATTCCTATAGGTCGAGCAATTAATTCGCCTATTTCATTGTGATGATCTATTTGTTCTCTTATATTATCCATTATAGAATCAACTTTATCAGGTGTTCTATAATAAATATATAAATAAAAGATAAAAGGAACATTATAATAAACGTACATTCCCTTAGATATTTGTTTCATTGCAGCTGTGCTTTGCTTCATTGCTTTTGTTATTTCATAGTTTATATTCGCATTTTCAAGAGTAAATAGCGTTTGTTCAAGATTCATTCGTATTCCCATAAGTTTATTTATTTCGTTTTCAAGAAGTTTTTTTCTTTTAAGAGCTTGCATGGCGACTTTTTTAATATAAGCATAAAAATCTAATAAAACAAAATAATACCTAATTTATTAATATTTGCATTTTTTTTAGCTATAAATGAAATAATGAGTTGTGTAATAGAAATATTATATTTTTGAAAAATAGATTATACCTATATTATCTTGTTCAATTATTTGTTTTCTCCAATGATTTTCCTTTTTATCTAGAGTTTCTATCATTTCTTTCGTATTAAGAATTGCATTCTTTGGAAGATCACGTTTTAATGATGGTCTTCCTGTAAAATAATTCCACCATGACATTTTTTAAAGATATTTGATAGTTTAATGTTTGTAAAGTAAATGTTGATTATTTTATTTTTCCTTTTAAATATATATAATATTTTCAAATGGTTATTTAGAAAGAATATTCTTATTTAAATATTTTCTATGTTTTAATGATTATGTTTAGTATCCTAAAATGTATTTTCAGATCGATTTTAAATAATCTAAAATATGATTATTTTTAATTATATATAATGATAGAGCATATATTTATTTTTTTTTTTAAAAAAAAGCTATCTTTTCAATATCTTAATAGGATCTTGAATTTATTTAAATTATTTTATTAAAATACAATTTTCTTATCACTAAATTTTTTTTAAGAAAAATATTAGATTATTGAAAATAAATTAATATAAAAAAAAGATGTTTTAGGTAATAAAAAAGAAAAATTTATAGCTTTAAAGACATTTTTATGAGAAATATCTGGGAAACATACATTTAAAATAATTAAAATAAATAAGATGAAAAAAATATATTAATGAAAAATTAATATTTTGAAACGGTTTTCTGTTCAATTTATAATTATTTTTAAATTTTATTATAAATATTTTTAATAGAAAAAAAGGATATATAGTTTACCAAAAAGTCCGTTTTACTCAATACAAAAACATTAATATTGTAATTTTAAAAGAAATTATTCATTTTAAAAAATCGAATTATAAATATTCTAACTACGCTAAACCTATTTTTAAGATATTTTAGTATTTTATATAAAAAAAAAGTATAAAAAATATTAATATTTGTTCAAGACTAAAGACCGATATTATTTATTACTAACTTAATAGAAAATAATTAAATAGTTAAGTAGTTAAAATTAATTATATGGAAACATTTAAGATTAAAATCTAATTATATAATAGTATATAAAACTAAATGTTATCGATGAAAATTAACCTTTTAAGGTGTTTTCTCAATAATGTTTATAATTTATTGATTAAAAATGCTAATAAATTCTAATTGTAAATATTTTATCTTTTTACGATTTTAAAATAATCTTATTCGTATTTTTACTTATTTATATTTAAATTGTTAATTTTTTTTTTCTAAAAATATGCTGATTTAAAAGGATTTATAATAAAAAATACCTATTTTTAAAATGACACGTAAATTTTTTATACGAATGAATTTTCTATATTAACTAAATTATTTTAGGCGGAAATCAAAGAGAAAATGATAGAATTAGAGCTCAAAAAAAGCAAGAAACAGCAAAAAAAAAAAAAAAATGCAATACGAATTTTAGAAATGCCTTAGAACTGTGATTAATATATATATTAGATTAGTCTTTGTAACTTACTTTTATATTAGTCAAGCAGAAATTATGAGACAGAAACAAAAACTTTCTGATGAAAAAAAAGTAACGCAAAGTACAAATAATAGTAAAAAATGCTAACATATATTTCTATTTTACTATTTAGTAAATATGTTTTTCCATAAAAGATAATTTTTTTATAAGAAATATTTTTAAGGAAATAATTTGAACAATTTTACCTTTTTGTTTAATATTTTCAAAAGCATATATTATTCCTGGATATTTAAGACTTTTAAATATCAGGTTATATATATATTTATATTGTTTTTTTAATTTTATGTCTTTATACATTAAATCTTTATTACAAGTTATTTAATAATCGCTTTTCTAAATTTTAATTATTCTATCTTTTAGAAAAAAGTAGTTATTTACAGCTATTAATTATTATGTCTCTTCTTTTCGTATGTTTTGTCATTGTTGTTGTTGTTAATTTTATATCTTTTTTGGGTATAGATGTGATTTCATCTTTGGTATTTTTTATACAATAATGGCTTAAAACTAAGAAGAAAATAGATATTTACTATATATTCCAACTTTTCCCCATATGAATTATCGTCTATTATTAGAAGATATAGATTACTTCAACGCTCTGCGCTTCAAACAAAAAAAGAGCTTTCTAATACAAGTAGCGTAGACGAATTTGCTAAATGGGCAAAATTAAAAAGAAAATATGATAAAGAAATTTCAGAATTAGAAAAATCAAGCAATATTTAAGATATTTTTCAAATATAATTATTAATAACTTGTAGCAGCAGAAATGAATAATCAGAAATACTATTTTAATATCAGAATGCGTATAATAATTTGGTTATGTACAAACGGCCTGCAATATATTATTCAGTGGTATTATCGTAAAATACCAGTATTTTGGCTGGCAAAAGGCTGGTTTCCACATTATATTGAATGGATTTTATGTTTTCCAATGGCTCCTATTGGTATATTTAAAAAACAAAAAAGTTACATTATTAATCCTGAAAGGATCTGTTAGTGTAAGTATATGGTTTTTTGTCGCCAATCATGTTGTTTCAGAAACATTTTGTATTATAAAAAATTGTTTTTTTGAAAACCAAGTAAAGCGTAATATAAACTCTAAAATTCATTCAAGTATAATGTCAGAAAAAAAGGAATAATAGGAAAGATACTAAAAATGACGGTATTTTATATGGTTTAAAGCAATTTTATATAAAAATATAAGTTTTATCAGATTTTAATATTTTTTTATGTAAGTATTATTTATTTTTATTATATTGATAATTAATCCCCAACTTTTTTAATAATTTCATTTTCTTCTTAAGACGCTTGTTATTTCTTTTCTGCAATCTTATCCATTGCTCTTTAGTTTTTGCTTCTTCAAGACGTTTTATGGTTATCCTAGACCATGGTATTGGTTTAAATCGTCTATTTGCGCCAATAAATATAGATTTATGAAGCTTCTCTTTAGAAACAACAGAACATTTTAAAATATGTCCAAAAAGTAAATAATTATTCATTGTTTTTGCAACAATTCTAGCTACATCAGAAGATTCAAATTCTATGAATGCATAATGCTTTGATTTCCCTGTCTATTAAAATTAGAAATATGTTTCAGGAGTAAATATCATACTTTTCTATTACGAGATAGCTTAATACGAGTTACTGCGCCAAATTGCTCAAAATAGTTCTTCATTTCTAGTTCATAGAATCCATGTGGAATCCTTCCCAAATATATTACTTTAGATAGCTCCTAAGGATTATTATTTAATTATATATATATTCTAAATTTTCTTTACGTGAATATTTTGAAAACTTTTTTTTTGTATTATTTTATTTTTTAAAAATATAGCATCTTGAGATAAACTTTTTTTGTTATCGAAATCATCACTTTCAAATCTTTTCGATGAATAGGAATCAGTATTATTTAGCATATTACTATCACTATCTAACAATAATCCGTTTATATTAGACGTATGATTTATTTGGAAATTTTTTTTATAATTTTGATCTAATAAAGATTCATTTTCATCTACGTTTTTCGAATCTTTATCAAAAGAACGGTGTTTTTCGGATTTATATTCTGATTTTTTAATTATATTATTGAGTTTTCTTTTTTTTTTTAATTTTAATTCTATTTCATTTTTATTTAATAAGATTGTTTTTTGAATACTAGGTTCTCTTTTTGAAACTGAATCATAAAAGATAAGAATTATTTTAGTCATTTTTCAGTATTACCTTGAAGATTTTCTTGTATTTTTCGTTTTTTAGACATTTTGTGAGTTTTCATTAAATTTTTCGATTAGAAAATTATTTATTCTTTAAGCAAATTTTCATAATATATTTTAGAAATTTATGGCATATAACACGGTTAATTATAACTTCTGATATGTTTCTTTTATTTCCTAGGATGATTTATTCTATTTTAATAAAAAAGATATTTTATCAGCTAAAGCGACCTCTTTCTAAATCAACTATTCGGGCTATTAGTTTTCTTTTTCTTTCGTCACTATTTTTTCTTATATTTGAATTATCTTTGTTTTTTCCAGAAAATATTATTTTAAAAACGTCATCTGGAATTCAAACACCAGAAATTACTTTAATAGCTCGACTTACTCGTTTGCGTCGAATAACAGAATATGACTGGAAATTATTACACCGATTAAAATCTTTAAATGGAAGATTACTATATGTACTCTATGGGCCTTCGACTTTAGGTTTATGTGAATGGTGTGAAATTGAAACACCCTCAACATTTTTATATTATACTATACCACATGTATTTTTGTGTTATTTAGTAAATCTTGGAATAATTTATTTGTCGATATCTGTTTTATCTGAAAAAATTGGGAAATTATTAAAGAAGTTAATATTTATTATACTTTTTCTTTTTTTTATTTTGGAATTAATTATGTTAAATATATATGATTGGAAATCAAATGCGTATATTAATTCGGCCTCAAATATTAATTGGATTCATTGGAACTTAAAGAAATATCGATTATTTTTGATAGTAACATTAAATTTATCTGTTGCTTTTATTATTTGGGTTATTAACACCAATATATTGTATCAAATACCTAATAAAGAAAGGCAACTAATCTTTTCTATTAATAATTTAGAAGAATCGATAAATCGTATTCGCGCTTTAGTTATTATGAAAAGAGCACTGATTAAAGATACATTTTTGCAAGAACAAAAAATGAAATTTTATCAAGAAAAGCGTTTAAAAGAATTGAGTGATTCTATGAATGTAAAAGATATAAAAAAAAAGATATCTCATGATAATATGAAAAAAATTTTGGAAGAAATTGAAAATTATGCAGAAAACTTAATTAAATACATGGATATGAAAAAATAAATATTTTATTATTAATATAATCACTATAATATAATCATTAAAAAAAATCATACAGAGGCTTATTATGCTGTAGTTTTTGTTTTAATATCCATTTATTTTGTTCCCATATAATCCAGGAAATACCCTGAAGAAGACTATCTGCAAGATCATCAATTTTAAGTTTATCCTTTTCTTTTTTTTTAGATATAAAATCTTTTGCAGTAATTTGGGTATTTCTAAAATCAAAAATAGAACCTGCTTTTAACCATGAATTAATTATTTCTATTTTTTCTTTTTTAGATCTCAAGGTAGATGTTTTCGATAGATAGCTCGGTTTCTTGTCTTTAGAATCAATAGGCATTGGCAAATTATGGTTAATTGGAAAATTTTTCATTAAAATATTGTTTTTTTCAAACCAAAACGATGAAATTTTGGCTGGATCTATACTTAAAATATCTGCTTCTTGATCATTCCATATCATTTCCTCTTTAAAACACCTAAATATAGAATGTAGCATATTTTCAAAGATATTTATTTTTATAATCCATTCTTGTACAACGTTTTTACCCCGAGTTCTACATCTTTGACGTTCTATCAATATAGTCTGTGGTTTAAATTTCTTTAATAAAGATTTTGCTAACTGATATGCCAAAAAAGAGAATTTTGATGGGTTATAAGCTTTTTTAATAATTTTATTATCTATTTTTTTTGATTCAATAGATAATTTGTCCCATCCATCAACAACAAAAGGTTTATGATGAATTAAATTAAAATCTTCAATTATAATCGAAGGTGCAATTATTGAAGAGAATGCTAAATTACGAATTCCTACATCAATACTAAGAATACGATGAGGTGTGAAATTATTATTAATTAATCGTGTTTTAGAAATTTCTTGGAGAATCCTTTGGGCTAATTCTAACTTATTTCCTTTATTTACTATGTAGGAAATTAGCTAATATTTTATATAAAAAGAAAATCTTTACAAATGCCGCACTTTATTGCTATTATGCGTAACTGTGGTAAAGTTAATTGTTGAAGACTTTTAAAATTTAGTATAAGTAAATTATAAAGACATTTATACTCAGATACCAATTTATGAGAAAGCATGGTAATATTCTTAATTGTAGAAATTGCTTTGTTTTATAAATTTTATCTTTATATTTTAAATCTTAAAAAATTAGTGAGCTATTGATCGTTTTTTAAATTACTTTTGAATTTTGTAATATTTATAAATATTTAAAGTTATATGATTAGTTGTAAATTTTAAAATAATTTTATTCTATATGTATTGATATTTCATTATTTTATTAAATATATATATTTATAAATTATAATTTTATTTTAAAATTGTCAAAATTCAACTTTTTTTAAATTTTACCAGGAAATTAAATATATAAATATTATAAAAACATTATCAAAAATATTTGATTTAGATAAATTAATTTTTACTTATGTTAACGCTTTTTATGATAAATAATGCCCTTTTTATTTAAATATATTTCAAAGTTGAAAGACTTTAAGACATTAATATAAAAAGAATCAATCTATTTTTTATATTTCAAAGATATTTTATTAAAAAATATTTATGATGTTATAAATATAAGTTATTAAAATCAATTTATATTCGTTTATTAATGTTTGAATTTTTCTAAATAATTTACTTTAAAACTTGTCCAAAATAATTTATTTAAAACAAAAATTTATATTTAATACTTAAATTATTTATATTATTGAAATTAAAAATCTCAAAAAAGAAAGCAAACATCTATTTTAAAAAAGAATTTTTAGATTTATCCAAAGTAATCAAAAATTTTAAAATAAAATTAAAAAACAATTTATTAATAATAAAAGTAATTTAAAAATAATTTTAAATATATAGATTTTTACTTTTATTATTATTAAATATTAAATTTAGAAAAGTTTACAATATATACTATTAATATTTTAATAAATTTTTTTTACAAATTAATTATATGAATATTTTTAAATTAATTATCTGATGTTAATATTTCTAAGATAATTTTTTCAAAAAATAAATTATTATGAATATTTTTCTGAAAAATATTTAATTCAAATACTTTATAAATTAGCATCTTAGCTTTAAATATTATTATTAGATAATATTCGTTATATTAAGTAGAATTTTCATGGATACAAGGTTTTTAATTTATTTTAAACTAATTATTTTTATTATTTTTATAATAAGAATAATTTATGTTTTAACAAAGCCTCGTAAACACAAACATAACTCTAGAAACAAACATGATCAAATAAAATTATTTATATTTCTTGGCTCTGGTATATCCTCTTAAATATTTTAACGTTTTTTATCAAAAAAGGTGGTCATACTGCAGAAATGATACGATTATTAAAAAAAGTTGATTTTTTAAGATACAATAAAAGAACATATATTATTTCTGCAGGAGATTTTTTAAGTAAAGAGAAAGTTAGAAAGTTAGAAATAGAAAAAACAAATACTAGTGGATATCCAGGAAAAGTATCGTTAAAATCAAATTACATAAAAATCTAAATATTAAATAGTACTATATAGAAATTGTTCCACGAGCACGTTATGTTAATCAAGTATGGTATACTACTACATTTTCTTCAATACTATGTCTGATATCCTGTTTAAAAATACTTTTTTGGAATAAATTTGGAAGACCAGATGCTGTATGTAAAAAATATTTTTTTTTCATATTAATTTAAAAAGCTTCTATGTAATGGTCCTGGAAGCAGTGTAATGATGTGCTTTGCTGCTATAATTACCGAAGTAAATTTAAAAATAACATTAATCTACCGAAATAATGCAAACATAGATATTTGGGCTTAATCGTCCAGATATTATATTTATAGAATCATTCGCTCGTGTAAAATCTTTATCGCTTTCTGGAAAAATATTGCTGCCTTTTGTTGATCGATTTATTGTTCAGTGGCCAGATTTAATAAAAAAATACCCAAGAATAGAATATTATGGTATTTTGATATAAAAAAACAAAATTCATATATTTATAATATATTAAATAGAATTGTGTATATTTTTTTAAAAAAAAAATATATTTAAAAAATATTTATAATTTTTTTCATAAAATGAAATTTAAAATAAATTATTTCAACTTTTTATATTAAAAATATTTAATAATTTATATTTTGCTAGATAATTTCTATTTTTTTATTTAAAGCATAATTTTCTAACTCGAATACTTTTTTTTTCTATTAATAATAAATATTAAAAATATGAAAGAAACAATCTTATTTCTCTAGGTATTCTTTTTATATTTAATTTATGTGGAATTATTTTATATTTTCTTTATTTTTATTATTTCTTCAAGCAGAATCATATAAAATACAATATAATGCATCAAATTATTTTTTGGATGCAAAAGATAAAAAGAATATAAAGATTCTTTTTTCTGATATTGAGAAGCCAGAAACTCATCTCTCTTTATATCGGGTCATTGAATTACCAAATAAACTTCATGTTTTATTAATTAGTGATCCAAGAACCCAACTATCAGCAGCTTCAATGGATGTAGGCATTGGATATTATTCTGATCCTGTAAATCTATGAGAGGGAATGTACTTGTTTATCTATTTTCAGGATGATATTCCTGGTCTTGCTCACTTTTGTGAACATATACTATTTATGGGTTCATTAAAAGCAAGTACTAATATAAAGTAATCTTTATTATTAAGAACTTTAGTATCCTGAGGAAGCAAGCTTTTTTTCTTACATTAAAAGGCATAATGGCATATATAATGCATCTACTAGAGCAGAAGGAACAAGTTATTTCTTTAATATTCCATCTAGCTATTTTGAACTAGCATTGGATAAGTTTTCCAGCTTCTTTATTGCACCTTTGTTTTCAAGAAGTTCTGTTGAACGTGCAGTGCACGCAGTTCAATCAGGTTTTTCGTTTTTTTAATAAAACTTTTAGGCTTACAATTTCTAGAATTTAATTTATATAAACAATCTGATAGTTTGCGTATACAACAAATTGAAAAAACACTTTCAAGTGTAGATTCCCCATATAATAAATTTGGTATAGGAAATTTCCAAACATTAATGGTTAATCCAAAAAATATCGGTAAAGATATTTTAGAAGAAGTTAAAACATTTTATAACACATATTATTCTTCAAACTTGATGAAGCTTGTTGTAGCCTCATCAGGTATAGAATATATTTTTATTTTAGAACATTAGTCCTTAGTATATATTAGAATCACTTGACAGACTTCAGGAATTAATTCTTAAGTATTTCTCCGAAATTCCTAATAAAGATATTCAGAGACCCGTATTTACACAAAAGCCATTTACGGATAAGACTCTTGGTGTAAGATTTTTTTATTTTATGATTATAAAATTTATACTTATTAGATGCAATATTGGTATAAATCGAGCCTTAACTCTATAAAAATGGAACTTACATTTTCTATTGAAGTTCAAACTAATTTTCGTAATACTAATCCCTCTGAATATTTCAGATATTTAATAGGTTATATCCTATAATTTTTAATAATTTTATTTTGAACAATAAATTAGAACATAAGTCTTCTGATTCCCTTTATCTATATTTATTAGAAGAAGGATGGATAGTTTCTCTAACGTAAATATTTGATAGGATTTCTTGGATTATATTTACATTTTTTATTAGCACCTGTACCGAAAATATACTTTTTGATCTAGATTTTTTAAGGATAACTTTATATCTTACTCCTAAGGGATTAGGTATTATTTTTCTGCTTTTCTACAGAAAATAGTTTATTTTTAGCTCAATATGAAGAAATAATAGTAGCAATATTCCAATATCTTAAAATGCTTAAAGGTTTCTTTTGTTTTAATTAAAACTATAATATTAAAGGATAATAGATCAAGGACCTCAAGAGTGGATTTTCCATGAATTATTACGCTTGGGTGATATGAATTTTCGTTTTTCACCTTATATACCATCATATAAAGTTATTTCATATCTCTCAATGGTTATGCAAAAAGCACGTTCGGATTATTCAGATCTTTTAAAATTTGGATTTATTACAAAATACAGTCCAGAGAATATTATTAATTTATTAAATTCATTGCACCCGGATAATTATTTACTTTCTATCTCTTCTAATAACAAACCTAGTGATTGGAATTTACGGGAACATTGGCTTGAATCAGAATATAAACTTGAATCTTTGCCAGAAACACTTGTGCAGGTATTTTAGAAAATCGAAACTGTCTTATTTTTAACAATAATAGAGAAGCAATAATTTACCTGCTAATAATTCGTTTAAACTGCCTAAACCAAACAAATATATTCCGGAAAATTATGTCATAAGACCTCTTTCTAATGAAGTAATCTCTATAATTTACTGGTTGCATGATTTAATTCTATTTAGAAAGTGTACAAACCTTATCTTGAATATACAGCTAGATTTTTTCGTTACTGGTGTAAGCAAGATGATACTCATTCTTCTCCTAAAACATATTTATTTTTATTTTTTAAAATGTATTAATTAAAATAATACATCAGATATTCACTCACGTTATTCTAGTCCAAATTTTTCTTCTACACCTATACAAAAAGCACTAATAAAGTATTATTTTGAACTATGAATCATATTAAAAATTCTAGTATTTATATAAATATCTTGGCATGTAACATTTCAGAAATAAAATATTATACAGAAGTTGCAGGGAGTCAGGTTTCTATATTTCCGCATAAATTAGGATTTCAATTATTTATATTTGGTTATACCGATAAATTATTCGTATTGTATCAAGATGTTTTAGATGCTATTTTAGAATTTGAGCCCACCCCTTTTATCTTTAATCTTGCTCTAAAGGCAGTAAAAGACGAGATTTTTCCTAGTCTTTATGATATTTCTACTTATCTCTATACGGATGGTTATTGGCCTTCTGATGAGATTTTATCTGTTTTACAAAGTATTTTGCTTTAGAAATCTAAATATTTATTGACTTTGTATATAGCAATCAATTTTACTAATATTCAAAAATTTCATGAAATATGATTTCCTCAGACTTTTGTAGAGGCATTAGCAGTTGGATCACCTCCAGAAGTAAGAAACATATGCAACTAAAATAGTTAATTGTTTTTAGAATGCATCGCTTATTATCGAAAATTCTTTAAAGAATATTTTTTCCAAACAATTTTATAATCCATTTTATGATTTTGATGCACGAACATCTGTTCTCGAAGAAGGTTAATAGATCTTTTTTTTTCATATATATACTTAATTTATTTTTAGGAAACAACTTTATTTTTCAATTAACGAGAGTCAATCTGGAAGATCTAAATTCTCATATTTATTATTCTCTTCAAATTGGAGAAGCGAATAATCCAAAATTATTAGTACTAGTTAATATTATACACCTTATTATTTCGAAGATCTCGTTTGATCAATTAAGAACAAAAGAGCAATTAGGATATTTTCTTAAAGTCTGTTATTCTCAGACATTAACCATGATAAAGTATTTGATCCTATATCATTTATAGTTTTTGATATTTATAGCTATGATATTATTCTTACAAGTGAAAGAGATCCATTTTATCTGGAGCAGCGAATAATCGTATATCTATATAGATTGGCGGCAATTATAGAAAACATAACTGATGAAGAATTTAAGGATTATATTGATTCGATTATTCATAAATTTTCTTACAAATATGAAAACATATTTTTAGAAGCGAATTTGTATTGAGATAGTATTTCTTCAGGAATATACAATTTTGATTTCAGTATATTATATTAATTGATAATTAATATGATAATTATAATTTAGGTACTATGGCTATCGATGTTTTAAAGAATTTAACAAAAGATGATTTAAAAAAATTTTTCTACAAATATTTCTATCCCGATTCACCTAATCGAAAGAAACTATCAATTCATATAAGATCTGGGGTATTAGAAGAGGTTTCTTCTTCTGATCTATCACTACAAAGATTATATTATTATTTTAAGTGCAACGAATTAGAAATCCCCTTCGACGATCTTTTTACTCTAGCACAATCTAACCCTAAGCTATCTAACTTTGAAAAATCCATACAGGAGTTGCTTGTAAAAAAATATCCGGATACGGATATCTCCATAATAGTTGCTCAAGCTTTTAAATATCTTGAAAATCACTATAAGGAATTAAAACAAAAAGCTTTAAAGAATTATAACGCAGTAAATATTTTGGATCCAGTAGTATTTAAAAACTCTATGAAATTATCATCTGTTCCTCCTCCATTATTGTCGTTTGAGGCATACAAAAAACCTTAATTTTTTAGGGCTTATTTAAGATTATATTTATAAATATAGTTTTAGAAATACATCTAAAAATCTATTATAAATATTAAAAATTATCTTGTTTTAATAAACTATTAATACTTACATCAGATAAAGCTATTTGGAATTAAAAAATGATTTATTAATACAATGATTATTTAGTTTCTGTAATAATTAGGCAAAGACCATTTCTAAACATTTCTCATATTTCAAATCTTATTTTTATAACTACATGAATAATTTTAAATATTATATTATTTAAAATCATTCATGTAACCTAACAATTGAGATCTTGATTTTAAGTTTAGATTAATATTTTTAAAAGGTGGGTCGACCGTGGATCGAACACGGGACCTTTGCATCTTCAGTGCAACGCTCATCCCAACTGAGCTACCAACCCATCCCAGGCTAAATATAAATTATCTTTTATATATTGTAGATTTTATAAATATAATTTAAAATTAAAAAATAAGATATTTTAAAAATAGTATTTTTTATTTTTTACAAAGTCTAAAATAAAAATCTTCTGATGTTTTGTTTAATAAACTATCGACTTTTTTTATAATATTATTGAATGGTATTATTAATATAAAACGAAAAGTGTTATTCCATCTTTCTTTCACCAATTCCATCCAGTTGGCTGATAACACTGTTGGCATCTACGATGGATTTAAAAAATAGTCTCGATTTCTAAGTTGAAATGATTGACGTGTTAAAGATTCTGACAATGAATATGTTCTTGAACGCATTTGTAAAAGCAATATATATATTATAGAAGATAATATAGTGCTGCTAAGAAAAAAAAATATTCTTGGCATAATTAAATAATATTTAAATGTACTTATCTAAGTAGATGATGAAATGATGTTATCTGATTTATATATTTTGAACTTTTAAAAGATTATTTTATTTAATTTTTAGATTTAACGTTAAAAAATGAAAATTAACTCTAAATAATTCCAAAAATATAAAAATATGCCAATTAAACCGTTACGGAGAAAGCTTAATAGAACACCGTCTCATAGGTATATATATCTTTTTTTTAAAATAATTTAATAATATTAATATAGACGAAGTTTATTAAGAAATATTGTGTCTTGCTTAATAATATATGAATCAATTGAAACAACTTTTTCCAAAGCTAAAGAAGCACAAAAAATTGCTGACAGATTAATTACATATGCAAAGAAAGGCCTTAACAATCCTTTTCTATATAAACGTATAGAATCAATTGTTTATGAAAGCTAAACAATTATTCTATTAGATTAAAAATAATGTTCTATAGAAACCAGAAAAAACTATTCCAAAACTACGTAAAATAGTTTCGGAAAGATTTTTGGAAAGGCCAGGTGGTTATACTCGTGTTTTAAAACTACCATCAAGAAAAAGTGATTCAGCACCTATGGCTGTTTTAGAATATATTGATGGGCCAAAAGATACTCGATTTCTTATGACAGTAAAAACCATGATTAATAATGAAAAATTGAAAAAAGAGATCTCGGAAAAAACTATGAAGAATATTAAAAAAGCAATATGCTTTAGAAAAGATGGCTTAACTACTTTTAAAAATATAAAAAATGAATTTTATCATTTTTTTAATGCAAAAAAAGAAAAAACATAATATGAATTTTATTTTTACTTTTATATATTATTAAAATATCTTAAAAGGAAGTATCATAAATACTATAAATTATTTCTTAATCTTATTCATTTAAAATTAGTTTTTGGAAATATTTCATGATTTATAAGATCGATTCTTAAAATATTTATAAATTGAAATATTAATATTTTAACATTCAATTGTTTTGTAATATTAAAATGAGATTTTTATTTTTTATAATGAATATAAAATTCAACTTATAAATATTTAAATATTTCAGTAAAGTATTTTAAAAAATATCAGATTTTTAATATAAAAACTTCAAAACAAAGAGAATTAATACAATTTTCTGATTTAAATATTAATAATTATATACACATCAAATTAAATTATTATATACTTATAGCAATTATTAGTAAACTTCATACATTATATATATTTGTATGTATATAATATGATATAAGTTTTTATAGAGGTTTTTCTACAATTTATACTTCATTTTCATTCAAACAAACTATAATAATAATGATTACCACTTATGTAGTCCAAAAATGTTTACTTCATATTTTTAATATCTATAGATTCATCTGCAATTTCTAGCATAAGAATATCATTAGAATTTATAGAATATTTTTTTCATTTTAAAATCCTGAATTTTTTATGATATGCCTTTCCTTCAATAATTCATAAATGAAATGAATTGATTTCTAATTATCATTTAACCTACGCTTATTTACGTTTTTCTAGGTATTTCTATATTTAAATCAACAAATCCTAGTCGACTTGAACTCCAATTAGATTCTAGACTTAATATAATAATAGAAGGAAATGTTAATATATTCATCTTTTAACCTTAAAAAATCAGCAAATAGATTTACTGAATTTTTTGATTAATTCCTTAATTTTCTTATTTTAATATAAAAATTAAAAATAAAATTAACTGTTATAAGAGACATAATAAATGAAAAAATAAAAATAACAATTGCATGAAAAAAGCTATGAAGGTTATGAAATGAGATTTGAATATTCAATAGTGCTTATTTTATTATTTTATAGTTTCATAATTATGACTATAAACTTCGATGAACATATATACAAAAAATAAGCTTTAAATGTGCAATAACAAAATTTAATCTTTGATCAAATAATAAAATAGTTTCGCCAATAAATTCTAAAGAATGAACTTTAAGCTTTTTAACTTTTTTGTTAGAAGAATATCGATATCCTTAGATTCATAGAAAGCCATAACACGAACATCGTGTCTATGGAACCTTCTACCAACATTTGCCCATTGTTGATTTTCCTTGTTTATAATACGATACATAATTGTTTTACAATCTACTCCAGAGAAAATAAAATATTCCTTGCCTTCAAAATTAATATAAATATATGATAAAAAAAGATACTTTATTAGAAGACAAACACAAAACACCCGCAGTATGACTTTTAAATGACCAAAGTAATAAATAATACTTTTGATCCCAAAATTTAACAGACTCCATAGAATAGCCAGTAACAATAACCTCGTTTTCCAAATTTTTTATTGCCCATAGTAAGGTATCTTCATTTCCTACTTTACCAACACTCATTTGGGAATAATATTGTAATGAGTATCACATGAATTCCAAACTCAAATAGAGCTATCAAAATAACCAGATATAATATGATACAGATTATTCCAAGTAAAAAAATTTTGAAGTTTTAATTAGTTAAGATAGATAAGTACTCCATAATTCTTTTTGCGGGAGATGTATTAATGGTTACTAAGTTACCAAAATCACAACCAATAAGTTTATCTTTATGCCGAGATGTAAACATGCTCGACATAGGCCCTAAATTTATATTTAAATGTTTTAAAGGAAGTAATTTCTTTAAATTTCATTATGCAATAAGAGTTAAATATCTAATAGTAAAAAGTCTTGAAAATTCCTGGGCAATAACCTATAAAATTCTTTCAATAAACCTATTTGTCCCACTGTGAAATATCATCTCATGAGTCCATCGTTTCTGAAGACTCGATATTTCAGAATCACCATTTGTACATCCAACTGCAGAACAAGATTTAGGTGTCAAATTTAAAATAAACAAATCATGAGAGAAATAAATAAATATTATCGAAGAATTGTAATCAATAAAATGGAATTAATGAATATTTATTATATAAATATTTTTATTTCTAATATTTTTTAAAATTTTTAATTTTAAAATATTAAAAAACTTAATGTAAAAATATTTAAAATCATAAAAAATAAACGTTTTTATCTTTATTTATATGAAATAATTTAGCATTTTTGATATTTTAGGATTTGCTTTTAGCCATTTTATAAATGTTATTGTAACAGTTTAAATTTATTATAGGATTAATAAAGAATAAAGAATATTTTTATTAAGAAATATTATTACCAAGAATGATATTAACAAAAGATTATCAACAAAGACGATTAAATTCAAGAATGATTAAAATTATCTATTTGTTTTTTTCTAAAAAATAAAACATTTGATTACTCAAATTGCTTAATTTCTAGAAAAGATTGCTTTTAAAACACAGCTTTCTTCTTAAATAATTTTTTATATAGGAAAAAATGATCAGGAAAATATATCGGATGAAACTAAAAGTGTGTGTCAAAGATTATTAGCGAAGCATTTTTTGATTAAAAGTGAGGATCAAAAAAGGGTTTGATTATAAACAAATACTGAAAACAATGTAGTAATTAAAAAAGATTTAAAAATTAGTTATTCAAATGAAGAAATGTCAAAAATAAGAAAAACGTTGAATTTAAGAATGATAATTATAGTATTAAAAAAGGTATAAAAATATGAATGAATTGTAAAAAAATTCAAAAGTTAATAAATAAAACAAAATGTATATATATATTATTTTATAAAAGATTATTGAATAAAATGAGAAAAAAATAAGAAAAATAAAGATTTAAAATTTATAATCAAGAGTTGTAATGATTTTTATTTTTAACGGTTTCTCCTATATTTTTTTAGGGTTTATCAAAATCGTAAAATTTTGTATCTTTTTGATAACCATTTAAAATAAGCATTAAATTTCACGAATTTCAGTTAAAAGCATATTGCGAATATTTATATTATATATTTAGGGAAAAGAAGCTATAGAATATACTTTTTTTCCATGATTAATAAGATTATACTGATAGCAATATTAAATTTAATCGGTAATTATATTTTAGATTATTTTCATTTTTAATTATTTTTAGCTCTTACATATGGAAATCAAAGTCTAGACTTAAGTATTAGAAGCTCTCAGGCAGGCTCAATAAATCCGTCGTTTGGAAGTTTTATTGACGAAGAAGAAATTTATGCTTTTATTTTAAAAGAAAATTATAATGATGAAAACAAATGCAAAGTAAAACTTGAAGAATATTGTAAAGAATTGAAGGATATAGATCCGGAATTTAATAAAGTGGATAGTAAGGTTAAGGAAATTTGTAATAATAATAATAAAGGGCAAAAATGCAAAGACCTAAAAACAAGTCTTGAAAAAAAATTATACAAATTTAATAATGAAATTAATAATCATTTAAAATCTTATCCATCAGGTTTTGGAGCTTGCAGCGAATATTTTAAAAAATGTTTGCTTTTGGGTGATATAAATGAACCTGATACTATAAATACCTGCAATGTCATAAAATATTTATGTTATATTAATTTTACTGAAAAACCGAAAAAACAAATAATTTTTAGAATTGTTGGTGAAAGTATTACTAATTACGATGATTTTAAAGAAAAAATGAAAAAAATTTGTCCATTATTTATTCAACAAGGTAGTGATTTACTCTTTAATTGTCTTGAAATTGAAAACTCTTATAAACAATTCGATACTTATATGAGATATTTTTGCAGCTTTCTCAATATTAACCTTGATGACAATTTATTGAAAGAAAAATGTTACGAAGAACTCAGAAACTGTTATTTTTTCAAAAATAAATGTGAAGAAAAATGTAATAAATTGAAGGTGTTATGCGAGAAAAAGAATATTACATATAGGCCTCCAGAAAAAATTTTTAGTCCAATTGAGCCAGAAGCAACGTTCTTAGAGAAGATTGATATAGAAGGTTTTTACAAAGAAATGAGAGATAAAGGAAATGCTATTGGATTTTTTAAAAATACACTAGATGACATGTTAATCTATTTGTCTACAGGAGTCTCTGGTTTGGAGGAAAATAAATGCAAGAATCTATTAAAGAACAACTGTTCTTTTTTTGAATTTCTGAGTCCAGAATTTAAGGAATTATGTCAAGATAACAAAGAACAAAAATGCAAAGATATATTAGAAATATCAGATAGATGTAGAAAGCTTAAATTGATACTTTATCTAAATGGATTTTCTACAGAGTTTGAAGATAATAAACTAGGGAAAAATATCCCTTGGAATAAGCTTTCAACATCATTTAATGAAAGAGAATGTTTAAAATTTACTCTAGAGTGTCTTTTTATAAGAAAATCATGCAAAAACAATCTCATTGAAGGATGCATAAATCTACAATTAGCATGCTTTAAAAAGCAACAAGAACGACAATTTATTAAATTAATTGAAAGTAAATTGGTCGAAGAACAATACAATTTAAAATCGAAAGATGAAAAGCTTAAAATATGTCAAAAAATAGTAATGGAGAAGTGTGTAGCACTTTTAAATAGTAATATTGAGAACTTTTTAAAATGCCTTCGACCAAAAGAAATATGTCTTGGACTTGAAGAAATTATTTTTGTTCGATCGAAAGAGTTAGAACAAGCTTTAGATCAAGCACGGGATTTTCCTAAAGAAGAAGACTGTGTTGAATTGAAAAAGGAATGTGAAGGTATTTTGAAGGATTTAGGTTCAAATAATGTAAAGTGTGTTACATTAAAAGAGCGTTGTAAATATTTGGAAGTTACAAAAGAACTAAAATATGATTTTTTAAAAGATAAAAGTGATTCGTTAATGAATATTCAAAATTGTATGAAAGCTTTGAAGGAAAAATGTGATGGATTGTTTAAAAGAGAAACTAATGCATTTGGTGTTTCATGTGCTTTACCAGAAGAAACATGTAAATTTATGGTTTCAGAAGTTGAAAACCATTGTAATGCTTTTAAAAACAACATAGAAAAACATGATATTGTAAATAAAAGTAAAAATGGGAATGAAACATTGGTTGAAGAAATCTGCATATTATGGGATCCATATTGTGATGAACTTATGGAAAATTGCCCAGATAAGTTGAAAAAAGGAGACAATGGGAATGAAAAAGGAGTCTGTTTACAACTGAAAGAGAATTGCAGACCATTCTTTGAAAAGTTGAAATTGGAGGATGAGTTGACGCATGAATTGAAAGGTAGTTTAAGCAATGAAACTGAATGTAAAAAAGCATTGGGAAAGCATTGTAGTGAGCAGAAAAATTCAGGGAATCAGAAATTCAATAGTTTTTGTAATACTGATAAAGATAAGGATGTTGAGGAAAAAGCTTGCAAAAAGTTGGTTGAAAAAGTAAAAGAAAAATGTCCAACCTTAGAAAGTGAACTGGATAAAGAGAAAGATGAATTAAAGAAGAAGAAAGATGAATACGAAAAGGTGAAACAGGAATCAGAAAAATTTACGAAGGAAGCTAAGTTAGTATTATCAAGACTTGGGAAAGATGGACAAGATGCAGGATCAAAGGTGCAGAATACCAGTGCAGCTGAACCAGCGGCACCACCAGGAGGAGCACCAGCACCAGCAGTGCCAGGAGGATCAACACCAAGTGGAGGGGCAAACACGAATAATGTTATACTTGTTCGAAGAACATTTGTAAGTGGAGAAGTATCAGAAGCAGAAAAGAAGGCATTTGTTGCAACGACGAGAGCATTGGAATTGTATTTAGAATTGAAAGAGAAATGTAAAGGTTTACAAGGAGACTGCGGGTTTAGAAAGGATTGCCCGAAGTGTGAAACGGTCTGTACAGAAATAGACAAGTTGTGTGAAGGAATAGAAGGATTAAAAGTTACACCGTATTATACGGTGACATCAACGGCGATACAGACAACGACGACGACAGCAATGACAACGACGACGACGACAACAACAACGACGACGACGACGACAACGACAACGACGGCAACGACGACGACGACAACGACAACAGAGTCGGTAGATGGAGGGAAGGTAACCGAAGAATGTACATTAGTTCAGACGACAGATACATGGGTGACGAGTACATCGTTGCATACGAGTACGATGACAAGTACATCTACACTGACATCTACGGTGACATTGACGTCGATGCGAAAATGCAAACCTACGAGATGTACAAGTGATTCAAGTAAAGAAACAGAAACACAAAAAGAGGAAGAGAAAGAGGAAGAAGTGAAACCGAATGAAGGAATGAAAATAAGAGTTCCGGAAATGATAAAAATCATGTTGTTGGGAGTGATTGTTATGGGAATGTTGTAAAAAGAATGAAAAAAGAGATTAGAATGAAAAAGTGCATATATCCATTGTTTATATATAATATAGAAGATGTAGAAGAATGATGTATAAATTTTTAATAAAGCATGAAGAATTGCGAATTGAAATTTTGATTATTTTACCCCGCAATTTTACCCTCACAATTTTTTACCCCGCAATTTTGCTTTATAGGGTAAAGTCCAAGCTTATCATAAAAGATTAAGGAAATGTATGCTTATCATAAAAAAATTAAAATGTATGGTTATTTTGAAAGAATTATTTCAAGATTTAGATTTGATTCACCCAGTCATATGCTACTCAGGGACAAGCGATGGGTAGAGGAAGTCGCCCAGAAAGAGGCGGCGATGGCACAGCCGGTTAAGAGGCAAGCAGCAGGACAAGCAGCAGGAAATGATGAGATTAAGGAGGAACAGGTTTTGGGTTTAATTGTGAAAAGTTATTATAGTGATGATAATAAATGCAAGGCAAACCTCAAACAATATTGTGAGGAATTGAAGAAAATAGATGGAAAATTGGAGAGTGTGGATGTCAAAGTTAAGGGACTTTGTGAAAATGGAAAAGAAGGAGAAAAATGCAAAGAATTAAAGAAAAAACTTGAAACTGAATTGGGTGCTTTTAAAACAGAAGTTGAAAATGCATTGAATAACCTAACAGATGAAAAATGTAGAAAATATGAAGAAAAATGTCTATTATTAGAAGAAGCAGATCCAAATAATCTTGAAGAGAAGTGCGTTAAGTTGAGAGATAGATGTTATCGACAGAGACGTCAAGGAGTGGCAAAAGAAATTCTTTTAAGAGCTCTTGAAGGGAAAGTTAATAATAAAGATGAATGTAAAAAAAGAATGAAAGAAATTTGTCAAGGATTAAGTGAATATAGTGATGAATTAGTGTTTTCATGTTTTAATTCAGATAAAACATGTGAATACCTTCAAAAGAATCATGGAGATAGTTGTAAGCCTTTAGAGAAGGAACTTGAAGATAAAGAATTAGTGGAAAAATGTCAAGAATATCTTGAAAAGTGTTATTTTTATGGATCAAGTTGTAAGGATACAAAATGTGATAAAGTCAAGAATAAATGTAAGGGAAAAGGGATTGAATATGAAGGACCAAAATTAGATTTTAGTCCGGTTAGAGAAAAACCAAGATTTCCAGAAAAGATTGAAGTGGAAAATCTTTATAAAAAAGAAGAAGCTAAGGGAATTATTGTTGGAAAACCAAAATATAAGACGTTGCGAGATTTAGCATTATTGTTGATCAAAGAAAGGAATGGAAAAGATGAGGGAGAAAAATGCAAAAAAGCGTTAGAAGATTGTGAATCTTTTAAACACCTAGATTATGGATTAGAAGAATTATGTGGAGATAAAGATAAAGACAATAAATGCAAAGAATTAGTAGAAGTAGAAGATAGATGTACGAATTTTAAATTAGAACTTTACATAAAAGGATTGTCTACGAAATTTGAAGATATAGAATCAGATTATTTTTCATGGGGACAGGTATCAAAATCGGTTAGTAGGGAAGATTGTATAAAGTTTGAATCGGAATGTTTCCATTTAGAAGGTGTATGTACGAATAAAATTGGAAAAGCATGTGAAAATGTAAGAGTAGCATGCTATAAAAAGGGACAAGATAGGGTGTTGAATAGATACTTTCAAGAAGGATTGAAAGGGCTTATTGGTGATTTAGAATTGGTTACTGAGAATCTTGAAAAATGTCAAAAATCGGTAGTAGGTAATTATACAAAACTTAAGGAGGATAGAAGATACTTTACAAAGTGTCATCGACCGACTGAACTATGTTATGAACTTTTAGATGATGTAATTCTTCAATCGGAAGAATTAGAAGTAGTTTTAAATTTGAGAAGAGATTTTCCAAGAAAGGAAGATTGTGTAGAATTGAAGAAGAAGTGCAAAGATCTTGAAAGTGATTCATATTTGAATCATGAGAAATGTAATACACTGAATAGACGATGTGAATATTTAAAAGTTACAGAAGAATTGAGAAAAAGATTATTAAAAAGAGGAGATGATGCATTAAGAACTCAAGGAAATTGTACGGCAGTATTAAAGAAAGAATGTGAGGAATTATCTAGAAGAGGAAAAGAAGATTTTAGTGTTTCATGTGCTTTACGAGAAGAAACATGTAGTTTTATGGTAGAACAAACAGAAAATGAGTGTCTTTTTTTAAAAAATAACATGGAAAATGGAAAAATTATAGATAAAATTGAAAAAGGAAAAGGAAATGAAACATTGGTTGAAGAACTCTGCACGTTGTTTGATCCATATTGTCATCAATATATAGAAAATTGTCCAGATAGGTTGAAAAAAGAAAAAAAATCCAATAAGAATGGAGTCTGTTTAGAACTGGAAGAGAAATGCAAGCCATTCTTTGAAAAGTTGAAATTGGAGAATGAATTGACGCATGAATTGAAAGGTAGTTTAGGCAAAGATGATGAGTGTAAAAAAGCATTGGGAAAGTATTGTACTGAGCAGAAAAATTCAGCAAATCAGAAATTCAATAGTTTGTGTAATACTGATAAAGATAAGGATGTTGAGGGAAGAGTTTGCAAAAAGTTGGTTGAAAAAGTAAAAAGAAAATGTCCAACCTTAGAAGATAAACTGAATGAAGAGAAAGATGAATTAAAGAAGAAGAAAGATGAATATGAAAAGGTGAAACAGGAATCAGAAAAATTTACGAAGGAAGCTAAGTTAGTATTATCAAAACCTGAACAAGATGGACAAGATGGCAATGCTCCTAAACCAGGGGGACCACCGGTACAGCCACCAGTACCAGGAGGAACACCAGGAGGCGTACCAGTACCAGCACCAACACTAGCACCACCAGCACCAGTACCAGGAGGAACACCAGGAGGAACACCAGTACCAGTACCAGTACCAGGAGGAACACCAGGAGGCGTACCAGTACCAGCACCAACACTAGCACCACCAGCACCAGTACCAGGAGGAACACCAGGAAGCGTACCAGTACCAGCACCAACACTAGCACCAGGAGCACCAGGAGCACCAGGAGCACCAGGAGCACCAGGAACACCAGGAGCACCAGGAGCACCAGGAACACCAGGAGCACCAGCAGGGCCAGCAGCACCATCAACACCACCAGCACCAGCAGGGCCAGCAGGGCCAGCAGGGCCAGCAGGGCCATCAGGAGGAACACCAGGAGCACCAGCAGGGCCACCAGCACCAGGAGGATCAACACCAAGTGGAACGACAAACACGAGTAATGTTATACTTGTTCGGAGAACATTTGTAAGTGGAGAAGTATCAGAACCAGAAAAGAAGGCATTTGTTGCAACGGCGAGAGCATTGGAATTGTATTTAGAATTGAAAGAGAAATGTAAAGGTTTACAAGGAGACTGCGGGTTTAGAAAGGATTGTCCAGGGTGTGAAGCGGCCTGTAAAGAAATAGACAAGTTGTGTGAAGGAATAGAAGGATTAAAAGTTACACCGCATCATACGGTGATATCAACGGCGACACAGACAACGACGACGACAGCAACGACAACGACGACGACGACAACAACAACGACGACGACGACGACGACGACAACGACGGCAACGACGACAGAGTCGGTAGATGGAGGGAAGGTAACGGAAGAATGTACATTAGTTCAGACGACAGATACATGGGTGACGAGTACATCGTTGCATACGAGTACGTTGACAAGTACATCTACAGTGACATCAACGGTGACATTGACGTCGATGCGAAAATGCAAACCTACGAGATGTACGAGTGATTCAAGTAAAGAAACAGAAACACAAAAAGAGGAAGAGAAAGAGGAAGAAGTGAAACCGAATGAAGGAATGAAAATAAGAGTTCCGGAAATGATAAAAATCATGTTGTTGGGAGTGATTGTTATGGGAATGTTGTAA